AAGTGTGCAAAGTTTCAAAGCCATATGTCAATGGACTTTGAAAATATTTGAACTATTACAAAAACTTTAACGTAAATTCTAAGTCGAAGTCGAAAAAGGGGCATAATTCTGTCAAAATGCTTGATAGAGTTACCTTCTCCTGTCTACAGGTTGGGGTCATGATGGTGAACAAGTGTGCAAAGTTTCAAAGCCATATGTCTATGGACTTTGAAAATATTTGAACTATTACAAAAACTTTAACATAAGTGGTTACGCCGACGCCAACGCGGACGCCGACGCTCGGGTGACTGCAATAGCTCTACTTATACTTATCGAATAGTCGAGCTAAAAATGATAATCAGATATGAACATACAGGGTCCGGTATACTTTTTTTTCATTTTGGTAACTTCATCAAAATGTTATGTTAAAGCATGATGCATATAATGGTCTCATTGTCCTTCCTTGCATTACTTAGTCATATATATTGTATATCAAACAGAAAAGAATATAACATGATATATTTAGTCACATTCAGTGAATTACTGGATTCAAAATTAATAGGTCTCCATTTGGCAACTATTTAGTTTTTGCCACTGATTCAACTAATAGGCCATTCCTTCGTTCTATATTTTGAATGTTTACTTTAGGAACAGTCAATGTTGATAATAAGTTGCTAACGTTCCCTGATCCACCAATAATATCTATCATTGCTAGAAAAAACATAAATTTATTCATGTCACGACCAAATCATTACATGAAAAATTCTATGTATGATAATCAGCTGATAATACAAATTAATGACTGACTAAATGCGTCATAATATAAAATATTATAGATATCACGACACGTCAACCTGCCTGAAGTTCTAACAGCATTGTTCTTTAACAAAAACGCAAGCAAACCTGAATGAGTGTAAATTTGCATAAACTACATATAACAGTACATTTTATAACACATTGGCTAGTTATCTAATACAGGTAAGTAATCGCTCAGGTATGAAGACAACTATTTACACTGGTCAATATTATGACTACCTATTCAAATAAAAAGGTTTATAAGAGATAGATAAAATATAATTGATTTTGTGACACGTTACTACACCTAACACGATAATTTTTAAAACTCATTAACCACCTTATGTTAAATCGTTTCCTTCTAACACAAGGCAAAGGGTCACACCACATTTACAAATGTATATAGTGAAAATTGTGTTAATAAATTAAGGTCTTTTTTATGAAAATAATGCTGTTTTCTCCTATTCATAAAACTGAATTGTGTGGTCATTTAAATATACATGAACAAATTTTTCATACAGGTATAGTTCAGACATGCCCACGCGTACACATGTATAGACATCGTTAGCTATAGAGGGTTGCGTTCATTGAACGCCGCCTTTCCTTGTTGATCTTGTTTTAAATTATCATATTTTGTTACATACCAGTGATGGCTTTATTTTGTTTAAAACAAATAATGGGCAACAACATCAACGGATTCAACGCATAGTAACGTTTACCCCGCAAATGCGTCAATTTAATTATTGCAGAGAAAAAGAAACAACTTCTTTATATAAATTTAATACAATACCAATGGTTAATATAAGAGAATATAGTAATGTTAAACATGTACAGCGCCAGTTTAAACAAATTGACTACACCAATCACTATCATCACTTATCAAACACCTATGACACACACACATTACCTCACGTGTACAATACAATTATGAGTAAGTCGTCCGAAACATGTATACAATTAATTAAACACATGAAAATCATACTAGTTCACATACGAACTCGAATTGAAAAATAAAGCCAAATTCCATGCTTGATATTGTTTTTATCATATACGTATAGGATAGATCATGAGTACCAGTTGGATGTGAGATTTATCAACGAGCGAAGCGAGTTGATAAATCTCACATCCAACTGGTACGAGCGATCTATCTGACTTAGACCACAGGTAGTTTTTTCTGTTTAAGGTGAAGATTAAACATGCGTAAACGGTTTTTTTCTCCGACAGTTACATAGGGATATCCAAATATTTCTTATGCAATCTATATGGCCTTATTGTAGGCAAAAATGCACGAGAAAATGACATAATTCATGTTCTTTCATAAGTTACTGAATACACAATCTATTGAATGATAGATAGATTTCACATTCTATCGCAAAGGTGCAGTCAGATGAAAATTGGGAAGAATTTAACATTTCTGAATGTGATAACATTATAATTTCGAAACTTGGGAGATGTTTGTTGTTATTCCTGTTGATTCCTCATTTAAATGATTTAATGACATAACACCGTACACAGCGCTTGGAAGCTAGACTGCTTACCGGAATATACCCTTAGACAGAAATCATGGGTGATGGCTACTTATCAAGAGTGGGCTCGTTGGAGAAACGGGCAGGTAACTTTCATTAAACGTTTTCCATAATGCTTAAACAACCCTAGGGTTCAGGATATTTATTGGTTGTTCGGCTGAAGTTGAAAATATTTGTTTATTTATTGTATGCTTTATATACATCCTGCATTTACTTTTTTACTTCATTCATGAACTGAAAAAATATTACAAACGTCCCTCTGAAGCCTTTAAAGTTACATTTAATAAAATTCATAAAAACAGAAATAGCGACATTTCATTAATAAATTGGGTTTCATATCGACCCCAGATCTTATTTTGGTGTCCAGACAACCAAAATGAGTGTTCTAAGCATAAACAAGAGCGATCAGTAATCACATGTGTCGCCTCATAATGGCCAATTTCATGTTGGGACAAATTTTGTGACAGACGGACAGACAGACGAACAGTGCACAACTAGACTTGGTACTGATCAATCATGTAAAGTTTGGATAAAATTGCACCAGTAGCTTATGAGGAGTAGTCCGGACAAGCTTTTGCGTATCTGGCAACACACAGAAAAAAACACCTTTTTATCAAAGGGCCATAACTCAGCCAAAAATCATTCAACCGGAAAACCCGTGCAATATGCGCAAGGACTTGAGCTACAGATCAATCCTGTAAAGTTTCATTGAAATTGCATAAGTGGTATAAGAGAACTAGTCCGGACAAACTTTAAAAATAAAAATTATTAAAGGGCCATAACTCTGACAAAAATCATTGAACCGGAAAATGCTGACAATATGCACAACTAGACATAGTACTGATTATTCCTGTAAATTTTGAATGAAATTGCACCAGTAGTTTATGAGGAGTAGTCCGGACAAGCTATTGTGTATCTGGCAACACACAGAAAAAAACACCTTTTTATCAAAGGGCCATAACTCGGCCAAAAATCATTCAACCGGAAAACCCTTGCAATATGCGCAAGGACTTGAGCTACAGATCAATCCTGTAAAGTTTCATTGAAATTGCATTAGTGGTATAAGAGAAGTAGTCCGGACAAACTTTAAAATTAAAAATAATTAAAGGGCCATAACTCTGACAAAAATCATTGAACCGGAAAATGCTGACAATATGCACAACTAGACTTGATACTGATCATTCCTGTAAAGTTTGGATGAAATTGCACCAGTAGTTTATGTGGGGTAGTCCGGACAAGTTTTGTGACGGACGGACGGACAGACAGACAGACAGACAGACGGACAGACAGACAGACGGACAGACAGACGACGGAGAAGTGATCCCTATATGTCGCCACTACTCCGTAGAGGCGACACAAAAATGGACAACCTCATTGTGGCGAATTCGGAAGTACAATACCTGTTTGCATGAGAAACTCCGCCTTCAGACCATCCGTACATCAATATTGAATCAACAAACATGACTATAAGTAGCAGCTCTAATTTAACGGTATATTTCCGCATTTTAACGGATGTTTTCATACAAATTCAATCTGTTTTTATGAGATGATTACATTTTACTGAACCTCGGGCCTAATTCACTGTGAAGTTTAACGGTTAAAATGTGTTTGCACAAGAAAATCTCATATTTGAGCTGCTATAACACTGTGACGTAGCGCATACACAAGCTGATTATAATCTTCATTTGCATGTTAAAATTCGTATACGAACTTTAGTGTTACCGTGGGGTTTTCCGTTTAAAATCCTAATTTATGAACAATATTTGATGATATTTACAACAATACTGTTAAACAGGTTAATGATACTGTAAAATGCTTGATTTTTAGGTCGACGGCAAAATATTTTTACATATTTATTTAATGTAACTTTAAGTATAGAATTTCCTTAGCGTTGCAACCGCAGCCCAGTCACCGTTCGGAAACTCCACCCCCTCCAGTGGAATCCCCTCTTCCCAAACCAGTAAATTAATGTACATCTACAGTGTCTGCTATTAGGAGTGAGCCATGAAAATATAAGCACAAAAGCCGTCGTAAAATTAAGATACATATATAGATTTAAATAGTTAGATAAACGCATTTCACATCATTATTGCTAGTTTTTCTTATTTACAAATACAGTAACTATTCTTGTAAAATGATGAAATGTCGAAAAAAATTGGTCAAATGACTATTGCTATCTGTTTGTTTTTTAAGAAGGGAATTACACTACTTGTATTTACTTTACAATATATATAGAAATTTTCCTCCCATAAAACGTGCACATAACGGGTTTTTCCTTTCAGTTGAATACAAACATGATAGTTATATCAAACACTTTACTGTGATGTGTGGGATATATCAAACACTTTTTAGCCTCTCTGATTGGCCGAGAGAAAACAGCTGTGGTCTAATTGTTCTTATAATTGATTAAACAGAAGGAAATAGAGAAACACAGAATCCCTGCTCATGGACGGTACTGGAAAGTGAAAAAAATATGATAAACAAGATCAACAAGGAAAGGCCGCGTTCAATGAACGCAACCCCCATATGACCCCGCAACAAGAACCAGTGGCAAGGAGCCCAGGTAGACCCCAAACAAAAACAGGACAGAACACAAGACAGAGCACTGACAGGTTAATCACTAAATGATAAATAATTTGTAACTGATAAATCATAAGGACTTTAGATTCTTAAAATCCTAATAACGCAATTCTTTATTTTTATTTCATGAAATACTTACCTGACATTACATTTAGGATTTCATTTCGTCCTACCTTTTGAACTCGCTTAACCGGAAGTGTGCATTTGTTTACATCCATAATGCATTGAAACAAATAACTTCCTGAAGTTTTAACCAACCAGAACACACTTCCGGTATTCCCACGTGAAATCAGTTTTCGTTTTTTGCGCCTACCGTTTAGATGTACTTTTTGAGCTCGTTTACTAGTTTTATTTTTTATTTTACGGTGGTTATTGTTGTGTGTTGGATTATGGCTCAAGAAGCAGTGAATTGCGTCTTGGAGCGCGAAGAAGGAGAGATTTCTGATAATTTTTCGCCAGGCCATGTGACCGATAATGGCGAGTCATCAATGTTTCGGGCTAAATTGCCGCATAAGAAACAGTCGGATCACGGTAAAGAAAAACAGAAACGTAGATCCAAATATGACATTTTAGAGGAAAAATTTAATCAGAAATTGGAATCTATTGATGACAAGTTTGATAAATTATTCAGTCTGTTTCAATCTTCGAATATTCGGGATACTTCGCCATGTACCGATGTGCAAGAAGATGAGACTCGTAACGTAAATTCGCAACAAGATGTTTTATCTTTATGCGGGGATAGTACTTTAGGTTCCGACACAGATTCGGATAGTGACAGAGATTTTCACAGAACACGTGTTCAGAATTCTGTTAGAAAAGTTTCGGATTCAGAAAATCTCAGTGAGCATACTAAATTGGGACTGTATGAAATTTTTGGTGAGGATGCCAAAGTTTTATCAGAGAAGGAAGATGTTGGTATTACCTTAGACCAGTCTCAAAAAGATGTCTTGTATAACAGTTACAGGTGTAGTACTCCTTTATTTTTGACTTCATACAATGAAAATGTTCTTGATATGTTTCCTGTTAAAAGTGACACTGAACAATTTTTACAAGTGCCGCCAGTGGATCCTTTGATAGAAAGTTGTTTGATTAAACGACATGGTCCCAAAGCAGCATTTTCTAGCTCTAAGATAAGAGGTAAAGGTTTATACTCGCAACCTTATAAGACTATTGAAAGACTTGCATATAAAGGTTCTCATGCCGCTAGATTAGGTATTGTTATTCAGCTGTATTTACAACAAAGCCTTGGTGATTTACTTAGTTTTGTTCAGTCTGACAGTTTTGATAAGGATACTGCAGAAAAGCAGATTAAGGATGTGTTCTCTATGGCCACTAAGGGTTTAGACCAGCTAGGAAGAGCAGGTGCTTTTCATCATATTATAAGACGTCATGTTGCTATGTCTGATACAGCTTTGTATGAATTACCAGATTCACAAAAATTCCTCAGTTTACCTTTGACAAATGACGGTTTGTTTGGTACAGAACTTGAAAATTTATTAAAATCAAGGAAAGAACAGAAAAAACAGGTGGATGATTTGGTACCTGATGTTAAGAAGAGGGAGTTTCTTAAGAGGAAGCCTGTCTCTTCTACGACTGTTCAAGACACATCAAAGCGGCCTTGTTTTTCGCAAAATAGATCTGTTTCCTCTGATAATTTTCGGATCCCCAAGGTTCCAAGAGCTTCAACCTCAGGTTACAATAAGCAGGGAAGTGACAGAAAAGGCAACTTCAGTAGACCTAGTGCAACTGAGTCCTTTCCACCAAGGAACTTTGGCCGAGGACGTGGTAAAACAGATCGCAAATGACAAGGTAAGCATTATAGCAAAGTGGCCGCAGATACCTGTTGGGGGCAGACTAAAACACTTCCTGCCTGCTTGGGAAAATATAACTCGAGATCAGTGGGTTTTAGATTTAATAAGAAACGGTTACAAGCTAGAGTTTATTCAAAAACCACCTTTTTCAGGTATATTAGAAACCAAGGTCAATCAAAAAGAACATTCTTTAATTCATACAGAAATTCAAAATCTTTTAGACAAAAATGTCATCGAAATAGTTCCAAAAACTCAAACACATCACGGTTTTTACAGTACGTTATTCCTCGTCCCGAAAAAGAACGGAGAGTTACGTCCTGTCATAAACTTAAAACCCCTGAACAGGTATCTGCAGAAAAAACATTTCAAAATGGACAACATGAGGAAAGTGTTAAATTTAGTTCGAAAAGGAGATTGGTGCATAAATCTCGACCTAAAAGATGCATATTTTCACATAGAGATTTTCAAGGGCCACCGTCAGTTTCTTCGTTTTTGTTTCCAGTCAGTTGTGTATCAATTCAGAGCACTGTGTTTCGGTCCGACTGTGGCTCCTCGAGTTTTTTGCAAAGTAATTGCTGTAGTAGCATCTCATCTACGCAAACAAAGTATTCGTCTTGCAACTTACTTAGACGATTGGCTTGTTCTAAACAGTCTAAGAACACAACTTTTAAAAAATCGAACAGTCCTCTTAAATCTCCTTTTCGAACTAGGTTTCATGGTGAACAAGAAAAAATCGTATTTGTTACCTCTTCAAACAGTAACATACATAGGGGGTCTTTTCATGTTGAAGAAAGGGATAGTTTATCCAACAAAAGAAAGGATAGTCAATTTACAGAAGGCAGTAAGACAAATTTTACAGGGTCATTGCACAGCCAGACATTATCTTGTTTTGTTAGGCATGATAGCATCTTGCATAGATCTGATTCCCAATGCACGGTTGTTCATGAGGCCTATCCAGCTTCATCTGTTACAAAACTGGAGTCCCTCGAGAATGTCCCTTTCATGCAAGATCCAATGTACACCTTCTTTGACTCCTCATATGCATTGGTGGTTACAGGAAGTGAACATTCTGAAGGGTTGTTGTTTTCAATACAGCCATTCAAATGTTATACTGACCACAGATGCAAGCAGTTCATGGGGCTGGGGTGGTCACATGAACAACCGTACTGTGCAAGGCCGTTGGTCTCAGATAGAACGTCTACAACACATCAATTGCCTGGAGATGGAGGCAATAATTCGTTCAGTCCGTCATTTTCTGCCTCTTCTAAAGAACAAGTCAGTTCTGATTCGAACAGATTCGAGCACATGTGTTCAATATATCAATCGCCAAGGGGGGACAAAATCAATAACACTTTGTCAAATGACTTGGAAGTTGTGGATGTTAGCTTTGAGCAACAAAATATTACTGAGGGCAGCCCACATTTCAGGAAAATCAAACATTTTAGCAGATCTTTTGAGCAGGGAATCAGTGAGGGATACAGAGTGGTCTCTGAACAAAACAGTTGTGATGTCAATATTCAATCTTTGGGGACATCCCCTGATGGATTTGTTCGCAACATACAAAAACAAAAAGACACAACTGTTTTGCTCATGGATTCCTCACCCTCAAGCTTATGCCTTGGATGCCCTGTCAATTGCATGGCAGAACATGTTTGCTTATGCGTTCCCGCCTGTGCAGATTTTGCATCGTGTTCTGTCACACTTACAACAATTCAATTGCACTCTGATTCTAATAGCACCAAATTGGCCGAGACAACCTTGGTATCCAGTACTATTACAATTACTAGTAGCAAACCCTCTTTGTCTACCACTGCAGCCGGATTTAGTGTCCCAAGGGAAGGGCAAGATTCTTCATCCAGATCTTCGAACACTAAATCTGACTGCATGGCTCATATCGACCGATATTTCGAAACAGAGGGATTTTCAGAAAAGTCTAGGAAATTGCTTGCATCTTCCTGGAGAAGGGGAACACAAAAAGACTATAGGTGTAAATTCAAATTGTTCTGTAATTGGTGCCGTGAACAACAAATTAATCCATATGCAGCATCTTTAAAGGACTGTGTAAATTTTCTTGCATACAAGTTTCATCAAGGTACTGCATATAGAACTATTTCAGGGTATAGATCAATGTTTTCGGCTGTCCTTCCTTATGTAGACAAAGTTCCAATTGGGCAACATCCTCATGTTATTCGTTTACTTAGAGGTGTATTTAATGAAAGGCCACCAGTTAAAATATGATAAACAAGATCGACAAGGAAAGGCGGCATTCAATGAACGCAGCCCCCATCCGACCCAGCAACAAGCGTCAGCGGCAAGGAGCCCAGGAGGACTCCAAAGAAAAAACAGGACAGGGCACAAAGCAGAGTACGGGCAGGCAAACCACTTGTACCTGAATGGGATCTTCTTTTTGTTTTAGGTTCGCTGAAGAAGGCACCATATGAACCCCTTTGTAAAGCGTCTTTGAAGTTTTTAACATGGAAAACGTGTTTCCTGATAGCAGTTACATCATTTAGACGTTGTAGTGATCTTCAAGCTCTTAGGTTGGGGGAAAGTTTTGTTAATGTGCAGAAAAAAGGTATAACTTTTATCAGGCCAGGTTTGTCAAAGCAAGATCGGCCAAATCACAAGCCAACTCCTATTTTCATACCAAGTTTTCCGGACAACAAGAAACTAGATCCCAAAAGATGTTTAGCTTTTTATTTAAAAAGAACAGAAAAGTTTAGAAATAAGTCTGGACAGGATATTACTCAGTTATTTTTATCTTCTAAAAAGCCACATCAACCAGTTTCATCTCAGACAATATCTACATGGATTGTAAAAACGATAAAACATGCATATTTGAGTAGTGAGAAAAGTGTTAAATCTATTAAAGGTCACTCTACCAGAAGTTTGGGTCCTTCATGGGCTCTTTTCAAAGGGGTATCTATGAAGGATATTATGGAATCTGCTGACTGGTCTAGGGAGACTACATTTACCAAACATTACTTGGCGGATTTGAATATTAATTTCATTGATGTTTAAGACAATAAGAATTGTCTTGTATAATATACATATACATATTTTCGTTTTTTGCGAGTTTGCATGGATATTTAAGTATATTTTTGATCGGATTTGGAGGGTATATTATATTTTGGTATTATACACATACCTACAGATAAGGAACTGTTAGTATTTGTACAGTAAACAGTGTAAATACAGTGGGATTTTTTAATACAGTGGTTATGTTCATATTGGATTGAAACTTATTCATGCAGTTTTGACATACCTAATGAATTGTTCCAAGTTTGGATTCTTCAGAGGTAAGTTCTTTTAAAATTTCTTTATTGTTATTTGATGTTTAAAATGTTATGGATGGATTTCAACTTGAAGCTCCCTCCACCAGTAATTTCTTTAACTGCTTTATAATCAGATATTAATCCTAAATGTAATGTCAGGTAAGTATTTCATGAAATAAAATTGAAAAATTTGTATTTCAAGTTATAATTTTATGAATAAATACTTACCTGACATTACATGATCCCTCCCATCCACCCCACAGATTTCAAGTTTCCATAGGGCCGTTAGGCGCAAAAATGGAAAACTGATTTCACGTTGGAATACCGGAAGTGTGTTCTGGTTGGTTAAAACTTCAGGAAGTTATTTGTTTCAATGCATTATGGATGTAAACAAATGCACACTTCCGGTGAAGCGAGTTCAAAAGGTAGGACGAAATGAAATCCTATATGTAATGTCAGGTAAGTATTTATTCATAAAATTATAACTTGAAATACAAATTTTTCAATTGTCACCTAAAAATGAATGTTACCTCGCCGTAAGTTTGGAAACAAACGGAACTAGAACACTTATCCTGTTGAATTGATTTAATGGACTTTAAATTGTGATCTCGAAAAAATGATCTAAATAACGTTTTATCTGCGAGTAGATTGGAAAATGTCTCACTTACACCGAATATAAAAAAATCATAAAGTAATATGTATGTTATTGTAACGAAGCTAAAAATCGCTATCAATACGCTAGTCAGGTCTTGAAAAGTAAACATTTTTTATGGAAATATTTTATGAGGTTTAAAGTATATTGTCTCCGCAACCGTATGCGTTAATTCAATTCTTCCAAATTGGTGTACAATAAAAAATATTGGTCCATTTACTTATCGCAGTGCGCGTAAAATAGCCACGAAATTGCACAATTCTGCGTTACTGTTGCATAATTCCTGCGTTATTTGCACATTCCTGTGTTACTTGATATACACGATGAAGATTATTCCCATTGATTAACCAGCAACTCCGTTTTGGTTTAATGGATTTGTTCAACTCCGTTTTTATTATATTGATTTTCGTAGAAATAAAAACAAAACAACAATATTAAATTGGGTAAATAATTACTAGTTAATACTATGATTGGAAGAAAATACCAATACTCACCAAAGCTAAAACATGCTGTTACTTAATTATTTTAATTATGTATCAAATTCCCAAACGTATAAATTAAGTGATGTTTTAATATCCTTTGACATATACACAAAATAAGACAGTAAAGTATGGTACTTTTATTTTTTCTACATATATTTTCTGCTCAAAAAGTAAAATAGAGAAAATAAGAATCCCTACGGCAAAATTTAAAATGTTGAAAACACGGTTTAAAGGGTACTGACGAGCTGAAAGCACCGTCCACACCCTCTTGCACCGGCTTAAGCAGAATTAAACATGAAAATGGTGAAGCTTTAAATTTAAACACAACCGCAGTAAGATAAGTCAGGTATCCAGTCAGTAATATGAGGTAGGTGTCCCGGCTGGATTCCTGGACGGTGCAAATCACTTTTGTTGTGGTTGATGTATACGATTATTATACAAAAAGGACGAGTTCCTTGCGAAAATGAAGGCAACTAGAAGTGGTGAACTGCTTGACAAGCTACCCAAGAACGATGTTTTTGCTGAACGGTTGACTGTTGAACTGCTTTGATCCAGAGGGAAAACTACCAACACCTTACCAACGTAATTTTCAATATTTGCATGGGGTGCATGAGTTGATACAACTGCCCATTATTGAGACAATAGAGACGAAAATCTATCGAACTGTCCATTATTTAAGATAGTAAACAGACCTCGGCACATAAATCAATAATATATTACTTATTTTAAAATGAAGCTTCATAGTAAAAAGACACTTAACATTAAACCATTTCTATTTTAAAAAGGGAATGTCCACTCATTCCCAATTCACGTACCAATTATGGCCAAATTACACTACAAAAAGGATGCCCGTTTTACCATTTTTGAGAAAGAAAAGAACAAAGACAAGCAAACAATCAACATAAATGTATTTGTATCTTTTAATTAACAGTGATTTAATTGACATAACTCAGTGTTAAGCCAGCTTAACAAAATCAAACAAGCTCTTACCTTGACAACAGTAATTTAATTATGAAGAATTGTTAAGCTGGCTTAACAAATAATAAAAACAAAGCTACATACTAATAAATTTGTGAAAAGAACACAACAAGAACTCAACTGATGTTAACTGAAGAAAAATGTTACGCCGGCTCAACCATATCTTATACGATATAAATAACAAAATTTATCATTTCATAAGATAAAAATTAACCAGATAAAATGTTATGCCGGCTTAACATTATAGAAAATAATTTTCATTACATGAAGATAAATGATACGCCGGCTTAACAATTTCTTCTATCCAAGAAATATTTTAAAGAAAGTTTCATACTGTTAAATAAATTGTTATGCCAGCTTAACAAAATGGATAGTCATTTTCAATAATTTATAACAGTAAGATGAATTGTTAAGCCAGCTTAACAAAATCAAAAAATCACTTTCACAACATAAAGAAAATGTTACGCCGGCTTAACAATTTCTCAAATCAAATAAATATTTCAAAGAAAATTTCAAACTGTGAGACAAATTGCTATGCCGGCTTAACAAAATGGAAAATAATTTTAATTGTAAGATAAATAATTTCCATAAGATGAAGAAAAATGTTACGCCGGCTTAACAAATATTGAAATCCAAGTGGATTTACAACAAAAAATTTCAAACTGTAAGTTAATTTGTTACGCCAGCTTAACAAAATCAAAAAATCATTTTCATTAGATGAAGAAAAATGTTACGCCAGCTAAACAAATTCTCAAATCCAAGTGGAATTACAGCACAAAATATCAAACTGTAAGTAAAATTGTTACGCCAGCTTAACAAAATCAAAAAATCATTTTCATTAGATGAAGGAAAATGTTACGCCAGCTTAACAAATATTCAAATCCAAGTGGAATTAAAGCACAAAATTTCAAACTGTAAGTTAAATTGTTACGCCAGCTTAACAAAATCAAAAAAAAAAAAATTCATTAGATGAAGAAAAATGTTACGCCAGCTTAACAAATTCTCAAATCCAAGTGGTATTACAGCACAAAATTTCAAACTGTAAGTTAAATTGTTACGCCAGCTTAACAAAATCAAAACATTACTTTTACAACATAAAGAAAATTGTTACGCCGGCTTAACAATTTCTCAAATCAAATAAATATTTCAAAAGAAAATTTCAAACTGTGAGACAAATTGTTATGCCGGCTTAACAAAATGGAAAAAATAATTTTAATTGTAAGATAAATAATTTCCATTAGATGAAAGAAAAAATGTTACGCCGGCTTAACAAATTCTCAAAATCCAAGTGGTATTACAGCACAAAAATTTCAAACTGTAAGTTAATTTGTTATGCCGGCTTAACAAAAAAAAAAAAATCATTTTCATTAGATGAAGAAAAATGTTTACGCCAGCTTATCAAATTCTCAAATCCAAGTGGAATTACAGCACAAAATTTCAAACTGTAAGTTAAATTGTTATGCTGGCTTAAAAAATAAAAAAAAACATTTTCATTAGATGAAGGAAAATGTTATGCCAGCTTAACAAAATCAAAAAAAATATTTATATTAGATGAAGAAAAATGTTACGCCAGCTTAACAAATTCTCAAATCAAAGTAATGTTTCAAAGAAAATTTTAAACTAAGATAAATTGTTATTCCGGCTTAACAAAATGGAAAATAATTTAAATTGTAAGATAAATAAATTTCAATAGATGAAGAAAATGTTACGCCGGCTTAACAAATTCTCAAATCCAAGTGAAATTACAGCACAACGTTTCAAACTGTAAGTTGAATTGTTACGCCAGCTTAACAAAATTTAAAAAAAAATTCATCAGATGAAAAAAATGTTACGCCAGCTTAACAAATTCTCAAATCCAAGTGGAATTACAGCACAAAATTTCAAACTGTAAGTTGAATTGTTACGCCAGCTTAACAAAATTTAAAAAAAAATTCATCAGATGAAAAAAATGTTACGCCAGCTTAACAAATTCTCAAATCCAAGTGGAATTACATCACAAAATTTCAAACTGTAAGTAAAGTTGTTATGCCAGCTTAACAAAAATCGAAAAATCATTTTCATCAGATGAAAAAAATGTTACGCCAGCTTAACAAATTCTAAAATACAATTGGAATTACAGCACAAAATTTCAAACTGTAAGTAAAATTGTAATGCCGGCTTAACAAAATCGAAAAATCATTTTCTTATCTTGGAGAAAAATGTCATGCCAGCTTAACAAATTTTCAAACCAAAGTGGAATAACAGCACAAAATATCAAACTGTAAGATAAATTGTTAAGCCAGCTTAACAATATCAATTTTTTTTTTCATTAAATGAACAATGTTAAGCCAGCTTAACAAATTCTAAAATCTGAGTGGAATTACAGTATAACTTTTCTAACTGTAAGATAAATTGTTATGCCAGCTTAACTAAATCGAAAAATTATCTTCATTGCATGAAGAAAAATGTTAGGCCAGCTTAACAAATTTTAAAATCTACATAACAGCACAACATATGAAACTGTAAGACAAATTGTTATGCCAGCTTAACAAAATCGAAAAATCTTTTTCAATACACGAAGAAAAATGTTACGCCAGCATATCCAAATGGAATTATAGTACAAAATTTCAAACAGTAAGATAAATTGTTATGCCGGCTTAACAAAATCGAAAGTCATTTTCAATAGATGAAAATAGTGATACCCTGGCATAACAATATCTCTTATCCAAGTAATAATTCAAGAAAATTTCAAAGTGTAAGACAAATTGTTAAACCAGCTTAACAAAATCAAAAAATCATTTTCATAACATGAAGAAATTAACAAATTTTCAAATCTGAGTGGAAATTTAACAGTAAAAAATTTCAAACTGTTAGGTAAATTGTTATGCTGGCTTAACAAAATTTAAAGTCATATATAAGTATCTATATAACATGTATACAATAATAAAAATAATATTTCAAAGAAAAATTCAAACTGTAAGCCAGCTTAACAAAATAAAAAAAAATTATATGCATTACATGAATAAAAATATTATGCGTCTAAACAAATTCTCAAATCGAACTGGAATTACAGCACAATCTTTCAAACTGTCAGATAAATTTTTAAGTCAGCTTAACAAAATAAAAAAAAATCATATTCATTACAGGTTATGCTGGCTTAAAAAAATGTCCTTAATTTTTTTTTATTACATTCAGAAAAAAACTGCTTAACAATTTCAAGTACTGTTTCAAAGAAAATTTCATAATGTAGGATAAATTGTTATCTCTGCTAAACAATATTGAAAAGAAATGTAGCACAAATTGAAAATATCAAACCGTTTTATAATTCTTATGCAGCTAAACAAAGAAAATCATTTTCATTAGATTAAAAACAATTCTAAAATCCAAGCAAAAGAAAATTTTGATAAACATATTTAAATGTAGCATCAAACACAACATAATGTTAAGCCAACGTAACAAAATTATTAATGAAATATACATCTTACATTTCATGACCAAAAATAGATAAGCTAGCTCAACAACGAGTCACTGGTAGCTTGTTAAGCCAGTTTAACAAAATTATAACAATAAATTCTTTGACAAAATTGTGAAACTGGCATTACAATGAAACTCAATATACTTGACTCTTTGATAAACAAGCTTAAAAAAACTATACTACAAAATGTACTTGCTCACAAAACTTTATTTAACAGAAAATGTGTTGTACAATTTACAGACACACAAAAAATCAGGCTAGTATAAACTCAGATTTCATTAGTTAGTATGTCTAACCAAATCAAGCTACTTATCTACTCTTTACATATTTACATAACTTAAATATTGTACAATCATTAAAAAAATTCTTCAAATAAAAATATAAGTAATAAGCCTGTATTATAGAAAATTTGTTCTAAAATAAGTAAATTAATTAAAAATAGATTAATAAATAATTTAATGAACAAATAAATAAATAAATAAGCTTTGAATGATATAAATTTTGAAAGTGTACTATTTTATCATTACTCGTTTAAAACATGAAGATAGCATATCAAAATGACATTAACTTTTCCCTTTATCTAGATAAACATCACTCTAAAAATGTCAAGCTGAAATGGCATGATTTTGTGAAAATCCATGATAGCTATATCCTCCTGCCGGGAAATGGGAATGATGGTCAGTAAGAAGTATCAAAGCAATACCTCAGTGTATAAGTAATTAAAGGGGTGGTACAAAATATACCTCACCAAAATGTGATGCATATGCCAAAGCCAGTGTGGGTAACATAAATCTCTCTTTAATATAAAACCATAAGTGTCCAGCTTGAAAGAAAAGGTTTATAAAATAGTGTTTACTAAATTAAACACAAGGGGTAGTAACACAACCAACTTTAAATGACTGTCCTACGTCACTATGACACAGGCAAAACAGATCTACCGATGAAAAAAACTTTGTATGCATGGCTGACTTTAGTATACACTGAAGCTCTCAGGAGATTATCTCACCATCTTTAATCATTTTCAACAACCATCTTATTCATCTTCATTTGCTGACCTTTCTCAACCACGAGAATGGAACATTTGCAATTCCACTGTCCACCTCATACTGGACTCTAGCACCTGATTGAAATATATACAATTTTTAGCTCGACTATTCGATAAGAATAAGTAGAGATATTGCAGTCACCCGAGCGTCGGCGTCGGCGTAACCACTTATGTTAAAGTTTTTGTAATAGTTCAAATATTTTCAAAGTCCATTGACATATGGCTTTGAAACTTTGCACACTTGTTCACCATCATGACCCCAACCTGTAGACAGGAGGAGGTAACTCTATCAAGCATTTTGACAGAATTATGCCCCTTTTTCGACTTAGAATTTATGTTAAAGTTTTTGTACTAGTTCAAATATTTTCAAAGTCAATTGACATATGGCTTTGAAACTTTGCACACTTGTTCACCATCATGACCCCAACCTGTAGACAGGAGGAGGTAACTGTATCAAGCATTTTGACAGAATTATGCCCCTTTTTCGACTTAGAATTTACGTTAAAGTTTTTGTTATAGTTCAAATATTTTCAAAGTCCATTGACATATGGCTTTGAAACTTTGCACACTTGTTCACCATCATGACCCCAACCTGTAGACAGGAAGAGGTAACTGTATCAAGCATTTTGACAGAATTATGCCCCTTTTTCGACTTAGAATTTACGTTAAAGTTTTTGTAATAGTTCAAATATTTTCAAAGCCCATAGACATATGGCTTTGAAACTTTGCACACTTGTTCAACATCATGACCCCAACCTGTAGACAGCAGGAGGTAACTCTATTAAGCATTTTGACAGAATTATGCCCCTTTTCGACTTAGAATTTACGTTAAAGTTTTTGTAATAGTTCAAATATTTTTCAAAGTCCATTGACATATGGCTTTGAAACTTTGCACACTTGTTTAACATCATGACCCCAACCTGTAAACAGGAGGAGGTAACTCTATCAAGCATTTTGACAGAATTATGCCCCTTTTTCGACTTAGAATTTACGTTAAAGTTTTTGTAATAGTTCAAATATTTTCAAAGTCCATTGACATATGGCTTTGAAACTTTGCACACTTGTTCACCATCATGACCCCAACCTGTAAACAGGAGGAGGTAACTGTATCAGGCATTTTTTTTACTATCAAGCACTAAGAATAGTCGAGCGTTGCTGTCCTACCGACAGCTCTTGTTTTATTACTTATACATGTTATGTTAATTTGGTGAACAAATTAGATCTAAAAATGATCAGAAATAGTCTATTTTTTCAGCTTATATTCTGGTGAATTTTAAGTAATTAATGTTGACAAAGTCATCTTTAATATCAGGACTGCTAGAATGAAAATGTGAATATATAAACTTAATACATAACTGTAACACAAATGCCAAATTAAGCATACAAACAGCATTTTGTTTGTGACTGAAAAGGCCTTATCATAACATATATGTGTGGCAGCCTACATTTTATAAATCAAATATTTAACAAACAATTCTTAAGGTTTATTGACAAGACTATAACAATTCTGTACAGATAATCTGGCCCTTTTGTCTATACATAACATTTAGCAATAAAGACATCCTATCCATTTTTTTTTTCATTTAAAGAATAACAATAACAGATTATATATGTTTACTTTTGATGTTGCTTATATTCTAAAATGGACTTTTTACCTGATCCTTAAAACTTTTTTAACATGTAATAACATACCATTCTTATTAAGTCGAACAACTTTGGCCAAAAGCCAGCTTTCACCATCTGCATCCTTCCAGAAAGCTTCTATTTTCTCACCAACATGAAATTCATTAGCCTGTAATAAATATCAGCATTAAATTTTATCTATGATATATGGTTTTATATCCATCAAGTTATATCCAAGTATGCAAGAATATTTTTTTTATAGAAACCATTTCTTTTTGTATGTAACTGTTCCAAAGTCAATTATTTATACTTTGACAGTTGAAAAATTTCAAAATAAAGTATTATTAAAACACACTATAGACAGAGAAATATATGTTAGTATTTTAATGCTCATAAATATATAAAGAATTTTATCATGTTTTGAGCAAAAGGAACTCTATAGTTTACACAAATACAGAATATATCCAAAATGATATAAAACAGTTGGATTTAATAAAGGATCTTAATAAATGCAATTGCGCTTAAATTCTTCTCTACATTCATTATGTATTATAACTCAGAGTCAGAAATATCACTGAATGTATTGTTCTTTTAATGCATCTGGAGATATTTCATGAACAAATAACCTTAATTATCAACCTTCCCAATTTTTAATAATTATCTCTTTCAATTTGTAAATATAAGGGATGGCAATGAATACAAAAATCAATACTTGAGTACCCGCTACAAACTGTTACAAAATAAAAGGTAACTGAATATCATAAGAGCTGGATGACATAAGTGACAAAGGTGCGCGTGTCAAACTGTTGATAGTCTCGTTGAATTTATGATATCATTTTCGTACCTCTACAAGGTTGTTTTGATTACATTTAACAGGTATTTAATGAAGATACATGCATATCTCCTTATTTCTGAACTAATTGGACACACCAATCTTTCTAAATGGTAAAAAAATATAAATTATATATTTTTTCCGAGTAATAGAATATCAATTTTGTTAACTGATAATCGAATGTTCGATGGAGTACTTGGCTAAGCGGTTACTCGTTGCCATCCCTAGTAAATATAAAAGAAAAAATATTGTGTACAACATTTGCAACAGGCAAATGCTGTAAGAATTTAATTGCATACAAGTATAACAAACTTACATCATCTGAATCCCTAACTCTCTTCTTCCCTTTTGATTCTGCTGAAATTATAAAACTTTATTTCAAACAAAAATATTTTGGATAAATAATTGATTAATCTTTGAGCTCATTTTAGGAAAATACAGATGTAAATATTAATTGTTTGTTTGCAACTTTCTAATGTAAAATAATTACCACGATATTATGGAATCATTTCCTTTACAAAAAGACAAAAGTATAACAGGGCATAGTTGGCCCCTTCCATAATTTGAAAAAGATCTGTTTCAATCTTTCAAGCTAACTTCAAGAAAGAAACTCATGCCACATTAAAGTAGGAAAGCACGCTAAACAATTCTCAGTCAAAATGCTTGAAGTACAAGTTGGAGACATGATGGTGATCAAGTGTGCAAAGTTCCAAAGCCATATGTCAATGGACTTTGGAAACTCTTCAGTTGCTGCACAAGCTTTAACATTAATGGTGTTCGCAATGGAATGCCGACTTTTGGGTGACTAGGAAAGTTGAGCTAAAATTTATTTCATTACTGCCGAAAGAAGTATTATAAAAAATATTTTATTTTCTTTGAGCATGATCTTGTAATATTGTAAGATAACCAATATAGTAAGCATCACACATCTTTTCCTTACAACTTACGACATACCTTTGATCATTAGTTAATAAAAATATTTAAAAGAAGATTAAATCTTCTAAAATAATAATAAAACTTTACATGAAGCTATGTTTGGTTATTATCTAGCAAACGACTTGATAATTTATTCAATGTAAACTATGATAATATATGTACATTTATATCATTGTTTACATGTTTTTCATGTAGTCCATGAAATAAATGTTTAACATATTGAAATCATATGGTGTACTAAGCCGAAATTAACATATTTTATTTTTTTCTGGTGTATAGAACTAGTAAAGTTCAAACACTTTTTTTAAAACTTCCTTGCCAACAAAATTTTAATTAACACCATGAAAATTTAAGAAACAAAAATAAATAATTAAAAAATATTTATAGACATGAAAAAAGTTTGTATATAACTACCAGCTGCCTTTATGTTCTCCAACTCCTCTTTCAAACGCTTGTTTTCTTCTGCAATTTGTTCAAATTCGTGCAGCAAGCTGCTATGCTTCTCCTGAATAAAAAAAAAGAAATATAATTTATACATTATTTCAATTTTGAACATTTCAAACAGATACAGTTTTTTATTTTACCGTGTGTGTAAGTTTCATGACTCATGTTAATTTTAATGTAATTTTTTTTTCATATTTAAATCAAAATTTACTTTATATTAATTTTAATCAGTATTCCTATTTAATAAAATCCACAAGGGCATGAACAATAAACTTTTCGGCTACAGAACAAATAAGTAATTAATACAGAATAAATATTTCTAAATGTTCTGAATGAGAATTATAGGATCATTTACACAACACCAGATAAAGATTTCAACTAGCATTAGTGCATGTAGTATGACCACATTGATCAATCTGCATGTGTTACCCCACTCACCCCATAACATTGTGGCTATTTCCACAGTTTTGAGATATATGACTACCATGGAAACTGCCATTGTACAAAACAAGAGGACCATAATGGCCCTAAATCTCTCATACATGTCAGAAAACTTGATCAATTTGGGTTTTTAAAAGATCTTTTTTTGTAACTGTATGCATATAATGAAAATCAATTAGCATGGGATCTTTTTAAATTGGAAGCACTCACGAATAGATGTTTCATGTAAGCTTTAGCTCTTCCGGTTTTTTAAAATAAGCCTTTTTTGTTTTTATAATATAAAAAGGAAAATCAATCCCCCACCCCCACCCGCGGCGGGACAAATTTCGACCCCACAGAGCTTTAAGTTTAAACTATATACAATAAGGAAATCAATTACCCCCTTTTATTTGAACAAACTTGGTAATTACTAGAAAATATTTTATGCTTAATTTTTAGGCTGTAGCCATTTGGGTTATTTCCAAAGATTTTTTTTTTAGTTTCAAAACCTTGTGTTTCAAATGAATGAAGTTTACCTTGAGAGTAAGGTACTTTCTTTTCAACACAATACTGTCTTCTCTCTCGTTTGGTGTTTCTACATTTGGTTGTTCAGTCTGAAACAGAAAAAAATATATTTGAGAATTCATTACATCAATATCTCCAAGCAAAAGCTATAAACCAACTTAGAAGTGTGAAAAAGTTAACACTTAATTTCAATAACTCCATTTTGGGGCACCATTTTTTCCCATTTCATTGAATTGTAAGATTTTGTTTAACTTTTGGATAAGTTGTTGACAAAAGTCTTGATCCTATACCTTACTGCTAATTAGTTCCTATATCCTGATTTGTAGGAAAACATATAAAACATTTATGATATTAAGTGTCCCTTTTACACATCCTTTTGTAAAAATAAAAGGTGTAACAGCACACTCTATCATTGTTATGTTATATACAGTACCATTTAAGATAAAACTCACTTGTTTTGTCTTTTTGGATTTTACACATCCTTCATCAATGAATTGTTTTCTATAATAAAAAAATATAAATTTGTCATAGATAATAAGGATACGAGTGTATGTTTAATTCATAACTTATTGAAATTGAATAAAATTATATCACGCGATTCTCTAGCAAGCATGTTTTATTCAACAAGTTAATTAAATTGCAAATCTAAATGAATATGATATTTTATTTATATTTATTACAAACCAAAAATAACAACAGTTTACAGTAAAAAGAAGCACTTCTTCATTGATGCACCTATAGTGTAACGCTTCACAACCTTAGTGCAATAACTCGTTAATAACTATCAAATTTAGAAGGAATTATTCCGTTACTGCACTAAGGCCACAATTTAAGCCATATTTACAATTTGTTAATACAAACAAATGATGTAATGCAAATATCTAAGCACTGAATCTTACAGCTTCTTAAAGATTTCGTCTTTAAAGAATATTACGCTCCTGTTACCTACTTATACATATGCTTATCAGACTGGAAAACTGCTCAAAATCTACCATATGGTTTAAAAGGAGATGCTGTTAAAAACGACAGCAATAAGTGATCACATGTGCCACCTCATGATAGTCAATTTCCTAGCAGAATTGGACAAGTTTTGTTACAGACATATGGATCGACAAGTGATCCCTATATGCCACCATTACTCAGTAGCAGTCGACACACAAATGTAGAATGACCAATAACTGACAATGACAATTCTAAAATTATAATGAAAATTTAATATTAGATGAAAAAGAAATAATTCAAAAACTTACACTTTCTTATGAAAAACCTTTGTTCCGTCTTCCATCAAGATGTTGAGGCATTCCTTAATTTTTTCATCATCATCTATCCTCATTAAAGGTCTGAAAAACTTCTCATTTATAGCTGTTACCTTTTCTGTTGCCCTCAGAACTTTTGTCCAGATTTCATCCGATAACCTTGCCATATGCATGTGCTGTTGGTAACCCGCCATCATTTTCCTACGGTCCTGTCAAAACAAAAAAAATACCTTGAAATTGTTTTGCATACTTTCAATGAGGCACATAACAAGAATGACCTCAATACCATAGAAAATATAAATGCCAATGATGTCTTCCGCATTGTAAATGGGTCAGATACCCCGAATTTAGAAACAAAGAACCATAATTATATATACATTCATTTTCATCTAGTTGTTCCTTTTTTCTCCTATTATCCAAAGTCTAACTTTGGCTATCAAAACGATTATTTTCAGAAAATTCACGATGAATGTATTGCTCTAAAGGGTTATTTCATCTGTTACAGTAGTACAGATAATGTATACTTTGTATTTATATCAAATTTGTTGTTGTTGACAACTTAATTGGAATATTATCCAAAAATATGACTGACATGTCTGAGGACTAATATCTTCATTCATTATAAGAAAACTCTATTAAACATTTAAATTTGTTCACCTTTGAAAAAATGTTTGAACTATCAATATTACCATTGCAAAATACATGTAACAAGAGTTTTATGAAATCTCAAGACCCTGGTTTAGCCATACGTTTTCATAATAAATATGATATTATAATTGTATTTTGGCCATTTCAGGCACTAAATCTATTATACTGCAAAAGGAAAAAATAATTGGAGGCAATTTAATTTTGATTTAATTAATCAGCAAGTGTACCTTTTCTCATAACAATTTAACATGAACAATGCAAGAACACAATGACAAATTGCGAGTTCATTGTCTAATCCAATTTAAGCCAGAACTTCACCGTTTGGCATATTACTTTTTAATCAAAGCAGTTATATAAAAATACCCAAGTTAACTATGGCCAGTTTCATATAAATACTGAGATATATTGGTTAAAACTATTCTACAATTCACACAGTGTTTCTTAGAATAAAGTATAATTATGTAAAACAAGAGGGCCAAGATCTCCCCAGATCGCTCACCTGTCCAATCAAACTGCAATTACTTAGAATAAAAAATGTGACCACTAGAGTATTAACAAGGTTTTTCAATATGTGGGCAGTGTGACCTAGACCCATTTTCAATCTTGACCTATATATCATCAATACAAACTTGCAGACCAATTTCCAGAATATTTGGAACCAAACAGTAGCCATTTGAGTGTCAACAAGATTTTTATATTTATAGCTCCCGTGGCTTTGTTTTTCACCCAAGATGACCCATGTTCGAACTCCTCTGAGCAATTACCTAGACGAGCATCCTCATTAAGTCTGGATAATTGAGTCAAAAGTGTGACCATTAGAGTGTCAACAAGGTTTTTCCATATTTGGGCGATGTGACCTAGTTTTTCACCCCAGGTGACCCATATTTGAACTAGCCCTAGAAGTCATCAAAATAAACTTTCTGATTATTTCCAGGATGTTTGGATAAAAACCGTAGTCACTGGTGTTAACAAGATTTTTCTACTTTAAAAATGACCTAGTTTTTCATCCGAGATAACCCATGTTCAAATTCATCCAAGCAATTAACTAGCCAAGCATCCTGACAAAGTTTCATAAAGATTGCTGCAAAAATGTGACCAGAGTGTTAACAAACAAATGTGGACAGATGACAGACATTTAAAGATCCTTAAAGGTCACCCTGAGCAAGTTCAGGTGAGCTAATAAAAGACCAGCGGTAAAAGACCTATTTCTAAATCTCTTTCAGATGGTGTTGTATATCTCAAGACATTGAAAAAATTATTCTGAATATCATATGCAATAATTTATAGAATATTATATATAAGTGGCAAATTTCATTATATTTACCTTTAACTATTTGAACAAGAAAGGGAATTATTGGTTTACTAAATGATATTTTAAGAAAGGGTTACAATAAAAAAAACTTACCTTTGCACGGAAGATTGTCACAAGCATATCTTTCCATTCATTTAACTGAGTTTTACTCATGTAAGGAAAAAGATTTTCAGCCAGCTTAACATTTTTCTTCATGTAAAAAAAATGATTTTTCGATTTTGTTAAGTCGCCATAGCAATTTATCTTACAGTTTAAAATTTTCTTTGAAACATTACTTTGATTTGATAATTTGTTAAGCCAGCTTAACGTTTTTCTAATGTAAGGAAAATGATTTTTACGATTTTGTTAAGCTGGCGTAACAATTTAACTTACAGGCTGTAATTCCACTTGGATTTGAGAATTTGTTCAGCTGGCGTAACATTTTCCTTCATCTAATGAAAATGATTTTTTTATTTGTTAAGCCGGCATAACAATTTAACTTACAGTTTGAAATTTTGTGCTGTAATTCCACTTGGATTTGAGAATTTGATAAGCTGGCGTAACATTTTTCTTCATCTAATGAAAATGATTTTTCGATTTTGTTAAGCCGGCATAACAATTTATCTTACAGTTTAAAATTTTCTTTGAAACATTACTTTGATTTGAGAATTTGTTAAGCTGGCGTAACATTTTTCTTCATGTAATGAAAATATTTTTTTGATTTTGTTAAGCTGGCGTAACAATTTAACTTACAGGCTGTAATTCCACTTGGATTTGAGAATTTGTTAAGCTGGCGTAACATTTTCCTTCATCTAATGAAAATGATTTTTTTATGTTGTTAAGCCGGCAAAACAATTTAACTTACAGTTTAAAATTTTGTGCTGTAATTCCACTTGGATTTGAGAATTTGATAAGCTGGCGTAACATTTTTCTTCATCTAATGAAAATGATTTTTTTATTTTGTTAAGCCGGCATAACAAATTAACTTACAGTTTGAAATTTTGTGCTGTAATTCCACTTGGATTTGAGAATTTGTTAAGCCGGCGTAACATTTTTCTTCATCTAATGGAAATTATTTATCTTACAAATAAAATTATTTTCCATTTTGTTAAGCCGGCATAACAATTTGTCTCACAGTTTGAAATTGTCTTTGAAATATTTATTTGATTTGAGAAATTGTTAAGCCGGCGTGACATTTTTTTTCATCTAATGAAAATGATTTTTTGATTTTGTTAAGCTGGCGTAACAATTTAACTTACAGGCTGTAATTCCACTTGGATTTGAGAATTTGTTAAGCTGGCGTAACATTTTCCTTCATCTAATGAAAATGATTTTTTTATTTTGTTAAGCCGGCATAACAATTTAACTTACAGTTTGAAATTTTGTGCTTTAATTCCACTTGGATTTGAATATTTGTTAAGCTGGCGTAACATTTTCCTTCATCTAATGAAAATGATTTTTCGATTTTGTTAAGCTGGCGTACATGTAACAATTTAACTTAAAGTTTGAAATTTTGTGCTTTAATTCCACTTGGATTTGAATATTTGTTAAGTTGGCGTAACATTTTCCTTCATCTAATGAAATGATTTTTTGATTTTGTTAAGCTGGCGTAACAATTTAACTTACAGTTTGAAATTTTGCGCTGTAATTCCACTTGGATTTGAGAATTTGTTAAGCTGGCGTAACATTTTTCTTCATGTAATGAAAATGATTTTTTGATTTTGTTAAGCTGGCGTAACAAATTAACTTACAGTTTGAAATTTTGTGTTGTAATACCACTTGGATTTCAATATTTGTTAAGCCGACGTAACATTTTTCTTCATCTAATGGAATTATTTATCTTACAATTAAAAATATTTTCCATTTTGTTAAGCCGGCATAACAATTTGTCTCACAGTTTGAAATTTTCTTTGAAATATCTATTTGATTTGAGAAATTGTTAAGCCGGCATAACATTTTCTTTATGTTGTGAAAGTGATTTTTGATAATGTTAAGCCGGCATAACATTTTATCTGGTTACTTTTTATCTTATGAAATGACAAATTTTGTTATTTATATCGTATAAGATATTGTTAAGCCGGCGTAACATTTTTCTTCAGTTAACATCAGTTGAGTTATTGTTGTGTTTTTTTTCACAAATTTATTAGTATGTAGCTTTGTTTTATTATTTGTTAAGCCAGCTTAACAATTCTTCATAATTAAATTACTGTTGTCAAGGTAAGAGCTTGTTTGATTTTGTTAAGCTGGCTTAACACTGAGTTATGTCAATTAAATCAACAACAACAAACAACAACAACAACATTTATTAAGCATTAAACACCTGAAAGGTGCATATAGCCAATATTTACAATCATATACTGATGTGAACTTTAATTAAATCACTGTTAATTAAAAGATTCAAATACATTTTTGTTGATTTTTTGCTTGTCTTTGTTCTTTTCTTTCTCAAAAATGGTAAAAAGGGCATCCTTTTTGTAGTGTAATTTGGCCATAATTGGTACGTGAATTGGGAATGAGTGGACATTCCCTTTTTAAAATAGAAATGGTTATTATTACTCATTAAGAATGTACGTAAATAGTACAATTCATTCTAACGTAGTGCTAGATTACATTGTAACAAATAATCAATAATGGCAGGTCATTAAGAGACAAATTATATTGTATTATTTATCACTTTTTTACAAATTACAAATTTTTAATTAGATAATGATATAATTATAAAAAAGTAGAATCTAGTAAGTACAACTTTAACTCGCCGTGAAAGAGGCTGACAAGATTTAATATCTTGGAAAAAGTGATCCCTTTGAAGCATTAACAACATCAAAATTACATGAAAATTGCAGACTCGGTTTGATTGAGTCTGTACGTGGAGGATAATAAAAAAGTGCCATGTCCCTCACGCGCCCAAGCACTGGCTAAAGCGGTACTCAATTTTTAACACTTAAAAGTACTGGACTCAATGGTCCCAAAGTACCAGCAAAAATAACAATAATGAAATGAAGTACGGGGCAATTTTTAACGGCTACCACACAGCACTTGACACCTGCTGTTGTAATGTATAAATATCTGGAAAAAAAGGATTCTTGAAAGCATTAAAAACAGCAAAATTACACGAAAATTGCAGACTCGGTGGATCGCAAATCATTGACCAACAACAATGATAGATACATGAATACAAATTGTGTTTTATTTGTCAATAATTTGAAGACATATATATACACAAATAAGAACTAGTTTTTAAAGTAATTAACGAATGAAGAATACATCTAAAAAGACCCGCACGATTCTTAATTTTTTAAATACTGAGATCAAAGTTCACAATATTTGTTTAATTCAGATTAAAAGTCATGATGTTAATGGAAGTTGACAAGCAATCAGTTATTATAGTTAATCAATCTAGTATGAAATATTGTGTATTCTAAATAATTCATTTCGGTTTCAAACATAACATGTTGGGTTCAAACTCATTCAGAGGTAAGCTGTTGTTTCCGTTAGCAAGAAACTTTAAACTCTTTGCTTATAACTGGTTGGTTCTTTGAATGGATCTTCAAGTGTTTTAATTAATAAGTCTATAGCTTCCAACACAATCAAAGTTAAATAAATTTGTATGACATTTTTAATGTAACGGTTTAACTACGGACCGCACCGTTGTGGTTGCTTTTCCGATCAATTAAGGTTTAAGTAATCCTTCAATGAACAAATGTTTCAATTCGTTTACAAGGATTGACAGTCGATTGCCTACTTTTGCAGTATTCTCTTTTTAATCATCTTTTCTACTGTATACACAAATACAGATTTTAAATTAACAACGTAAATGACAACACAAATGTTTAAAAACTTTACTTGATTTATGAGGGGTTTTTTTTTGTTGCTTTTTTTTCAATTGGAAAAATCTCCATAGATGCGGCCTTTGAAAATGTATAGGTTACATACATGAAGTCTCGAATCTATAGTGCCATTTGGACCTGCGACCTAAAGGCCATTATGTACATTTTTCGGCATATATGCCGGAATAACGGTATTTAGACATGGAATAAAAATATTATCTAAACTTATTTTGTATGCAAGTAACTATGTACAGTCCAGGAGGCAGTACATAGTTTCGGTCGCTTAGTTTCGAATTGGTCAGGGTCAAATATACAAATAAGAAACAATTTTGAAATGAACTGGATATTTGAGCTCACTTTAATATCTAATGTTGCTTTATTTCAAGTTTCTGTAGCTAGTATTGTGTTTCAGTTACTAAGTAAATTTGATTTTAGTGGTGTTTGATCACAGACCTGTGTGTTAGGTTCTGATTGTGACCCAGTCAGTTGTTTGCCGAGTATCCTTTAAAATTGTGTATTGCCCATTTATTCAAAGACAAAAGTCATCTTTAAAAGTCGATGAGAGTTAATAACTCATTTGCACGTGCGCTCAATTGCTCGCCCATTATGGAAAAAATAATGCCGAATTTCAAGGCGGCCAAAATTGCATAATCACCAAATACTCTAAATTTGGTCACTACACAATTCAATAGTAACAAAACGCCGAAATAAGAGTTAGACGTAAACTTGTATGCACGAATATTGCCCTGCGGTTAAAGATATGAATGTGTCCTTGTGCATTAGGTGCACAAAATGTGCATAAACCCTTTGTTTATGATATCAATTATTTTCAAATACATCTAGAACATACATATTTCAACCGTATAAATATATCAGCATTTAAAAAGCAAAGCTGCAATTCACTTTTGAATCCTATCACAATCTGTTCTTATAGGTGTTAAAAATACAAATATATGTGTTTATATGGGTTATAATCAAAAGTTATTTTACATCCTGGCCGGTTTGTTGCCAAAAATCTGCGTCACAAATTGTAACATCAATAAAAACATCAGTTAAGAAACTGTCTTTTTGTGGTGCTTTGAAATAATCAGTTTCTCTCTGATAAAATTATTGTCTTGTTAATATCTGAATGTATTGTATATATAACCAATTCTAGTAAGTGATCTCTTGATAGAAATGAGCTTAGTTAAACATCACGGGGATGAACTGTTACACGAAGCGAAGGATGCTTTATTGTATACTGTAGAAACACACGTGAAAATGGTCTTTTTTATCTTTAAATGCTAAATTAAACTTTGATAATTACCTATTGTATTACTAGTATGCGTCAGAAAAACTTTTTAGTCCATTTTCCACCGCCTCTTGTTTTAAATTTGTTAGTTTTAAGTAAAAATTCCAAATTATTTGCTCATTTATACACATTGACTGGTTCATTTGTGATATCTTTCAGTGCCATACTTAATTGCCTAATTATAATGGAAGATTGCAAACATAAAGCCCAGTTTACAAAATTAATTTATGCCCTATTTTTCAGATGAGTTTTTGTGATAACTCTGAAGATGTTTAGAGTTCTTCCGATAACTTTTGTTACTGCTGATTTGTAACAGTTCCTTTCCAGTGAACATACTATCTCGGTACACAATTAATAATATGATAGCTTGTTAATTTCATTTTTAAAATTAACAACACAATTTAATTGGAAATGCACTCAGCTAAAGGCCTATATGACTGAAATACTGTTGGGAAAAGGCGTAAAATGAAACAAACAAACAAACAAATCCTTCATCAAATAAAGATAAACATGTATCAGTTCATCTTTTTCGCTAGTTTACTCTGCTGTGAGTTTATTTAAAATGTCTATTCTAAAGGATATTTAAATGTGAAAACATTGCAGCATGTTGTTTGATATGTCTCTCTCTATACATGACATTCTCTCCATGCTACATGAACGAACTAAAAAAAGCATATTTCTATACCATAGTGCCTGCTATTATGTCTACGGTATGAGATGATAAATTTGTTAATCCTGTTGAGGATTTTATATAACGAACACAAAATAGACAATGATAGGAAAATCATGTATGTCTTCAATCACACCCACAATCGTCATACAATATTAATTGTTGGCTTCTACTGACGGATCGACTGTCATATTGACGTCCAATTTCCTAATTGAGTTGGCATTGAACAATTTAATGGTGGAGAATAACACGATAAAGGTGTCAGCTTTCATTGTTCTACTGTAAATTACAGGCGATGTGTTGAACTCGATATGAAAACTGACAATTCGGTTAATGAATCGGACAAAGTGATTGCAAAGTTTACTAATGAATGTATCAATAACACTGGGGATGGATGTTTAAAGGCCACGTATAATGTTATGTTGACCCAAATTGATAATAGCCACTGAAATGTGATTTTGTTTTCAGTTAAATTAATCAATTCTCAGATGTATTTCATTAAATTTAAGTACCAAATCAGAGTCGATATGCATTAAATAGAAACACTTTGAACAACACTATTTTCCAAGGGGCCTATATCACTTAACAGTTTATGTATAATAGTTTTTTCTTCCATATCTTTTAAATGAATTCGATATTTTTAATCGGATAAAGGGCAGTACCCTCTCATTCTAGTAAGTAATACATGCATGAAATTATTTTGAGAAAAAAGCAAGATAAACAATCAGATTTTCACGCGGTTTCACAAATGATCAATTTCTTTACTCGGGAAACAATATCTGCATTTCCACCACTAGAATGAGCTAGCACTATACTTTATCCAATTAAAATAATGAAAAATTAAAAACTGTTATGGCAGAATGTAAAGCCGTAACTATTTTTATTTTATATAGGTTTTCTTCCCCATGCAGGTCAGAAAAAGTCAAGTATTCCGATGTAAAATAAATTATAAGGGAAACAACCAATACAAAGTTTATTCCAAACTATAATTTGATTATTACCCTTCCCCTAGTCAAATAGCTTTGATGTATGTTTTTTTTATGTAATATTGCATTAATTTGTAAATAACATGCGCCTGTAAAAACGATAACATAAGAGCTGGCTGACAGAGTAGTTTTTTTAAGTTTTGTATAAACGATATAGAATTGATACCAACATAGCCAGAATTCGTGTTTTAAATAAATAACACAAGAAGTGTTTTTTTACAAAATGAAAATTTAAAGATAACAGTTATTGCAATAGGTTCAACAAAATGTTAATCTTTTTTTTAAGATAATGAAAGCGATCACTTTCACGGTTGAAATTTTTAAATACTACAGTGGTATTGTTTTATACAGAGATAGAGCATACTTTATTGATTAACAATACGATAGTGGTAACATTACCCAGAGCCCCGACATAAACTGTAATCAGATACATGCATTTAAGATTTTTTCTAAAATGGCATTATAATATTTGTTTCACAATTTTAAATCAGATTTGTAAATAGGTTATTCTTGAACGAGGAATTCATACAAAAATGGTAAGATCTAAGTATTTTCATTTACATGCAGTCGAATTTTAAGGAAAATATTAACGATGTTTCAAGGCTGTCGTAATACATTTAAACTATATAAATAAGTATTTCTATAAAGTGAAAGCATTTGATAATTAACGTTGTACAAATGACCTGGTGGAGAGCATACTAAATCATGAACTTTGAACAACTTAAAACTTCCTTTCAATGAATTATAAGGGATAGAAGATGCATATGAGTAAAGAAGGTTATAAAAGTTAAAAATGCAGCTAGTCTTTTTGCTAAGTTTTGGTGAATTTCGCCTGTCGGTTCGATTTTGATACCTTCAAGTATGTGTCTTACTTATATACAGGCAGATAGTGAACCAAATGCGGAGAAGACAAATTCTGAAGCACCGAAAGAGTCTGGAAATTCCGAAGAACAACCAAAGGAAGAACATAAAGAAGATGAGCAAAGTTTAGAGGAAAAGCCAACAGAGGAACAACTTGAAAGTGAGATTACTTTTATTGACAAGAAAGGAATTTATTTTAAAGTAACATATTTCTTTTAAGTTAGTAAGATAACAATATTATTATGACAGCATTTTGGCTTTCAAATATTGAGACATAGCACAAGGAAAAACAATTGAAATTAAAATGGCGGGCTCGAAATGTTCAGCAGATGAACTGATAAATAACAACGTGTCGTATTTTTCATTAATTTTCATTTCGTAGTTTCTAGTGAAACATTTAATATTGCTGTTTTCAGAATGGAGAAAAAACTTTGACGCTATTGCTGATGAAAATGGGTTCATAACCAGTGATGGTCTAGAAATGTAAGAAAGATGCTCTTTATTTTTGTTTAGATTGACATTCTCAAATTTAAACATGAAACTGGAAACAAACGTAGTGACCCACACTGAAAATTATATGAAAATTAACACTATTAATTCCTTTTTTATTATATTAATTTGATATAACTTTTGAGCATACTGTATAATTATAGAATTGTCATGCTTTGTGAGAGGAAATGATAATGTTCGTCCATTCGGGTTGAGTCTTTCATATTTATTTAACATTATGTATTGCTCAAATCGTCTATGAAAATAAAATGTGAACAATAGCTACATGGAAAGTCTTAGGTTATCTTTATTTACGGTAAATATATGTATCTATATAAATTACTTTATTAATGCCAAAAACAGATGTGTATCTATTATACAATTACAATGGGTAAAATTATTTCTTATGTACTCGTAGCAATTCACTATTGTTTACTTTTTCAGTGTGTTGACACTGTTTTTTTTTCCATAGGCAAACTATTTATAATTACTAACTTTTTTTTCAGGTTGCATACCAAAATATTTGTGTAAAGTTTCAAATGTTTACGATCTCTATCAAAACTGAGACTGCGATTTTCATGTAATAATTCATTAATAATTTCTTTTCTCTTCACAGCTGCCTGCAGCGGGACAATAAAAATCCTACCCCAAGTAATATAGAAGAATTAATGTCAGTCATTGATATAGATGGTAATACCATGCCATGTTTATTGTTAAAACATTTCCTTCTGAATATAACAAAGTAAACTATATACCATTGGACTTTAACAGGATTGTATAAAATTAATACATACCATACAAAGTTATTGAGAATGTTATGTAGTAGTTGTTGTTGTTTGTGGGGGGGGGGGGGGGTACGGAACGAGTTGTCACATTGACGGTTCCATGATCATTAACGTACGGATACGTCTGTGGATTTGTCTAATAATAATATTTCATTTTGATGACAATTTCTACTTGAGCAGACACAATGGCTTTGATGGTAGCTTGCATTTAACACTACCGTTAATGAACGATCCCGACAAAAAGACCCTGTAATATTTTACCTTCTGTTTTGCAAAGTTGGTCTCTAGTTTGCCAACAACGATAATAATGACGATAACAATAAAAGTGATGATGATGATGATGATGATGATTTTAATAATGAGGATGATCTCTTTTATTTTTAACTAAAACAGGTGATGGTAAATTTGGATTTGAAGAATATGTAAAGATACAGCTACAAGCGTCTAAGATGACGTTTTTCTGCAGCGATATTCAGATGGAGTTGGAGCAAGCGCTTAAAGCGTTTGATGAAAATGATGATGGTACAATCAGCAAATCTGAACTAAAAACTATTCTGACGGATTATGATGACGCCACGTTAGATGATGTCATAAAGCATTTGGATACCAATAATGACGGTCAACTTTCAATAGCAGGTTCGAAACAAGTTTGTTAAAAAAATGATAACTCCGGCGCTTGATATGTATTTTCATTTCACAAATACGAAAAGACTTTTAGATTTTTATCATATTTAAAATCTTAAGCATTTTCGTTTCATTTATGTACGTAAATATGCGATTTTTAAGCATTTACATGTATCAAGTTTCAACAACTTATTATTAAATATTACTTTCGTTTTCAGAACTAGCGGCATATTTGACGCAGACGTGTAAATGATAAGTTCAGAGGATTCCAAAAGAAAAATAGTGATGATCTTCTCTCAACAAAATACTATCCAGTTTTATTAATTTTTTTGCAATGACTTTTACACAGTCATGATGTGTCCTTTGTGTCAAAATACTGTTTGGAAAATTTATGTACATTGCCTGTTAGTAGCGTTGTAGCTATTCGTATCAGTGGTACACTGTTTAGATGGTTTGTTTTATATTGTAATTATATTTATTGTTGTTATTTATATTTATAAATGTTTGTATGTAGCACTATTCTTACAGATATATTGTGAAAGGTACAACATGATTTTAGTGATAGTTCCATGTGAAAATTTTTTACATGTTTGGCTTTGATCCTCATATTCAGGAAACGTTACTATTGTCACTTTTCAGTGTGCACCCTCTACAAGAATTGCATCTGTATAAAAGCAGAAATAAACATGTACATATCTTTGTGATGCCATTTTATGTCATCTAAAATATCAATGCAGAAATTTTATCATTTCATCATGCAAATTCTTAAAATTTGTATATGTTTGTAAATTGTATAAGGGCATCTTGAAACTGTAATTATTAATGCCCTTGATCGATTCTATGTTATTGAAGATGTTAGCACACATAAATCTCTAATAAAGCAGGGATTGTATTACATATCTTAGCCTTGAAATCTTTAAGTACCTCAATCAATAGATTAATTTAATGACAAAAAGTTGCTAAATATTTGCCCCCACCCCCACAACCTATCCACTCCATACGCCCTAAGTTGTGTTGTTTTATTTTACACGGACACTCCGATCTTAGACGATGACAAGTTTGGCGTATGACAGACTGTTGTGCATATACATTTTGACTGCTCGAGCACGGAACAGTTTTCAAATCTGGTAGCTTTTATAGTTGATAACATCATTATTTATGTGATACATATCTGAGCTTAAACTTTAACATTTTCGTGACCCGCTAAAAACGTCTTTGTCATAGTTAAGATGTTAATCAGACTTAATCAAGACAGTTTATGTGTTGTAACGTAATGTTTTCGTGAAACTGGGACCAGACCGAGTTTGTAATCTGAAAATCACTGCAGGACTCACGGATTTTCTTTTTGCAAAAGAATACCTTAAACAAGAATCTACATGTAAGTAAACTAGTGAGCTTAAAATCTTTTCCAAATATGAAATAGAATTTTACTTCACAACAAATTCAAATGATTTTTTTTGATTTAAAGTTTTTTTTTTCTAAGTACAGTTTAATAATTGTGATTAAAATCAATTAATCGGATATCACTACGTATCTAAATGAAAGTCAAGCAAATATGTATTATGACATCGAATAGCATGAAAGGGAGATAACCGATTAAACATGTCCTGATATCAGATGATACGGTTATTATAAAATTAATGTCATAGTTATGTCGAAATTTACTTTAATCTAATACATTTTACATTCTTTTTGTACTTAGAGATGTTTATATTAACGATTATTTTATCGAAATGACCTCAAAGATTCGTGGCCGCAGTTGTTTTCTTTTAGGCTTTAATTTGCGGAAGACAGACAATAGAAATATATATCATTTAATCAAATGATTGCCATTGTAAGGTGCGTTAAATATTAAAAGATAAATATAACGCTTAAAGATTAGTCAAGTCATGCTTCAAATATTGAAGTATATATTTTATATATCTATATAAAGATTACATTTAGCTGCTTTGTGTATCTCAATGTCTATAAGCGTGTAGTATAGTGTTTAGTTCGGAAAACAATACAAACATGGTAAGTTTAGTTTTTCTTTAATTTTCTGAATTATAACGAAACGTCATTTATTATGAAGAAATTAGTTTGCAAGTGATAAAAATGTATCATTTAATGCATTGACAACTACAGAGAAAGCTATATACATGTATATAAATGAAGTATAAAATTATTTTGCTTTTACCTGTTTTTATTTTTACTGTAAGTATGTCATTTACAAGTTGCATTTTAATCCATTATCAGAGGGAAAGTCGCCCTGAAAACCTTGTATACCCGGTATTTTACTTAAAATAATCCTATAATAGCAATGACTTACCTGAAAACCATACATTTTTTGTTAAATTTGTTAATGCAGAAAAAAACGATGAAATAGAAAGGTTATTTTTAAACAAATCCTGTTACTTGGCATTGTAGTATGTGTTGATAGTATCGCAACGTGTATTATTAGTATAACTAACACCTAATTATTTGTAACTTAATAATTACAGTATTTTTCTTTTACAGGCGAATTATGACGAAAAAGGTTAGTGAGATTTAAACTGTTTTCGATTGTTTTGAAATTGTACAGTCGATAAAACGATTTCTTAATCTATTTTTTTTTAGATATTTTCCAACACCTGGACGTTTATAACTAGGTTTTTTTTCTAAATATTCTGATACAACACATAAAGTTTTATCTATAGATAAAATGCCAAATGATTTGTTTGTGTGTATGAATCTTGTGACATTTGTATCAGTATTCTATTTGTGTACTAGTGACATATACCATATTGTGGACTATACGTAGATGTATAAGTACATCTACTTCTCTGAATGAACTACTTTATTGTGTGTTGGAGATCAAAAGATTTTTTTTATATTATTGTTATCAAAATAATATGTATCTCCCATAATTTCTATTTCTGTGACGTCTTTTTTCCATTGCCTTTTTATGTTAATTTCTTTTCTTCTTCTATCATGCTTTCTAACTTATGTACCTGTACAATCTTTAACCATGAGTTTAAATTACCAAATTTGAAATATGTTTTATGATAGTACCTAATTATTAGGGTCAGGATGGTTGACTTTTCACAACATCATAAATTTTCAGATGTATTACACGTGTTGAAACATTCATTTATATTTGATAAGTAGTAGAAAGATTTACACTAGGGGGGCGAGCCCCACTCCCACCCCACCAGTATTAATTAGATTGCCGAGTGTTTTATGTTCTTTCTCTTTGTATCATAGACACAAAAATAAACACGTTCCCTGTTGTCACAATATGAAAATAAAGAACAAACCTCTGAATATGATATTTCTATTGTTATCGTCACAATAAATAAACCCCAGAAAAATGAGCCAATCAATGGGCATGCTCTGGAGTGCGGGTAACTAATATCTGCACTCAGTTAACGCACTGTGCATGTATATGTAAACGATTTATCTCTGACACATTTTCAACAGAAAGGTCCCTAAACTATGATACAAAAGAGATTTATGGCTTGAACGATTGATAATAAAACAGTGAATTAATAAGATTTCTAACTTCTGGCCTTTATTATTCAGTAAATGATATGCTTTATTTTAGAGAATATCGTTGCGGTAACAAACAGTTAACCCGATGCAACATGCCTCAAATGTATACAGTATTCAAAAAAGAGCGTTTTTCGTAAATTTTGTCTTTCATAAAAAAGAAATTTATATGACGTACTAATGTATACTTCAAAAAGTTTAAATTATTAAATCATAATAATAAGCTTTGAGAGACACATTTGTTAATTTAACATTGGTATAGATAACTGTAGATATATGTACTTATCCGTAAGAAACACTAACTAATCGCAGAAATAAGTCACTAGTCACTTGTCTAAGTTCACTTCGATACATAACTTAACTATATAAAATATTTCTTATATTTACTTTTTTAAGGTTCAGTTTGCTTATTTAGTGAAGTCTGCTAGGCTGTTTTGGCTATATTTAACCAGTGTTTTCAATATACTGTTACTTTGTAGAAAATAAACATTGACACGTGCTAGCATACATATACCCTTTACATCATGCATTACATTAAAAATGTTAATTTTGGCACTCTCTCAATTGTTAGTTAATAATGTTTTATACCATGTGCTCGAGTTAGTGTACAGTCAGTTTGACGTAAAGAGCATGCTAGAATAATCAATGTCAATATATCAGGAATTTAAATTTGTCGTCTGCTCATTTTTACAGAATGGCGGGAAAAGTTTGAGAACTTTGACAGGAATAAAGATGGAGGAGTTTCAGCCAATGAACTGGAGAGATTATTACAATATGTGGGGTTCAATCCGACACAAGAAGATTTGGCTGAATACATGAAACAATTAGACAAAAATAGTATGTATTCGTCAGTTCTTGCTAATATTTGAACCGTATGTGTGGAAATGTTTTGATATATTTTAACCTTATGTTGATGAAGCTTATGTCCCCTGTAGTATTAGACTATTAGTAGGAACTATTTAATAACTAATGAGTAGATAACCTACATGTTCCATTATGGGCTTGGTTTTATAATTACAGATGCGTATAGTACAATAGTACGCGCAATTTGAAACGAATTATTTCCTACAGTCATAGTTCATAAACATGTAAATATAAACATTAGTCAACCAAGGTATTTTGACTTTTTACTTTGTCAAATATATCCAAATAATTTAATATATTCTCGGTTTACACAAATATTTTAAATAGTGTAATACTAAGTGAACTCTTAAAGATATATTTGGATGTAAACTTTAATCAATTTAATAACATCTATACGTATAATATAATTTAACGCACAAGTACTTTAATTTTGACGACACATTGCTGACTTTTTTTATTTCAGTTCATAATGCGAGTCATCTCAATACAGTTATTGCATGAAACGTTATTCATATACATGAATTTTGCATCTTTTTCCATATTTTAGTGTCTTTTAAAGGCGTATGCTATAAATTTCAGACAGACATATAGGCAAAATGAAAACTGTATAATATTTATTTCCAGAATATGATAACATAAACAGGTCAATCGAAAAGCCTTCTTTGTGGTTTGTTTCGCATATTATACTAAGCTACAATACAGAACTTCGCGGAATTCAATAAAAGACTTTAGTTCCCTATTTTCAGTTTAAATAAAGAGAATGAATATTCTTAAAAAACAAATATGGCAAAGAAGAAAAAATATAATGACTACTTTTTACTTGTATTAAAAATTTTATACAATTATTGCTCAACAGGAAGTCAGCTGCATGAATAGCAAAGCAGAAATTATAGGGCATAATCTACCTTAAATGTGACTTTTGTACCCTTGAAAGAAGCAAAATTTCTAAATTTAAGGACAAATTACTCAACAACGAGCAAGAAGACTATCATTTCTCTCTGTTATCATATTAGTTAAAACAAATTCTATAATTCAGTTTTCATTCTACCTTGAGGTTAACTATATGAAACTGTAGAAATAAGTCTTCAGCAAAACAGAAGTATAAACTTTTTATGTGGTAAGCCTGGTATATATGTAGCGTTCAAGTATTTTATAGACCTTTTTTGCATAACGATATTTCCTTAGAAACGGAAGTGTCATTTCGAACAAGCTCATTCTGCGCGGGTCTAAAAAGCGATACCGGGAGGGTATTTTTAATTAGTATTAAACAATTTATTAAATTAATGTATATTCTTAGTTCTCTGAACTTGGTACAAATAGGTCGATAATGTTATTCATTTTCGATTATTTATCAGCTGTGCAGTATGTAACTTATATAAATATTGTGATTTCAATGTGATTAAGTACTACGTAACCAGTATACATTGTTTCTATATTTCAGGGCAAGTTTATTTATTTATAATTAGTACAGTATATTTTAAAGTATATTATAAATGAGATAAAAGATCTTTATGATTTCATCACAATAAAATATCATAATTTCTGTGCTATCCATAACAAAGTCTTGAATTGTTGGCCAGATTATCAGTACAAAATAGTAACAAAAGTCAAGTATAACAATCCATGCGTAATTTAAGAAAACGGATTAAATCAAAGTTAAATGGGTCATTTATTGTAAATATTGTCATAGGATTAACTGGTAAAGTAAACGTTATTCTAATTTAATCTTATCTAAATCTCTTATTATTTCTTTTGTGTCTGTAACATAAGCAAATATTCCTTTTTGTAGTTGTTGTTGGTTTTGTTTTGTTTTGTGGTCTTTTTAGGGTTGTAATCTGTAATGTAAAGAAACGATGCATCCAGCGTACCCGCTCATAATTACTGAGAACAACATAAATGGCGCAGAGCTTTCAAACTTTAGAAAAACTAACAATAAAAATGTAGGAATGAAGTCCGTATTCTAATAAGTACTATTTTAATATGTCGTACAGTATTTCGCTTATTGTGTTTTCTATTGACTCTATGAAATTCCAATGTCGAGTTGGTAAAAAGTTATAGCATGATAAGTATCGTTGTTGTTTATCCGTGTTTCTTTATACATCAAAATGCTCTTTTTTAACATTTTATTCGTAATGTTTGAATTATAATTGCAGGGTTTTCACTTTAAGAGATTGTCACAAACTATGCGTTGATAGCATGGTTATAAGTATACCTAATGGGAATTATTACTGAGCCGCGTCACGACAAAACCAACGTAATGCGTTTGCGACCAGCATGGATCCAGACCAGCCTGCGCGTCCGCGCAGTCTTATCAGGATCCATGATGTTCGCTATCAGTTTCTCTATTTGTAATAGAGTTTGTAAGCGAACAGCATGGATCCTGATCAGACTGCGCGGACGCGCAGGCTGGTCTGGATCCATGCTGGTCGCAAACGCATTATGTTGGTTTTGTCGTGACGCGGCTCATTTGTCTTATCTTAAAATTGTCGTTTTTTTCAGGTGATGACTGCATAACGTTCGATGAATTCTTTCCGTTTTTAAAAAGTCTTAAAGATCCATCTGGGGAGCTCCTGGACGCATTTAGACTTCATGATAAAAATGGAGATGGTTTTATTGACGAAAAGGAACTAAAAGGTAAATCTTACGAGTTTATTAACTCTTATAACATTTAATTGTTAAATATGTTTACACATTATTCTCATTGATTTACGTAGTAGCTTTTAAGTTTTAACAAGTCCACGTATTCTTTGATCCACACTCGTATATTATTTTCGTAGCCTATAAACTTAAAGCAGAAATTGTTTAACCCATTACTTCATGAGCATTTTGTGAAAAATGGCTGTTTTCATTGAAAAATCTCCCGTTACAAGTTCAAACTGCTATAATACTATAAAAACTGCTTCAACACTAATCAAACTTGGCACAAATGTTGACTGGACCATTGCCCTTGCAACAACATGCTCAGGCTTAAATTTTCGGTTACCATGGCAACGAGGGGACATCTCAAAATTGCCAAAAATCACTATTTTGCGTTGATTTTTTCCATCAAAATTGATTTCAAAGTGCTGCAACTTCTCAATGGATTGAGATAGAGTCAAATGCTTTTCAGCGTTGGTTACACGTTACCTTATGATCAATCTGGGGTCATTTACAGCCTCTCACAAGCCCAAAATTTTCTTGGCGATGAGGGGGACTCCGCCCCCCTTAAAACCCCCCAAACAGAAGGGGGCACATCCCCCTTCTGGCAACCCCTTGATGTATCTTTTGGTTGGGGGGCCGCGCCGAAAAAGAGGTCACTTTTTTTAACAACATTTCTCAAACAAAAACAAGTGTTTGGGGCCTAAATAAGGCATTTTTTCATCATTTGAGACAATAAAAAGGGGGGGGTGAAAAAGGCGTTAAAAGGCGTGTATATGAAGTAATGGGTTAACTTATTTGTGCAAACGTTATTTGTAAAACGAAAAGAAGTTAATGATTTTTGCAAAGCTGTTCAACATGGAATGGTCTTCATTTCAGCAATTTTTACCAGTGGAAATTTCAACCCAAATGAGATTGATGATTTATTTAAACTAGTAGATGCAAACAACGACGGTAAAATTGAGTACAAAGGTAATAGCATTTCCAGGGTTTGCTGTTCATTTTCATATTTATTACAGTATAGATATTACCAAGTTAAATGTTGATGCTGCACATCAAAGATGCCGCGAAATGATGTGAACAGTCAATCAGCATTGAAAATCGTTCTCTATTACAGTTGAATATCCGAAGCACAAATCAATTTTTTCTGCATGTTCTTGGTATGTGCTCGTTGTTTAATAATAAAGTTGTATATTTTTGTGAAAAAGTAGAACCTAATGTATAAATTCACAAAATACTGCCAGGTCTGAAATTCTAAAATGTGTGTCTGTTGCGACAAAGACTGAAACGTCTGATCGAATCAAAATAAATTGGATAACAAATAAAATTGAAATGATTGTTATTCTTAAAATAAATTCAAGACAATATGTGCCGAGAATATACCCATTTAAATATTGGTACAAATTGCATAATGTTCGAATAATTTTGAGGACAAACTGTTCTGCAGTGATCTCCCCTTACAGGCCGTAGCGTAACCGGTTTGTTCTTGGGTGAGAATCGCCTCTCTGATAGTGGGCGTGGTTTTAGGCTTTGTAACTTGTAATTTAATGATTCGACAAGTGATATTGATCAAAATTGTCCTGGTTCCCTTCTTCCCCGTCAACGAAGACTAAATGCTAGCATATGAAGCATAATATCAAATTTAATATGACAATTAAGGCGGAGCCGAACTTCAACAGAGGCGAAGCAAATGAAGTAAGTGACACTGCCTCAGTTGTCACCTCTCTTAACGATTAAGTTTTAGAACGATCGACTATACACTGACTCATTGGCACGTTATTTATTATGTAGATAAAATTAGATAATAATAAAAAGAATATGATATTCAAACATGGCACTATCACTTCAGTTAAACGTTTATTCTAATCCCTTTAAGCTCTGTGACATGTTGTACATCATAAAAGCTATTTTTATTAGAAAATTTAAAAACAGTGTGATTTTCTTAAAACAAAAAAAATATACACAAAATCAAGTCTAAAACAAGCGGCGTCTAACTAGCGGAAAAAATGTGCAAAAGTAACACCGAGTTGTGCAAACATATGGCTGAAAAGAGCAACAAGTAAAAGAAATAATATGTTCTAAACTAATAAAATTGAAAGAAATGAACAACGCACCCGGCTGGTAAGCCATTACATTTTAAACATCAATACAAATACTTCAAGAAAATCGTTACTTTTCATGACGATTCGTGGAAATGACAACCTGGCTGTAGTATGCGTTTCGTCGAATAACTCATATACTAAATAGATGTTTAATATTCGACATTCTGTCAATAAAATATTATAATTCAGACATTTTTATGCTGTAACGCTTAAACGTCGCCTACAATGAGATAGTTAGGTCGTCATTTTCACGATTCATCTTGAAAGCAGGCACTTCTTTAAAAAAAATTTAATGAGGGTTGACATAAAACGTCTACTAATAAATTGATATATTTCAATTTGATTTACGATATATAAGATACTGGTCTGTTAAATTGCCGTGTTGCTCGTTTCAGTTTTACACTAGCACCATTCGGCGGCGTTACTTTTGTATGGTTGCTGCGTTATTCTCAAATCCTTATACGTTCTGGGATATATACGGTGCATAATGTACTTGAAGAAAATATATTTTTTATTGTTTGTGACATTATCTTCTGTAATTGATAGACATTTGATAGATAATTGAATATAGATTGTGTTTTAAGAGATTCTTTAAAAGATTTCATATTTGATAATATCATTTTTTATTGTCCACTATAAATAAGCAGACAGTTCTAAATTTAAACATTTTTTTCCTTTTCAGAATTTGTCGAACTTTTCACAGAAATGATGTGAAGCAGGAATAACATAGTTTGCAACCACAAATTTTCAAACACAAAATACGTGAATACATTCGTCAGCCGTTCATTAGTTCACCGCCGGTTTATGATAACTACATGTACTAATTGATATATTCAAATTCTGTCATCACTTAAAAAAACTAATTTTTTGTGTGTGTGCTTGAGCAACTTTCGAAAGTTTCTTCTGGACGTTGAGAAATTTATTTAGTAAATAAATGGAAATTGCACGACAATTTAGCAGACGACATTTCTTATTATAGAAGAAGAAGCTTTATTCTTTCATAAATCTCACAATACACAATTGACAAAGCCATTATAGCTCATAGTCACATTTTGGTATATACACTTATGAATTAATATTGACATTAGTCAACAATAAATCTGTCAATAAAGTAAACAAAATATATGTAAAAATAGTAAAATGCAAGATACACTACTCTTACAAGATTTAAATGCATTTGATTCGTAATTACTTCCCTTACATTTCAAAATATCAAATCATTATTCATTATTGAATCTTATCCATATAAAATATAAACTAAGTGTAAAACATTATTTTGCATCTTCTTATTTTTGGTATTATTTGTATAAACAATTTTCTAACATGTCAGTACCCACTTACGTACGCACGTAAAAAGGTTAACGATGGCATGGCCAACAGATATCTGGTAAATAATATTTCAGATTTCCTTAAAGAACCTGTTCTCTGGTAATGTTTCCTAAAAATATTTGAAAAATAGTATTAGCACGATTATATGTGCAATATTTTGACTATATGCATTTGTATCTTATTATTTGTAATGGCATAATAATATTACAATTGTTGTGTCTGAATTTGTTTTTCTCTCCAGTTTTGTTATTTACGTACTTCATATTTGTTTTAAATATATGAACTCTTTATTGTAAAGGAGCGTATGTGTTTTTGTTGCCTTTTCCCCTGCTTATTGCATATTCTCGTTTTCCCCGACGTGTATGAAGCATTTCCTAAAGCCTTGTATAAAACACTGTACCAACTCTGATTGATATTAAAATCTTACTTTGAGCCAGAACTACTGAGTAATGTTTTACTTTACTATCATATCCAAGAACAAGGTTAATGAAACTGACACTTGAATATCTACATATTTGTAACTTTAATTATTTTTAACTTTAATCATCTAAGCAGCGCAATGATTCAGTGACGCATTTTTTGTATTGAAAATGAGATATTTTCATACTTTTATTTTCGTATATATTATGTTTAATGTTAGTATATTGCAATTGATATATTGTTACAGTGGTTTGTTTTCCTTTTTGTTAGGACTTTCTGCAGAATATTAAATTTTATAAATAAAAAGTACAAGTTTGAGGAGGCGGGAATCTTTTCCAATATAGGTTTTACAGCCTTCTCGTCGTGAAATAGAATCATGTATTTTAGTAAATGTGTAACAACCTTATTATTTTACACACGAAAATTGACGTGTAGATAATGTAAATTTGTGTGTTTTTTGTTGTTGGTGGTGTTGTAACAAAAGACAATGCCTGAAAAGTCCTTGAAAGTATTAATAGTCAAACTTCAATAATGAATACGTTCCAGAATAAGATGTGTGAAGTTGGCGGCCCAGAATAGGAAATAAATTTCCTTGTCTATTTTCAAAAGGTTTAATATACAGGCTGTTAAATAGTTTGGTTTCTATCCATTTTAATTATGGACTTCAGGAGAGGTAACACATGTGTCTTTTTGAAACCAAACTTAACTTAGACTTAAATTTTCATTTTCATTAGCCTTTTGAATATGAGTAATGGATTTACGCTGCTCTCAAATGTTTGGACGTATCTTTCATACAAAAATGCCAGGTAACAATTACCTAGACATTATAAGTATTAAAAAATAAACCCAATGCTCAATATGTATTTTCATTTCACAGATTGAAAAGACATTTAGATTTTTATAATTTTTACAAAATCTTAAACATTTTCATTTCATTTTGATTAATTATATAATACGTAAATATGCAATTTTTAAGCATTTCCGTGTATCAATTTTCAACAACTTTTTGTTAAATATTTCTTTCATTTTTTAGAACTAGCGGCATATTTGACGCAGACGTGTAAATGATAAGTTCAGAGGATTCCAAAAGAAAAATAGTGATGATCTTCTCTCAACAAAATGCTATCCAGTTTCATTAACTTTTTGCAATGACTTTTACACAGTCACGATGTGTCCTCTTTTGGAAAATTGATTTACATTGGTAGCTATTTGTATCAGTGGTACACTGTTTAGATGGTTTATATAGTGTATTTATATTTGAGCCGCGTCATGACAAAACCAACATAATGCGTTTGCGACCAGAGTTTGTTAGCGAACAGCATGGATCCTGATCAGACTGCGCGGATGCGCAGGCTGGTCTGGATCCATGCTGGTCGCAAACGCATTATGTTGGTTTTGTCGTGACGCGGCTCATTTATTGTATATTTATATTTATAAATGTGTGTATGTAGCACTATTCTTACATATGTAATGTGTAAGGTACAACATGATTTCAGTAATAGTTCCAAGTGAAAATGTTGACATGTTTGGCTTTGATCCTCATTTTCAGGAAATGTTAGTATTGTCACTTTTCAGCGTGCACCCTCCAAAAGAATTTCATCTGTATATAAGCAGAAATAAACATGTACTGACTGTGTGATGCCATTTTATGTCATTTAAAACATCAATGCAGAAATTTTATCATGAAAATATTTAATTTTTTTTTTTTTTTTTTTTTTTTTTTTTGTTCTTTTTTGTTCTCAGTTTCATAGGCAGCAAATTGTGCTTAAAAGTATAGAGTAAGTAAATTGTATAAGGATATCTTGAAACAGTATATAAATAACACATGGGTTTGTGGGTAACAGTAAAAATATCATTTTTTTATTATTATTATTATATACCACATTTCTATAGCACTCTTTTCATAAATAATAAATGTTCAAGAGTGCTTTACATAGATCCGATAAAACATAATTATATATATATATATATATATATATATATATATATATATATATATATATATATATATATATATATATATATATATATATATATATATATATATATATATAAGACATTAATTAAGTAAACCTATTAAACAATAATGATAATCTAAAACCAGAAAAGGATGGTAAGAAATACAGACACATTTAGTTTAAAATCAAGGCACAATTAAAATTAACACTGATAATATAGCAAAAGTAGTACATGTATGATGATTTATGAACTAACGTCCATAGAACTTTATGAAATAATGTGTTTTGAGAGCTCTCTTAAAACATGGCAAGGTATTACAGTCTCTAATGCCAGGTGGTAACGCGTTCCATAATTTCGCTGCGGCTGTCTGGAAGCACCTGTCACCATATCGTACTGTCCGAGATTTAGGCACAACTAATGTCATTGAGTTATTCTGGGACCTCAGATTTCTGACTGGGATGTACACGTCTATCATGTCTTTTATATAGGCTGGTGATTGATCGATGAGGGATTTATATGTATAAGTCAAAATTTTATATTCGACCCGATACTCTATCGGAAGCCAGTGAAGTTCACGTAAGATAGGTGTTATGTGGTCATATTTGAGTGTTTTGGTCACAATTCTAGCTGCTGTATTTTGAACATGTTGTAACTTGGTCATTGACTGCTTAGAGACTCCATATAACAGTGCATTACAGTAGTCTAACCTAGAGGTAACAAGTGAATTTACTAGAGATTTGGTTGCTTTAACAGTCAGATAGGGTCTGATGTGACCGATTTGTCTTAATTGTGCATAACAGTTCCTACAGACATTATTTACATGTTGTTCCATCCTCATGTTCGAGTCAAGAAATGCACCAAGATTGCGCACACTAGATGATTGGCTTATTTTCGAACCGTCGACTGTTACTGTAACATCTGAAACAGGTTGTGCGTTATGTTCAGATGAGAAGATGATCAACTCTGTTTTGTTGCCGTTTAGCTTCAGCATGTTGGCATTCATCCAACTTACAATATCTTCAAGACATCTTTCAATACGGTTTATATTCTCCTGAATTGAAATATTAGTCACTGGTTTGAAGGATAGATAGAATTGTGAGTCATCTGCGAAGAAATGGTTGTTTAAATCATATTTACGGCAGATTTCTCCGACAGGTTTCGTATACATCACATAGCTCTTGGGTCCCAGGACAGACCCTTGAGGTACACTGTACTCCATGTGGACTGGCTGTGATAGTTTGTTGTTTATGCATACAGTCTGGTATCGGTCGGTCAGGTATGGCGTCATCCATGCGAGTGGCTTGCCTGTAATTCCAAAGTGTCGTTCAAGGCGGCGAAGGAGCGTTCCGAGGAAAATACTGTTACCTGAGGCGTACCCGAGGGTAACAGTATTTCTACGAGGGATGATATTTTACTGTTACCCACAAACACATGTGTTATTTATTTAATTACCCCGAACAAATACTGTGATGATCTGAACTTGTAAACTAAATCTAACTGTAACAGAAAATAAACCAAGAGTATCAGTAACTAAACTGTCCTTACCTTGCAAGTTTTAAGTGTACTGTAGGCCTACTTGAGAAGCTGTTTTTCTTTTATTCTTTCAGCAAGTGATAATATCTACCAGTCATAAACATAAAATAAGATGTGTTTTATTTACAAAACAAAACACTAACCCATTTATAAGGTTATGATCTGTGAAATCTGATCCTTCCGTATTCAGAATATTCTTAGCATGGTTTTTGACAAAGTGCATTTACAAAATACAGTAACGGTGATATCCTACAGATGTCTGTCCAACAACTCTATCTGTAACGTTTCACTAGTTAAAATTGTTAAATAATCCTTTGTTGCATGCTTTAATCGTCTGCATGTTCCAGTTTGACACATAATTATTCACATTGCAATTACTTCCGTTGAAAACGGATGTTTACTTTTTGACTATTCAACCAAAAGATATTTTATACGCGAAAAGAACTCTAGGGTGCAAAGAACTAAATTTTATGAGAGTCATAGTTACTTTGGTGATGTCCTAAAAAATAAGAATGAATCGAAAGAAAATGGCGGCATTTCATTTAATTTTATTTAGAAAATAGACCACGTGACCAGATTTTATACTGTTAAAAAATACTGTTACCTATGTAACAGTACAAAATTCTTAGTCACGTGGTACACTTGCATTAATAGTAAGAATAACTCCCAGAGGCCTATGGGAAATTAGCATTATGAAAAAAGTGAGGGGTTATAATAATTATTAATGCCCTGAATGGATTCTATGTTTTTGAAGATGTTAACACACATAAATCTCTAACTGAGCAGGAATTGGATTAAATATCTTACCTTTGACCTCAATCAATGGATTAACTTATGTAAAAAAGTTGATGAATATTTTCCCTCACCCCAACCCATCCACTCTATACGCCTTTAGTTGTGTTGTTTTATTTCACATATTTTACCCACCATCATTATTTACGTGATACATATCTGAGCTTAAACTAACAAAATTTTCGTGACCCGCTAAAAACGTCATTGCCACAGTTCAGATGTTAATCAGACTTAAGACCCAATTCAAGTTACATTTATGAGTTGTAACGTAATGTTTTCGTGAAACCGGGACACAGACCGAGCAGACCGAGTTTGTAATCGGCAAATCTGAATATCACTGCAGGACTCGAGCATTTTTTTCTTTTTGCAAAAGAACACCTTATACGAGATTCTACATGTAAGTAGACTATTGAGCTTAATATTCATTTCCTTTACAACTTAAAACATATAATAATGAATTTACTTCTCAACAAGTTCAAATGATTCACCTGAAATAAAGTTTATAGTTTTTTTTCTAAGAACAGATAAACATCAATTAATCGGATGTCACTACGTACCTGAATGAAAGTCTAACAAATATTTGGGACATTTTTAAAATATGGAATCGAACAGCATAAAGGGGAGATAACCGATTAAACATGTGATATCAGAAGATACGGTTATTAAAAAAAGTCATAGTTATGTCCAAAATTTACTTTAATTTAATACATTCTACATTCTTTTTGTATTTAGAAATGTTTATATTTACGATAATTTTTATCGAAATGACCTCAAAGATTCGTGGCCGCAGTTGTTTTCTTTTAGGATTTAATTTGCGGAAGACAGACAATAGAAATTTATATCATTTTATCAAATGATTGCCATTGTTAAGTGCGTTAAATAGTAAAAGAGAAGTAAAGTCAAGTCATGCTTCAGGTATTGAAGTATATACTTATATATCTTTATAGCGGCCTTTTGTATCTCAATGTCTTTATAATTACGTGTAGTGTAGTTAAGTGTTCAGTTTGGAAAAATACAATCAAACATGGTAAGTGTATTTTTTTACCGTCAAATGTTTCTTTTATTTTCTCATTATTTCTCATTTCGAAACGTCATTTATTATGAAGAAATTAGTTTGCAAGTGATAAAAATGTACCATTTAATGCATTGATAACAACAGAGAAAGCTATATATAAATGAAATATAAAATTATTTTAGTTTAAACTGTTTTTTATTGTTTAAGTAATTATGTACATTTACATAAGTTGCATTTTAATTTATTATCAGTATTAAGAGGGAAAGTCGCCCTGATAACTTTGTATATCTTTCCTAAAATAATCATATAATAGCAATGCTTTAAATAGCGTTATTAACCTGAAAACCATACATTTTTCGTTAAATTTATAAATGCAGAAAAAAAACCGATGAAATAGAAAAGTAAGGTTATTTTTAAACAAACCTTGTTACTAGGTATTGTGTTATATGTTGAGTGTATTATCAATATGACTAACACCTAATTATTTATAAATTAACAAGTACAATATTTTTTCTTTTATAGGCGAATTACAACAAAAAAGGTTAGTCAGTAAAACGTTTTCGATTTTTTGAAATCTAACAGTCAATGAAACGATTTCTTTATTTATTTTTTCTTTAGATATTTTTCAACACCTGGACGTTTATAACTATTTTTTCTCTTAATATTCTGATACAACACGTAAGATTTCATCTAAAGATAAAATGCCAAATGATGTGTTTGTGTGTATGAATCTTGTGACATTTCGTATCAGTATTCTATTTGTGTACTAGTGACATACACCATAATGTGGACTATATGTTGATGTATTAGTATCTCTGCTTCTCTGAATGAACTACTTTATTGTGTGTTGGAGATCGTACGATGTTTTGTATATGATGTGTTATCAAAAAGGCAGGGTTATATGTATCTCTCATAATTTCTATTGATGTGACGTCTTTTATCCAATACCTTTTTAATGTTTATTTCTTCTTCTATCATGCTTTTTAACTTATGTACCTGTACAATCTTTAACAACGAGTTTAAATTACCAAATTTGAAATATTTTTTATTATAGTACTTAATTATTATTAGGGTACGGATAAGGGTCAAAATGGTTGACTTTTCACATATCATAAATTTTCAGATGTACATGTATTACGCGTGTTGAAGCATTCATTTATATTTGACCCCCCCCCCACCCCCACCGAGTATAAATCAGATTGCCGAGTGTTTTCATGTTCTTTCTCTGTTGTATCATAGGCAAAATTATAAACACGATACATGTTGTCACAATATGAAAATACAGAACAATAAGTAACCAATGAACGAACATCTGAATATGTTATTTCTAACGTTATCCCATTCCCTGTCGTCACAATAAATAAACCCAAGAAAAAATGAGCCAGTCAATGAGTATGGCTCTGGAGTGCGGGTAACTAATGTTAACGCACTGTGACACATTTTCAACAGAAAGGTCCCCAAACTATGACACAAAAGAGATTTATGGCTTGAACGATTGCTTTTATGATTATTAGACGGCGCGTGCATGCGCCGTCTAGTAGATATGCATTTGTTCTTATAGCAATGGGGAAAATTTTACATTCTTTTCTTGGTTTAACAAAATCACATTGTTTTCAAATTTTCTAATAGCTTATCTTATGTACAACATGTCACAGAGCTTTAAGGGATTAAAATAAACGTTTAACTGAAGTGATAGTGCCATGTTTGAATATCATATTCTTTTTATAATTACTTAATAAATGACGTGCCAATGAGCCAGTCTATAGTCGATCTTTCTGGTCTAATGACGAGAACATTAAAATACGCAACGGAGATTTTACACAGCGGAAATATATTTTGCAAAACAGGAAAAACGTGTTCGACGTGTAATTCATGAAAATGATTAACATTAAGTTATAAAACAGATTAACTGATTTAATAAAGTACGTTTATTTTAAAATGTATCACAAAATTTGAAATAGGTTATTTTGAAGGATTCTGTGACTGAAGATTGTTTTCTTTCACCTTGATTTTTTACTACATTTAGTGGTCCTATACCTAGATTCTATAGGCGAATATGCAATTTTTAGTTTAATCAAGTAGTTTTATCTTTTATAAATAAGAAAACAAAACGTAACTAAGAATTGATTATAAGAGACAGTTCGTCCTCAAATTCATTCGAACGAACATTATGCAATTCGTACCAATATCTAAATGGACATATTATCGGCACATATTGTCTTGAATTCATTTTAAGATTACCAATCATTTCACTTTTTCTTGTTATCCAATTTATTTTGCTTCGACCAGACGTTTCAATCATTGTCGCAACAGACAAACATTTCAGACTTTCAGACACATAACAAGAACATGGAGAAAAAAATTGATTAGTGCTTCCGATATTCAACTGTAATAGAGAACGATTTTCTATTCAGATTTTGTACATTACCTGTGTCTTTTCACATAATTTGGCGGCGTCTTTGTTATGCAGCATCAACATTTGACTTGTTCAGTAAATAATATGCTTTATTTTAGAGAATAACGTTGCGTAAACAAACAGTAAATCCAATGTAACATGCGTCAAATTTATACAGTATTAAAAAGAGCGTTTTTCGTCAACTTTGTCTTTCATATTATTTTAAATTGACGAACTTGTGTATACTTCAAAAAACTTAAATAATTTAAAATAAAATGCATTATCATAATAATAAGCTTTGAGAGACACGTTTGTTAATTTGACATTGGTATAGATAACTGTAGATATATGAGCCGCGTCACGACAAAACCCACATAATGGGTTTGTGACCAGCATGGATCCAGAACAGCCTGCGCATCCGCGCAGTCTGATCAGGATCCATACTGTTCGCTATCAGTTTCTTTACTTGTTATAGGGTCTGTAAGCGAACAGCATGGATCCTGATCAGACTGCGCGGATGCGCAGGCTGGTCTTGATCCATGCTGGTCGCAAACCCATTATGCTGGTTTTGTCGTGACGCGGCTCATATGTACTGATCACACGATCAATGTAAGAAACACTAACTAATCGCAAAAATAAGTCACTAGTCACTTGTCTAAGTTCACCTTGATACATAACTTTAACTATATAAAATACTTCTGATGTTTACTTTTTTAAGGTTCTGTTTGCTTATCTTTTGTAAGTTTTAAAATCTGCCAGTCTGCAGTGGCTATTTTCAATATGTTTTTACTTTGTAGAAAATAAACATTAATACGTTCTAGCATACAGATACCCTTTACATCATGCATAACATTAAACGATGTTAATTTTAGCACTTCCTCAATTGTTCGTTAATAATGTTTCATAGTGTGTTCTCGGCTGAAATTGTTGTGTTAGTGACGTAAACAGCATGCTAGAATAATCATAAGGTCAATATATCAGGAATGTAAATTTGTCGTCTGCTGATTTTTTCAGAATGGCGGGAAAAGTTTGATAACTTTGACAGGAATAAAGATGGAGGAGTTTCAGCCAATGAACTGGAGAGATTATTACAATATGTGGGGTTCAATCCGACCCAAGAAGATTTGGCTGAATACATGAAACAATTAGACAAAAATAGTATGTATTCGTCAGTATTTGCTTTTTGCTAATATGTGAACCGTATGTGTGGAAATGTTTTGATATATTTTAACCTAGAATAAACGTTTTGATGTTAAATCTTGATATACTGTAGTATAAGTAGAAACATTTTTATAACTGATGTATGGATGCCCTAGATCTCCCATTATACAGATGTGAGTAATAAAATAGTACGAGCAACTATTGTACAGTAACTGTACAATAATAAATGATTCCGTTAATTAAACAATAGTTAATAAACATAAATGTAAAAATTAGTCAACCAAGGTATTTTGACTTTTTACTTTGTCAAATATATCCAAATAATTTAATATATTCTCGGTTTACTCAAATATTTTAAAGTGAACTCTAAAAGATATATTTGGAAAGTAAACTTTATCAACTTTACATATATGTATACTATTATTTAATACACAAGTACTGTAATGTTGATGGCACATTGTCGACATTTTTTTTATCTCAGTTCATAATGTGAGTCAATTCAATACATTTATTGCACGAAACGTTATTCATTTACATGAATTTTGCACCCCTTTCCATAATTTAGTGTCTTTTAAAGGCGTACGCAATAGATTTCAGATAGACATATACGCAAATTGAAAACTGTATAATATTTATTTCAACTTTTCTGATCTTAGAATATGATAACATAAACAGTTCGATCTGATACCCTTATTTGAGCCGCGTCACGACAAAACAAAGATAATGGGTTTGCGACCAGCATGGATCCAGACCAGCCTGCACATCCGCGCAGTCTGATCAGGATCCATGCTGTTCGCTTTCAAACCCTATTACAAGTAGAGAAACTGATAGCGAACAGCATGGATCCTGATCAGACTGCGCGGATGCGCAGGCTGGTCTGGATCAATGCTGGTCGCAAACCCATTATGTTGGTTTTGTCGTGGCGCGGCTCATTTGTGGTTTGTTTTGCATATTATACTCAGCTACAATACAGAACTTCATGGAACTCAATAAAAGACTTTAGTTCCCTATTTTCAGTTTAAATAAAGATAATGGATATTCTAAAAAATGTGACAAAGAAGAAAAAGTAAAATAACTACTTTTTACATGTATTTAAAATTTTATACAATCACTCAACAGGAAGAGAGCTGTGTAACACCGCACTTTGGGGTCAAACGCACTTTGGGGTTCGACCCCAAAGTGCGTTAAACTTCGCACCGCACTTTGGGGTCCAACGCACTTTGGGGTCAAAATCTAGAAATTGACCCCAAAGTGCGTTAATATGCTACATATCAACGCACTTTGGGTTCAAGAGGTCTAAAGGTGTCATCTGAGTTCTGCTAAAATACGGAGTACTGACTTATTTTCTACCTGCGACATTGGAATATTTGAGGTGGAGTTCAAGATGGCGGTCAATACTTTATGATGCTTAAGTGATAATAGTTTCATTAATTTTACCACTTGAAATATCTAGAAATTGTGTTCATATAACAAAATTGCGGTGGCATAAAAGTGACATTTGCATTTTTTGGTTTTTAGTTTTGTATACATATTTTATTTTAGTTTTGCATACATATTATTTTCAGTTTTGCATTCATATTTTATTTTTAGTTTTGCATTCATATTTTATTTTTGTTTTTCGTACATATTTTATTTTTGTTTTCATACATATTTTAGCCAATCAAAACAGCCTTCAAATTTCATAACAGCCCATTGTTGAGTATAAAACTAGCACAGTTTGGTCACATTTCTGTCCATTTTTGGAATCTGCTCAGTCGTTTTCGGCCGGGCAAGCCTGATTTCGGCCGACCCTTTTCGGCCCATTTTATATTACATGTATTTTATATAATTACTGTTTATTATTATTATATACTACTATATTAGTGTCTATTTGGAAAGGGCTGTTGATTGGTGATCAGTTATTATTACATGAATATGCACATCTCAACCCCACCCCCTGAGAATTGAGAATTATGAAACTTAGGTCAATTCTTTAGCACATCCAGATAATGTGCAGAACTTATATGCCAGGTGTGTAACACCGCACTTTGGGGTCAAACGCACTTTGGGGTCCGACCCCATAGTGCGTTACGCACTTTGGGGTCCAATTTCGACCCCAAAGTGCGTTAAACAGGTACATATGCATTTTTTAACATCAGGCAAACGACCGCACTTTGGGGTCATAGAAAATTAAAGTTCATTATGTTTTAAATAATATATTGTAGTAAAAGCCAATGGTAAACAAAAAAATCAAGGCATTAAATAGACACAAACATGTGCCCTGAATTATAGTAGAATCAATAGGGATTTAAATGATCTTGATTAGTAAGTGAAGAACTTTCACCAAGTAAATCACCAAATAAAGAATTTGTATCAATTATTAAGCTTAAAATATTTTTCTCAAATTTTCCATTTATTTTTAAAGAATGTACACCTTTCATTAACTCCATTGTTTTTAGCTAAATGCATTATTTCCCCGTTTTTTATTTACACATTTTTAAGAAATATGATAGTCTTAGCATAGACAAAGGTATAAATTCTGGGAAATCTTAGTAAGACATTTCAGTAAAAAAAAGTGCCTGATAATATGTTGAAAGGGCCATTTATTTAGCTAAATGTGACATATAAGAAACTTGGCTAGGTGTAGATGCGGCTTTAAGTAGTAGTCCGTACAGGCAGTACTAAAAATATCAACTACATGTATTTAAGTAGTCGCAAATTAAGAGCCGAGCTTCAGAATAATGTAAAATTCTCTTGGGGGTATAGAGGGGATTGTGGGGTATTGACCCCCGAGGAACGTTTTAAAGGCACATTTATTTATGCTTTTATTTGTTTCTCTTAAAAGCTTTTTTATTTTGATGTTCTTCTATATTATCCAAAAAATACACATTGGCCATTTACCTGAACCATCTTTTTCATCTGTTGCTTTTTGGCAATGATGAGTACAGTTATAGTGAATTAGTATTTTATATTGAAGTCAAATACTACAGTGTTCGTTTCTTTTATGACGAATAATATCACAGTTATCGCTACTTTATTCAGATAACAAGCATCTTACATTTCTCAGATACCATTATTTTAACATTATAAAATTCATGTTTGCTCTTTCTTAAGAAGTATGTAAGATTTCCCATAAAAAAGTCTCCGGCGAACGGTTGTTAGAAAAACCCTTACGTTTGTTGATAAGCTTAATAATGTTTTTTGTAAAAATCACTATTAATAGTCCGATCGAAAAAAATTTTCACCAGAACATTGCAATAGAGTATATTTATAGTTCTTTGGAAAAAGACATTAACTGCATTTTTTTTTTCATTCCCAACATATTTAAAATGGGGCTCAATATGGCACCAAAAGTTATCAAGTAAATGACCGACAGAACGGGATACTTTTCGCAGCATCTTTTAATTCTAGGAATACATAATTTCTGTACTAGAGTATTTTGAACGGTGGCATAAAAGTGACATTTGTATTTTTTTATACTTTTTTTTTGTTTTTCGTACATATTTTTGTTTATTTGTCGTAGATATTTTTTTACATGTAGTTTTGAATACATACTTTTTTTTAGTTTTGCATACATATTCTTTTTTAGTTTGCATACATATTTTATTTTAGTTTTGCATACATATTCTTTTTTAGTTTGCATACATATTTTATTTTAGTTTTTTTGTACATATTTTATTTTTGTTTTTTCGCACATATTTTTACATGACGCCATTTGCAAAGTAGAGGTTTGGATAATTACACCATTTGTTAAACACCATTTTCAAACACTTCGCCATCTGTAAATTACAGTACCCCATTTGCACTGCAAATACCAACATTTTCATTTTTTAGTATTCGCGGTAACCCAAAGAAAGGTTCTGCATATGGTCTCGTTGTGGTTAACATTTGTCACAAGGTGCCTTAAAATCCCTCATGGGGTTTCGGAGATAAGGAGCGGACATGAAACCCAAGTCTTTATTCTTTGACCTGTAGCTGTGACCCCGACCTTGAGCCGGCACACCTGGATATCTGGATGTGCTAAGGAATTGACCTAAGTTTCATAATTCTCAAGTCTAAAGGGGGTGAGGTTGAGTGGTGCATATTCATGAAATAATAACTGATCACCAATCAACAGCCCTTTCCAAATAGACACTAATGTAACAGTATATAATAATAAAAAACAATAATTAAATAAAATACATATAATATAAAAATGGGCCGAAAAGGGTCGGCCGAAACCAGACTTGCCCGGCCGAAAACCACTGAGCCGATTCCAAAAATGGGCCGAAATGTGACCTAACCACTCTGCTAGTTTTATACTCAACTATGGACTGTTATGAGATTTGAAGGCTGTTTTGATTGGCTAAAATGTGTATGAAAAACAAAAATAACATATGTACGAAAAACAAAAATAAAATATGAATGCAAAACTGAAAAAAATATGTATGCAAAACTAAAATAAAATATGTATACAAAACTGAAAACAAAAAAATGCAAATGTCACTTTTATGCCACCGTAATTTTGTTATATGAACACAATTTTTAGATATTTCAAGTGGTAACATTAATGAAACTTTTATCACTTAACATCATAAAGTATTGACCGCCATCGTGAACTCCAACTCAAATATTCCAATGTCGCAGATAGAAAATAAGTCAGTACTCAGTATTTAAGCAGAACTCAGATGACACCTTTAGACCTCTTGAACCCAAAGTGCGTTGATATGTAGCATATTAACGCACTTTGGGGTCAATTTCTCGATTTTGATCCCAAAGTGCGTTTGACCCCAAAGTGCGGTGCGAAGTTTAACGCACTTTGGGGTCACCTTGTGACAAATATTAACCACATCGAGACCATGCAGAACGTTTCTTTGGGTTACCGCGGACTATATATTTGTATATATATACTAAATTGTGTTGTTATTTTTTTGATACCTCCAAAAATGAAAATGTTGGTATTTGCAAATGGCAAATGGGGTACTGAAATTTAAAGATGGCGAAGAGTTTGAAAATGGTGTTTTACAAATGGTGTAATTATCCAAACCAGTACTTTGAAAATAACGTCATGTAAAAATATGCACGAAAATAAAAAAAAAATATGTACAAAAAACTAAAATAATACGTATGCAAACTAAAAAAGAATATGTATAAAATATGTATTCGAACTAAAAAAGAATATGTATGCAAAACTAAAAAAGTATGTATTCAAAACTACACAAAATATGTAGGACAAACAAAGAAACAATATGTACGAAAAACAAAAAAGTATAAACAAAAAATACAAATGCCACTTTTATGCCACCGTACAGAAATTGTGTATCCCTAGAATTAAAAGATGCTGCGAAAAATACCCCGTTCTGTCAGTCATTTACTTGATAACTTTTGGTGCCATATTGAGCCACATTTTAAATACGTTGGAATGAAATAAAATGCGGTTTATATTTTTTCCAGAGAACTATAAATATACTCTATTGCAATGTTCTGCTAAAACATCAAGTTTTTCGATCGGATTATAAAAAGTGATTTTTACAAATACATTATTAAGCTTATTAACCCTTTCCCCTATGAGCATATTGTGAAAAATGGCCATTTTTACTGAAAAGCCTCCTCTTACAAGTTCAAACTGCTATGAAACTATGAAAAATGCTTCAATACTAATCAAACTTTGCACAAATGTTGACTGGACCATTGCCTTTGTGACGACATGCTCAGTCTTAAATTTCCTGTTACCATGGCAACAAGGGGACATCTCAAAATTGCCAAAAATCACTATTTTGCCTCGATTTTTTCCATCAAAATTTATTTCAAAGTGCTGCAACTTCTCAAGGGATTGATATAGAGTCAAAGGCTTTTCAGCGTTGGTTACACGTTATATTATGATCGACCTGGGGTCATTTTTAGCCTCTCACAAGTCCAAAATTTTCTTGGCGATGAGGGGGACTCCGCCCCCCTTCAAACCCCCCCTAACAGAAGGGGGCACATCCCCCTTCTGGCAACCCCCTGATGTATCTTTTGGATGGGGGGCGGCGCCGAAAAAGTGCTCAATTTTTTGACCAACATTTCTCAAACGAAAACATGTGTTTGGGGCCCAAATAGGACATTTTTTCACTATTTGAGGCCTAAAAAAAGGGGGGGGGGTCGAAAATGCGTTGTTTCGCGTATATATGTGGTAAAGGGTTAACAAAAAATGATGAAAAACTTTGGAATCACCTAAAAACTAGTTTTTCCATGTTAAAATGTGGTCTTTCACCTAATTTTGGTGAAATATTGTTGTTTTGTAACATTTATAATTTTTTTAGTTAACCCTTTCCCCCATGAGCATATTGTGAAAAATGGCCATTTTTACTGAAAAGCCTCCTCTTACAAGTTCAAACTGCTATGAAACTATGAAAAATGCTTCAATACTAATCAAACTTTGCACAAATGTTGACTGGACCATTGCCTTTGTGACGACATGCTCAGTCTTAAATTTCCTGTTACCATGGCAACAAGGGGACATCTCAAAATTGCCAAAAATCACTATTTTGCCTCGATTTTTTTCATCAAAATTTATTTCAAAGTGCTGCAACTTCTCAAGGGATTGATATAGAGTCAAAGGCTTTTCAGCGTTGGTTACACGTTATATTATGATCGACCTGGGGTCATTTTTAGCCTCTCACAAGTCCAAAATTTTCTTGGCGATGAGGGGGACTCCGCCCCCCTTCAAACCCCCCCTAACAGAAGGGGGCACATCCCCCTTCTGGCAACCCCCTGATGTATCTTTTGGATGGGGGGCGGCGCCGAAAAAGTGCTCAATTTTTTGACCAACATTTCTCAAACGAAAACATGTGTTTGGGGCCCAAATAGGACATTTTTTCACTATTTGAGGCCTAAAAAGGGGGGGGGGGTCGAAAATGCGTTGTTTCGCGTATATATGTGGTAACGGGTTAACAAACTTTGGTATTTTGTAACGTCCGCCAGAGGCTTTTTTTATGGGAAATCTTACATACTTCTTCGATACCCCACAATTCCCTCTTTACCCCCAGTGAGAATTTTACATTATTCTGAAGCTCCGCTCTTAATGTGCGACTACTAAAATAATTGATATTTTTAGTACTGCCTGTACGGACTACTACTTAAAGCCGGATCTACACCTAGTCAAGATTCTTATATGTCACATTTAGCTAAATAAATGGCTCTTTCAACATATTATCAGGCACATTTTTTTTTTACTGAAACGTCTTTCTAAAATTTCCCAGAAGTTATACCTTTGTCTATGCTAAGACTATCATATTTCTATAAAATGTGACTAAATTAAATAAAAAACGGGAAAATAATGCATTTAGCTAAAAACAATGGAGTTAATGAAAGGTGTACATTCTTTTAAAATAAATGGAAAATTTGAGAAAAATATTTTTAGCTTAATAATTGATACAAATTCTTTATTTGGTGATTTATGTGGTGAAAGTTCTTCACTTACTAATCAAGACCATTTAAATCCCTATTCATTCTACTATAATTCAGGGCACATGTTTGTGTCTATTGAATACCTTGATTTTTTGTTTTTACCATTGGCTTTGGCTACAATATATTATTTAAAACATAATGAACTTTAATTTTCTATGACCCCAAAGTGCGGTCGTTTGCCTGATGTTAAAAAATTCATATGTACCTGTTTAACGCACTTTGGGGTCGAAATTGGACCCCAAAGTGCGTAACGCACTCTGGGGTCGGACCCCAAAGTACGTAACGCACTTTGGGGTTTAACCCCAAAGTGCGTTTGACCCCAAAGTGCGGTGTTACAGAGCTGCATGAACAAATAAGTCGAAATTGTTATTCATTTTCGATTATTTATCAGTTGTGCAGTATGTAACGTATATAAATATTGTGATTTCAATATGATTACTTCGTAACCAGTATACATTGTATCGATATTTATACAGTATATAATAAAAGTATAATTATTATGATTAAGATAAAAGATCTTTATGGGTTAATCACAATAAAATATCATAATTTCTGAGCTATCATAACAAAGTCTTTAATTGTTGGCAAGATTATCAGTACAAAATAGTAACAAAAGTCAAATATAACAATCTTTGCTGTATAATTTGTTAAGAAAACGGATTAAATCAAAGTTAAATGGGTCATTTACTGTAAATATTAGTGTAAAATATTTACATAGGATTAACTGCTAAAGTAAACGTTATTCTAATTTAATCTTATCTAAATCACTTATTACTTATGTATTACTTTTGTGTTTATTTATTTATTATAAAAAATGATGAATTTATTAGTGTATTATTTAAGATTTCCTGTTAGTAAAGCTTATGATATTCATGTATTTTTGACAAGAAATTGTTTTGTGGGTTTAAAAAGTAGGGTTGTAAACTGTAATGTGAAGAAACGATGCTTCCAGCGTACCCACTCATATAATTACTGAACACCTTAATTAGATCGTACTACGCCAGTAGCGTAGAAGTTTGAGACTTTAGAAAAAATAACAATAAAAATGTAGGAATGAAGTCCGTATTTTAATATGGTGTACTGTATTGGCTTATTGTGTTTTCTACTGACTATAAGATTTCAATGTCGAGTTGGCAAAAAGTTATAGCATGATAAGTGTCGTTGTGTATTCATGTTTTTTTAAACATCAAAAAGCTCTTTTTAAACATATTTTTGGTAATGTTTCAATTAATAATTGCAGGATTTTCGCTATAAGAGATTGTTCCAAACTATGCGTTGATAGCAGGGTTATAAGTATACCTAATGGGAATTATTTGTCTTATATTAAAATTGTCGTTTTTTTCAGATGATGACTGCATAACGTTCGATGAATTCTTCCCGTTTTTAAAAAGTCTTAAAGATCCATCTGGAGAGCTAATGGACGCATTTAGACTTCATGATAAGAATGGAGATGGTTTTCTTGACGAAAAGGAACTAAAAGGTAAATCTTACGTGTTTATTAAGATAATATGTTATAACATATATATTTTTTTCATAACTTTTTATAAAGTAGAAATTATTGGAATAATTTGTGCAAACGTTATTTGTAAAACGAAAAGAAATTTATGATTTTTGCAAAGCTGTTCAACATGGAATGGTTTTCATTTCAGCCATTTTTACCAGTGGAAATTTCAACCCAAATGAGATTGATGATTTATTCAAACTAGTAGATTCAAACAACGACGGTAAAATTGAGTTCAAAGGTAATAAAATTTCCAGGGTTTGCTGTTCATTTTCATATTTATTACAGTACAAATATTAACAACATTAAAATCGTCATCGGATACAGCCCGTAACGCCGGAGTTTGACAGAAGTGGAGAAATTGTGCAAAAGTAACACCGAGTTGTACAAACATATTGCTGAAACGAGCAACAAGTAAACGAAATAATATGGTTCTAAACTAATTAAATTGAAAGAAATGAATAAACGCACCCGGCTGGTAAGCCATTACATGTTAAACATCAATACAAATACTTCAAGAAAATCGTTAATTTTCATGATGATTCGTTAAAATGACGACAAGGCTGTAGTATGCGTTTCGTTGAATAACTCATATGCGGTATACCTGAGACATTTGCCGACATTCTGTTTATAAAATATTATAATTCAGACATTTTATGCCGTAACGCTTAAACATGTAAACGTCGCCTACAATAAGATAGTTAGGTCGTCATTTTCACGATTGATTTTGAAAGCAATCACTTCTTTGAACATTTTGTAATGAGGGTTAACATAAAATGTCTACTAATAAAGTGATATATTTCCATTTGATTTACGATATATAAGATATTTGTCTGTTAAATTGCGTGCTTTACACAAGCACAGTTCGGCGGCGTTACTTTTCTATGGCTGCTGCGTTATTCTCACATCCTTATTCGTTCCGGGATATATACGGTGCTTAATGTACTTGAAGAAAATATATTTTTAATTGTTTGTGACATTATCTTCTATAATTGATAGACATTTGATAGATAAGTGAATATAGATTGTGTTTTAAGAGATTCTTTAAAAGATTTCATATATGATAATATCATTTTTATTGTTCACTATAATAAACAGACAGTCCTAAATTTAAACATGTTTTTCCTTTTCAGAATTTGTCGAACTTTTCACAGAAATGATGTGAAGCAGGCATGACATAGTTAACCAGATCGCAAACATAACTTTTCAAACACGCAATACGTGAATACATTCATCAGCCGTTCATACGTTCACCGCCAGTTGATAATAATAACTACTCACTGATATTCCCCAATCCTGTCATCACTTAAAAAAACTAAATCTTTGTGTGTGCCTGAGCAACTTTCGAAAGTTTCTTCTGGACGTTGAGAAATTTATTTTGTAAATAAATGGAAAGCGCACGACATTTAAGACAATATTTGATATTATAGAAGAAAATGAAGCTTTATTCTTTCATAAATCTCACAATACACAATTAACAAAGCCATTATAGCTCATAGTCACATTTTGGTATATACCCTTATGAATTAATAGTACCATTAGTCAACAGTAAATCTGTCAATAAAGTAAACAAAATATATGTAAAAATAGTAAGATGCAAGAAACAAGATACACTACTCTTACAAGATTTAAATGCATTTGATTCGTAATTACTTCCCTTACATTTCAAAATATCTAATACAAAAGAATATGTCTGAGACTCGTTCCTAAAAAATGTGACTGTTTTAAAAATGTTTTTGTTCATAATTGAATCTTAAATGTTTATTAAGATCCATATAAAATATAAACTAAGTATAAAACATTATTTTGCATCTTCTTATTTTTGGTATTATTTGTATAAACAATGTTCCAACATGTCAGTACCTATTTACGTACGCACGTAAAACGGTTAACGGTGATTAGGTCAAAAGATATCTGGTAAATAATTTTTTAGATTTCCTTCATGAACCTGTTCTCTGGTAAATTTTCCTATAAATTTTATTTGAAAAATAGTACTAGCACGATTATATGTGCAATATTACGACTATGTGCATTTGTATCTTATTATTTGTAATGGCATAATAATATTACAATTGTTAAGTCTGAATTTGAGTTTCTCTCCAGTTTTGTTATTTACGTACTTCATATTTTTTTAAATATATTTAAATGAACATTTTATTGAAAAGGAGTGAGTGTGTTTTTGTTGTTTTTCCCCCTGCTTATTGCATTGCATGTTGTCGTTTTCCTCGACTTATATGCAGCATTTCCTAAAACCTTGTATAAAACAATGTGTCCAGATTTTCTACCAAGTTGAACTCTGATTGATTTTAAAATCTTACTTTGAGCCAGAACGACTGCATACTGTTTTACTTTACTATCCTTTTCAAGAACAAGGTTAATAAAACTGACTCGTGAATATTTTCTATTTAACTTTAATTATCTTACCAGCGTAATGATAAGTTTCTGTGTTATAGGGGTAATGAAAGAAGAAATGTTTTCATCTTTTTATATTTTTAATGCAAGTTATATTACAACTGATATTTATAACAACGAATTTTACTTTTTGTTAGATCTATCTGAATTTTATTCATAAAATAAAAAGTAATACCGGTCTTATTGTTTCAAAAATTCGGGAGTCAAATGCTAAACATGTTATAGCGAGGCCAAGTGTCTATTGTCTGTAAGTGAACGGTGGTAGTTACCCTTCGGTCACGGGTCAGGTGGTCAATTTGTGCATCCCTAGCAAGGTACAAGCGAATAGCCGTGGAAAGGATTTCATAATCAATCACACCAAAATGTCACCTGCACCGTCCGGGGATTCGAAACCGGGTCGCCCGTTCTCTGTTTAAGATAGTAACCTCATTATATTACACACGAAAATTGACACGTATATTCACACATTTGCATTTTTCCGACAGATGGGTAGAGCAAAGTATAGTTTGCAATAAAATATACAGAGATGAATTGTACAAAAATAGAAAACTTTGCCTGAGAAGTACTTAAAATTGTTATTATTCAAGCTTCAATAGTGTATACGTTTCAGAACTGAAAACAAATTTTCTTGTCGACCTTTCAAAAGGATTTCTACAGGGCATGTTAAATTTAGTCATATAGTTTGGTTTCTTTTCGTTGTAACAAAACTGACAATGTGAAACTAAGCTTAACTTATACTTCATTAGTCTTTGAATTTGTGTAATGGATTTGCGTTGTTCGTATAAATAGTCCAAAATATTGCCAACAGTTAAGAGCCTGATCAGACTGATCCAGTGTACAGGCTGACTAGACGCTGGGCTAGCATAACCACCCTTACCCCCCCCCCCCGGGTATTTATGTACACCTTTATAGTATTGAAGCTTAGGGTATGTGCTATCAATTGGCACTTGTTGTTTAGCTGAAACGTTTACCATGAGAACAAGTTGATTATCACCCCTTGTATCATATTTTTTCTATATAAGTTTTATAAGAGTTCTTCAGATATCTTCTCTATGATATTTGAAGTTTGTGATCTAAACATTGTTTTGAGTTGTAAATATATGTTTTATGATTTATACAAAAAGTTTTAAGTTTTAACATAAAAATAACATAATTAATGGTGTCCGCCATTTTAAAATGGCCGCCAATTATTGAACAGATAAACAATTCATAACAATATTTAATGTGTTTATACCCATTTATAAATAGTTTGATGTCATTATTAATTATATATGATATGCTTAGTGAAACTAACTCTATGCTGGGTAGAATTTTAAATAGTCTGCTCTTGAATATTATTTCAATTTTATAGAGATATGAACATAATTGTTTGGGGTCGATTTGAGCTGCCTTTAGAGTTCGATATACATGTACTTTTAATTGAATTTCATGCGAATATTGACTTTTTGTCCTCTCTAGAAACTTAATATACTCTCACTTATATGAAATACAATTTAAAAAGTTGGTAGTTGACTTATCCGTTCGTTCCTGCTTCTGTATCTTCATATGACTATATTGAATTGTAAAGCTTACCCGCACCAAAATGACTATTTGACAGAAAGGCTGCTCGTTGAGTTCCACCAAAGGAAACTGTTCTTACTCTTATTTTATTTAGTTGGTAGTTTTTCATTATTATTATTATAATAATAATTGAGATTAATGCATTACATTTCATTATCATTGTTACTCCCCTTTAAAAAACATTATAAAGTTACTTCCCCTATTTTCATTGCGCCATTAGAAAAAAAGCAGAAGTACAATAGTATGCTTCTCCCTTAAAATCAATTGTTTTATAGTGATTTTGTTGATAAAATCTTTTTTGAAATGCAACACAGCATATGACAGCATAAGACACTGATGAATCATTTCGGACATTGTCAGTCATACTCTCAGATTTTGGAGTTGGAAACTGTGTAACAGTACCCTTTATCAGGACATTATTCTCGTGTCAGTCATACTCTCAGATTTTGGAGTTGGAAACTGTGTAACAGTACCCTTTATCAGGACATTATTCTCCCTGATGCAAATTTTGCAAAAAGCAATTTGATAGCACATTTGTGCTGGGACCATTTCCATCTCATCCGTCTAAATAACAACCCATACTGCACTTCAAGAAAGAGAACAGCCGTAAGATGATGACACTAAAAGAGAACAAACATCTTCTAATATATCAAATATACAGGCGACTAAGGCACGCACTGTTAAATACAAACCTGAAGAATTGGCTAAATGCTTAATTATTGGGAAATAAGAACCATTTATCAATACTTTTCGACAAAGGAAATGTTTCGGGTTTTGCTGTTTCATCTGACTTTCTATGGTTCATGTGTACATGACAAGCAGATTGTTCTAAGTTGGGCTGGCTGGATCTCTCTTATTATAAACATCTGAGTTGCAAGATCAAACATCCTCTATAGAAGAGCACATTTATACCAATGTACTTTATTGCCCAAAGTACAAAAAATGCCAATGTTCAGAAAATTCTAGAAATTTCAAGTGTTTCAAGAGCTGTAAACCAACAGTACACATTTGTGACCTTTGATTTCGCTGCTGCTAAAAGGCATATTCTTTAGTATGGAAAATCCAACTAAGTACAGTGATACTATCAAACATTTAGGGGCTTTTCGCTTGCTAGGTTAATACCTAGGGGGGATTGGCAAACGGCATCGTGGAAGTCGTTTCTCAGAAATCTGATAGAGAAGAGTAAATGTGTTAATGTGTTCACAGTTGAAGCTCTCGAAAGACTGCTTTTGAAGATTTTGTAGCAGCAGTTATCCAAATCCATAACTCTAGTGCATTGGAAGATATTAACCAAGCGTTAAATGTGCTAGCTGAGAATCAAAGACGTGAACACCTTGTAGATGTGTTAGCTAATGATTCTGTTTTTGAACTTTACAAGAGGTATCAAGAGTTCAAGGAAGACTTCGGAAAAGGTCACTTAGGGAAGACGGCACAGTTTTGAATGGATCTATTGTTAACATTTGGCTGGTTCTTTGTTTTATGAGAGCAACGAAGGAAAACGATCTTGACCTATACATATCAACATTATAAAATATGCTACAATTATTCTTTGCATATGATCATCAAAACTATGCAAAATATCTATCTGTATATGTTCTTATGCAACACACCCAGGATCAAGAGAGCTTATTCAAAAATTCTGTAAATATAACTATTTAGCAAAAAATATACATTCATGCAAAGTCTCGTAGAGGCATAATAGGATTCAGGAGAAACTTTGCTGCCTACTACAGATGGAGTCAAACACAACACTCGAGATCCAGCTATGTTGAGGCTACATTCCGCATGGCCGGCATATCTTCAGTGGATTATTCTACACACATTGATACACAATTAGCAAATATAGCTGCATTTGAAAAAAAAATGTCACGAAACTCAAAGAATCAATAACTAACTTTATGAATCCATTTGTTACAGATAATAGGGATGTGTTGTTCTGTTTCAGTTCAGGGGCTCCTGCACCAGAACAGATCGAAAAGAGTCTGCTTGATGCCTATCGAAATGGACTTGAGGCACACAAAAAGCTCGCCCAAGAACCTCTGGTTGATAAAACTGTTAGTTTTATGCGCCACTGAAGAAGCAAAACTGAAAAACCTTTGCCGATACAAAGAAAGTTAAGAAAGTGACATAAACTCAGAACAATCTTATCGAAGTTAAGATCGCTGGCAATGTCTTCGGTCAGCTTATCATGCTATCAGAAGGAAATGACATTATCCTTAAAAAGATACTAACGTACCCGCTTGGACCAGTCCCTTGGTCTCTAGCTTCAGCAGATGGCTTACCAACAAAGACTGCCAAGGCAAAACTAATTCATGATCTCGAAGGCGATTATACAATGAACAGAGGCCAGGTAACAAAAACATAATATACATATATCTTGAAGCACTTTCTTGTCTCCCTTCAACCTTTTAATACGCGCTGAAAAAGATTTTGAGATTTTGCCAAAATGTGTGCGTGCAGACTTTGTGACAGATACGTACAAAGCAGAATTTATCAAATCTGCAGAAAGGTCATGAAGAGGAATGAGTGATACATACCTGATAAAATGCAGCAAAACCAAAGTTTTGGTAAACTGGAAAGGTTTTTTTGTAATAATAATAAAAATAAGAAACAATTGATAAGATTTATATTACAGGAATTGTCTAAAGTTAAATCATATGCAGGGAAATTGGACGGAAGGAGAATCTTGTGCTTATTTGTTTGTTTGTTTGTTTGTTTCATTTTACGCCTTTACCCAACAGTATTTCAGTCATATAGGCGGGTAGTTTCTTAACCATCGTTCCTAGAGAGATACACCAATACTAGACTACCTTCCTCCGTGCTAAACTACCAAAGCATCTCCCGGGGATCAAACCCAGACATGTGTATTCCTCCAATGTAAAGACGGAAAAGTAGAAGTAATACCAGATCTACATACGTCTCAGGAGGAAGAATTATGCTACATATGCAACATGCGACTAAAAATGATGACAAAGCAATAATTGTACTTTCTCCTGATACTAATGTTATGGTATTACTTCTAACGTAAGCACAGTCTATCAACAGTTTAATACTATTTGACACAGGTGTGGCTAATAATAGAAGACTGTTTGAAGTAAATAAAATCATTGATAGACTAGGACAAGATCTTTGCAAAGCATTGATTGGGCTACTTAGTTTCACTGGATCTGATACCACGAGCCTTTTTTATGAGGAGGGGGGAATAATAACCAGTTCTCAAGAGAATGGGCAAGAGTGTTGATATTCAAGAATAAGATTTCAAAATTTTAGAACAGTTTGTTTGCATTTTATACAGGAAAGACAAATAAAGTGTCATAAATAAGTTGCGCGTTGACATTTTCAGACAAAAGTTTAGACCAAATGCAGACATACTTACAATTACCTATGTTATTGACTTGCGTTCAATACCTGTTACCACCATATCTTTCCACATTAAAGATGCATATTATTTTTAGATCAAATTACCAAGTATTTGTGTGGTGAAATGCATTTTGTCAATTCCCAACTATTCCAAGTCCTGATAGATATGGGTGGAATACTAGTACAACCGGAGGTCTCACATATACATTGTACCTGGACAGAGGGAAATATACTACCACCAGAATTAATTGAAATCATAGCTAATACGAATGCAAGTGAAGTGTTAGAAGATGATTAAAATGAAGAAGGTGATCTAGAGGAAATTGAGATGGAAATGTATATTGATGTCATTTTCGAAGAAGATTTCGAGTAATAATTAATATGTGACTAAAAAGTTATTTTGGAAAAAGGGGGGGGGGGGTAATTTATATCCTTAAATAGCATTATAAATAAACCAAATTGAACATCAAAAAGTATATTTAACTTCTATAATATTTATACAAACAATTTTTTTATAATTAAGAAATGTTTTGCTTTTTTTCAAACAAAACCACAAAGTTTATATTAAAATGTTAATAAAATAACAGGCAAATGGCGGCCATTTTGAATTTCGCGGCCATTTTGAAAAGTAATAACATCAATTAATTATGAAGTAAATCATTTTAGAAACCTTGTCTATGATCTAAAACAAAAACCGACCACATAATTCATTTGGTTAAAAAATTAATGGTTATTTCAATTAGGATGTTTATTAAGAAATTGTGACAGGGGCAGATAATTCACATTGGCTTGTGTCTTAATGGTAAACGTTTCAGTCAGACAACAACTTGCAAATGTCCTCCTATATGTTTATTTTTAAAACTACATGGGTCCCATAAAGTACCCAGAGGGGATAACCTTTTCCATTTCTAGCTCATACTCTAGAATTGGAACTTGACTTGTGACAAAATCCAGTCACTTTTGGTTTTGGTTCCTGCATGTTAGGGAATTTTAAACTTCTCTGTTTGTACTGAATTATTGATTCGTTTTGCACTAGTAAACACATTTTTTATGGTTACAAATATAATTAATACTAAATCCATTTAACAATTTCACAACTTACTTACTTTATAATTAAACAGCATGTTTTGAAGTTTCCGGCATTATCTGACATTCGGGATTTTACAATGTGTCAGGGTTAAATCGTATACATATACATGCACAGTGCGTTAACTGGAGTGCGGGTATTAGTTACCCGCACTGCAGAGCGTGCCCATTGATTGGCTCATTTTTGCTGGGGTTTACATATTGTGACGGCAGAGAAAGGAAAAGCGACAGAAATATCATATTCAGATGTTCGTTCATTGGTTCATTTTTGCCGGGGTTTCATATTGTGACAACAGGGAACGTGTTTTTATGTTTGACTATGATACAAAAGAGAAAAAACACCAAAACACTCGGTAATCTGATTAATACTCGGGGGCTACGCCCCCGAGTACAAATCAGATAACCTCGTGTTTCGGTGCTCTTTCTATTACATAACCTTAAAATGATTCCCACCCTGTAATCAGACTTAGTGATAAAATATGTTCGTAATGATCCATTCTTACACGCTTCACATTATCTAAGGAAAAGCACAAAGTACTGAGGACATCATAGCAATACAGTACCGGTCAGTGAGCTGGCAAACATCCGAGGGTTGAGGCCCGTTCAATGCTTTGGGCTGACTGGGAGGTCTGCGTCGTAGAACGATAATGCACGGTTTATCGGACAAATGTTTTGTAAATATTTTAATATTGGCCTTTGTGATTATACTCCTGCACATTTAAACTCGAAACATGTTCTGTTCTACAACAACTTACTCAAAATTAATATCTATTTCCTTAATAAAAGTTCAACTTTAAACTATATTTCGCACTTGCATATGTTAAAAGCGTAATTATCAACAAAAAAAGAATTTCAAAGTAAACTTACAATAAGTGTTTAGATCTACGCTAAACGTTGAAGCTTTCAAGTGAAAATAATGTATCAAAGCTCGCATAATATATTCAAAAGGTATGATACATATCATAGTAATAATTAAAATACATAAATAAAAAATAAATAAATTTCGTTAAATTTCTATCATTAATATTCTTAACCACGTTCTGCTTGCACTTGCATTTTGAGAATCATCAATTACTCCACGGTTGCCAAAACTAATCAATATTGATCATCGATCAATCTTGACTGAAAGTAAAATTTAATAAATGAATTATTTGAAAATTATTCACTCATCAATTTAGTTCGTATACAGCACTGCGTAAATTATGTATCCGTTACAGATAAGTGTATACATTTTGATACAGTTAAGTATTCTTTAAAGAATTTATCAAAACATTCATTCACACAGGTTTAGAGACTACATTAAATATATAAAACTACTGTCACTTTTTAATATCATTCCACAACTTCGATCATTAGAAAAAATATAAGCGGACTAGTAAGGATATAAAATAAAAGTGTAAAGACTATTTAGATTTTTTAAAAAGGTAAATTTTATTCACAACCTATGTATTTCTGTATTTCATTTTGGAACGACGGAAACTTAATATTAATTTATTAACTTAATATATATTAATTTATGTATTAATTTAAAATATATCTTATTTTTGCTGGTTTTCGTGAAGTTGGTATCCATGTTAAGTCACTTCTACTTCAAACTTCACCAAGTTATAAACAGCCTATGAGATTATATTTTGTATATTTGGTTGTATTTCCTTAAATAAAATGTACGTAAGGAGAGCTTTTATCATGCACTATCTCGTTCGTCAGGTTTCCATGGACACATCTATGATATCACTAATTACAAAATTGTGCCATTTACACTCATGTTGCAAGATGAGTGAAAGATGGTTTAAACCTGTGCCATCCATGAACAGGCTCGACAAATTCGGGTCTGCAACATTTTCATATTGTTTAGGTTTGAAGCCCTTTGATGTGTTAGTTCACATTTCACTATTTTAAGACATCTCTACACTGTTAGTCAGAGTTGTTTTGATATTTTGATTAATGAAATAATACAAGAATGATGTTATACATTATATTAGGTCGAGTCTAAATTTGCTCTTTGGATAGCTTATTGACTCGAAAGACATTAAAACATCTAAAGACAGTGTTCACTCTATGAAATAAAGCATGACTTAAAATGTATTGTTACATTATACAAACAATAAATTCGAAGTTTATGTGTACGAGGGATATATGTACACAACGTTTCGAAGCGTTTGTATGCAACAAAACTAGGAATTTAGTATGGTTAATTGACTGTTATTTCAATATATCTAGGTTGTTTCATATCTTTGGTATGAATGCTTAGACATAAGATTGATACCTTTAGAATTTAAAATACAATGCTTGATTTTAAAACAAGAGCCTGAATAAAGTAAACGATTCTACGTTCAAAAGGGCCTTAATTCTATCAAAATCCATCTATAGACAGTGATCTCTATTATTCTCTCAAAGAAGTGTGTTTCAATCAATGCCCTTAAGTATTTTTCAATGCAATCGTATTCTATTCTATTATACGTATAACCGACATGCGTGCAAAATAACTTAACCAAAGTTTGACGCCGACGCCTTATTGCGGTACAATAGCTTGCCCAAATTCTTCGGATAGTCGAGCTACTAATGTTCAATTTTCATTGAAATCAATATGTTTTATTTCGATTTTCCATCCCTATCTCGTCTTTGAGTATTAATCTGACCTTGAAAATTGCACACAGTACGTTTATATTGCAGATGGAGTTCGATGAAGAGGGTGAGTTATACATTTGAACTATAAGTATTAATTTTGTTTTCCTTAACTCATTTTGATATTATCACGTAAGAGTCTTAACATTCTAATAGTTATTTAATTAAAATTAGTTAAAATTACAAGGACTAATGACAGTAGAAATATATACACAGCTAATGTAACTTAATAACCAAAATTATAACATGATATGTTGATATTAATTTCATATAGAATGGAGAAGAAAGTTTGACAACTATGATATGAATAAAGATGGGGTAATATCTGGTGAGGAAATTACACGCTTGATGCAATATGTAGGATTTAATCCAACAAAAGCAGACGAGGAAGACTTTTTGCAAAGACTTGGAAAATCAAAATGCAGTAATTATTATTTTCATACGTTTTAGCTATATTGTCTTGTTAACAAAACACCAACGTGAAGTACATAAAAGATTCTTTAAAATAGCTAGTATGTTGAAATTGCAATTTATGTTTTAATAAAGTTTAAACACATTTCTGACAATTTATGGGTTTATAAAGTTTAAACACATTTCTGGCAATTTATGGCTTAATAAAGTTTAAAAACATTCCTGGCAGTTTTATTGGATTAACTACACCATGACAATGACGTAAAAGTCTACATGTTCTCATTTATCAGTACAAGCGGTTACGGAGGAAACATTGTGTATAACTAAAATACTGGGTTTTAGAAGCAGTCACCATTACCACTAGATCACCTTATCATTTAAAATGCCGGCGGCAACTGATACTATTCATTCTTACGGTGCAGACCCAGATAAGCTGTATTATCATAGTCTGCACTGTTCGCTTGTTAGTCAGTACATATTTGGAAAATTTTCCTAAAATTGATGAATGGTGTTGTCCAGATTGAAAGCTCATTTAAAATATTTAGCGTAGTAAGGGAAAGTATATGTCTTAAGTGGCCATTTATCCAGCCATAGTTGAGTTGATATATTCAGAGCTTTTCCGTTCCTTATCATTTATAACGTAAAATGTGATAAACAAGATCAGCAAGGAAAGGCGGCGTTCAATGAACGCAACCCCCACGAAAAGCAACAAGAGCCAGCGGCAAGGAGCCCAGGAGGACCCCAAACAAAAACAGGACAGGGCACAAGGGAGATCATGGGCAGGCTAATCACTAAATCATAAATAAGAAGAAATAATAAGTAACTGTAACACTTTGTATGAATAAATTGTTGAAGAGTTCAAAACATCAAACATTAAACACCAATAACTTACAATAAATAACTATAACGACCAGCAAGTTATATGCACAAAATCTTGTCATCAAAAGTTCGCTATTTCAGAGGAAGAGGAAATAATAACTTTCGAGGAGTTCTTTGAGCTGGTAAAGACACTTCCCGATCCGAGTGGAGAGTTGTACGTGGCTTTCAAATGCTTTGATAAAGATGACAGTGGTTATATTGATAAAGAAGAATTAAAAGGTGACTATATTTACGCAAAGATTCGTGTCTTATTGAAACTTTTACACTCAAAAAGAACGAAGATGGTAATACCTGTAGTTTGCACTTAGAAATACTACATGTTTCCCTAAAAATGATTACAGGATGCAAAAAAACTTAGATATTGCAAGTTTTTTGTAAACTTTGACAAGGCTGTAATGAAAATACTTGACTTTTATCATTTCATTTATTTCTCATATGATTAATTTGTTGAGGTTATTGCATTTAATCTTGAAATTGACAAATATCTTTGCAGAAATATTGACAAGTGGATACATGGATCCTAATGATATTGATGAAATTTTTGCACTGGTGGATGACGATAAAAACGGGAAAATTGAATTTAAGGGTACTTGTATACTTTTCTTATTTAACCTGCTAATTAGCCCTCTTTTAAGTGGAACTGAACAGATGAGGCTATAAAAATGTAAAGGAAATGTTTTAATGCATTGTTTTACATCTAATTGTAATAAATCCGCTAACGCGGAGCTAGAATCGCGAAAATATTTAAAATCGGGCCACATTAAACGTCTGAAAGGGTCTTAGTCAGTATCTTATATTTCTTCGGGCAATGTGACTGTTTCTTTAAAAGTGCCGATAATGTAAACGGAACTCAAAATGAAGTGTACACGAATAAAATCACATATGTATGACAAAGCGAAGTCAAATGGGCGCAATGCAGTCATTTATTTAGAATCTTTCTTATAATTATACAAAATGTAATTAATCGTTTAAATTTCAAAATTGATAATTTTGGTAAATTCATTTAAGGATAGCATTATTATATTTTCATGCTATTTTACTTTATTTTCATAGTAATACATGTAGTACTCTAATTGAGATATTGAAAAATGATTATCTGGTACTTTTTTTAAGTTAATTTTAAAGATATACTGTGCTCAAATTTGATTTTAGAAAATATGATAATTGCTTCACAGTCTCTTTGTAAATATTAAATAAACATGTTATGACATGTATTCACACGAAGTAAAAACGTTATGTTAAAATTATACACACCGTTGGTGATCACACAACATGAATATAGTGTCCTTAAAACTGACAGGTGTTTTTTAGAAAATACCAACTTTACTTGACCTGTAATAGGTAACACAGCTTCAAGACAAATTTAGTACGAATTTCATAGATTTCGTTTAAAATATTTTACTCAATTATGAGCATAGTATATCTTTAAAGAAAAAATGTGCAGTGAAAAAATCACGACAATAATTTAAAGTATAGAAAATGATCTCGTTCTTCTTTTCAGAGTTCATTACGCTTTTCAAGTAAAGATCATAGTTGCTAAGAAGCCAGCATTGTTGTTTCAACTTTGGTCATCAATAAAGAATTCAATATATCCAATATACATGTATCAGTATTGACTACCTGATTAGAAAATCTGATATTGTTTGGTGCGATCAATTATAATCTGTATATTATTGTATGTTAATATCATAACCATATTTTACACGTCAAAAGAACATAACTCTACAATTTGTTAAACATTTAGCCCGCTGCAGTCCAAAGTGTGTAGTCTTTGCCACCAGTGCACCACTAGAATAAATCCAGGAATATCATTTTGATAATCTCAAAATGATAATGGACTGTTCAAAACAAGGAAGTTGTACAAGTCTTATTCACTAGGTTTAGGATTAATTTAATACATGTACAATGATGATATAGCCAGTTTATGTTGTGACATTCAAAGATAGACAAATACAAAGACATGTTCAATATGGTCAAACATTTTTATCTCAATAATTAGTTTTTATCCATTGGCACATTTCGATTGAATCCTTGCTTGAATATTACTGCATATATATGGATATACACATTGCCTTTTGTCAAATTTTTCTATGACAATTCAATATTACATAATTATATACTTCATTGAATAAATTTTGTAAAAAACGAAATTTTCTTTTAAATCAATTCTTGTCTTCTATCTGTTAATAGTGACCTACCGTTTTATGAGTAATAGAACTGGACATACAAAACAAGATCCGTTCATTTTGTTACATCCGTTTTTAAATAATAGCTGCAACTGGTATAGGAATTACTCCTGTTTTAGAGATCACTGAGTGTAAATAATGTCTTAACCCAGGATGGAGAGTTTTTCTTAGTTATCGACATGTGCAAAGTTATTACATTCAGATATAGGAAAACATGGTAAACAAAGATTCAAAGCTATAGTTTGTTTTAACAACTTGGCAACTGTAACAAAGTTCTAATAATTTAAAATTAGATTCCGCAATTATAATTGGTCTGCTAAACAACTTACTTGACAAGTGCCTTGTACATTGATGATAAACGGTAGTTTTGTGTTCAGACAAGTATTTTGATTATTAGGGAGCTTTATCAGTGTTTTAATAATAGATTTTGCACCTTCAGCAAACTATACGTTTTCTCTTTATTTACCGTGACTCCTATCATTTTTGAATATTATATACCAGTTCTGACCAGTACTCTCAGATTCTTTTAGCACCAGCAGTCAAAATGACTTTTTACGATCGATTCTTTTATTTCCTGTACAGTATTCCATTTATAGTCAAGGGAGTGAATGTTTTGATGCCGCAGTTGAGAAAAGAAAATAATAATAACTTCATTGCTGTATATAAAACTTGTTTTACTTTTATTACTTCTGAATACATTTCTAATTCAATACCTGGTAATGTTATTGTTATGTTTTGTGAGATAAGCAAACTGTAAAAGCAAATCTTCTCTAATACACACGATCCTTTTTAAAAATACAAAGTCCTAATCATGATAGTCCTGACATATATAATTCCATCACACTACTTAATTTATATAAAATAGAAAAAATGTTTTTATTGAATCAGTATTTTGTTTTATAGCTGCGCCGAGATGTAAGAAAATATTCAGATTGTGTCGGACATTAGCGTCCTTGAATTGCTGGTATAAGTTTTATTTCTATACAGTATCGCGATCTTGATCGGACAATTATTTTACAAATATGTAATAGAGGAAAATGAAACAAAGATCACATTATTGATTTCAGCAAGTGAAAATAAGCAAAACTTAAAGGTATGCAATGTGTCTTTTTTAACAATATCATCGACACTGACAATTTCGAAGACAATCTTATCATATGAAGATGGAATAACACATTTAAGATATTTGTGATTTTTAAAATGAAAAATGCATATAAACTTTAAAATGAAAAATACATATATACTTTAAAAGCAAATCATAACAATCATATAGTATTCGGATGTGCATCTTTAAGTATTTCTTTTTTATCCTGTAACGTTATTTACGTGAAAATATCCTTATATTCTTTACTCTTACAGTGATAAATAATGTAACGTATATTCTAGTACTATAATTTTTGTGAACACTTCATGCTGTCAAAGCTTATCACTTAGTTATATCGATAGATCTTTAGCTGTAGGTATTGATTGACCATGAAACCGAACTGTTTTCTTTTAGACATTAATGATATACATATTGATCTTAGTTAGATCTCTTTCATCTTTCCTTCTTGAGAATAACTTTGAAATATTGGATCTGGAGAGAATGTCAATCAGCATCAACTTGCACGGCCAGATTTCAGAAATATTTTAATTGATTTCTGATTAGAAGTTCTTTAAGAGGATTACGCATCGTAAATTATACTTTACTATTTTTTAACAAGGTTGGCAAACGGTGAGAAATACTTGGTCATCCAGCACGAACCTTTGAAAAATGGTAAAATATATTTTTATACATTTATATGTTATGATTTTATTAAGAACCTTTGAAAAATGGTAAAATATATTTTTATATATTTATATGTTATGATTTTATTAAGAATTCTAAAATATGTTTTTGTTATAATTTATTTATTTATTTATCTATTTAGATCTATTTATTTTCATTTTTCTACTTATTGAGTGTTTTCTTTCTTATCAGGAAAATATTTGTGTTATTTTAATTGAAATTTAATGTAAAGGTGGTTAATTCATATACGGAAGAAAAGTTTATTTGGGCTATTCACATGAAAATGCTTAGAGTTTGAGCGTGAAGCAACTGAAATACAAGCGCATTGTGAAACATGCCAATAATATCGCGATGAATAACTTTTTTGTTTCCTTCACTTGCGCAAATAAATTCATTACGCTAGTTCTAACACGAATTTACAATCAATCTAAAATATGTTTAAACTGAGTTCTACATTATTCCGTGTGTAAAGAGGTTATTATGGTAGCTTACTGCTGTTGTTTTCTGTTCTGTTTAGAAAATGCCATGTTTATGTATGATGTATGAATTGTACCGTTTACGTCAGTAATAATTTCTTGTAAATACTAAGTAAAATATTGAAAATATATAGCTAAATTTTATACACAGTTTGAAAAATACTTGAAGTTTTGGATAAAAGCGCTACCAACTTTAAGCATATCTTATTATAAATATTATCTTAAAAACTGAATATTCTGTTCCAGGCCCAACCTAACGATATAAATTCGCGACAGGGTAAGTGAATTTATTTATATGTCATTTGAAGCAACAAAAATGAAAAAAAGTACCAAAAAGCATGCTGGAAGTTGACATGAGTATGCATTTTCTAAATTCAGTTTAGCGCATTTCATGAAGAGACCACTTTCTTTGATTTGATTATTTTGTTAATGCAACATACCCTGTGGTCAGCCATAATGATGATTTTTTTTTTGTTATTGTTTTTGTTTTCGAGTAAAGACATCACAGTGAAAAACAGCGGTTTCGAGGGTCATTACGACAAAAGTCAATATTTATACTTTATTTACAAAGGACTTCATACACACTCAAGCAGAAAATATATATTTGATGTTCGAAAACTAAAATGTATCAAACCATATACAATTATATTGTCTTTAGTTTACAAAGTTATTGTTTAAACTATAATTTAAATTTTTCTCTCTAAAGATATAATTTAATTCTTTTTCTGTCTATTCTTTGATCAAAATTTTATTAAAGTAAAATTGGATTTAAAGGTATGGAAAGTACAACTGCTTTATTGCAACAGGTATCTAATGATATACCTTCTCTCTGTTTCATTTTTTTCAGAATGGATTGAGCTTTTTAATGAATTCGATACAAATAAGGACGGTGAGTTGTGTAAAGACGAAATTAAATGTCTAATGAGAGTGTTAGGGACTAATCCGACTGATGAAGAAGTTGACGAATACATAAAGGAAGTTGATAAAAATGGTAAGATGTCTTCGTTATATAAGTTGGGTAAATATCACAAATCTGTTGGTTGTAGAAAAAAAGCAAAAAATTGAAAATTGAATTCTTACTAGCCGTGCCTAATTCTAACGGTTACAAACATGAAGAAAAAAAATTTTCTTTGAATAGCTTGGTTCACATGGGTTTTGAACAAAGTTCATACAAATATACCATTTTGACTGACACAGTACAGAAACTAGGAAAACTGTGGTGTACATGTAACACTACCATCCGTAATTCTGTGGAAGGACCTTTTTGTTCATCTTGGAAATCAATGGTTATACTTTAGGCATTACCACTGGCTCCTCCAGACGGATTAGTTAATAAACGAATCACCTAGCCGCTTTCTCCTCCCTTTTTCTATGTAGATGCATTATAGGCTTATCATGTTCAAACTAGTGGTACACAATTCGCGTATTTGGTTTATAATATGATTGCCTGTTTCTCAGAGAAATAACAAACAAATGTTATTTAAAATTGTGTTTTTGAAACCCGTCTTTAAGGTCATTCCCGGTGCTGAAATTGAGCATGATATGAACCAATTCTGTACAAGAAGGTACTGATATATTTATGCCGTTCCTGCAAGTGATATGTCAATAAAGATGCATCACTTCATTATACATCAACTTGAATATCATCAATAAAAAGTCGATCGTCTGATCCAAACAAATAACATTAATATTCAGATTATTCTAGGTCAGTCACAGATTACAAATACTCTTTCACATTTATAAATAATTGTCTATTACATAAAATTGATTAAATTACACAGTGATTCTGTGGAGCACTTAACGAAATATGCGTTCAGGAAGAAGTAAATCACTTGCTTCTTTCTAAAGTCGATTTCTAAAATGACATTTTGCTCATTTTTTATTGTCAAGTTGAGCTGAATTAAGGATTGACATTTATAATGCTGCTTGACCAACAGTTGATACTTGAAAATGTTAAGAAAAAATATAAATTAGCTTAAAATATAAAAATACTGCCCCGCTCCTTCTAATAAATTAAACGGTATGGTAAATTCTGATGGAATTTCCTTGGGCCACCATCGTTCATGCGAAGAAAATTATAAAAACTGAAAGAAATAGCAAAATGTCAACTTATTGTGACTGTTCACTCAGTATATACCCCTTGGGTAGGCATGATTTCACTTATAACCAACAAATGTCTTGTTTGGTTTGTCAGTATTAGTTATAGATAACCTACTGTTTCTGTAATTGATTTATGAAACACTCTAAGCCATTGTCTCGGAATATTCTCTGAGAGATAGGCGGTGGTTACCCTGTCAATTTGTCTCTGTTTTAATGTTTTAATTGTACATAATGAACTTAAATTTTTACTTCCCATCGTAACACAATTCACTTTTAAGTATCATAATTCACTTTTCAGTAACATTATTAACTCTCAAATTATAAGTACCATCAAGTCATAATCAGAAATCAATTGTTGGATTGAACCATATAGATGAAGATTTTGACAAATGCGACAATTGTTTTATGTTGAATAATACGAGTATCACTAGGGACTTGTGCATGATTGACATCTTATGTGATAATGACTATTATTGTTGTTCCTATCCAGATGATGAGAAAGTTAACTGTGAAGAGTTTTGTACGTTCATGGAAAAGCAGCTAGCTAGCGGAGATCCAAAGGAGAAATTACGAGAGGCTTTTGACTACTATGACATAGACAAGAACGGAAAAATAGACAGGAGAGAACTCAAACGTAAGTTTATCCATGCGAAGATTTATCTTGCATACTATATGTAAATAAATGACTTGAATAAACTATTCTAATTTGAGACAGTTATAAATAAAATATGTCTAAGCTGTATTTATCGGCTATTTTATACTAGTTTGGACTTTTAATGTTAAGAAATTGACCACGATATAATTACGACTATAAAAAGAAATAAAAAGAGATCTATACCACTAACGCTATATATTTCCGCTGCCGATTTTCGTATCTGGCTATTCTTTTTCGCACCTAACTGTCGCGGAAGTAAAAAAGAAACGAAATTACAAGTTTCAATATCTCTTTATTTTCAATAATTATTTTATTTATCTTAACAATGTATCCGACTGGATTGTATAGTGTTAATAACACCATCTATGTAATTTTATATGACGTCTTTCAGGCGCATTTTATGAGCGAGTTACATGTTGGATGAGGTCATTATGCTGCTTATGAACGGTCATTTAAATTCCATTTTATAGGAGGGAGTATATGTTAACAAAACCAGACATTGTTTAATTGCAGTTCTACATCGTTTGTGTTTGTTTGTTTGTTTTTGTTTTGTTGCTTTTTGGTTGTCGGTTTTTTTTGTGAATAGCCAATTAACTATCTTTGCACATGGTATCACGTGAAAGTCGGAATAGGAATTTGAATCAATATACTTCCTTGCTTTAAATTACTTTTTGACCGTACATCTGCTTTCACTTTGGAAACTTCAAAACCAGTTAAAGCATAGTAAACAGGGGATTCTATAAAACTTGCTGTATATTGGATATTTAGCATCTATAATATCAGTTATTTAACATTTAGGCATTCTGATGGACTGTAGAGAAGACCCCAATGATGAAGATCTGATTGACGAGATAATTAAAACTGCTGATATAAATAAAGACGGCATGATTGACCTGGATGGTAAATGACCAGTTTTATTTTATACAAAATGTACTGTAGTTCGATAATGTAGGAAGCTATACGCTTATGTTTTTGCATCTGTTCCTGGAACAAGCCATTGCCAAGTAATGAATGAAAAATACCTTGTTCAAAGAAAAAACGATCTGCTCCAAACATCAGATAATACCTTGAATATTGAATATATTGAATATAACCTTGTAAAAACATAACTTGTCGGGAAATAATTGGCTTGCTTTTTTGTGGTTCGATTATAAATAATAATAAAAAGACGCATACTTAAAAAGAGTGATATTCGAATTTAGAAAAAAGGCTATCATTAATCACCAGTTGTTCATTCTAAAGTGATTTTACAACAAGAAAAAATCTTTTTTGTAATATACACATGTACAAGATAAGATTTATATGTGAAAGTTTACAATTTTATCATTCATCTTTCATTTCAGAATTTGTACAGCATCTACAGAATGTCTGAAATAAAGGAGAGAAAACGACAATAAAACCATTGGATTTATATACATCGTGTAGCAAACACTACTACAGTAGTAATAGTCGTATATGTTTTGTGGAATAATGAAAGATCTTACATCCCGGTCCGCAAAAGTTGTTTCTTAAATAATAGAAGCCATCTCATACAAAATCATGACAACAGATTCTTATCTAGTATAATAATGAGGAAGTTTGACCGGGAAAATGTTTCTTGTTTCAGTATGATGCAATTTATTTTTAGAACAGTGCTTATACGTATTTAGTCTTGTATATAAAATACAATCATCACCGCAGAAAAGTTGGAAACTTATATTATAGAATATTTCTAAAAGTGGCCATATTAAAGAATGTTTTATTTCTGTGTTCTTTTGAGGCATAAGTCATTATTCAGCTTTAATCTGTTCATGTAGGAGGGCAAGAGTGCCGTTACCGAAATGTGGCAAAAACACTATACAACATTGCATAATTTCCCATCGTGTAACTGCTGCTTTCAAATAGAAAACTACGTGACTTCGGTCGTACTATTAGCCTAATAGGCTGATATTCCTAATGGTATTGTCAAACTTCCATTTTATAATGTTCATTACCAAAATTGAGTGTATAATGATGGTCAGACTGCGCGTATGTGCAGGCGGAGATATAACTGGTAATTAAAGCTATTCATTAACGGTTTAAGTAGATTAAGAGATAAAGGCCCGTTATGCCGCAGAATGTTTTAATTTCTCAAAAGCTTCTTCATTTTTTTGTACTTTTAAAGTATCTAAAAAGTCATCTGCTCAGTGGTCATCTGTTTCTTTTTGGCAGTAATATTACGTTCATCTTGTGATTCTTTGTTGAGCATGTACTACTTTTCATTTTTCTAGTTACATGTTATCAACTTGAATTAGTATTCACATATACGCTCTATTAGACATAGAACGTTTTTCTCAAAATATACTAAACAATTTAATTTATGTTGGACCATTTTAAAATAAAACATATTCAGAGGTCTAATGTGACGTTAGAACGTTGAAGTGATGTGTTCAATATGGAACACGTAGTAAATCTGCTGGCTATGTACCATGTCAATATTAAGAATTATTTATTTGTCAAAAACCATTCTCAGTAATTTTATACAATACAGAGTCTCATATAAGTTCATCATATTCCATACATTTATACTGAATTCACCGTTGATACCTGTGTTTGAATAATCGGTGTGTAATCTTACATTTCAAGAAAACTCCCAAATATTTCAGCGGACTGATTAAAACGGGTTAAGTTTACACTAACATTATCATCAGTATGTTATTATATATTTTCATGTAATAAAATGTAGGTAATTAAAAAGCTGCCTTCGTAAAATTGGAGTTCATATTACAAACAAGTATAGACCAGCCAATAACTATATATAGTTCGATATCGAAATATCTTTTGTATTGCTAGGATCTATTGATACTTCAATATACAATCACGTTGATTATAAAGTTACTCGTTCTATATTTATGCTATTTTACGTTTATGTATAAATGTGATAAAGACCTGTGACGAGATTATAGTTGTAGTCAGTATAAAGGATATTCATCAATAGAAAAGAAGATGGTAAGCCTTTTTGTTATATTTGGACGTTTTATCTGTTTATTTGTTTATAAGATTTGGTTGGTCTGTCTACCCGTATGTACAGATATACAATGCATTGTTTCTCATAGTAAGCACTTGTAAATATGAAATGAGGTTTAACAAGAATATTGATATTTATTTTCAACGAAAAGACCTTGATGTTTGGTTAAAAATCTTAGTCTACGTTAGTATCAGTATTTATCGAAAAATTATAACTACCTTTACACAATCGCACTGGGGGTTATAAATGCTTGAAATATAATATAAAAGGGGTGTACCAATGATCCAAAATATGTAATTGATAACGTTTAAAAATGGTAACAATAACTTCAATAAGGATCATACGGTTGAGATGTTCATTGAGAAGTATTGTATAGCATTTGTTATGTTTATTGATTTGGTGTATAACATAACCAATATTAACTCTCTTTCATATCACAATGATTTTATGAGAAAACAAAACCCCAAAAAAACAAAACCAAGGTGAGGATACCGGTTTAAATTTAAATATAAAATCTTAAACTTAACGAGATATTTTGAGATGAAGCTGCATGTTTGTCAAAATTGCGTCTATATTGCATTTCAAATTCATAAAGATATTTAAATATTCCATCAATATATCATATTTCTCATATCCCCTTATCAAATGCTTTTCATACAACATTTATTTTAGTTTGATTGTGTAGAGCTTACTGTACAGGCTAACTCTCGAATCCGTTCCTTGAACTAAACAGAATTAAGCGATTGGTATGATATTCTTTCTCAAGGAGACAACGGCTATTGTCCCTAATGATGTTTGAAGCCATGCGGCAGCAATCCCTAGATTACTAGTCCGACGCGTTAACCACGTTACCACTCATTCACTTTGATATCTCCTTTGTAACACACTGATTAAAACAGTAATAGTATTTATTAGAAATGAAGTGTTGTTGATTTCTCATAATTCTTTCTTTGGCAGGATGAAGAGACTATTGCCAGGAAAGCTGGTAGGATACATCTTTCGTAATCATTTTAGTTATACAATGATACCTTAGTTTGGCAAGTATATTTTTTCCATTGTCTTCTTATATTGACATTGATGAATGACCATTCGTGATCTGATTGTTTAAAATTGTATGGTTGTTGTTTAGTGTGGTGATGTTGAATTAAAGTGTTCCTTTATAAGAACGCTTTATTATTTCTAAAACATTTGATCAAGTTGAATCTTCAAACTGTTTCTCGAGAATAAACATTATCTAAATGTTTTGATATGTCCTCTAAATTAATTTACATTTATTTGGCAAAGATTGGCAGGCAGTTCTAGATGATATGGATTTGGACCAAGACGGAGCTCTGAACAGAGAAGAAATACGTGTAGCAATGAGCCGAGGTGGCTATAATCCAACCGATGAAGAAATAGAATCAATGTTCAGAGAAGGCGGTATATCCTTGCTAAAATATTGAAAATTTATAAAGAAAAACTTTTAAATTGAGCTCATTTAAATTTTGGTACAGTATTGAATATAGTACTACTATCCATTTATATTATCAGATACATTGTATATAAAACCTCTTTAAATTGAACCACCAAAGAATAGTTTACCGCTCGGTTAAGCTATACAGAGGCTTAACATTTATGTCGTTATTTACTTTTGTTTTTAAATACCGACTGAAACAAAAGGGTAAATAATGCAACTATAGCTTTCTGAGACAACATTTGCCTTTGAATGCAGTATGTAAGTGTGCTTACGTGGGTAGTGATATACACAAAGTGTAGATGTTTCGATGTCCCTAAAAAAACAAAATGTTTCCATGCATGTCATAATCCCAGCATTTGACATCAAATATTCAGTGCAATCGCTATAAAATATAAAGTTAAAATGACAAAGATGAAATATTTATTTTTAACCACAAAAGTGTTTCAATGGATCTAAACCGTTCTGAAAGTGCTATTTGTATTACATGGTGATGTTGCAATGCATTTGTTTTCTATAACTTGACTGAAAAGTAGTTAATATAAGATATTGATTCATCATTTTCTGCAAGTATTGGTACTTCATGTTGTATGACTATCAGACTGTATAAAGAATTATCTATCATTGATATATTACAGCTTTTGATGATGGAAAGATTACATTTGAAGAATATTTTGCCTTCATGGAAGATATGCCTGACCCGAAGGAAAATCTAAGGGAAGCCCTTGATGTGTTTACTGAACACGCAGGTGAAGATGGAGCAATCGAAAAAGAAAAGCTAAGAGGTTTAAATCGGTGTTTCCTTTCTTTCAAAAACAAAAACAAACAAAAAAATCAATGATTTTATAAAAGGAAACGTAATGTTAAGCTGAGCATAGAAAAACATATGTTTGTAGTTTTGATTTTCAAAACTGATTTATCACAAATTATTGCACATGTACGTTATTCTTCTACCAGCATACGAGCCTACTCAATATTTCAGAGATCCTCATGAAGGGAATTCCTGAGGATGACGCAAATGAACTTCTAGACGCTGTAGACGTGAATACTGACGGGCTTATAGACAAAGAAGGTAGGCATATTGTATGGTAGCGATACATTAAAATTTGGTTCTGGAGTATCAACAGTAATGTCGTTGAATTCATAAAATAAATGTATTAGTACGATACATGCTTTGAATGGTAGAAATTTATTAAAAGTCATGGCCATGAATATTGATCAAGTGTTGATTTGAGTACGAAATGTTATTGAATCTGTAAGGTATGTGAACGCCTAATAGAAAATTATGGTAACTGACAAATTTTGATGGAATGTCCCGGATTAAGACAGGTAACGGTACAAATAAGTATGCTTAAATAGAGGAGCTCAATTGATTAAAATAGCTTTGAATTTATATTACTTATTCACTTTGTTGTTGTTCTTATACATTAATTTGTATTTACTTTTTTCCTTTCTTTTTTCTTTAGAATTTATCACACTTTTAATGAATGTGTAGTCCTTACGGTTGCCGAGTAACAGCTCCTCATGAACAATTTTCTAGGAAGGTTTTGAAACAAGGATAACGCAAGTGTATTCTTACACTATTTCATGACACTGACGTGTTGTCTCTCTTTAACTGAACGTCGTGTTAAGCCGCTAATTGCATTTGTATCATGATAACATGTTTACGTGAAACCTTTGATATCTTAGCATGAATTCACATTTTTTTTTTCTTTTCATATTTTGTTAAAATAATGCTTCATCACTCAAACATAGTCTTTTCATATCGTTTGTTATTCACAAAGTTGTCCATCTCTTTCACGTGGTCATGTAATGGCAAGACATGGATTTTTACTCTCTATAGTTTATGATTTTATACGGACTTGAAAATTGCATGAACGCAAATTACTTATTTCGCAAGCGGAATACAAGTGTTTTATTTTCATGTCGGATAAACAATCTCAACGTGAAAAGCAGAAACGTGCTGAGAAATGGCCAGTGGGTCACCTGAATTTGAGAATGGCTTCGATCACACACCTGAGTGTGGCTTGGGCACAAAGGCGTGACGAACTCTCAGGATTATGTATTATCAGTTATGATGAATAGCAATACACCCGCTATGACACACTTATCATTGAGAGAACAGATATATAATTCAACCGAATACACCGTCTGGGAAGTAATCGTGCAAAAAAGTAAACACAGCTAATTGTCCGAAATTTCCCGAAAGAAAAAACAACTGATGACTACAACAAACACTCAATTGTTGAGTAACTTTGTATATATATTTTTTATTCGAAGAATAAAGAATAACAACAGTTAGTATCTTCAATTCATTCAAGTTTTGAGGCATCAATAACTTTCTCTGTAAAACATTTAAATTTTGTTATGGTCTATATATAATGTAAAATGTTCTTCCATTACATGATTGTTAATTGTAATTTCTATAAATGTACATTGTCATTTTATGCCAAATAAAGAATGTTATGTTATGCTTAAACGTTTGATATTTCAGGGGCATATCTATGGTGTTTTTGTTTGCTTGTTGTTGTTGTTGCTGTTGTTATGCAATCGATTATAAACCTATGAAATAGCCGAGATGCAGAAGTATCTACGTTTAGTGTTTCGAATGTGGTAAAAATCGAATTTGTTCAACAATACGGACTCAAATCTCAAACAAATTTTCTGCTTTTCATCGGAACTTGATAACCCGAATCAGTCGAAAATAAGCAAATAAAATTCCACTCTGCTTGTATTTCATTGGAATGTCAATTGCATAAACAAACTTCTGCAGAAAGTATTCAAGTCGTTCAAAATTAGGATACATCTTCAATTTATTTAAAATTTTAGCGTAAAAGCACAAACAAAGAAAGCCAAATTTAAATTATGATAATTATTATTTACATTTATTGACAAGTTTAACTGATTCCGATGTTTCATAGAAGTGAGTTTGCCATTTTGATGCCGTTTTCCGATGTTTAAGATAATCAAGAACTGAATTTTAATATAAAACATGCTTATTTCTATTATTGCATACACAACTTAGGACATAAGTTGAACATATCATCATTTCTATAAATAATTATGTACACGAAAGCTTGATTATACTTTAAAAATTAAAATCAATGTACTGGAAGACTTATAAGTAGCTTTTTATAACTTAAAGTATCGTGATATTCACATGAAACCGGCAAATATGACCGAATATCATTGTGCTTTTCCTATCCATATTATTTGGAAATGCGAATCGAATAATTTTGGCTTTTACGTGGGGAAAAAACTGTCAGATGAGCTGTAATATTGTCTGATGCGTATGAATTTCTTTATTATATAAAAAATTTAAAAATTACAACAAAGCTTCAAATATCTTTCCGTTTTCGTTTGTATCAAATCGTTTGCGTATTGGTTAAGTACAAAACTACTGACGTATATATTTGAATTTTAAAGCTTTCAAATTTGTATGACATTGCATATTGCACACCAAAAATTATAATTTTTATGTCAACACGTCTAATATCGGTGAAATTATAATGTTTATGTCAACACGTCTAATATCGGTGAAATTATAATGTTTATGTCAACACATCTAATATCGGTGATTCTCCATTTTTTTAAATCTTGACTTCATTATATCAATCGCCACACATGCAGTGAAAGATTCCGATAAAAAGTGTTTGTATATCAATTTAAAACACACGATAAATGTCTTAATAGAAATAGCTGTTGGAAGATCCGTATGCTGCTCCATGCGTTAACATTCAGGGTCCAGTGTATCAACATCTAAGACTTGGTTTGTTATCAGATAGGTTGCAAGTTCTGAAATGGAAAGTAATTGTTGCACACATGGTCAAAGATATATGACATTATAATATTAAATTATTATAATTATTATTATTATTATGACCCATCTTTGAGAACTTGATACAAAAAGTTAATGACGTAAGATATAGGCAATATTATAATACTGCACGTTTGTAACGTCGCTTTTCATTGGATAATCGTGAGGTTTATATAGTTTAATATACACGGCTGTTGTCGATTCATGAAGAAATCTTACGGATTTTTTTTCTATAAAAATGATGCTTGCAGTATTATTAATTCGTTATAAAGATTGTTGACAGGTTATATGGCCGTATATAAACGGCGGTTTGCAATATAACACTCGCCCAACGGCTCATGTTATATTTACAAATAGCCGTTTATATATGACCATATAACCTGTCAACGATCTTTATAACTAATAGTAAACCAGGCATTATGCATGTCCTATGCTATGAGTAAAATAATATGCAGCTTGTCTTCAATGAATAGAATAAAATATGCACGCACACTTACTTTAATTGCCTTTAACATTTTCAAAATAAACTTACATAGATATAAGAAACCTTACCTTTGCAGCTCAATAGCCCGTCCTCATTCTCATCAGCTTCTCCTAAGATTCTATTTAATATTTTCTCAACATATTCTTCATTGAGGTCCACATCAATTCCTCTGACACTATGACTGCTCTTTAGGATATTTTTGAGCTCATCTACGCTGATCTGACCTAGAAATGGAATTTATTACATCAAATCAATATGGTTAAAGCCTTTGTTGTTTTTTTTTCAACATATGTCCCAAACTTCATCGTTGTAACAAGATCATTCCTTACAAATAATAAAAACTATACTAACTTGTCATTTAGCTGTTAACCGTCAAGAGACTGGTTATGATGAAATTGGCATAAAGTGGCATTGTTAAATATTGGGTCCAAAGACTACACATTATTTTTTTCCTTAAAGTAAGGGCGTTAATATCAAGAAATAATAACAAGAAAGAAATACAGACAGATTCATATCATTTACTTAAAAGCATCATGAAAACTTTACACTCTACCATCATCGTCGGTATCAAAGACTTTGAGAGCTTGTTCTAAGTCCTCCACAGTTGGAGTGGCAAATTGATTATAAAGCTCTTCAAACAGTTCAAATGTGATTGTACCCTCAGGGTCTGCTGTAATATGTAAAAATGTTTCTATGGTATACCACTTGTGATACATAAGTATCATATTGAATTTTGAGAACATAGCAATATTTTTTAATAAATGAAAAAGATTGTTGATGACTTTGTGTCGTGGTTTCAAGTTAACTTAGATTTTGTAAAAATATAATATCTAGCATGTCATTTGCCTTTGTCAAATTAGTAATTTAGTAATTACATTCCTAGTCGAATTTATTATATTTAAGTATAGGAATTAAATATTTTTGCATTTTGGGCAATGCCTTATTAAATGGGTTATGTCTTATTCATTTTAATAATCACCTTGATATTTGATTTGAAAAAAACCGTCGAAAGGTCTTAAATAAATGTTGATATTGCAAAGGCTTTCTTAAAAGACTTAATAATTATGTAACTTATATTTCATATCTATACAATTTAACAATAATTGAAATATGTTAAGATAGAAAACAGTTGTATTACTTATGTCATGTTCATTGAAGAAATTGTCTATTTCCACGGCTGGAGGATTTTTGTTTAATTGACAAATAGCCGAGTAAGCTTGCTGCCTTGTTACCCCTTCTCCATCATCACTGAAGATACTAAATTCTTCACGAAGGTCTCCCTAGTAAGACAGGAAAATAGATATGAGCCGTGTCACGACAAAACCAACGTAATGTGTTTGCTACCAGCATGGATCCAGAACTGCCTGCGCATCCGCGGATGCGCAGGCTGGTCTGGATCCATGCTGGTCGCCAACGCACTATGTTGATTTTGTCGTGACACGGCTCATATATGTTTCTAGTTGAAACAAACTTTAACTTCAACTTTTACAAGATGCTTATCTTAAATGAGATACCATACAATTACATATTATAGAATATTTCACTAGTCTTTCTCCCTCTGTCTTCAACAACATCCTGTTATAGTTTAAACTGTTCAATGATGTTCTTCCTATGAACTGATTACATAAATAGGAAATTTATTTAGATCTACATCTATCATTCTGAATTATGAAAATCTTTCAAAAGCAATAACAGTGGAAGAGGACAAAACTTTAACGTCGCGGGTTTTCTTATTTTCCTTCCCATGCTTTATATCTTAAAATGACTTGTTCATCTAGCAATCTGTGGCCGTATCAACTACTGATCTTAAGTAATTTCTTAAGTTTGGACAATTTATTTTTTTCATTTTTTAAAAAAAAATGTAAGTTAGCCAAGATAAATCTTATATCTAAGTAAAAAATAACTTAAGATCAGTTGTGAATACGCCCCTGGACTAATAAGTCATTTATCAGTCAAATGTTTCGTTTTGGATCAAAATGTCTGTGTATATCTTCCGATGGGCGGGTACCCGAGGGACGGATATTTCGATCTGAACCACAGACATATGTAAGATATCTTTTTGACGGTGTTGTATAGCACGCGACTCATCTGGTACCCGCAAGCCAAATAAAATCTCATGAATGGGTTAAACTAACGGAAACGCCAGTCTTCTATGCAAGAATACCTATTTATTTCGATATCTGATACATCGAAAGAGGAAATAGAATTAATGTAGTTTCCATGCCTGTTAAATAAATTGAGATCATTAGAGCTTTACGAATATGTTTTATTTATCATATACCCGGAAAAAGAACAGTCGAGTAAGAACAATTTCTTTAATTTACTTTTAAATTAACATTTATTGTGTTTTACGCTATGTTTGTATAACATTCATGATTACGTCATGAACAACCGTAATTTTTAAGTAACATGTGTATGTATTAAACGATGCTTCACTGATTAAAGCATATTTACTTTAAAGTATACTTCATGTTCTGATCTTATGTTAAAAAAAATACACTTATAATTGACACAAAGTGTGAGATAGAAATTAAAAAGTCATTATTTACTTGACAATTGTATGATAAAAAGGTTCTTGATATATATGAATTGTCATATAACTGAATAGTTCATACTTTTTTATCTTAATTTTATTATAACTTAATCTATCAAAAGAAAAAAGTCTTACCATGTTTGTTAATCAACGGTATTGTTAAATACATAAACTTCACTAAATGAACAATTAAAAGTGAAATAAAATTGTAAATTTGATAGCAATTTGCACAAAGACGTGACATGGTCTTTGATTTTGAAAGAGTATTTTATAGGTGAACAATGGTAACAAGTATACCTTGACAATATATTAATTGTTCAGGGTAACTCTATTTTAAACGACAAAGCATTAAAAACAATCAATAGAACCAAAAATTTAAATAATAATTTAAGCGCTATTTTTGATCATTAAGTCTCTGGAAGACTGAAAGGGTGAAGTTAAAACGCCAAAACCACTCTCCATTAAAATTTTATTCTTAACGAAGTGTATGATCCTGGAAGCATATATTATTAACAATTATCCGACCATTAGTATAATAGTTTGATTGATTCCAAGTTAGTGTGCACGCAGTCTCTGAATCCATTCAAATGTAAAAAAATGTCTTTGTTCTTCAATGTACAACAGAATCTGATATTCGCCTGGATCCCCTTTAAGGTGACACAACATGAGGACATCGTCAGCGTTTGATAAGTCCGTCTTGAATCATCGTAACCAATTCTGTTGGAATAAAAAAGTATTTTAAATCGCCTGTGTTCGTGACAACAGTACGATTGACAGTCAGAAAATGAATGATTGATTGATTAATTGATTGATTAATGATTGATTGATTGAATGATTGATTGATGGATGAATGGATGGATGGATGGATGGATGGATGGATGGATGGTGGTGGTGGTGGTGGTGTTGATGATAATGATGATGATGATGATGATGATGACGATGACGATGATGATGATGATGATGATGATGATGATGATGATGGAAAGTGTGATTTTATCAAAAAATCATGTTATAGTTAAATTTATGTCTCGTCGGCGAAGGGAATATAAGTTCATTATTTATAATTTGACACGGAAACAAATTTATTGTTTGATTTTATTAACCTGTCAATTCCATACTGATTATACGCTTAATGCACAGAATATATTAATATTCGATAAATGTTCGGTAAATTCCGTGAGAGGTTTGCAGTAAGATGTGATTAAACTTATCTAGTTTCGATGAATAAGTTACACTGACCGTTATAGCGCAATAGGGTACGGGTATATTTTATCTGAATGTCCAACGTGTTGCAAGATCGAGACAGAGTATGTCCAGGTTTTTTTCTTATTCATAATTATTTTCAACATTTTTGAAGTTATGGTTGTTCCGTTTTTAATATGTTTTGCACTTTTTTATAAATACTATACTTTTGTATATAACATTGTTATATTATAACTGTTTGTTATAATAGAATTAATTCTGAAAATTCAGTCGGATTAAAATCAATAAATGTAATTTCGGTACCGTAAAATACAATAGAAAATGTGATAATTCAGTGTTTCTTACGTGTTTCATATCCGTGTAGAAAATTTTGCAGGCGCTTGACCATTTAATACAAAATTTCTTAAAAATAAAGAAAAAATAAGTCTAAAAAGAATGTCGAAAGAAGGGATCGAACCTAAGACCTCTCATGCATTAGGTAATCACTTAACCGACTGCGCTATTGCGGATGTTACGAGAACCTGTAAAAGAACCTGTCAAGCTAGTGGGAGTTATCCAAACGTTATTTATATGCTCCATATTAATTCTCGTAAAATAAACGGACACAAACGAAGTGGGACCGAATATTTAAATGAGTGCTATAATGTATTCAAAATTGACAGGTCAATAAAATCAGACTATACTTAAATTATAAAATATGAAATATTTTATAACATTTCAAAAAGCAATGTGATAAAAACATCATTAAAATTTTATCATTTCTAAAATAATTTACAAAAACAAAATGAGCTGATTAATATTTTGTTAATAATTTTCAATGTTACCATCTATTTCTAGTTCATGATTTTTGTTTCTATCTCCAATACTAAGTATTAATGCGACATAACTATCTTCCGTCACTTGACTGGTATTTTCCAATTCACCAGCTGCCTTAAGAATTTCTCGTAACTCGTCGCTGTCTATTTTCCCTGAAAATAAGATATTCAAATATAAAGCTACGTATATTAGTAAATCCTTTCCTAAATCGAGATAAAATATGAAAATGAGAACCGTCAGTAAAATATTCAACACTCGAAGAAAAATCGGATTGGAAAAAAGAATGTTCAATGTAAAGATGGTCGCAAATATGTACCAGTTTAATTAATAAGTATGTAGCACGACTAAAACCTCTTCTGTCGATTGTATATACGAATGCATATAAAATACATGTACATATTCAGGAAATAAACGATAACAATAAGTTCTTCTATTCAATGATTTACATTGTATTTATCTATAAATAAATATGTGCTGGAAATTGAAATATGAATTAGATGAATGAATTGATGAATGAATGAATGATGGTGGGTGGTGGTGGTGATGATGATGATGATGATGATGATGATGATGATGATGATGATGAGGGACAACGTTTATAAAGACTACCAAGAATACATATGGAAGCAAACTTGATTAAATACTTACCATTTTCGTTTGCATCAAAATGTTTAAGTGCATTTCTAATGACATCCCTGGGGTTTCCAAGTTGAATAAATAATTCTTCAAATTCTTCAAAACCTAATGTATCGGTATCTGAAATTAAACAAACATAATATTTGATTTTTTGCAATGAAAGAGCTTAAAATCCCATCTTTTTCATGTACTTTGTTGGAACATAATCATATTCATTTTCGAACCAAATATATTATCTTTTCATACATTGTATATCATTCTCAAAGGTACCTGTTCAGGTTTGTTTGTTTGTTTGATTGGGTTTTACGTCACACCGACCCAGTATAGGTCATTTGGCGACGTTCCAGCTTTACTGGAGTTGGAAGACCTCGGGTGCCCTTCCGTGCATTATTTTCGTGCATTATTTTAGGCACGAACAGGCACCTGAGTAGTACCACCGACGTTCCGTAGGCTAGCTAAATAGCTTCCTCACATGAAAGAATCCAAAGCGCCTGTCGGAATTCGAACCCACAGCGGTGAGGGACAAGTGGTTTAAAGTCAACGACCTTAACCACTCGGCCACGGTTCAGGTTTGTATTCCAAGCCATATGTTTAGAAATTTCTAGAGTATCATGTATTTTTTCTTTTGTTAATGCCCATTATGCCTAAGAAAAGCCTTTATTTTATATTTTTCAAAAACTTTATATTTTTCGTATACTTTTATAACTTCCAAAATGTTACTCATTGGCCAATTTTTTTCATCTGCTGTTTTTAACTGTTTGTACAATTATGGTGATGGAAGTCAAAATACTACATTTTACTACATACTTTTATAACACATTATTTTACATTTATTGCTACTTTATTCAGGTTATAAGCATCTAACTTGCTCTAAAATCATTATTTTAATGTTAAAAAAATTATTCATGTACCCTTTTTAAAGAAGTAAAAATGTATTCATTTCTGTGGCATAATGTCTATTTGAGCAGTGTCACGACAAAACCAACATAATGGATTTGCGACCAGCATGGATCCAGACAGTCCGCGCAGTCTGATCAGGATCCATGCTGTTCGCTTACAGACCCTATAACAAGTAAAGAGACTGAAAGCGAACAGCATGGATTACCGATCAGACTGCGCGAATGCGCATGCTGGTCTGGATCCATGCTGGTCGCAAACCCATTATGTTGGTTTTGTCGTGACACGGCTCATTTAATCCGTATAAGGCTGCTGGCGGAAACTGATCCAACCAACGATACCACCAGTGCAGATCATGAACAATCGGCACATCATGGTCTGTATAGTTCGAAATTCAGTAAGTACATACATAATGCATTTCAAAATTGTACCTCCTAAAATGATGAATGGTTTTGTCAAGATTGACAGATGGACAAAAGTATATTTAAGAAATTTGGCTTGGCGAGTATTAACATTTACACTAACTAAGATATTAAAAAAAGTCAGACAAAAAGCAGATAAGTTCTTACCTGATTTGCCTTTTTTCTTCCAAAACATATTTATATCACGCTCGATTGGATTTTGTCCTGCTTCAAATAGTGCATTTAAAGTCTTGCTCTTGGTCAAACAGTTTGATTGTTTGTCCTTCCACTCGTCAAATGCTTCTCTTATTGTGCTCTAGAAAAAAAACACAGAGTTAGTGAAATACGGCTAAACTTTAAAGCATTTTGATTTTGTATCAAAAAATAAAATGTTAAGAATTATTTCAATAAACTTTGATCTTCATCTGACATCTTCAACCAAATTGGTGTCTTACTCAGCAAAACAGGTAGTAACAGCCAAAGCATTGTTTGTGAAATACAGTTTAATTTGTGCACGTTAATAACCGTTGTAACAAGAGCTCGGATTGTATGCCTATAGAATCTCTTTTGAATTGGAAACCGAGCCTGGAATATGTTTAATCTTGTCGTTTTGTGCGTTCTTTATGAATTCCGTTTTTCTCTATTTTTTTCTCCTTCTTTTATAAGCAATACTTTCATAGACGCACTCCTAATGTTTCAAAATGCTGTATCATGTTTTTTTTACCATTTCTAGGTTGTTAACTCGTGGAGATTACGATGCAAATTGCAAACTTTAGATCTTATCTATGTAAAAAAGTTAAGCTCTGTTGAACTGTCTTACTGTATGAAATTGATCGCTTCTTTATTTCTCTATGTAATTGTCTTGTTAGTATTTTTCCCACTAACCACCTTCTTCTTTATAAAGAATGTGAAACCACTGAGTATTTTATTATTCTATTTATTTACATACGCACTGTTGAAAATATAAACTCTGTTGTAAAAGAAAAAAATAAAACTTACCGGTGCTCTTATTCCTTTCAACGTTTTTTCCATATTTAGTATTAGAAATCTTCATGAAATATTTTAAGTAATGAAGAACTAAGACAAAATACGCACATGTACTTATCTTTAGTAAATCATTTTGAAAATGTACTTTCCTACGCTGTATAAATACACAAACAATAAGCTATGGTTTGTAAGGAAGAAGTATTAAACCAGTTCTTAAATAAACAATGAAATATCGTTTAAAATCAATTGAGTTAAAAATTTGTATTGTCTTCGAACAATTTGCTATCATATCTATAATCTTCATTTTTGTATTTGACCGAGTATTGATATTTTGTGACAATAAAGTAAGTAGTAAATATTTTTGTTTGGATTTAAAGTCACGTCGACATTGTAGCCTAACTGTTTGAAAAGTCCTTAGCTACCCCGCTGTGCATTATTTCAAAGACACAAGTTAAATAATGTCTAAAAGGGATCTACACTGAAAGTGTTTAAGTTATTAAAAACGATATTATTTGAATTGAGTATATTATATTTACGTTTTTATTTCATTTACTTTAGATTTTGTAAGTGAACAGTATTATAATATCAGTACGTTTTGTATCAGAATGTTGGACACGGGTATAAACATTGCATTTATTTAATTATCCGACATCTTCAATTTACATGAGAATAGAAACCAACAAGCAAAGCAGCGAACAAAAGAAGAGAAAATTCTAATTTCAAACAGCCGGATAACAAAAAAAAAACATTCCACAACCCATGGTTCATGTATTTATTTTATTGACGCGATGTGAAAGTACTGTTGGTTATGCATTACAATATTGTAAAATCAAAACACAAATTGATGTTTCAACGCAATGTCAATTTGAAAATGTATCTACATTGTCTATAATTATTGTTAGAAATAGTCAACATAAAAAAAGTTTGTAAAACTATCAGGTTCAGTCCGCCATCACATTTGGCTAAGTAAAAGTTCGATACAATAACATATATGCAATTTTGATAAAGCATCTTGTAGTTTTGTTTGTATTTGGTTCTATTCTTGATCTTCTGAAGGTTCTACTCGAAACGTTTTGTTTTCGATCAAGAAGGTTGCCAGCTCTGAAAAAAAATTCAATATTAAAAATGAAATTTTCTGCATAATGTATATAAAATTATTTATATGTTGTAGGTGTAAGAGTTCAAAACAATAAGTTTCCAAAATAAAAGGTGACAAGTGTTCAAAGAAAATCTGTAAGTGTCTAAAGAAAAGAGGGAACTGTTTAAAGAGAAGCAGTAAGTGTTCAAAGGGAAGTAACAAAATGCTGTCGAATATTCAGTCTTTACCAAATGTAGTAAGTTACTCATGTTAGGCCGTTTTGGTTTTATCTATGTTAGTATTTACGCAACAAGAAAATCAAGTGATTAAATGATGTTTAATCCTGTCATTTTTAACATATTCTAGCCAGTGTGTAGTAGTCCTGGGACTAATTTCCAGACTCCAAATAACAAAAGGTCCACATTACAGAACATTCAATGAGGCAAGAAAATTAAAAAAAGTAAATCCAATCCAACGAAATAAAACTCACCAGTGCAACTTATATAACCGTCGTTGTCTCCAAAACTGTCTACAGCGTTAAATATTGCGTCGATAGTTTCATCATCCAGATCTCCTGTGATATCGGACGATACATCATCCCTTCGCAATAAGATTTCCCTCAGTTCTTCTTTATCAATAGTTCCTGAAATAAGACATAACGTTTCACTAGAGTAGAACTACAAGTTGAGATCAGTAACATAGAATTATATATAATTAGTCATGAAAGAAAATAATACAATTTCAGACTTGACACGCTCTGGAGGAAGATAAGTCGGACATACATTAGAAGTTATTTAGAAATATTGATTACTTCGTCACATCTCTAAATTTCATTTCACTTTCATTTACTCGTGTGAATTGACTCGTATACTAGATGGTGTGCTTACATCGACTGAGTATTCAATTTTACATTATTAAACATGCATATTGATACATAAAACTAGTTTCACTCTACCAAGACAGGGATGTAGAACATAACGCCAAGAACACCAGAGTAAGGCTGGTAATATTAATTTTAAAAAATGAAAGGCCAATAAAGTTGTGCGCATATATGACCTGATCAGCCAGGGGAGAGATATATAGCTGCCGAACGTTTACATAATGTCGTACAATCTTTCAAACATGTTTATGCTGAACAATTACTGTCTTTGATTAAAAATCTAATTTATCAAAATAAATTTGCAATTTTGAACAAGCTATGTACTTGTACCGGCCAATAATAACATGCCGTATTTTAAGTTTTATATATAAAAACTGCCTACGCTTTTATACATTGATTTAAAGAGAAGAAAGCATGCATTGCCAGACAAAATCACGAGAGCACGCTCCGGTGTTGCCCTTCAGGCTCGGGCTTTGAATATGTCCTCGTGCTTATGCAGGTATTAATGCACGAAAACAGCTGCATCATTCCTCTATGTTTATTACTATTTCACATAGAATGCGAATTAATGATCTAGTTTATAGTCACAATATTCACTTCTCTTTTTAATGCAATTTGTTCTACAAAATATGGTAAGCTAGTTCAGATATTAAGTATGATAATAGGGTTACGATAAAAAGATTTAAGATTGTTAATATATGAACGTTTCAGTTATAGAAAAATGCAAAGAAAGACATGTAAATTCACCATCTTCATTTCTGTCGAAAACTTTTAATGCTTCTGCTAAATCTTCCACTGTTGGATCTGCTATTGAATCATACAGACGTTTGAACTGCTCAAATGTTATCGTTCCGCCAGGACCTGTAATTGAGAGGTTCCTCAATTTTCATACCTCTATATGTTTTGTATAGGTATATATCTATGTAATAAACTCTTTTTAACTCAATTTTTATCAAAAATATTGCCAAAGGTTCAAGACTGCAGCTGAATCTGTTGCGTAGCAACGTACAGAGAAAATATTTACGTCCTAAGACGTTCTTCTACAACATGGCTTCAGGTCTCATTAGAACATTTTTAAATAATTTTCGCTGATATCCTAATTATAAAACAATTGGTTCCCTTCTAATTACATCGTTTGAAATGAAATTACTTAGATTTCTTAGATGAACAATTATCAAAACTAACCTAGTCCCTCGTTCTCAAAGAAAACAACGACTTCAGTTGGAAGCGGATTTTTCTCACATGTGCACAGAACATTATTTGCTTGCTTGGCCGTCAGTTCGTCTCCACCATTCTCATCATTAAAATGTTCCTGTAGCTCCTCTTCTGTCAATCCCTGTGTGGAAAAATAATTCAGTTATATCCCAGGGCTTGGGCGACTGACTTTAAGAATGTGTTTAAAGCTGAATTAATTTACGCCGTTCAAACCGTGCATTTCATTACTAGTACGCATTGCTTTCCAGTGAGGTCTCTTCTCGGTAATTGCACTATTTTCAGTATTATTGATATTTATGACCTACGAGATAGCGGTAAAAATCTGATCTTTTTTTTCATTCCCATAGATGCAAGTTTAAATGCTCCATTTAAAACAGCGCAATCAGTAACGGGTTTTAAACAAGAGCTGTCCGTAAGACAGCGCGCTCGACTTTTTTATTGCTTGCCAATAAAAAAAGTTTTTGCAGTAAAAGGCAATACAAGAATCTCTGTATTTTTAAAGTGAACAATGGCCATGAGCATTAAGATATTTAGTGAAGAATTATTTTACTGAATTGTGTGATACCCTTGAACACTGCAGCCATAATTCAAATAAAATCTTTGACAGAATTACCTTCTCCTGGACATGTTTGGGAATCATGATTGTAAACAAGTATTCCAACTTTCAAATTAATATCTCAAACAGTTCAGTCAAAAAGTGGACTGGTACTAAAAACTTAACCAAGATTGTAAGTCGATAAAAGGCCTTAATTTTTAAAACAAATCCTTGACAGAGTTACCTTCTCTTGCGTACAGATGGGGGTAATGATGTGAAATAGCATTAAAAGTTTCAAAGCAATATCTCAAAGGGTTAAGGCAATAAGTGGATTTTTACCCATATTCAATGTATTTTCTAAGTCAAAAAGGGGCATAATTCTGTCAAAAACCTTGACAGAGTTATGTCCTCTTGTCTGTTGATGAAGGTCGTGATGGTAAACAAGTATGGTCAGTTTCAAAGCAATACCTCCAATGGTTTTGAAATAAAGTGAGGTGGTACAAAAAACTTAACCAAGCTCAATACACTTTCTAAGTCAAAAAGGGCCATAATTCTGTCAAAAAACCTTGACAGAGTTATGTACTCTTGTCTGTAGATGGAGGTTATGATGGTGAACAAGTATGGTAAGTTTCAAAGCCATACTTGTAATACTTCTGAAATAAAGTGGGGTGGTACGAAAAACTTAACCAAGGTGTGACGCCAACGCCAACGCCGACGCCGACGCCGACGCCGACGCCGACGCCGGGGCGAGTAGGATAGCTCCCCTTTTCATAGAAAAGTCGAGCTAAAAACTTTCTTCCCCACCGTTTTGCACTAAATTATTTGAAATGTAAAATATATGTCGTTTCATAGTTTGATCTTTTTAAATTCTTTAAAATTAAACAGATATTTCTACGAATATAGTTAGCATAGAAAAGATACTCGTATTTGATAAGAGATATTAAAATTATTCCTGTCACAATTAAAATACTTCCTGAATTAAGAAAACGTTTATTAAAACAATGAATCGTATATTAAAAATGTAAGAAATACCATGGTGTCAAATTCCAAAATCCCACAAATGGAGCACAGTTTTTCGTATCGAACAGTATACAGATATGATGTTTAATATTTAGACAGGTTTCTCTGTACGTTGTTAAGGTCTTTAGGGTATACAGTTAAATAACACGCACTTAAAATGCGATAGAATCATCAGAGCGAATTTATAAACTCCTTCATTCATTACACTCAATATCACTGAATGGCATGAATACTGAAATTTAAAGAAAGATATAAAACGAGATTTACATCATTTCATTTAGACCTATAAGTCCTACATACAAGCAAAGTTTAAATCACGTATTTTGTATTATTCGATTTTTTTTTAAAGATGGGGACTTAGTTTTACAAGTAAACAAAATACTCTTTGGATTGTATTTGAGACAATTAGAAATCTGTACGTTTCCCTCATTGAAATATTACTTTACTTGATTACTTTATCTTAACCATGTCGTTGGTGATTGATATAACAGAAGTTTGAATATATATTAAATTGGAGAAAGAAAATTATTTATATTAATTATTCCGAAAGGCGCAAATTCAAGGTTGACACTAAAACAAAGCTTTAAGGGAGCCTATGATTTTTATTACTATTATTATTTTCTTATAACTAAAAGGCACATGAGCACGGTCGTTGCTATAAATCCATATATTCCCCATTCATAGACATCCTTTAGCAGAAATGCCCAAAGTATGCGAACTGTTACAAATATGCATTATGTCGTTGACAATGTTAAAATTCATAAAATTGCGCATTGAAAGGTTATTATACATTGTCGAGTACAATACTGATTTCTATAAGACCTCTATAGGACGAGGTGCTAGACAATATAGGGATTTGATATGGACTTTTTGTACTCTGAAGATGGAAATGAGACTTAATGGAGTGCGATATGCATTTGATATAGATTGTTTGGCTCTGGAAATAAAAACGAGGCTATTATAATAACATTCAATATTGATTTATTTTGGAACATTACAAGATGCAAACATTGATTGTTCATTGGTTATATTTTTATAAAATGTGAAATGAACTTGTATATTGATCGGTGTTAGAATGCGTTTGTACCGAGACAGACATGCAAATTCCATAGGAACTACATGTAGACATGGCCGTGACCATGGAATAACATTTTCATTAACCACTTAAACATGATGGAGCAGGGATCTGCATAATTACACCAACTAAACTTTAGACAAATTTAATTGTTTATTTTGCTGTTTACATTATTTACAAAAACTTTTAAACTCCAATAAAACATTACTTGAGGGGAAAGTCAATAAACGTAAATTAACATGTACCTATACCCTGAATAGTTAATTCTAAATATCTTATAGATGTAAGATGTATTAAAATAGTTGTAAATATAAATCGATGACAGGTAGAATTGATAGATCAATACATCCACGAATTAGACTACGGAAAGTATAAAAGGTTCATAATGGACTGAAATTTTTAAATATATATTGTATACATTCACACGCTGTTAAATCCGATATACAATTTATCTTTACAGTGATTTAGAATTGTTGGTAGCATGTGATATTTATTTTTATTTAAACATTTTAAATTTTCTACAGCAAAGTTCAGTGACGTAAAACAAACAAAAAGAAGACATTCAAACAGCAAAAAGTCATATATTTTTAGATATACCTTTCAAGATTTTGGTCTGTTGGTATTCCATTACAAATGCACTGTGAGAGAGGATAGAAGATAAATCTAGTGAACATTGTTTCTGCTTGTTGATCTTTACTTTCATGTAATCTTTGTTTTTTTTTGTTGTAATCTTTAAAACTATGTGCAATTGTCCATAAAATAATCACCATTTACTACATATTTGAAATATTTTATTCATACTTTTCCTACACAAATAAGTGACATTAAAGCTCTTCAATAGAAAATCTTTCATCTAAATAATTTTTTAAAATTAAAAGGTTCACTTATTTCAAACCAAGATTACAAATCATACATGTGACATATTCACTTCACCTGAAACACGAACAAATAAATAAATTGTATTAGGAAACGCACATTCGGAATGAAAACATTGTTTTAAAGGTATTTATATAAGTCCTCAATCAAGCGACACTTAAATTATACTAGTCTCAAGTTATTATAAAAGGGCAGCAAAGTACAACAGCCTTAATTTCAATAAATTTTTTAACTTGGAATCTAAAGTCATTACCCTTTGCCAGGTTCTATACTGTTTGACTAACTAAATTTTCAGCTTCGTATCACCATAATAAGTTTATTGACAGTTCCATAAATGAAAGCTGGACAAATCCATTTAAGAAAATAAGAAAGTAAGCAGTAAGAAACCTTAGCAACGTGTTTCCACTTTTAGTCGGCTTTGTTAACATCCATTACAAGTTAACTTATTTGCACAATGCTGGTGTTTCAAAAACTTTGAATTACTCATAATTCACTGCACTGCATTTACAAAATAAGTATTGGCAACAGACAATTCAAGCTTAGAGGTTAGGGCAAGTTTTCTTTTCCTAGCATGAATATATGATTGAAAATGTTTGAAAATAGCACATATTCTATTCTTTTAAAGGATAATTCAACAAAAATTTTCAACTTTGGAACATGTCCATTTTATTATTACATAAAAGAATTTCTTTTGACAGTAATGTTCCATATTGGTACAACCAAAATGTAAAATCAGGTCTAAAAAGAATCTTAACAAGATCTTGTGAATCTCAAAATAATGTAAACTAAAACATATGAACAACAAATCATCATGGAACATTATCTCTCTTCTTTAACTTGATGGTGAGAGATTTACGCCCAGTACCGCTATCTGAACTTCCTTCCCCCTCCGACGAATATAATCCAAGATGGGAGAATGATGAAGGTCCAGCCTCATAATTTGAAATATCAAAATCAGGACTTAGAGAACTATGTTTCCTTTTTCTACTTTTTGATTCCTTCTCCCTATAGTCACCAAAATCACTGAACGGAGAATCTCCGCTAAACTGCGTCAGTTTTGGTCGTTTTGTAAATGTTAATTTGATTCCTTGTCCAGGTTCACCTATTGAGCTTTTCACAGCAACAGACATATCTCCATTCAGATCTTCCTCTGACTTCTCGGAATTGAAAGAGTTATCGGACTTGTCATTATCTCCCTCTACATCTATCTCAGCATCGCTGTCACCTGCGGCACTTATCAGCTGACGTTGCTGAGCTATTTGTAACTGTTGACGACGATCAGCTTGACGATTCTCTAGCTCTCTTTTTTGTCTCACTGATCGCTGTTTAAAGTCAAGCTCTTTTTTCACCTGTAAATAAAAGGCATAATCTTCAGGTTCATTAACTGTGGCTTACACCAAATCTTTATTGCATAAATAAGAACATTATGTTTAAGAACCAATGATTTGTACAAGTGTGACATATTCTGTGAGCTAGTTGGTAGAAGACAATAGATCAAAATTCATTTATCCTCTAATGCTACTTCCATTCATAAATGAATGTAAGTTACTAAGTGAGTTGGAAATTATTTTCCGAAAAAAATATATCTGTTAAAGTATTAAATTCCACGGGCAATCCTAATGCAGATTTCAACAAGTATATAGCTGAAATATTGAATCAAAGAAATTCAAGTCAAAAACAATACAATAAAAACACTATGTACCATTAGTTAAAATAGACAAGCAATAAGTTTTTCAAAATGATAGCTCATTCAGCAAATGGGTAACCTTGAAAAACAACAATACATCTTCATGTTATACTGGTATGGTGTTTAAAGACCATTGATTTAATAAAAATACAGAATACATACTTTATGATAACTGTCCTTATGCCGTAATTTCTTTTCTTGCTCTTCCTGTTTAACTTGTTCTTCTAACTCTGCCAGTAATTCCTCCCCAGATTTCTGACTTTCTACATCTGTGAGGAACGTTTTTACTTCCCTTGTTGATGGTGTGAACACATCTCTCTTTAGTTCTAATATCTCAGGAATTTTCAATGTCAAACTATCACCAAAATATTCAATCATTTCTATGTAAAATGTCACTGGGGATTTGTGAAACATAGACATAAATGAACTACTTCCCAAATGTCCTTGACTTTTGACCTTGACAGGTTGAAGAACACTTGCACTGTCATGAACTGTCTTAGTTTTATTCGGTAAATGCTGGTCTTTAAATTGTTTGATGTATTTTCGTAGAATGTGTTCAACACTCAGCTGCATATGAAACAGAATGTAAAAATAATATCAACATTCAATATATGTTTTGATTAAAACAATTTGACTTATTTAATTAGGATTATACAATTACTTTCAGTACAATAACACATAGAACATTAGAAATATGCACATAGGAAAAGGATGCTGTTTTTCCAGTCTATAGACAGACAATAGGAAAGTCTGACAGGGGCAAACCACCCCTACTCCTCCCAATCATTCTATATCATATGTATTTCCTACGGAAATGCAACACATTAAAAATATTAGCAATATTTACTGCAATTTCATTTTATATTTTGATAGTTGGAAGGAAAATTGCTAAATGATAGTTGGAAGTAAAATTGCTAAAACACAATGAGCAGGAATGATAATATACAATAGTATAACAAGATATTGCTGTTAAGGAGTGTTTATTGGTGTTAAGGTTTACAAAGTAAGCAATTGATAGTGTGAATGAAGCAGTTTTTCACTGCAACATGCAGATTAAATTTACTAATACTGTAAAAAAAACTTCCTTACTAACCAGAAGAGCACCATATACCATGGAAGCACTGTGTTGTAGTTGTGAAGTCTGGGGACTTGATTTGTTCAGTCCAGACATTAGAAACGGCCAATATATGCCTAGATGGGGTAATACTACTCTCTCAATGTTCTAAAAATAAATGTTAACAGTATGTTATGGCTGCTTTTAAAGGTTAAGTTAAAATATCTGTAATAATACAAGTTTGAACATACATGTAATTATCAACCAGAGCTATTTTAAGTGAATAAAATTACTAAAAATTACATCTAAATAGATCGGTCTGTCTTTAAAATTAATATTAAACTACAACCGGATATCAAAGAAAGCTATTTTCCTTTTTATATTATTATTGTTGCACAAGTCTAAGAATATTTAAGAAATAAAGATGTAAAGTACAAATGAACATAAAATTCTTTGTGACTTTAATAATGAAACATTTCATTTGATAAATGTAAATTTGACCTTCATAATTAAGATCACTGACCTCTGATCCAAGGTAGAGTAATCCCATGATAGCTCCATAATGTGCTGTATATGGTTTATTATGATCATATAATGTTTCTCGTAATGTTTTCTCTGTAAATCTCTCCAGGTGGTTCACAGAATTACCCCAGATACTGAAACATATGGTAAAACAATAACCATTATCAAACTTGAGTTTTATTCTGGTATTTTTTACTTAAATAGTAAAATTAATGTGTTTCCAAAGAAAATCTCCAAAAAGTTATTCACAGAAACCCTCATATCATAGAATAAGCTTATAGAGGAGCATAATTCTTTTTATATTATAAATAGGGTTTTAAGTTGCACCAACACTGTCAAGGTCATATTGCAACTTTCCAACTTTACTGATGAAAGACCCGTCTTTGAATTATTTCAGGTACAAATTGGTACCTGAGTGAAACCAAAGACATTCCCATAAGCTAGCTGACGTAAACAAAAATCAAAATAAAAGGTTTCAGGGGCAAGTGGTTTGAAGACAACAACCTTAACTACTTGTTCAAGACATTATTTGACCTTTGCTTTGATATTTAATACTGGCACATGAAATATGCTTCCAATCAATGATGTCTTTCAAAAACGTTAAGAGGAAACAAATTGCTGTAAGACAAACAGATGGCATTTGTGTGAATGTTTATGAACTCAAATAGTTTTCATTCAGAAAATGGTTAAGAAGAAGAAACGAAATGACTCACCTAATAACATGTGACAGTAATCTAGCAGCATAATCTTTGACTGACCACTGGTCACTAGTGGTGCTACCATTGACTGGCAGAGGTTGGAGTAGACAATATTCAATACTTTGTATTAACTGGGCAAGCTGGATGATGTAATACAAGTATATTGATGATAATGTACATAAACAAATGTGCAAATTTTGATGGAAACTTAACAAATTTTACAATTTTGTTGAATTACTAATTGACAATTATGTCCGCACTTCATCAGTCATACTTATGCAGGTTTTATTAAGTTACATAAAACACAGCTTATACCTAAAGAAATTGAAATCCAGATATGACAAGTATACCAGGGTGTACAGATGAATGAAAGATCAAACCACACTTTTTTTAGTGGGGACATAAAAAATAAACTGTTTAAATCAAACAAGAATTTATCAAGATCCAAAGTCTGTTAAATTCTGACTCATCAGACAAGATAGCAAGTAAATACATCTTGAAAATAGCTAAGTAAATAAATGTATGTCTATTACAAAATGTAATTCACTTACAAATGGCTGTGCCTCTAGGAATAGAGAACTGTTATATACTAGGCTCTGTATCAGATATAGAAGCTGGCTAAGTTGACGTAGATCATAACTCACAATCTTTACCTAAGATAAGAAAATCAACAGAGTAAATTAATATAATTATAACATTATACATTTTCTCAAAGTGTTCAGTTACAATAAGCTTTATTGTCTGGCTTTAGATATTATAATTGTAAAGTTCATTCTTTATGAACTCACGAAACACTTCAATAATATGATAATGAAACTCTATCTTCTCAAAAGCCTAAAAATTAAATCATTTTACCATTTTCAAACAAATCCTTATTCTAGAGCTGACTCTTAACACTTTCATTACACATAAAAACATGTTTTTCAACAAAACATAAAAAGTGCAAAGAAAGATAAGAACACCTCATAGCTTAAACTGGAAAGCAGCATGTACTAACAGTATCGCATCATCCTATTCTTGCATATCAGCAGGAATTTCTACTGTTTACACTAGAAACAAGAGGGCCATGATGGCCCTGAGGTCGCTCACCTGTATATAGGCCCCCCCCAACCCCCACCCCCCCCCAACGTTGCAGAGCCAATTTAACCCAAGGGCTTTTATTTGCACAAACTTGGTAGACACCCATAAGAAGATGTTTCATGCTAAAAATTTAAGCTCTAGCTCATTGGGCTTTTTAAAAGAAGATTTTTTTTAAGTTTTTACTATACACATATAGTTAAAAACAATGACACCCCTGGGGCCGGGCCAGTTTTGACCCCAGGGCTTTTATTTGAACAAACTTTGTAGACACTTACTAGAAGATTTTTCATGCTTAATATCTAAACTCTAGCTATTTGGGTTTTTTCAAAGAAGATTTAAACTTTTTGCTAAACACATATAAAGAAAATCAATGACCCCCGGGGCGGGGCCAATTTTGACCCCTGGGCTTGTATTTGAACAAACTTTGTAGACACCTATTAGAACATGTTTGATGCTCAATATTTTAGCCATAGCTCTTTGAGTTCTTTAAAAGAAGATTTTTTAAGTTTTTACTATATGCATATAGGGAAAATCAATGACCCCCCAGGGCGGGGCCAATTTTCGCCCCAGGGCTTTTATTTGAACAAACTTGGTAGACACCCATTAGAACATGTTTCATGCTAAATATCTTAGCTCTAGCTCTTTGGGTTCTTTAAAAGAAGATTTTTTAAGTTTTTACTATATGCATATAGGGGAAATCAATGACCCCCCGGGGCGGGGCCAATTTTGACCCCAGGGCTTTTATTTGAACAAACTTGGTATACACACACTAGAAGATGTTTCATGCCAAATATCTAAGCTCTAGCTCCTTGAGTTCTTTAAAAGAAGATTTTTAAGTTTTTACTAATTATGCATGTAGGGAAAATCAATGACCCCCGGGGCGGGGCCAATTTTCGCCCCAGGGCTTTTATTTGAACAAACTTGGTAGACACCCATTAGAACATGTTTCATGCTAAATATCTTAGCTCTAGCTCTTTGGGTTCTTTAAAAGAAGATTTTTTAAGTTTTTACTATATGCATATAGGGAAAATCAATGACCCCCGGGGCGGGGCCAATTTTCACCCCAGGGCTTTTATTTGAACAAACTTGGTAGACACCCATTAGAACATGTTTCATGCTAAATATCTTAGCTCTAGCTCTTTGGGTTCTTTAAAAGAAGATTTTTTAAGTTTTTACTATATGCATATAGGGAAAATCAATGACCCCCCGGGGCAGGGCCAATTTTGACCCCAGGGCTTTTATTTGAACAAACTTGGTAGACACTCACTAGAAGATGTTTCATGCCAAATATCTAAGCTCTAGCTCTTATGGTTTTTTAAAAGAAGATATTTAAAGTTTTTTCTTTCGGTTGCCATGGCAACCAGAGTTTTGCATGGAATTCAATTCTTTGAACAATTTTTAAAGGTGACCACCAAAGGAACATTCCTGTGAAGTTTGGATGAAATTGGCTTAGTGGTTTATGAGGAGATGTCATTTAAAGTAAAAGTTTACGGATGGACGGACGACGGACGGACGACGGACGGACGGACGGACGCCGGACGAAAAGCGATCACAAAAGCTCACCCTGTCACTTTGTGACAGGTGAGCTAAAAATCAGCATAAACTGCTGTGTAAGACAAGTCAAAGGCTTTAAAAATGCTTCATTTCCCACACATTTAAATAATGAAATACATGCTTATGATGACGTAATTTTGTCAGTTGTAAAGTCACAAGCTGGTCTGAGAAAAAAGTGCTGAACAAACATTTTAGTTTCCTAAATTCTTTCCAGAATAAGATAATATTTTATATGTAAGAAAAAGAATCAAACACTGTCTGTTGTTACAGACAGGAATATCCAGCTTTCAGGTAATAGTTTTGCATAAACTTGACAAAGCCTCATTTCAGCAGTTAACAGCAACAGTTAACCTCGAACCCTATTTTCAAGTCTGTACCAGCAACCAGTGTAAGAGCCTTAGTTTACATATCTGTAAAATCTGTAACATTTACATTCAGGTGTTGATTACTCAATTTTTTAAATTTTTTTTTAATCCTTTATAAAGCTGTTAATTTTATAATTTGATATTTAAAATCCATAAATAACACTGAACAATCTAAAACAAGACAAGTTAGTTAACAAAAACTGATACAGAAACACCATACTTACTCCATTGGCTACAAAGCTGACAAAATGTGGTAACAGTGGTGATATATTAGCATTGGTTCTAACATCTGACAATGCTGTCTGAAATTAAATATTAACACAAATCACACAGTTATTATGTATCTACATATAAATATAATAAACAAACTGGCCATAGATTAACACCCTGAAGTAAAAATATAATTTTAAAATTTCTTTTCTCCTAAAAATAGAAAAGTACAGACTTAACTTCTATATTAATGCTCTAGTAAATAAACCAATAAAAAGCATTCTTAAGAGTCAAAGAGTATTTAAGTGAATATTCTGGAATAAGTGAATATTACTGGAAAAGAAAAACTTAAAACTCACAATTTAACAGTTTTGTTTGATATGGTGATACTGATTCTGGTTAAATTGAGAATGTCTACCTATTTACTCTATCAGTAACAAAACATCAAACATTTTTATTCTAGCATGATAGCTTGCTAGATAGGCTTTAATTCTCAAAACGGAAGCAAAAGTTAATATGAGTCAGAGGCACTGCCATTATGATTATGCTCTGAACTGACAGTACATCAAGATTAAGTAATGTTTTACATACATTGATTGTTGGATTTATAAGTCATATTGAAACTATAAAAGTTGATTGGCAATTTTTCAGCTTTACTGACGGATGAAGACCTCACGTGTCCTTTCTTGCATTATTTCAGGCATAAACTGGCACCTGAGTAGAACCACCAACCTTCCTTAAACTTTTTTATTTTTGGTTGGATTGTACGTCACACCCACACAGTAAAAGCCATATGACAATTTTTCAGCTTCCATGCATCCTTAAACAAGCTAGCTTACAAACATGAAAAAAATCCAAAGTACTTGATAGGATTCAAATCACACAGGTATAAGGAAAGTTATTTGTAGTTGGAGACCTAAACCACTTAGTCACAGGGGGCCGGTGTTACAAACAAAACATGAGATTTCTATTATAGGTAGTTAAACTCAGATGTTTACCTTATTCTAGAGCTTTAAGTTATTAATAAAGAAATACCTTCATCATTTCAGAGTCCAGTCCCAGGACAGCTTGTGTAATTTTATCGAAATATTTCATCAATGCTGCACTCAGCTCTATTTTGTTACCTTCAATATAGTAGAAAATATAGTAGCTACTTTCATAGAGAATAAAATAATATCAGTTATTGAAATCTTAAAATTTCAAATACAAATTATTATCAACTAAATACACATGACAAACCCATACACATTGCCTTGGCATTTAGAATGAAATTTATACCTTTAGTTGTATTTAAAAAAAATTATCAAGAAATTAGATTTATATCCGCAGTGTTATATTACTCCAGTATAGTGTTCACCACAAAGATCTAACTATCTAAATTGTTCATTCTATCACTATATTTAAAAGATAACAGACACTTTAAAATATTTCAAACAGTTAAACTTTACCTTGTGGATTCTGTGTTGTTTTTTGAACACCTTCAACTGCAAGCCAATGAACTACAGAAGAAAAAAAATATTTGGTAAGCAAAGAATTTGTAAGAATGACATAGATATTCAATACATTTCTGTCATATTTTTATGAAAACCAAAAATTGTACAGAAAATTCGCTTTCAGAATGGGCGTAACTCTTTCAATAATGTTGATTGCAGTGAAAAACAAACTTAGCCAGTGTTTTGATATAACATCCCTACATTCCAAATGTAAACACAATATATGAAAATTCTTCACAAGCTATCCTGTGGAAACCAAAAATTTTACAGAAAATTTGCTTTAAAAAGGGGCATAACTCTATCGATAATAATTAGATTGCTACGAAAACTGAACTTGACCTGTGTATACCTACATGCCAAACATAAAGACAATCAATAAAATCTTTGGTTTTGTTTAAACATATGTATTTAAGCTCAAAATTTAATGCGAAACAAGTTCTTGCAACTGATATTAATCACTTTCCGCTTCCTGGAGCCAACCAGTACTGGTGTCACGTCATGACCTGATAAGGGCTCAAAACCATGATCCCTGGGTTGAGATGCTGACACCTTAACCACTATGCCACCACCTAAAAGTTATCCTGATAAAACTAATAATGTCACAGAAAATTTGGTTAATAAAGAGCACAACTCTTACCAATAAAAATTTGATGGCAGCAAAAATCATACTTTACTTGCGTTCTGATATAGCATACTTACAAGCCAAATATAAAGATAATCACAGAAATCCTTCAAAAGCGAGTCTACAGTCAGATTGACAAACATGCAACCAGATAACAGGCCATTTCTTTTTTTGTTATTATCTTTTGTTTAATAAAGGGTCTTTGATCGAAGGAATGAACTCTAGAGTGGACAGATTCACAGGTGGACAGACAACACCATACTGATACCATAATACATCCTGAAGTTTCTTAGGGCATATAAAAAGCACTGACTATTAACCTTTAATTGTTGTATCACCAAGTTGTTTAGGCATATAATCATTAACTGCAGCACTTGCTAGATTTTGTTCAGCATCATCAGTGAAATGTATGGACTCTCCTATATCTGTCTTAATGTGATGGAAAGGTGCCGGTGGGTCACTAGATCCATGACCATGTACTGGCTGTAAAATAAAACGTTGATATTTTCTTCATTTATTGCCTTACAATTCAGAATACCTGTATCTCATTCCTTCAAAGTGTCTCTCTACAAAATAATGGAACTTTGTATATTCATATTTATCGTAATTTCCCTTACAATTGTTCTATAAACTGCCTCATAATTACAAAGAGAATCCATTATTGAAGATATAAAACGTATAATTAATTAATACTAATATAAAATGTGTCACTCATATATATGTTACTGCTTTATATCAAAGAATATGGATAAAGGTATACCTGTATATCACTAAATTTGCATGCCTTGTTGAAGTCATCTGTATGTAGACATTTCCTCCGTGAATGTCTCATAAACTGTGCACTTTTCTGTAATTTATAAATGTAGGAAAAAAGTTCTTATCTATAATATCCAAATGGATGAGTTTACAATTAAGCTACTAGCATAGGACATACAATACTTTGGAAAAAATGGGTTTTCTTTCTTCTTAATAAACTAGGTTGAGAAGTTAATTATGCAAGTCTTTAGGACAGCTAGTTCATAACTCATTAGCAAATAAAACAGACTTACCTTCAGCAGATACTTTGAAAAGTTACTTCTACAAATTCAAGTTTTCTTCATGAATATATTTATATGATTACCTGAGTAATTTCTCTTAATCTATAGCTGACATCTTCACCAAGTATACCAGCAATAGTGTCATCAATATCGTCATGGCCACCAGATTCTGCCATCATTGATATTGATTCCTTCGTTACAATGGCATACCTCCTTTCATCTACAACAGAACGTCTCTCACCCTCTGCCATTGTTAAACCTGATAAAGAGTTTAAAATTAGATATGTATTTATGTTCTAATAAAAATATAAGTAAACTGATTTAGATTATTTATTGAAACTTACACTCTTACACTAATGGCCTCAGTGGCTCACTTTGAATAGTTCAGTAGTGCATGTCTATGAATGAATTTTTTTTAACATAAAGGAATCAGAACAGCTCAGGTGTATGTACCATGATTAACATAAATGCATTAAAAGTTAAACAACAAGGGGTTTCAAGTTTATCCTTTTAACCAGGCTTGGTCAGTTTTTAGGTAAAAAAGCAGTTAGAGAATTCAATAACTGGTTTCTGAGGTTACTGAAGTTTTCAATAATATGCTATAGTTTAGGCTTATGCATGTACATGCTCTATCTTTTAGAGTTATGCTCTGGATTTTTTTTCCAAGTGAATCTGATAAAGGGAAATAACTCTAAAAATAGGCAAGGTAGAGTTATTGTTCTTGCACAATGCACTTCCTACCAATGTGCTTTGTCAGTGTACACATTAAATTTGAAGAAAATCCCTCAACTAATTTGGAGGCTAAGCTTCAGACAAAGTTTTTCAAGTAAATCTGATAGAGTGGAATAACTCTAAAATACACAATTAAGAGTTATTGTACTTGCACTGTGCACTTCCTCCTAATGTTCTCTGTCAGTGTATGAAGTTTTAATAAAATTGTTCAAGTAGTCTATGCTTAAAATAAAGGTCCATCCACTGTTAAGTCACTAAATGCAGCTTTCGCTGTTGAATACAGACTCAAGACATGTCGCTAGTAAGTCATGCCCTTAAAGGGTTAATATTGAAGCACAAGGTTATGATAATTTAGCTTTAAGCAATTTCTATGGAGTATTAGCCAAAGATACATGTATGAATTTTTAGTACGTCACTGTATGGCGGCCAATAAGTACCTTAATGTATGATGGCCTGAGACAATATGAAAAAGAGAAGGTAGCTCTGAAAAGGGCTGTTATGCCAGCTTAGGGCCTGCCTTTCATGTCGTCCTTCATTGTGCTATGGGCACACTAGCACATCACCTCGATCTCTTGTTCCTGCCAACAATTAATGTAGGCAAACTGTAGGGCTACCCCATAGGCATTAGTCAGGACATCAGCAGCTGGGTAATGATGCCGATAGAAGCTTAACTCCCCATCAGTGCCCGGGAAGTCTGGTCTCAAGGACCTACCCTACATGTAACACAACAGCATTTGCGACATGCACGCTCCGAGGGGAAGAGAAAAGAAATATCTCTCATTTATGCACAATTTTACACTGTTTTATCCTTTTCACTAATGACCCACACAAAAAAGTTAGTTCCCAGCAAAGATAGCAAGGGCTCAACTAAAACGATGATATATAAAAGTTAATTAGTTATAGAGAGAGCTACGAAATCAGTTGCTTAATATAATATCCAAAAAAATGTAACGAGCACTATGACACTTATAATGGTTGTATACCTAGACACAATATTTTTTTAACATTGATGACATAATTTAAATAATGTATGTTTGCATACCTAGAATATTAGCAAAATCACTTTTATTCAAATGAATAAGTAAAATGTCTTAAAAATGAGCATAAGAAAAGTTATTATTTTTTTGTGTGTCGCGTCTAAACTCTGTACTGTTGTCCGTACCAATACCGTACAATTAACGAAATTGCTTGTTACCGTATGTTATTATGAATATTTGATCTATTAACAAATAAGCAGCATACAATTCAATTTTGTTTTGTTGTGAAATACATTGTTATTTCTAATATTTGATATATTTAAGAAGTTTTTTAAAAAGGCAAATTAATTCGAATCTAAACAAAAAAGGTGAAGGCCGAATCGGCAAGCTGGAAGTTCACTGAATGTCAAGGGATTTTGTTTTGAAAAGGTTTGTACGTGATGTAGTATTTGTCATTCATCAAATGTCTGACAAATTCACTCATTATAGTTTCAAATATGAAATGCAATCTAACTGATTCTTTTTAGTCTATCAATTTGCTTCCAAATTCTTTCTGAAACTACCAATTTAGCAAATTGCATAAATTAGTATTGTAGTAATATGTTATTTCTGTTCCAGCCTTGTGAAGCAACCATATTTTGGTATTTGTTAATTATTTTTTTCAAATTGATTATTGATTTATTAAGGTTAGTGAGTATAATGTTATTAAATAATTTTGCAAGGCTATTGTTAATGATTGACTGTACATGCACATAGTCTATGGGCTAAGGCAATTCTGAGCCAAAACAAAAAAAATCTAAAATTTACGCTTACGATATCAAATTATTTTGACAAAATGTAACGTAAGATCAAATTTCATCTCAATTCATCATCTTTTGACTTAATCATAGCATGTATTTTGTCTTTGATTTTATGTAAGACCAGTATCTGTGTCAAGACGGCTATATCCTGGAATAGACCCCAGGGTCTTAACCAGGAGTATATATAAGGTTCATTCCGTTTTCTTTAGTGTATTACATACAAATTTTACTTCTGAAATATACATAGGGGTCTAATTCAGGTGATTGCCGTCAAGGCCTCATTTAATGATATAACATTACATACATGTATAATGAAAAAGCTGTAGAGACAAAAAAACTTGGTGTGGCCTCAAATTGAATACGCATTCACTGTTTGTTGCCCTTAAACAAACTCCAACAAAGAAGGTCAAAGGGGAATACCATATTTATTCCTAAGTTTGGTGAATTACATGTATGTTTGTTTGCATTCTCTTGAACATCATAGATGTGACTGTAGAACAGATCTACATTGTACGTCAACCAAGAAGCATTTATGTTTAAAACCCAACCAAGCAACATGTGGAAAATGCAATCTTACAGCCAACTAATATTTAATCATTATAAATACTCGTACATAACACCCACAAGTACACTATCTTGTTATACCCCCACCAAATAATGTGGCGATACTTAATGCCACATGAACACTATCTAGTTATACCCCACCAAATAATGTGGCGATACTTAATGCCACAAGTACACTATCTTGTTATACCCCACCAAATAATGTGGCGATACTTAATGCCACAAGTACACTATCTTGTTATACCCCACCAAATAATGTGGCGATACTTAATGCCACAAGTACACTATCTTGTTATACCCCACCAAATAATGTAGCGATACTTAATGCCACAAGTACACTATCTTGTTATACCCCACCAAATAATGTGGCGATACTTAATGCCACAAGTATACTATCTTGTTATACCCCACCAAATAATGTGGCGATACTTAATGCCACATGTACACTATCTAGTTATACCCCATCAAATAATGTGGCGATACTTAATGCCACAAGTACACTATCTTGTTATACCCCACCAAATAATGTGGCGATACTTAATGCCACAAGTACACTATCTTGTTATACCCCACCAAATAATGTAGTGATACTTAATGCCACAAGTACACTATCTTGTAATACCCCCACCAAATAATGTGGCGATACTTAATGCCACAAGTACACTATCTTGTTATACCCCACCAAATAATGTGGCGATACTTAATGCCACAAGTACACTATCTTGTTATACCCCACCAAATAATGTGGCGATACTTATGCCACAAGTACACTATCTTGTTATACCCCACCAAATAATGTGGCGATACTTAATGCCACAAGTACACTATCTTGTTATACCCCCACCAAATAATGTGGCGATACTTAATGCCACAAGTACACTATCTTGTTATACCCCACCAAATAATGTGGCGATATTTAATGCCACAAGTACACTATCTTGTTATACCCCCACCAAATAATGTGGCGATACTTAATGCCACAAGTACACTATCTTGTTATACCCCACCAAATAATGTGGCGATACTTAATGCCACATGTACACTATTTTGTTATACCCCACCAAATAATGTGGAGGAGGATATAGTGGGACCACTTTGTTGTGTTGCTTTTTCTGTTGAAGTTTTCTTCAAACTTGACTCATTAAGACATATTAATTTTCATTATCTCTTTAATATGCACATACTCAGTCAAACAGAGTCTGCAATTTTCATGTAATTTTGTTGTGATTATTACTTCTGAAGGATCACCTTTTTTCCAGATTTTCATATATTCACCTCAGTGAACAGCAAGGTAATATGCAGAACCTGTATGATGCCTTTGTGGCGGTTCAAGATCAAGGTCCCTCTTGTAGGTAAAAGATCAGGCAATTTTGTATCTGCTCTGAATAAATTTATGTAGAATTAGCTTAAATGTTCACCTCAACATGGCAAAAATGCAGAGCACATTCTGCTGCAATCATGCCAACTAAAGGTCAAGGATATGAAGTCCAGACAGTCTTGTGTAAATCTATAACTCCTATACCCCTATAATGATTTTTTTTTAAACTTCCGAGGGATCACTTTGTTTCCAGATTTTTTCGGCTGAAATGTTCACCAAAACCCCAAAAGGTCAAGGTCATAATTTAAACTCAAATGTCAGACAAAGTTGTGTTCACACTATGAATTTTATACTTCTTGCAGGGCTTTCATCAGAGTTGGTTAATATACTAGTAATTAACTTCCAAAATGATAATAAATGGACCTTTTTAAAATCCTTGTTTCACAGAGATGATGGGGGTACTGGTAATGCCTCTGACAGCTCTATTAATAACCCTGTTAAACAGCCACTCTGCCACCCCTGCACTTGAGGCCAAACATGGCCTTTACAGAGGTTACTTTGTATCTTTTTATTAAATGAAGGATTGTCAAAGTGTGGCCTTTATTTACAGTATGATCTTTATTCAGAGATGATTTTCAACACAGGTTTGACTGTACTTCCTAATTAGGTGAAGTTTTTTACTTTTTTTTTTTTCAATATTAACTTTAGTCACAAGTGTAATTTGCGTCTTTCTAAACTCCAAAACTCTTTGTTTTAATAGATTATACAATGTTAGAATGTTACATAATATCAAATATATATACATGTTTATATGTATTAAAGTGTTTCTGTGACTGAATAATGGTCAAGGTCATAGATCTCTGAAGGTGCTTGAAGTAAATCAGAATGTGGCACCTCACTGCAGAGGTCATCTGTCACTAGTAAAGCTGGCATTTAGGTTCTGTATGAACTTTACCAGCATCATTGTAAAATATACATATGGTAGAAATTAGGAAAAGATCTACTATAACTGAATTGATTTTAATTCCTCAAGGAATTTCTCCTCTATGTTACTTAATCAATAAAGTCTTAACAGTAATTGATTGTTTCCAGAAATGTGACATGCCTTCTTCTTTTTTTCCATACCCTTAATTTCATTTATGCTTTTTTAGATGATGACTTAGCTACATGTTATTTAGATGTTCACAATATTTTCCACATAATCATAAATATCATGAAGCAGATTTAAATGTCATATTCATATAGGAAACAAATATATTTAACTTGAAATTTTGTTAATGTTTTGGTAGTTGTTAAATTTGCCAGAAATTGGCTGTGGAAGAGATTAGGTATTTCATTTGTTTTAATGATCATTTAAGCAAGGATGTGGTACATGTATTTGTTTGATTATTTTGCTGTAAGTTAAAACTTCCTTATCAATTGTTGTGAGTTACACACATTAAATTTTTTCTATAGTACACAGTTTGAAAATTTTTAAACAGTTTAGGTCTGCCTAATTTGCCATAAATAAATAAATGTTAAATTAAACTGAAAATGGATAAAGCCATTGCCAATATTTGTTAAATACTTGAGAAAACAGAGAAGTGAAAAGGATATTGGTTGATACATGTATCTTTTAATTTGAATAAGTTTTGTGGTAACTTAAACAGGATCTTTATGTAAAATAAAAATTATATGTCGCTTGGTTTAATCCACTTAAGTCATGTAACTTTCAGTGTTGCATGTAGTACATGATCTGGATGATAAAAATATTGTCAAAAGAAGAGTGCATGTATCTTAGGCACTGTGCTTATCATACTGATAAGGCACTGTGTTAAATAATACAGGTAAGACACTGTGTTATTATTGTACATTTAAGTCACTGTCTTATTAAACAGGTAAGGCACTGTGTTAAATTTTAATTATACAGGCAAGGCACTGTTTATTATGATTATTTTAACAATAAGGCATTGTGTTAAATTTATATTATACTGGCAAGACAATGTGTTATTATAATTATTATACCAATAAGGCACTGTGTTATAATTATACCAATAAGGCACTGTGTTATTATTATACCAATAAGGCACTGTGTTATTATTATACCACTAAGGCACTCACTGTGTTAAATTTATATTAAACAGGCAAAGCACTGTGTTATTATAATTATTATACCAATAAGGCACTGTGTTATTATTATACCACTAAGGCACTGTGTTGTTATCAAACAGGTAAGGCATTGTGTTAAAAATGAGAAAAAGGTTCTTCCCAAGTTGAACGATAGACTAGTCCATTTAAGGTATTGAACTTGGTAGGGATTTATAATATGTATAATTTTTTGAAGTTACATATGACTTGCATGTTCAGATAATCCTCTCTGTGAAAGCATTAAATTTAGCTGATATAATAAAAATCATTCAGTTCACACTTCCATGAAAGATTACCCATCATCAGACCATCTTTGAGTTTTACAAAGTGTACTTAAATAGAAAACTGAATATTAAGTAGAGTCTTGTGTTCAGGAGCAGGGATTTTCTTCCTATATTTACAAGCCGAATAAAGGCTCTTTCCAGTTTCCCCTAGCCCAAAATAGATATATATTTTCCCCTAAAAATGTTATATTTTTCCTGAAATGCCTTGTGCAGATATTTGACCTATATCAGCTTAAAAGTTGATGAAAGATAAAAACCTGTCCCTCATAATAATAGATACCCACTGCTATGCACCATGCATTGAAATTGAAAATGTTATTAAATGTGTGGGTAAATTCTATTCTCAGCTGTTAAAAGTGATATGAAAGTGCAAAAAAGCAAAATGTATATATAGATGCTAAGTGACTAATAAATGTCAGTAACCCATATGTACTACAAGTTATTTATTCAACAATTATGTATTATATACTTCTAGATTTCTAGACTCCTCTAGATTTATCATTAAGAAAATATTAGAAAACAAGAAGTTTCACTTTAAGAGAATTGGAAAATATTATTCAAGAAAAAAATAATTTTCTTTTAAAATTTATAATATTATGAAATGAAAAAAAAAGATTTAGATTGATCTTTTTAAATGTGAGGTTAATTGTTCTGGCTGATAAATATGAAAAAAACAACAAATAAATAGAAAAAAAACCAAACTGACTTTTAGTATAGAATTAAATTCTTTGAAATGATATTAGAATCATATGAATGAGGAAAATATATTCATTAAAAACACTGTAATTTAGTTTTTTGCTATTGTCACAAGTCATGTTCATTTGCAAATCTTCTTAATTTTTTGTCTTTCCCAGGTTTTACAGGGGAAAAATACGCATGCATTCTAAAATTAGTCATAGATTCATACAAATTCATGAAGGAAATTTAAGTTCATGAAGGAAATTTAACAGCCTATTTTATGAACTCAAAAGCATTCAAAACTTTTGTATTCATGCAAATAGTCATCAGTTTTTATCACTTAAACCGTAAAGATCAGTGTCCTAGATTTTGGACACATTGTTTACACAAAATGTTTTGTCAGGTTTTTGTTTGGTTTATGACTTGTAAAGAAGTCGACTCTGATATTATTTAATGACATACAGTACAGGTACTGTGTTAAATGTTTGTTTACTGTTACATGAAATATATAAATATTTTTGCCATATTTTTTGGACAGTAAACAAGAGTTCCTTCATATAGTGGTAGAACATTGACATTTAAGACTATTATCATCTCTCTATTAGTGTAAGCAGTACATTATTGATATATCATAGTATATGAAAACAGGTGGATTTATTTTACTCTCCTTAGTTTTTATTCTATTCAGGTTTGAAAAAATCTGTTCTCTTTTTCTTTTAATATTTGGATAATTTAGAAGCTCTGGGTTGTACATGTGAGTTAGTTCCGGATAGAACCAGTTTTTATAATAGTCCAAATCTGCTCCTTTATGTGCTGTGCATTTAGACCGTTGCAGCATTTTTTCATTTTTCTGTAAATACATGCAGTACATTAATGAGACTATAGCATATGAAACTGGGGAAGTTTATTCTTATTCTATGCAGGTTTGAATTTTAATCTTTTAATGTTTGCATTATTGATTTTCAAGTATAATTATTTTGTTGAGCTGTGAGTGAATTCTGGACGGAACTAGATTAAGGAATGTGCTTGTTGTGTTGTAAACATTGTTTTTTATGCAAAACTCTACAAATAGAATTTACATTAAAATTATTAAACTTATGTTAAAATGTTAAAAAAAGAAGCAAATGCACTTAAGTTCTAGGTTTATTAGGTCTAATGAATGGCTGTATTTTCTTTTTCTCCAGAATATTTTATTAAAACCAAGTTTGTTATTTAATTAACATGTGCAATAAACATCTGCCCTTTATAACTGCACATAGGTACCAGTGATTTTAAGCTTATAAAAGATAATTGGTTGTGCTGACAAGACTTTTTGTACCTGATATTTTACTTATGTTGATAAAAGAATCTTCCTGGAGCTGTACATTTCAGCAGTAAAAATAATATGACCTGATCATGACTTATTAAGTACAACAAAAACTTTATCTATGCAGTTACTAGTATAAATTAATGATCCCTAGTAAATTATGTTGACTGCGAGGTGTTGTGTTACATATAAAATACTACAAAATAGATAAATTATACCACTTGGTACACATGTATTAAAAAATGCTTAATGCTAATTGAGTGTCTAATTTTAGCTCACCTGAGCACAAAGTGCTTAAAGGTGAACTTATGTTTTTGATATATCTCGAGTTGATATCCACAATTTCTCTGCCCCTTGGATTTTTTTTTTTTGCCAACCCATTTTGAGCAATTTATTTTTGCCTGTTGTAATTTGTCTGATTTCTTATCTTGCAGGAGAGATTGTGTAATAATTGTGTAAACAACGAAGGGGAGATAATCTTGTGAAGAGGAGTTCAAGGACAGGACAAAATGCTGCGTCTGCAGACCCGGGCTGCCCAGCTTAGGCATGTTGCCAGCTTGCAACTGTCAGAAGGTCCAGCTGGGCTTAAACCTAGGCCAGGGTTCAAGTTGCCAGCAGGCATTTGTTGCAATTCTACTTCAGCAAGCAACACAGGGCGGTTATCACCTACAAAAGAGGTTGGCCAGATCAAGAAACTACTGGTTGCCAACAGAGGTAACAAAAATTAGTTCCTTTTAAAGTTGGAAGGTACTTTCTGTAAACACATAAATTTGATATTCATCTCTGTGAGTTTGTATACTTCGTTTCATGATCAAATTTAACAGTATTTCTGTAATTTATCCCTGCTATATCTAATGAGTGAACCTGCATTACTACCAGCCTATTTTTCTACAATAAGCTTCAAGAAACTTCTTTTAGAAATGTTTTTACATTGGTGTTGGTGCATTTTATTACAACCAAAATATCACAAAAAATGTGTTACATTGATGGCTAGAACTAAGTTCAATAGACTTAAGAATGCTCAACTTGTTGAGTAAAGTGAAAGGGTTTCATGTGTTTGGCAATGATATGATAATTGTAAGAAATGAGGTGAACTATTTTAATGTTAATATATATTACAGGTGAGATAGCCATCCGTGTGTTTAGAGCCTGTACTGAGATGAACATACGTACTGTAGCCATCTACTCGGAGCAGGACAAAATGCACATGCATAGACAGAAAGCTGATGAATCTTACCTGATAGGAATGGGACTTCCACCTGTAGCTGCTTACCTCAATATACCTGAGATTATACATATAGCCAAGGTAAAAAACACTGATTTATCAAATTTATTTTTTAAGGAGACTATGGAATGTCACACATTTTCAGTCTCTTTTATTTCAAACTTCCAGTTTATTAAAAATAACCAGGGAAAAAAAATTCTTTTTGGAAATGCACAAAAAACATTTAGTCATATAGTAGTTGATCTTTAACAAGGGAGATAATAAAAGATAGGACAAGATTTAGTCAAAGTTGTCTCTGAATTTAGTTAACAGTAACTCTCACTCAGGCCAACATTGAAACCCTATAGCATAATTATAATGCAAAATTATTTTGAGAGAATACCTGAATAGAGAATAGACTGATGATATTTTTATTTTCGAAGTATTATTTTCATCCAAAACTTTGCCTTATAATGTATTTAATGTACAATAATTATTAAGAATATGTATAAAAAGCTTGTATTCAATTTTCTCATGTTTACCTTTACAGGAGCATGGTGTAGATGCAATTCACCCTGGTTACGGGTTCTTGTCTGAGAGATCAGACTTTGCTCAGTCAGTGTTAGACGCAGGGATCAGATTTATTGGACCATCACCGGAGGTTGTACGTCGTATGGGAGATAAAGTTGAGGCAAGGGAGGCTGCTATAGAAGCTGGTACTGATTACAGTGTCTTCTTATGTCAAATTACTTGTTATTATATCATAAAGTTTTGCGCAGGGGTATAATAAACCCATTAAATAAAAAACGATATTACACAAGCGCACAAATGTTAGCGTAACACTATAGGTGTGACAACGAAAAAATGACTGTTTTTAACTGTAAAGTTACTTTTCTTATTTCAGATATTTGATGAATAGAATATTGTTTTTTTGTAGATTCAACACTAAATTTAATGATTGAACTCATTGAATAAAACAATATTATGCTCGCCATAGACTAGCAGAATATGATTTTATTCAATTCTTAAATAAATTTAGTATTAAATCTACACTCATTCAATATCCTCTTTTTATATCATTTATGTAAAAGTCATTGATTCTGGGGTATTTACAAAAAATTTTGTATAAAAATGATACTCCCATGTTTTCTGTTGTCTCAGCTTTACACAGTTGATTGTAAAGTTCCTGGCAGGTTTGTTTTGCAACAGTTTAAAATGATCTTGGGCAGCATTAGGTATTTGGATATCATCTGTTTACTGTTAAGTTTGGCAGGGTCAGAAGAAAATGTGGAGATGAAATGTACCACGTCCCTCTAAAACTTACTGAGTACATAATGAAATAACTATATGTTGCCCTGTAATGTAAATCTTCAGGTGTACAAGTGGTACCAGGGACTCCCGGACCAGTTGAGAGTGCAGAACATGCTATAGAATTCTGTGAAACATATGGACTGCCAGTCATATTTAAGGCTGCATATGGTGGTGGTGGTAGAGGAATGAGGGTTGTCAAAACTATGGAGGTATTTCTGACATATTAAAATGTCATTTCTAATTTAACCATTATGTTAGCATTGTTTTCCCTTTGAATTTTCAGGGGTCCCAATGACACTTTCATTTTTGACCAAGATCAGTTTCAATTTAAGGAGAATAATTACTATCCTAGTAGAGCTGTCATTGGTATATAGTGTAAAATTATATTGACAATATTTCAATATAGGATGACAAAGTTTGACAATATATACAGAATATTATGTAGTTGTAGCTTTCTGAGGTTTTGTATTTTGCTATGAGCCGCAATGGAGAATTGATATCTTGTGTCCTATGGTCAAGCAAGAGATCATATTCCACACATTGCGAGTAGCAGAATATATGGGGTCAGAATGCTTCTATAACATGATTTTCCTTTAGTTATATACATGTACCTAATTCTTAAGACAAAAAAATTCAATATAAACTGAAACTCTATTAGTTTTTTCGCAAACAAAATTATTTTACTTGTCTATCATTCACTTTCATACCTGTTTAAATGATTTCAGTAAAATACACATGTTATTACACAACCATAATCAAAATTGCTGATTTCATTTCATTTGCAATTTCTTCTAACTTGTCAAATTGTTACATTTTTCTATATAATAATAGGAGATTAAAGAAAATTTTCATCGAGCTACATCAGAGGCCCAGTCTGCGTTTGGTAATGGTTCCCTCTTCCTGGAGAAATTTATTGAGAGACCAAGACATATTGAAGTTCAAATCTTAGGTGAGATGTCATATTTCATTGTTGTTTTGTAAATTAACTAATGGACTGTTGTCAGACTCGATGTAAAAAGACAAAAATTGTTACCAATTTTAAATCAACAAAAGTACAACCATTTTGATTTATAAGAAAGAAAATCGTCTGATTCAGTAAAACATGCATGAAAATTTGATATAATGCAGAGGCTTTTCATTTAGTTTGAAAAAAGCTGGGTCCTTTCTTATTATTGGAGTGTATATAAGTACCAGCCAGAAATGAAAGTTACAGGAAATTAGTAAAATATCTTAATGACTTGACCGACTGGCAGATATATTGATGGGAAATTTTTGAAGTTTTCAAATTATTCAAAATTTTGTCATGGCTACATGATACTTTTTAGATTAAATTTTGTATCATTTTGAACTGTAACTTCCGTTGAATAGGTCCAAATTTAAAGGAAAAGTATTTTAATATAAATATAGCAGAGAAACTGATAATTGTTGATTAGTGTTAATAATTTAGTTATTATGTTGTTACAGGTGACTATGCAGGTAATGTAGTTCATCTATACGAGAGAGATTGCTCCGTACAGAGACGTCATCAAAAGGTTGTAGAGATAGCCCCCGCCCCCCAGCTGGCTAAAGAAATACAGGAACAGATGACAGCTGATGCTATAAGACTTGCCAAGCATGTCGGGTATGAGAATGCTGGAACAGTTGAGTTCTTACTGGATAACAAGGGAAATTATTTCTTTATTGAGGTGAATGCCAGGTTACAGGTAGAACACACAGTCACAGAAAATGTTACAGGGTAAGTATAAGTTCATTGGCATACTCGATAAATGTTTGAATATAATAAGTCCTAATAAGTAATCAAAATTCATGCAGATAGATGTTAAAATAGAATATTCCTAACTTAAATATAGATGTGGAAATAGAATATTCCTAACTTAAATATAGATGTGGAAATAGAATATTCGTAACTAAAATATAGATGTGAAAATAGAATATTTTTAACTTTGATATAGATGTGAAAATAGAACATTGCTTAATAAAATATAGATGTTAAAATAGAATTTTCCTAACTAAGATGCAGATGTGAATATGGAATATTCCTGCCTTAGATTATAGATGTGAAAATAAAATATCCCTAACTAATATGGTAGTTATTTGCAGATACAAATGGATTGCTTTTAAATTAAAATCTAATGTTTAACATTTTTGTAGTGCTTGTTAGGGAAAAGAACTGTTCTAATAAGAATTCAAGTTTAAATCTTACTACATCATTTAAGACATAACATTTGAAATTTCAGAGTAGATTTAGTGCAGTCACAGATCAAGGTTGCTGAGGGTAGAACACTGCCTGAAATTGGACTTACCCAGGACAACATTAGATTGACCGGTTGTGCCATACAGTGTAGGATGACCACAGAGGATCCAGCCAGAGGCTTCCAACCAGACACTGGCAGGATAGAGGTCTGTTTATAAGTTTGATGATATTAATGAATTTGAGTAATCTAATTTTAAATTTTAAATGTCCTGTAACTATGATGCATTTAATTCAAGATTTATCCCCCTTGTATTTGATAAGTGTGTATAAGTTTTTTGTCAGATTTACATGTATTATTAAGTAAAATTGTTGTAAAACTGTTTTCTCTGTGTAATATGCAATCAATGTAGTGTGTGAAATATAATATTGATTTATGAAAATTGAAAAAGGACTTTATATTATTTCTCAATGACGGAAAACGGACACAGATTTGTAGATTCTACATTCTGTGCAGAACTTGAATGTTAAAAATTCTTTTGTTTTCTGTTCACATAAAATATTGATATGGATTCTACAACTTATTATCCAAAATTAAGAATTGAAAGGTATTTCTTGCATACCAGACTGGTTTTTCCATTTGTTTACCCTTGCTGGAAATTTCATCTGGCCAGATGAGTCGCTTGCTATACATTGACATGCTTAGGATGACGTTATTTCGCCATTATGAATGAAGTTGTAATTTCATACTCATTTGTAAGGAAATAATGATAGAAATTATCATGGAAAAATTTTTTTGTAAGGTAAAGAATATGCAAGAAAAAATATCTTGACATACGTTTGCTGTTGGGTGGGTCCCCTCAGGACGGACATTCCCAACTAAACCGCAATTATGACAATTTTTTTTAGTATGGCAGGAGCTTTTACTACCAAGATATACATGTAATTTTAGGTGTTCAGAAGTGGTGAAGGATTTGGTATCCGTCTGGACAGTGCTTTAGGTTTTGCTGGAGCTATTATCTCCCCTTTCTATGACTCTCTACTAGTGAAGGTGATAGCACATGCTGTTGATCATCCCTCGGCTTGTGCCAAGATGTTGAGAACATTGAAGGAATTCAGAATTAGAGGGGTCAAGGTAAGTGGCTTTAAACCTTTGATAATACATGTACACAATCAACTTTAGTACCTACGATAGTCAGAATAGTCACTGTTTTATGTAGAAAATACAGCTTTATTAATGTAAGTCCAGTGAATATTATTTTTAAGGTTGTATTGCAAATAAATCTTCAATAAGATATTGTAAGTACAATGTACTCATTTATATAAGTTAACTTTCTTAAGTTAAATTGTGATGCAGAATTTGGGCTTATGATAATCATGCTTAGATAATCATGTTAGTGGGAATAGAATGTCAGAAACACAAATTAAGAGCTAAAACATGTGAAATAATAATAATTTAAAATAAAGATAAAGATAATTTAAAATGTTAATTATCAGGTAAATAATAAAATGTAGTATTTATGTATAACATGTCATTTGATGAGTGAATATGTTTTACAGACCAATATACCATTCTTGTTGAATGTGTTGGAGAACCCCCAGTTTCTGTCAGGTGTTGTAGACACCTACTTTATTGACGAGAACCCACAGCTTTTCCAGTTTTACCCGTCCCAGAACCGAGCTCAGAAGTTACTCCATTATCTAGCCCAGGTGATGGTCAACGGTCCGTCTACACCATTAGCAACAAAGCTGCAGCCCTCAGACACAATACCATCAGTACCAGAGATACCATTTGGTAGGTTGATTTCTTTGCTTAAAATTAGGATAAAACATTAACACTGTGTTACCTTCATCAAGATTTCAGGAACCAGTTTTCAGGAATCATGTTTGGCTGGCATGTTTCATGTAAAAGGTAAATTAATGATTTATGGTTTGTGTATTTTAAAAAATAAAATCTGTTTTAACTTTTTCTAGGTTTAGAGGATGTTTGTTTTTATAGGATTGCTTATAATACTTGTCTAAATTTCATGTACCTGTAAATGAGAGAGTGAAGATTGTATACTTTCATATTTTGAACAATTTGTTTTTATGTGTATTTGCAGCAGAGCAATGTTAATGTAGGGTGTTAAACTTGTTGTTTTACATTAAGCTGACTGATATCACATGTATTGGTTAAGATTTATTTTCTATTTCACAATACATTTTGTATTTTACTATAACCTTTATAATCAATAACAAATTGCTAAGGAATTTTAGGGGGACATTTTGGAGTTTTTTGGGGTTTTTATTTACAACAAAAAAAATGTAATTAATTATGCCCCCTTTTGAAAAAAAGGGGGTATATTGCTTTGCACTTGTCGGTCCGTCGGTCCGTCGGTCCGTCCGTAGACCAAATGGTTTCCGAGTGATAACTAAAGAACCCTTAGGCCTAGGAACTTCAAACTTGGTATGGTGATTGGTCATGACAAGTAGATGACCCCTATTGATTTTGGGGTCAATGGGTCAAAGGTCAAGGTCACATTGACCTTGTAAGCAAAAACGGTTTCCGATCAATAACTAAAGAACCTTAAGGCCTAGGAACTTCAAACTTGGTATGGTGATTTGTCATGATCAATAGATGACCCCTATTGATTTTGGGGTCAAGGGGTCAAAGGTCAAGGTCACATTGACCTTGTAAGCAAAAACGGTTTCCGATCAATAACTAAAGAACCTTAAGGCCTAGGAACTTCAAACTTGGTATGGTGATTTGTCATGATCAGTAGATGACCCCTATTGATTTTGGGGTCAAGGGGTCAAAGGTCAAGGTCACATTGACCTTGTAAGCAAAAACGGTTTCCGATCAATAACTAAAGAACCTTAAGGCCTAGGAACTTCAAACTTGGTATGGTGATTTGTCATGATCAGTAGATGACCCCTATTGATTTTGGGGTCAAGGGGTCAAAGGTCAAGGTCACATTGACCTTGTAAGCAAAAACGGTTTCCGATCAATAACTAAAGAACCTTAAGGCCTAGGAACTTCAAAATTGGTATGGTGATTGGTCATGATCAGTAGATGACCCCTAACAATTTTGGGGTCAAGGGGTCAAAGGTCAAGGTCACATTGACCTCTTGGGTAAAAACGATTTCCGATCAATAACAAAAGAACCCTTAGGCCTAGGAACTTCAAACTTGGTATGGTGATTGGTTATGACCAGCAGATGACCCCTATTGATTTTGGGGTCAAGTGGTCAAAGGTCAAGGTCACATTGACCTTGTAGGTAAAAACGGTTTCCGATCAATAACGAAAGAACCCTTAGGCCTAGGGACTTCAAACTTGATATGGTGATTGGTCATGATCAGTAGATGACCCCTATTGATTTTGGAGTTAAGGGGTCAAAGGTCAAGGTCACATTGACCTTGTAGGTAAAAACGGTTTCCGATCAATAACGAAAGAACCCTTAGGCCTAGTGACTACAAACTTGATATGGTGATTGGTCATGATCAGTAGATGACCCCTATTGATTTTGGGGTCAAGGGGTCAAAGGTCAAGGTCACATTGACCTCTTAGGTAAAAACAGTTTCGGATCAATAACTAAAGAACCCTTAGGCCTAGGAACTTCAAACTTGGTATGGTGATTGGTCATGATCAGTAGATGACCCCTATTGATTTTGGGGTCAAGGGGTCAAAGGTCAAGGTCACATTGACCTCTTAGGTAAAAGCAGTTTCCGATCAATAACTAAAGAACCCTTAGGCCTAGGAACTTCAAACTTGGTATGGTGATTGGTCATGACCAGCAGATGACCCCTACTGATTTTGGGGTTAAGGGTCAAAGGGAAAGGTCACATTGACCTTGTAGGTAAAAATGCTTTCCGATCAATAACTTAAGAACCCTTAGGCCTAGGAACTTCAAACTTGGTATGGTGATTGGTCATGACCAGCAGATGACCTATTGTTTTTAGGGTCAAGGGGTCAAAGGTCATGTAACATTGACCTTGTAGGTAAAAACGGTTTCCGATCAATTAACTAAAAACGCTTAGGCCTAGGAACTTCAAACTTTGTATGATGATAGGTGGTGACCAGCAGATGACCCCTAATGAGTTTTTGGTCAAGGGGTCAAAGGTCAAGGTCACATCGACCTTGTAAGTAAAAACGGTTTCTGATCAATAACTTAAGAACGCTTAGGCCTAGGAACTTCAAACTTGGTATGGTGATTTTTCATGACCAGCAGATTACCCCTTTCAATTTTGGGATCAAGGGGTCAAAGGTCAAGGTCACATTGACCTTGTAAGTAAAAACGGTTTCTGATCAATAACTAAAGAACACTTCGGCCTAGGAACTTCAAACTTGGCATAGTGATTGGTCATGATCAGCAGATGACCCCTATTGATTTTGGGGTCAAAGGTCAAGGTCACATTGTCCTTGTATGTTAAAACGGTTTCGGATCAATAATAAAAGAACCCTTAGGCCTAGGAACTTCAAACTTGGCATTGTGATTAGTCATGACCAGCAAATGACCCCTATTGATTTTGGGGTCAAGGGGTCAAAGGTCAAGGTCACATTTACCTTGTAAGTAAAAACGGTTTCTGATCAATTAAGTAAAAACGCTTAGGCCTAGGAACTTCAAACTTTGAATGATGATTTGTCTTGACCAGCAGATGACCCCTATTTAGTTTTGGGTCAAGGGGTCAAAGGTCAAGGTCATGACCAGTAGATACTTGATAACCCTTATTAATTGTTTGATCACTGGGTCAGAAGTCATGCATAATTACCTTATCACATGAATAATTGGCTGCTGATAGGGGGCATACATGTTTTACAAACATATCTTGTTCTGTATATAAGTTGTCAATGTTTATGTATTAAACAACAAGATAGCCATCAAGTTTGGGTAAAATAATGATTGTACAAATTTTAGATGCTGTGATGACAAGACACAGTGTTACATCCTTTGTCCTGTATTTGACCTGTTCTTCATGGACTATTTGTTAGAAACATTATTTCTTATAGTTTACCATTCAAAAAGCACTGCTGATTGAAGTGTTTTATGTGAAGAAGTTGCAACTACTGGTAGAGATTGGACAAATTCTTCTGAATAATACTTTCCTGCAATACACTAGTAGCCTTAAAATTCTTATTTAAAAGGCCTAAACAAAAGAACAGTATAAAATGAAGCAAATGTAAAATTGCAAAGAGATTTAAAATAGAGCCTTTAAAAGGATGTTCAAATTTATATAGGAAGCTATTTCCATATTTTAAATGATTTACATAATTGTATGTGGTTCACTTACAATTCATTCATTACCGTAGAAACAGAAAATGGAGAAATATCAGGTACTTTTACTAAGTAGAAACTTTGATTTATTTCTTGTTGTAAAGTACCGCTTACAGTTCTTACAAAATGCTTCTTGTTTATAGTTAAGTTATTGAATGATTAAATTTTATTCAACAAATATCGTGTTCACATAAATTTATTTTACTTAGTTAAATTAAATATTTTATTTAACAGGAACAAATGCATCTCTATTATTTAACATTGTGCATGCTGATAATTTACCTATTACTCATATTTTAGAAGGAAAAAATAATTTAATAAGACCTCATTTTAACAGTCGAGGTTTCTTGCATTAAAGTAAACCTCACAGTTAATAACAAACACCCCATCTAATTAAAGAACTCACATGATTTCTTCTGTAATTGTTAATAATTACTAATAGTTTAACTATTCAGTAAAACTAAAGTTTATGCAATAAAACTGAAGTTTTTGCAATTAAGTATAGAAATGAAATTTTTGAGATTAAAAAGTTCTGAAAATATTTCTCAATTAACATAATTATATTAAATTTTAAAAAGATTTATCTTGTTTTGGATACAAAAAGATCTTATGGCCAAGTGGTTATTGTCACTAATTCTCTGAAAGTCATTTTTACACCACTGTAGAAAGCTGTTTTCTATTCTACTTTTGGTTTAAATCCTGGTTGCACAGGTGCAAACCCGGGTTATAAAATGGTGAATGTCTGGCGGCGGGCGGGCATATTTGAGGGCGGGCGGGGAAAATATTTTCATAACAGGTTTCTCAACAACTACTTATCACAGCCTCTTGATATTTGACATACAGCATCAACATGTGGTCCCATACCGAGAGGAATTGATTTCATGTCTGTTGCTTATCCACTTCCTGTTTTCTAACTTAGTTAAATTTTCGACATTAATGGTCAATGGTAGGAAATTTTCGTAACAGTTTTCTCAGCAAATACTTTTCACAGCCTCTTGATATTTGGCATACAGCATTAACATGTGGTCCCATACCGTGGGATTCGATTTCAGGTTTTTTTTTTGCACATCCACTTCCTGTTTACCCACTTAGTTAAATTTTCAACATTAATGGTCAATGGTAAACATTTTTTGTAACATCACAGCCTATACAAATATTGTAAGACAATTAAGAGGCATAATATTTAAAAGCAATATTTTTAGGAGTTGTGCCCGTTTTTAACTTAGAATCTTTTTAGAAATTGAATATTGATAGAATGTGCCTTTAACAGATGAGTGTTATCACAGCATGTGGTGCTCTTGTTAAATAAATGTCTTGATTTTTAACTTCGGCATGGCAACTCAAGGTAATTCACATTTAACAATAGAATTTAGTTAGAAGTGTATTGTGAAGACTAGCACATGAAACCCTGCATGGGACAGTACCCTTTAGAAGCATGTAAAATTCAGATTCAAATTAAACTTGTGAAAACCAACTTGATTTAAAAGCATTAATGTAACTATGTACAAAGTGCCAGTAGAATTAATGACTGCTTTATTTGATTTAGGGTTGTCAAAAGTTAGCGGTTTTCACATCAAATCAACCTTAATTAGAGTATACGGCTTTGTAAACAAATAAAAGCAACAACTAAACAACCAACCCTTACCCTACATTTGTTTATACAACACCATACCATACATTTGATTATACAATGTCATACCATACATTTGTTTATACAATGTCATACCATACATTTGATTATACAATGTCATACCATACATTTGATTATACAACACCATACCATACATTTGATTATACAATGTCATACCATACATTTGATTATACAATGTCATACCATACATTTGATTATACAACACCATACCATACATTTGATTATACAATGTCATACCATACATTTGATTATACAACACCATACCATACATTTGTTTATACAACACCATACCATACATTTGATTATACAATGTCATACCATACATTTGATTATACAATGTCATACCATACATTGATTATACAATGTCATACCATACATTTGATTATACAACACCATACCATACATTTGATTATACAATGTCATACCATACATTTGATTATACAATGTCATACCATACATTTGATTATACAACACCATACCATACATTTGATTTATACCACAGATTAGTAAAACCTTAATTAAGGTGTGAGAAAGAAATGAGATATTGACTTATTTTGAATTTATTGATATCTTAGAATGGCATTGTGACTTATCAGAAACTTCTACGTCGGAAAGCGGGTCTGACTCTGATTCAGGTATTTATAAAATGTAGCTTTATAAATCTGTATGTGTAAAGTGCATAACGATAGAGTAACACTAATGTATTTTCTGTTCTAAATGGTAAATTTTGACCCAGTTGAAGTATGAAAGTCGACTGTGAAAGATTCTGTTAAAATTTGGTTTTGATTTGAGGCCATGTTTAGACTTTTATGCTGTTTTTAGTGATATGACCCTCTTTCTGTGCAATATATGTATTGTTAAAAAGTTATATGACATGCCTTTGCTATAAATCTGCTGAACATTTTGTTCCTTGATTGAAAAGATTCTTTCCTCTCATTAAAATCTTAAATCACGCCTTTTTTCACATACCGTTTACTCTAGCTTGCTTTTATGAACCAAAATGACTGGGGAATGGGGTTTAGGGTTAGGATCAGGGACTTTATAACCACATATTTTATTCTTTAACTTTAACATTGAAAAAAAAAAACAGTTTTTAGCTCGACTATTCGCAGAATAATCGAGCTAATGCAGTCTCCCATTTGTCGGCGGCGGCGTCGGCGTCCCTGTGGTTAAGTTTTTGTATGTAAGCTGGTATCTCAATAACTACTGAAGGGAATGGATTGAAACTTCACACACTTGTTCTCTGTCATTATCTAAGATGATTGGCACAAGTCCCATAACTCTGATTTGCTTTTTTTCATAATTATGCCCCTTTTTCGACTTAGAAATTCTAGGTTAAGTTTTTGTATGTAAGCTGGTATCTCCATAACTACTGAAGGGAATGGATTGAAACTTCACACAATTGTTCTCTGTGATTATCTAAGAGGATTGGCACAAGTCCCATAACTCTGATTTGCTTTTTTACATTATTATGCCCCTTTTTCGACTTAGAAATTCTTGGTTAAGTTTTTGCGTGTAAGCTGGTATCTCCATAACTACGGAAGGGAATGGATTGAAACTTCACACCTTGTTCTCTGTGATTATCTAAGATGATTGGCACAAGTCCCATAACTCTTATTTGCTTTTTTACATAATTATGCCCCTTTTTCGACTTAGAAATTCTTGGTTAAGTTTTTGCGTGTAAGCTGGTATCTCCATAACTACTGAAGGAAATGGATTGAAACTTCAAACACTTGTTCTCTGTGATTATCTAAGATGATTGGAACAAGTCCCATAACTCTGATTTACTTTTTTACATAATTTTGCCCCTTTTTTGACTTAGAAATTCTTGGTTAAGTTTTTGCGTGTAAGCTGGTATCTCCATAACTACTGAAGGGAATGGATTGAAACTTCATACACTTGTTCTCTGTGATTATCTAAGAGGATTGGCACAGGTCCCATAACTCTGATTTGCTTTTTTGCACAATTATGCCCCTTTTTTGACTTAGAAATTCTTGGTTAAGTTTTTGCGTGTAAGCTGGTATCTCCATAACTACTGAAGGGAATGGATTGAAACTTCACACTCTTGTTGTCTGTGATTATCTAAGATGATTGGCACAAGTCCCATAACTCTGATTTACTTTTTCGCATAATTATGCCCCTTTTTCGATTCATAAATTCTTGGTTAAGTTTTAGTGTGTAAGCTTGTATCTCCATAGCTACTGAAGGGAATGTATTGAAACTTGAAGGGTTTGTACCTTTTCGGACAATTTTATGTATTCATATAGGTAACCATTATTATACTCAATGAAACACCCTTGTGACAAATTTTCGAATAGTCGAGCGTTACTGTCCTCCGACAGTTCTTGTTTTTTCTCTTGTGTGATATACTACTGATAATATTTTGGGAATGGCAATTCAACTTATTATTTAATGTTTTATTATTTGTGTGAAAAACAATCTTAGCCCCAATGTGTTTCTGACTCAAAAAGAAAATATCAAAGATAGAATCTACACATTCTAAAATATCTTTGGATACATCTAAAAACAGTTGCCAAGTTTCAAAACAAACTTGAAACATTTTGCTCACTTTATCAAAAGACATTTCTATACTAGAGGCAGGGCAATTTCATTACACAAGCTTAATAGTAAGATAAAGCAGTTATTTTAAAGGAATGAATGGAATATTCCAAGTTATGCACACCTTATATTTAGATCAAGTGCACGGTTGCATGCATGACAATACACTGTATAATTTGCCTTGTAGTTCTAACCATTTATATTGTATGGTATATGCTAAACAAAGGTGTTTTTTCTAGCTAATATATAGTTCTATATTGTGTACCCCGTAGATAGAATGATCATTAGGATGTTGACCCATATATTACTGAGTCAGCCTTATATTAATGAAATTGCAAATTACTAACAGGCAGAACAATGGAATTTGAGTTCGGTACTACATAATGCTGTGTAGAATATTGACTGTCATAGGCCTGCACCAGAAACTCTAGCCTGGTTTATGACTAAATTATACTTATCAGTTCTCATCAAGATCTACCCCTACAACCCCTGAAAGTGTCACCTGAAAGTATCACCTGGGCTTTGAGCTAATAAATCACCCTAATGTATAGAATGAAGTTTAACTGTCTCCCCTAAGAAATGTCAAGCATAATTATTGTCAGTCTATATATATAGCCCCTTGTTGAACTTGAAATAGGCAAATATAATTTCAGTTCAATCATTATTTAAAAACCCTACCATTATGTCCCTGGCATGAACAGTTTCAATTTATGTGCCTTTTGACCAAGCACAATGGTTTAATTATTGAATGACTAGGTTTTGTTATGGGTTCTTATTTAAAATATTGCATGTCTCAATTATCTTAATAGGTAATTTAGGATATTGACACTTAAGAGAAAAATAACTCGGAGACGTGATAACTATAAAATTCTATATCATATTTGTACATTGTATATGTATAAGTTTTAATAAATGCAATTTCAATATGGTTGAATGTTACTCTTTAATACTTCTAGAATTCTAGACTTGCTATAAAGCTTTTGCTTCAAATTACCATGTCCACTTCTAATAACACAACAGATTTTTTAATGATACTTTGTATCTAATATTGGAGTTTTCTAAAAATGACTTTTTAAGAAAATTATAGAAGCAAACTTTCTATCTGAAATTGTCATACATTGCCTTAAATTGAAATGTTACCAGGAAAGTTAATATGAATATTTTATTTTGAAAGAAGAAGAATAATAAAAAAATATGAAAAGATAATAATTGTCAAATAAGTGTTTAATACATAATGGGTATATTTCAGTATGTATATTTAACATTTTAAGGAGCTTAAGGTCATGTAACTATGCAAGCTGCAGATTAGTGTCTGTTTTCTTGAATAATGAAATTACTGTTGAAAATAACATTTAACATGGAATTTATGAACTAAAGTAGGTATAAAATCAGTTGTTAAAAGAAGGCGAGAGTAACTCGAGCTTAAATACTATCATATTATCTGACTTTAGTTGATATTTTATGGATTTCTAGAAGGTTCACATAAACACTTAACTGAATTATTTCAATGTAAGACAGCACTCATGTATCTTTGATTTCATGTATAATATTATTTGGTAAGTGCAATATTTTCAGGGAAAAAATGTATTATGTAAATATAGAACTGGTATAAGTATCTGAAGTATATCTTTTGCACAATTTATATGTATGGCTCTTCTGTATATATAATGATGGAAAATAACATTCAGGTTTGTGCATGAGAAGGGGTAGCATTGACAATATCTGTTTATATTGAATAAAACTTAAAACATATATGAGAATTTTTAACATTGACACCAGATATATGTATGTTAAATAAATTTTGCTTAATAATTTAAATTAAAAGATATTTAATGTGTATTGGATAAGGTAACATTTACACAATAATCGTAATTGTATTTTCATATTGCAGGAAATAAGATTTGCCTGATGAAATGTGTATATCATTATGATATCATCGGCACAAGATATTATAGTATTAATTGAATGTTATTTATCTATAAAATATATGCAATGTGATTTGCCTGGTAATTGTATTGTGGAGGGTAATGAAAATACTTGGGGTATATGTGCATCAAATATGTAGCTAGCTTTGTTTAAAATTGTTGATTTATCAATAGTATAAGATGATTAAAACATGAATTATCTATCATTTATTTTATCTTATGCTAACTATAGAACCTCAGCATCCAGGAGAAATTCATTTGACGAAGAAAAGTGAGTAAATACAGACCATACTGAGTCTGAAAGCACAGTTATTACCCCCTACTGTTAATGCTTACATGTACTGTGGTAGGGTCTTAGCTTATCTTGTAAAGGCTGAGTTTTCTTGCATAATATGCTTTGTTATTTCAGAACAATTTGCTATGAATTTATGTAGTGTTTATGTTTTCAGATACTAGTAAAGTGCATGGATTTTCTTTTTGTCAGCCATTTTGAATTGTATATTATGTTAAGTGATTTCAATGCCTTAAATGTATAAAATATCATGACAGTAATTCTTCCCTGAAGAAATCATTCAAAACATTAGGGTTATTTGTCTTTTATATTTGCAAGATGCCATTACTTTTGGTATATATTTAATGAATGGAATATTACCATTGCATGCCTAAATCATGGTAAAGTTAAACCATGGTACAGTATAATCATGGTACAATTAAATTAAAGTTCAGATTTACTGTGGTATAGTTAAATCATATTTAATAGTATGATGAAAACCTTAAACAATGTAATTATACATGTAAACAGTCTGCTCCACAATGCAAAACACAGCTTCTTGGTTTGCCTGGCATTGAAATGTTCTAAAGAAATATATCGGTAGTTTTTCTTTCAAGGAGATTTTTATTTTTCAAACCATTGATTAAATCGAAGAAGCTTTTCTTCATTGCTATTGTCACAATATCTCTGTACATGAACTTATGTTGTCATAATTTCTCTGTACGTACATACTTTTCATGTTGTCAGAATATCTCTCTGTACTTGTACATATATTATTGGAATATCATGAATGTCATAATTTCTCTGCACATGTACATGTTTTGTCAGAAGTTTTCTCTGTACATGCTATTTTGTCAGGATATCTCTGTATATGTACTTCTGTTGTCAGAATGTATCTATACATGTTCATATGTTGTCAGAATATCTAAACATGTAATTCTGTTGTCAGACTATCTGGAACCATGTTCTTATACATGTTCTTGTGTTGTCATAATATCTCTATACATGTTCTTATGTAATGTCAGAATATCTTTGTACATGTATTTATTTTGTCAGAATATATATTTACATGTACTTCTGTTGTCAGAATATGGATATACAGTATTTTTAAATGGGTTAAATTTTCTAGTGGTTTTCATTGTAACATATCTACTGATCCATGTTGAAAAAAAAATCAGCCCTTAAATAGTAAATGCCACTTATGGTAACTGTCATGTAGCATCATCGCAGCTCTTATTTTTAAAAAAATATTTTTAAGGAAAACATTTCTGTTTGTTATTTGTGTGTTTGACTTTAAAGGTCTGTCCCTTTTTGGTAAATATGGAAGCTTTAATCCCAAACTGGAGCAGTTGTCATTTCCAACCCACTAATGTGTTAACAACCCTTGATTTACTGTAGATATGTTTAAGTTTTCTTTAATAGAAATGTTGAATTTGAGCAGAGAAGATTTAAGATTTGTGCATTTGTGTCTGATGATGAAGAAATTAAATTTTCTTTTAATTTGCTCCTTGTCACAACTTTACACATATAGATATGTTTGTTTGAAAATATATAATCAACCGTGGTTTAAGTTGTCAGTGAAAACTTTTCTGATATATACTATGATGGTGACATGTTATTCAGCTTTGTTATGCTCCCATCTAGTGGTTTAGGGCATATTAAGATTTGCCCTTGTTCATTCATTCTACTTTCACCCTGATCTGCTGTCATATATATCGTCCGCAGACTGACAAAACAGTGGTATGTGGAGGCATCCATGTACTAAGGACACATCTCTAGAGTCTCATTTCTCATGTACAGCAGTACTGCAGATGTTTAGTCCACAAAGTTAGCTTAACTTTTATGCCACAATTATATACCTTGGGGTTTTAAAGCTTAAATCTAACATAACCACTTTGGTAATGTTATACATTTATTATCCATGCTCATAATGTACTCTTCGGTGGCTGGCAATTTTATACAAATTAAATTTGAGAAGTTTTTGATTGGTTGAACAAGTTTTTTAGGAACATACATAGATTTTATTCAGTGTTGTAAAGACAGTTATCTGATGTGTTGTGCAGTAAGATTATGTTATTGTATTTCATATTATGTTATCTGAATGCTGGTGATACACTTGATTTAGCATGGTGTCACAGTAGAGAAATTAACAAAATTCTAGAAATATCTAAATGCATTACTACTGCTACAAAACAACATCAATCTAATTTTATGCTAGAATGTTAACTAGATTATACTCTTCTATATTTGGAAAATGAAGAAACTGGGTAGATGTGATAATATGATATTCTGCTAATTAAAAAGAAATGTTATTTCATTATGTTTATTTTGCTTCAATTTCTAAAGCAATTAAATCAATTATCGTGTAAGAAAATTTGGATGTTTTTTGGTTTTTTTTTTAATTGACAGGTATGAATGCTATAAATAATTGTATATTGCTTCTTCAATTTACTGCAGATTTTGAAGTATGCAAAAGATTTCTGATTCTTTTTTTATTATTTTTAAAGCATGATGCAGATGGTAGAGCATGTATATAGTGTACATGTATTTTTGTCAGATTTTATTTTTTCGATTACTTAAACATATAAGCCAAGGTTGAAAATAAATTATTTCAGCTTCAAAACCTTATCTCAAAAATTAAGCAGTATAAAGCACTTTTAAAGTATTATTTATTTCTTGTATTTTTATCCCCTATTATCCTGATTATGACCCTGTGAATATGTTTCCATACTAAACATAAAATTTGTGTAAATTCTTGCATTAAAAAGTGAACAATGTGTTATTTACCGAGGTACTGATTTTAAGTTTGTCAGATGAATATTTTATCTACATTGACTGTTTTTATTCTCCAGTCCCAGACCCGCCACAAGGATTCCGTGATGTGTTGAAGACAGAAGGTCCTGAAGCATTTGCTAAGAAAGTGCGTGCACATCAAGGCCTGTTACTGATGGACACGACATTCCGAGATGCCCACCAGTCTCTCCTGGCTACCAGGGTGAGGACCTATGATCTCAAAAGGATCTCACCTTATGTCAGTCATAGGTTCAATAATCTATACAGTTTAGAAAACTGGGGAGGTGAGTTTATATTTATATCTTAATAATCATGATAAGTAGAAGTCTCAAAATATTCGTTCTTGTTGCCTCAGTTTCAAAATTGCTTAGAATGAAAGTGAAATTCTGATGTTCGAATTTGACTGATTGTTTTTATATGTGTTTATTAGTTTTGTTTTGTATAAGAAAATTTTAGATTGGTGCAAGGTAGGCAGTTGTAAACAATTTCTTCTATGGGCCATTCCTTCTACACTTTTCAAAAGAATTTCAAGCAAATTTACACAGAAATTTATCACTAAGGGCTCTCAGCCATATTGTACAGGTTTTGTGATTTGATAATTTTTGACATAATTATGGCTGTTTGTTTTTTTCTTTTTGCATAATGCAAATGTATATAGAGAAATAGTCTTCTATGGGCAACTACTTCTACATTGCCATATGCTTTTCAACATATTTATCCTATGAATTTTGATGTCATTAATTAACATTATCCATTTTTTCATTATACAGGAGCAACATTTGATGTTGCATTAAGATTTTTACATGAATGTCCATGGGACAGACTGAGAACGTTAAGAGAGTTGATTCCAAACATACCCTTCCAGATGTTACTGAGAGGAGCCAATGCTGTAGGATATACCAACTATCCTGATAATGTTGTATACAAGTATGTATTATATTACTTTCCTAGCACTAGTTGCCTACCTGGCTGAGTATATTTAAATAAACCAATCAGAGGCCTTGGATTCTTTCATATGACGAAGCTGTAGATCTAGCTAAATTTAGAAAAGTTTGTGGTTCTACTAAGGTGTCCCACTTGTGCCTTAGGTCTTCCATATGATATAGAAACAGTCTGTGTGACTTAAAATTAAGCAAAACAAGCCTACCCTCCTATCAAAGTTTATTAACTGAAATTATTTTCTTCAGTTTTATTTTCATAAGTATGAAGATCAAAATACTTTAATTGAGTACATGTATATAACATTATTTGTCATTATAAGGTATTTCCACATACATATATTATAATGAATATCTTATTGCAAACTTTATAATTTTATTTAATGTTATATGAAAGCAGGAAGTTTCCCAAATTTTAGTGATGTGCAAGAAATTGAAAAGCCTGCCCTTCAAACATAAATGATTTATATAAATATTTAGTCAATGCTGCATAAATTTAATTTTCAGATTTTGTGATGAAGCAGTCAAAAGTGGAATGGACATTTTCAGAATATTTGATTCACTGAATTATCTCCCTAATATCAGGGTAGGCATGGAGGCTGTTGGAAATGCAGGTATGATCCTCAATGTTATGAGTCTGAATTTTATATAATCTTTATTTGCCGTATGGTTAAAAATAAAAGTTAGTGATAGGTATAAGAAATAATGATAATTCTGTTAAAATTACATTAACTTTTTTTTTCTGAACTACATCTTAACGTCTAAAGATCTCTGGGATCGTTTGAAACATCATAAAGTGATAAATGGTGAAGTACAAATGTACATTCCTGGAAACTTTAGTTACCTTTTAACCCATTACTTCATATAGACTTCTTTTCACGCATTTCACCCCCCCCCCCCCCCCCCTTTCTCAGCCATCAAATGGTGAAAAAATGCCTAACTTGCAAAGGCTATGGTGAAGTCAATATTTGTGCCAAGTTTGATGAATATTGAAGCATCATAACAATTTGACCTTGAAACAGGAGGCTTTTTCAATGAAAACAGCCATTTTTCACAAAATGGTCATGATACAGAGTATACCTCATAAGTCTAGTTACCTCCCTTGACATTTCCTTATTTCTTCTTAAACATTTCCTTGTATTGTTTACTTTAAAGGCACATCCATTCTCAGCAATATAACTATATTTTCCTTAAAAAGTCTCAAGTATATCAAAAAGGCAATTAATACCTGTGCCCTGTTACAACTATGTAAAAATGGTATTGCACAACCGTGCATATATTTTGATGTGACGTCATGTTCATTATATAAACATAGTGTTACGACACAATAAATGTTAGCGTTATACTATAGGCGCGTCAATGAAAAATGGTTCTTTTTCAGTTCAAATGGACTTTATTATACCCCCAAAAACGAAGTTTGGGGGGATATATAGGAGTCACCCGGTGGTCGGTTGGTCGGTCGGTCGGGCGGTTGGTCGGTCAATCGGTCCAGACGTCCGTTGCATTTTCCTTGTCCGGAGCATAACTTGAAGACTAATGGTTGGAATTCAATATAACTACATACAATGGTCAAGCACATTGAGAGGAAGTGCAGTGCACAAGAACCATAACTCTATCTTAACTAATTACAGAGTTATTGCCCTTTGTTACTTTTCCTTGTCCGGGGCATAACTTGAAAACTACTGGTTTGGAATTCAAAACAACTTCATACAATTGTCAAACACAATAAGGGGAAGTGCAGTGCACAAGAACCAAGTGCAGTGCACAAGAACTATAACTCTATTTAAAGTAATTACAGAGTTATTGCCCTTTGTTGTTTTTCCATTGCTTTTTTTTGTCCAGACCATAACTTGAAGACTAATAGTTTGAATTCAATATAACTACATACAATGGTCAAGCACATTGAGAGGAAGTGCAGTGCACAAGAACCATAACTCTATCTTGACTAATTACAGAGTTATTGCCCTTTGTTACTTTTCCTTGTCCGGAGCATAACTTGAAAACTACTGTTTGGAATTCAATACAACTTCATACAGTTGTCAAGGACATTAAAAGGAAGTGCAGTGCACAAGAGCCATAATTCCATTTTGACAAAATACAGAGTTACTGCCCTTTGATACTTTTCCTTGTCAGGAGGATAACTTAAAACGTACTGGTTGGAATTCAAAACAACTTCATACAATGGTCAAGCACAATATGAGGAAGTGCAGTGCACAAGAACTATAACTCTATCTTCAGTATTTATAGAGTTATTGCCCTTTGTTCCTTTTCTTTGTCTTTCTGGACTTATTACAGAGTAATTCAATTAAATTTCATCAATGGCCAACCACATTGAAAGGAAATGCAACATATAAGAACCACAACTATCTTTAATTGCCCACAACCATAACTCTATATTTCAATTCTTTTACAAGGTATTCTGTTACTAGTAACATCCTCATTTCCGAAGCAGTCTTGTGGGGGTATTAATCACATTTAGTGATAGTTCTAGTTTTTGGTATGTGATAAATAGAATATTAAATTTGTGTAAATTTAATGCAAAATTTATCGAACTCTTTGAATAAATTAATATTATGCTTGCTGGCATACCGGTAATATAGTTTTATTTGTCTTGTTCGATAAATTTAGTAATAAACTTAATTCATTCAATATCTTCTATATATTATAACTGTGACAAGAATTAATTGATTTTTTATTCAGGTGGAGTTATTGAGGCTGCCATCTCCTACACTGGTGATGTATCTGATCCTACAAAAACAAAATATAATCTAGATTATTACGTTAATCTTGCTACAGAGCTGGTCAAATCTGGAACTCATGTACTTTGTATTAAGGTAAGTTTTCTGAAATGAATTTTTCTTTGATAGACATTTCTTATAAATTTATCTTACATTTTAAAAGGTGAAATTTAATTTATGAATTATAAATGGCGATAAATTGAACTTTGCTTATCTCTTGCAGGCAATTAATTCATAAAATTAACTTAAGAGAAAAAGTGTGTTGTTAATTCACTTTTTTCAAGCAACACTGTTACTTTATTTTACAATGGCTATAATGAACATGAGAGTGAATTTGTTAACAAATGTTCATATTGTACAGTTATGTATTTCTAAGTTTGGTTCTTTTTGGTTTTTTGTCTTGTTAAATTTTTCTGGTAAACCGTCCAGCAGAGCATTCCAGTAGGATATTGATTTAAATCTATATTACAAAATGCATGGTTCCTTGGCCTACGGAAAATTTCAGCAGATTCAAATTTCCAATTGTCCTATTAGCTTCCGGTGTACATTACAATTTGTTCATTTTTAGGACATGGCTGGTATTTTAAAACCAAGGGCAGCTAAGTTACTAGTGGGAACATTACGAGAGAAGTTCCCTGACATGCCAATACATGTACACACTCACGACACAGCTGGTGCCGGTGTGGCCTCCATGTTGGCATGTTACGAGGCCGGGGCCGATGTTGTGGATGTAGCTTGTGACTCGATGTCAGGAATGACGTCACAGCCAAGTATGGGAGCTATGGTCGCTGCTCTCGAGAAAACAGATAGTGATACAGGTAATGAATGGCTTTAAAAAAACTTATGATAGGTTTTATTAATGTGCCAATGAAATCAGGCATATACGGCAAATCTCTGCTCTGTAATAGTTGCATTGTAAAATTGTTATACAAACATGGTGCGTGAAAAATGTCCATTTGAAGTAAAGAATGCTTTGCACATAACCTTGAGTTTTTCTTTCAAGATTCAAGTGAAATTTAATAGTCTTTGCACATGTATTTCACGATTTCAAGAACAAACATGGTGTTGTCCATATAGACGGCAGGTAAACTGGCAAAACAATCTTGCCCATTAAAAATTAAGTCTATTATTTCCAGGTTATTTGTTTGAAATAAAAGTTGTTCTAACAAAAATCAATAATTTGTTTTACTTCCATGGACAACGATATTTTGATACTTTGTCTAATGCTTATCTGTCATGGATGGTTTAATTGCATGGCTAAAAATAGCTTTCTCAGGAAATCCAGATCACTTTGAAGGCAAAACAAATACGGTGGCAATCAGATTTACATTGAAAAAGTGACTTACGTAGGTCTGAACTTTAGTCAGATTGCATTATGAATTCAGTTGTATTAAATATGTTTTCACAGGTATATTACTTGATGATGTATCAGCTTATTCAGCATACTGGGAACAAGCTAGGAACCTGTATGGACCATTTGAATGTGCTGTCACCATGAAGAGTGGTAATGCTGATACATACAGGAATGAAATACCAGGTAACTTATACAGGAATTTGAAGAAATTAATTGAAATATGTTCTGTTGTGTAGTAAGTCATGATTAAATGAAAATGATGTGCTTTTTATCATCAGCTAAAATAAATTTGTTTTAACTAAAACAAGTACATGTTTTTACAATAAAATTGGTGCTACAACCTTAAGAATGAAGAAAATTTTGACACAACAGTGAGGTATATCAGAATTTATTTAGTTTTTTTTGTGTGTGTAGGAAGCTAGCGTATAATAGACACACTCTCGAAACCCTTCCTGGAACCATACATTACTAAGCAATGAGTGTCAAGTTTCTTGCTCAAGGAAACAGCAGCTTACCACTGACAGGGTTTGAACCCGTACGGCTAGCAATCTCTTTAGATTATTTGTCTAACTTGTCATGCCAGCTCTTCTATATCAGGTTTGATAAAAGTATAATTGAGCTGTGCCATGACAAAACCAATGTAATGCGTGTGCGACCAGCATGGATCCAGACCAGCCTGCGCATCCGCGCAGTCTGATCAGGATCTATGCTGTTCGCTTACCAACACTATTACAAGTAAAGAAACTGATAGCGAACAGCATGGATCCTGATCAGACTGCGCGGATGCGCAGGCTGGTCTTGATCCCTGCTGGTCGCAAACGCACTATGTTGGTTTTGTCGTGACTCGGCTCATATCTGTTATATTATATTAACAGGTGGTCAGTACACAAACATACAGTTCCAGGCTTTCAGTCTTGGTCTGGCTGACCAGTTTGAAGAGGTCAAGAAAATGTATGTTGAGGCAAATAAACTGTTGGGAGATATCCCAAAGGTATTGAGTCTTTTCATAAAACATTTGAGATAAGATGATTTCCAATAAAGTCTTTATCATTATATCTTTGAGTCCATGGTTACTTGATTATACTACAAGGAGTTGAATTAATTAAGTAGCTTTTAAATACATGTACATGTATGTTGAATTGTGGATACATTTACTTAAAAAAGACAAAATACCATAGAAATTTTGTATTGCATTTGTATCTTTTCAGATTAACTCATAAAAACTTTATGGAATAAGAAATACAAAATTATTGGCAGAAATTCTTTCAATTGTTAAACTAAAAAAAGAAATGAAATTATAGCTTGTGTACTACTGTATAAAAGTATCCCAAGTTGTATTTCATTTGGTACAACACGTTATCACTATCAAAGCCTTTTACAACACATTATCACTAACAAAGCCTTTTACAACACATTTTCACTAGCAAAGCCTTTCACAACACATTATCACTATCAAAGCTTTTTACAACACGTTATCACTAGCAAAGCCTTTTACAACACATTATCACTAACAAAGCCTTTTACAACACATTATTACTAACACATGCCATTTACAACACGTTATCACTAACAAAGCCTTTTACAACACATTATCACTATCAAAGCTTTTTACAACACTTTATCACTAGCAAAGCCTTTTACAACACGTTATCACTAACAAAGCCTTTTACAAAACATTATCACTAACAAAGCCTTTTACAACACATTATTACTAACAAATCCTTTTACAACACGTTATCACTAACAAAGCCTTTTACAACACGTTATCACTAACAAATCCTTTAATGAGTACTCTGAAAAATTATTATACATTGTATTTCAGGTAACACCATCCTCGAAGGTTGTTGGAGATATGGCCCAGTTCATGGTGCAGAATAAACTCACTGCACAAACTGTAGAAGACCGAGCAGATGAGTTATCTTTCCCTGGATCTGTTATAGAATATTTCCAAGGTTACCTTGGAGAGCCCCCTGGTGGCTATCCTGAACCACTGAGAACAAAGGTAGGTGCTTATTCTGTACATTCTTTATAGTACAGTTTTTCTTTGGACTTAAGTATAAAAAATATTATTAAGCAGATGGTCTTGTTGATGCATGCATCAAGGAATTTATTTAGAATAGACTGAATTTATAATTGCTTAATTGAATAATATTTTAGAATGGGGTTATTAGGTACAGGTATGTTTAAATACTTAATATATAGTTATGTTTTTATGCTCCCCTTGTCCATTTGTCAATGTTCTTGTTGAAAGTAGATACATACCAAGGGTAGTCAACTTACTTTGGTCACTGGCAGCCAAGGTCACTGATGCTAAAAAAAGATTTTTATACTTTTGTTCACATCCCTTATGTCTTTAATATTTTCATATTTAGTAGGAACATACTTTGGGTGATCCGGATTTAGGGGTCACAGGGTCAAGTTCAATATCATTAGTGCTAAAAATATCTTATAATGAAAAACATTGACAAACATGTTAGTTCAGACAGCATCCATAGCCTCTAGCAATATGTCTTGTTGTAACACAGGTAAACTAACCATTTAACACATTTTTTAAACAGTTTGCTACATTGAGCACATTTGAAGGGAAAGGTTTCTGGTTATTTTTTATTCATGTTTTTTTTTTGCTATATATACACTCATGTTTTCTGGTATATCAACAGATTCTTCAAGGCAAGACAAAGGTTGAGGGAAGACCAGGTGAAAGCCTTAAGCCACTTGACTTTGACACGCTAAGAACAGAACTAAGAGAGGAGTTTGGCAAGACTGTAAGGGAAGTAGATGTCATCAGTGCATCTCTATACCCTAAAGTTACCAAAGAATATCTTGAATTTAAGGAAAAATATGGACCAGTAGATGCATTGGATACTAAACTCTTCCTGGTTGGTCCTAAGGTGGCACAAGAGTTTGAGGTAGGTCTAACCTAAAGGACAGGAAACAGGAAAATCGGAATAGATTATAGGGTTAATTTCTACTTCTACTTTAAAAAAGTTTATAGGTTATGATTTTTTTTACTGTACATGTTTAGCTTATTTTTAAATGTTAAAGTTATTAAGTTTATTAAGAAACAAAACATGTGTTGTTGTTGGTTTTTGTTATCTTGTCAAGTCAGTCATGATACAACGTTCATTTAAAAATCAAATTGTTTTACATTTACAATCTATGCTAACTTTCAATCCTAAATGATAGACTCATAAAATTATACCATTTATTACAACGTTCACATCAGTTCTGATATTATATTTCATACACAATAGGTTGAAATAGAGACAGGGAAAACTTTATCCATTAAGACATTAGCTGTAGGTGACCTAGATAAAGACGGTAAACGAGAAGTCTTCTTTGAACTCAATGGTCAGCTTAGATCTGTCTTCATCAGAGACAACGAGGCTACAAAGGTAACATGCTAAATATTATATGTTTGTATTATAAAATATCTGTGCTGTTCTATCATAGTCTGTATTGTTTACTATTTATTGCTGTCTGATCATGGTCTGCACTGTTTACTAGTCAGTCAGTACATGTTGGTTAAAATGTCTGCTTTCATCTTAGGTTAGTATCGTAAAGGCTGACAGGGATGACAACTCTTGTTTGTTTAAGTCATGGGGGAAATTATTATCATACTTTTATTGGTTTATGAAGATACTACCTAAATACAGAATGTCCGACTGTACATGTAAATGCATTTCTCTTTTTCTTATACCATAAACTATGTTATGATTTTTTGTAGGAGATGCACTTCCATCCAAAAGCTCTTAAAGGAGTACATGGTTCAGTTGGCGCTCCAATGCCTGGAAATGTTATAGAAATTAAGGTCAAGGTTGGGGACAAGGTCGAGAAAGGTCAAGCGATCCTTGTGTTGTCAGCCATGAAGATGGAAATGGTGGTGAATGCCCCTGTATCTGGAACTGTGAAACAGATCCTGGTAGAAAATGGAATGAAGCTAGAGGGAGATGATCTGTTGATGGACATTGAGCCGAGTTAGAAATATTTGTTGTGTTTATAACATGTGAAAGTGAGAGAAAAATGAGTTGTTTATGGTTATTGAAAAAGAGTGATACGTAGGGTAAATTAGTTAATATTTTATTTTGATATTTAATGATTGAAGTGTGAAGTTACATTAACAATTAGATTCAGTCAAACTGTTCATCTGGTTATCACTTTAGCTCAAAATTTATCTATTCTCTATAGTAACAAATAATGGTTGTAATACAGAATTTCATTTTAATTCATTAAACAGCAACTATTAATGATAAAATCATTAAAATTTGATTCAAATGATATTTTCCTTTAATGGACCAATGATAATTTAGTTTATACATGTAATTTGTTCCAAAAACAAGATTATTTTCTTAAACATTCTTTAAAACAGGGTATTTTGAATTGACATTTTTGAATTTCTTTCCTGCTTTAAATCTGGAACTTACATAGAAATTTGAGTTTAACCTTAAGCACGAAAGTTGCCTATAATTACTGGTATACTTTATAAATTGTGTGAAAAATTGTATGATCCGAACTACCTATGGTGTTTGTATGATTTTTTTAATCAAGAATATATACATGTATATTTCACATGAAATATTGCTATATTTAAATGATAAGAGGATACCTGGGTTATTATTTATATACAAATGTACCTCTTTCTGCTGAATACCCAGAGTCTGAAGTCAAAAGTGTGAACATATGTATCCAAGCCATGTATATGTATGAAACATTTCATTATAAAAAGCCATACCATTTTAGAAAATATCTGAAGCATATTCTATCACAATGAATATCAGATATATGTGTGGTGTTTATATGTATGATTTCTTTGAATGTAATTTTTATGGATGGTATTGAAAGTAATGTTTTAAAAATAAGTGTTAGGGTGTGTTTTATTGAAAATAAAGAAAAAACAACAAAATTATAGTAAATAAATGAAAAGGTATTTCATATGAATGAAAAGTAACCTTAGTATATTTGTTAAAAGAGGAATAATATTGAATGATAGTGTGTTTTTTTTTCTTCCATGTTTTCATTATAGAAAAACTGGAAATATATACAGGCATATCCTGTATCATAATATCACCAATATATTCCTAAAGAATACACGATTTATACATGTAGAAGTAGATTAGTTACTTATAAATTAAACTATGTATTAATAGTAGTGACATTGTATTTTAGTTATACAGTTTTAGTTTATGTACAAATGTATAATGGTTATAAACTTGTCATCCTTAGTTATATTTATTCATTAACTAGAATTAGAGAGATACTAACTTCATGTTGATTACTTCTGTCATAGTCAAATAGTGTTTGGTTTTTGTTGTTGTTGGTAAAATGGAATTGAAACATTTGCCTATATACAAAATGTTTTTATGATTGTTAAAGGCACATTATGACTCAGAAATGCTATCATTTTTATTTCTCAAAAACTTTAAATATATAGTATCTTGTTACAGTTTCCGCAAAAAGTACTTATTTGCCATATAGATGAACTGTCTTTGCATCTTTTGCTTTGTTGGCAATTGGTATAATTATAGTGAAGAAGTATATTGTATGGAAGTTAAAATACTATTTGTTTACATTTTGCTACCTTTACAACATAATACTGAACATTCAGCGCTACTTTCTTCAGCTATTAAATATTTTACATGCTTTAAATCCATTATCAAAACATTATTAAACACATGTTTGACATTTCTAAAGAATGTAATAAATATGGATTTCTGAGACATAATGTGCCTTTAATTGAAATTTCTAAATTGATGTTTTCCTTGTTATATAGTGTTGATTATTAACATTCACATTTTACAGTAAGTGAAAATAGTATACTGAAGTTATACATGTATAAGTAACTTTCAAATTCAAAGAAACACAGTTCAACAAACTTTATGCAAACATACTTGAACGTTTTAATTTTATGAGAAATGAAACATACTTTATATTCTAATAATATAAGAAACAGACTTTTGGTATGATATAGCTGATGAAATTATTTATAATATCTATGCATAATAACTGGAAATTTATTGAAATAACATTTATAATGAATGAATAATATATGAAACATAATAGGGGTGATTTGTAAGTATGTATAATTTTGGGTGGAGAGGATTGTCATTGAAATTAATATGATTTATCTACATGTAGCTTTCTGCTCTGCTACCTTTCCTATTATTCTCAATACTAATACTTACATTAAAGGGCATTTATGTTTAATTTCTTGCCAATTTATTACAGATAATGGAATTCCAGATTGATTTGATCTCTTATGTCTCAGCTTAAAGTGCTAATTTTTATGTTGTGGTATCATAAACTCATATGTGTTCACTAATTGGCAATTAGATAAGTGTGCTTTTTACTTAATTGAATATTGTATTTTGATAACAGATTTTTCATTTTATTCTATACATGTACCTACAAGATTTTTTTGTTTGTTTTAAAAACAGTAATTTTGGAGAAATATAATTATACATAGGGATTGATATTTCCATATTCTATTATGTTTTGTCTGAGTGGTTACCCCTGTGTTTATTGAAGTGGAAAATGATTTGTTCCATTTTACAGAAGGTATATATTAGAAATAAAGGAAAAAATAACAAGAATGCACTTTTTAGACCGATGTAGTAGGCCTATTCTCTGTTTATAATAATTGTGTCAGTTAAGTCATTGGTGCCATTTTAGCTCATTCTGTTTTTATATTTTTTTCTTTCTTATTATTTAAAGTTCAAACTTCAAAGTAAATATTCTTTTGGAATGTTATCTTTATTTTTAAGTTTTTAACCTTCATATTTTGATAGGTGTCTGATTTTTATAAATCTACTGCTATTTCAATAGTGCTTCAGGCTTCTATAAATGTTGTGGCATTTATTTCATGTTGGTCATTTAGTGATTATACATTTATGTTTTTTATGTGTACACATTATTATCATGATAAACAGTGAAAGAAACAGCTTGACTTCTGTATTTTATTACCCGAGTTTGATAGAACTGAAGGCTTCAGGGCCAATAAAACATTAATTGTTTTATGTATATCAGTTCAGAGTAGTTGCAGTCGCAATGACAATATTGTATGCAGCAGACTTCAAAGAAAGTTGTGTAATGTTTGGGTTAGGAAATATGAAACAAATACTGGGGCAAATGAAAACTTGTTTATTGGCTTCCCTTTAGGAGTACCGGTAATGGCATATTTTATATGTTCAACAGTTATGATAATTTCTTGATTTGCCAGTGGTGCAGTTCAAATTTGTCCTCATATTTCAAGATTGCTAGGACGTTATCTTCACAAAGCTGACTTGGTAATGGACTTTGTTCTGCATTACTTTTGGAAAAGTCATCTTTTAATTTGATTTCAACAAGAATACTGTTGGTACCAATGAATATTCTACAAGGCCACTGGATCATTTTACAACTGTTACCCTTTAACCCGATTTTCGCAAACTGAGAAGTAGAATCACTTTTAAGCACATTCAAGTGACCTTTACCCCCATTAATTCTACTATATTATCCTGCAAGGAAATAGCATACCAAATATTTAAGATACTGGTCAATAAATGTAGGCTGTATATTAAGGAAGAGTAAAACAAAAAATCTGTTTTAAGCCTCTTTTTGACCTTGAAATCCACCCATGGTGCAAGATTCAAATAACTAAATGTAATTAAATATTAAGAATATGTGACGGAAGGACAGACAAACCAAATATTGGTGAAAATTTATAACTTGAACAGCCGATAAACTATATTCTGGTCTTTCTAATCACTGGAGGTAGTAGACTGTCTTTATTGCGAAGACTGACAATGTACTGGTACCAAAAGTATGGTAATCCTGTCTATATTTTGTCAATTTATGACTGAAATAACCTTTTTCCCCAAAACACTGGCTTCAGATATAAACAACAGGTCTACCCTGAATGTGTATGTAGGTTCATGGAAACTGAGGATAAAACAAGTGTTTCCCCTTCAAGAAAATAGAAATTTCTGAAGGCACAATACATTAAAATGACCCTTTAAATTCTATGATAAATAACACTTCAATAATGATACAGGTACATTACAATATTTATTTCACATTTTACACACAAAAAATATTGACAACAACAAAAAATTTGGCATTATTCTAACAATCAAGTCAATGAAAAATTATACAAAAGCAATATATTTGTTTTACAAACTATTTCATTTTGTTTTCTTTATCATACCGCAGCTAATACAATGTACTAGTATATCAGTTATGCATATACATGAAGATTTCTGTAAAAATATAAATACATCTCCATAAACACCTTCATATAGTAAAACTTACTTTTTTTGGTTGGGTTTATTGTCGCCAGTAACTAACTCTTGACATGAAAAATGATGACTGAGAATGTAGCAAAACATTAAATTTACAATCCAAATAATAAAAACAATTTGTGTAGAAAGATTAAACCAATCTACTACAATGAAACATTTTATACAAGTCATAACGGTACATTAGAGCATCTTAAACAATACTTCCTGTACCATACTGCCCATATGCATCAACAGCATGGAATGTCTCAAACAGATGTTTAGGGTTTATTTGAATATGACTTTAGAATCTACTCCATGACAAACATAAACATGTTTATATACCATAATTATGACATGTCTCCATAACCAATGTCAGGCAATGTGGTTTCCCAAGAGCTGTTTTTTCAGAAGTTTTTCCCACCACAAGTTTATACAAATTTTGCAAGAACTATGATTATAATTAGTTTCACCTTTCAGTCAATTTCTTAGTAAACTCGTTTAACATTTCATACATGTCTTTAGCAAAGGTAATCTGATGTTTAACAGTGACGAGGAATTGTGGGTATGGCACTGACTGTTGTTCCGACATTGTCATATCGGACTTTGGTATCGTAACAGGAAGTGGTGTGTATTTGTTGCTGTCAATTTGCTGCGCCTGCATCTCAAGAGCCAAACGCTGCAATCAAAAACAATGAACCATATGATGTCAGCAAAAAAAGAGCAGAAATAACATACTATCAACAGAATTTTTTTGTTTTAAGATCTCTGTTACCTGACAAATCTTTAAACATCCTAATGAATCCATAACATTCTGGAAGTCCATAATATCTAATCTAAAATCATGTTCTTTTATCAACATACAAACATGATACAATTTTCCCACCAGGACCTAAATTTTTATTCTTTCTTATGAAAAGGACATTTTTTTATTCATGAAAAGTATATGTTTCTACCTTTGTATACGTCTGAAATAATGTGGTGTTCCAACATAGCAAAGCTGGAAGATCAACATTTGATCGTAATTTGTCCTCTTAAATTCTAAAGCAAAAATAAAAATTGGTGATATATACAGTATTATATAGTCAAACTGTAAATACATACCAAGTTGACCTCAAGCTGGTCACAGATAGCATAGAACTCTTCAATACTTTTCTCATAGGCTTGCTGTAGACCATCTTGCTGTTTACTACAATATAATTTACACATTAAACCTTTCACCATCTTTGAGAATAATGACTTGCCAGTCTCACAAGATTCTATGTAAGAATAGTACACAACAGAGGGTCATGTAGAATAATAGTGACTCATAAGTGAAATTAGTGAAAGGAGGAGGTCCGTTCAGTGATTGGGGCAAACTGGGCCATCAACTGTAATCTTTGAGGTCGCCTAATGTTACTTGTAATTATGTGTGCAATTTCATTTTTTTATATCATACTAACAGGTACCCTTACCTAGGAACATAAATGGTATAGTTTCCAACGGCGGGAAATCATTATCATATTGTTTAAATAACAAATTTTTTCTATTAAAAATGTACCAAAATCTTTGGTATGATGTATTTTTTGGTATTAAATTTTCTTCTTTGGTTTATATGCAAAATGTCACTACTTTTTTGTTGGGACGGCTACGTGTGAACGTTATCTAAAGCCCAATGGACAACTTGTATCAATTAAATAAGAAAAATTTATGTAATGTTTTTACATGTAATTGTGATTATAAACAAATGGTAACCTGGCTTCCAAAACTTTATATTCAACTTTGTTCTTGTTATATGAAGTGGGTTTATAACTATAAAAACTGGTTACTCTGAAAACCTTAAAGGTATTTGCAAAAATTGCTGGCTCAATAATATTATAATTTTGTTTAAAAACATTTTTTCATGCAATTTTTATATCAATAGTGATCACTTTAACAAAGGTCAGTATAATGTAAAAGGTGTAATTAAAATGTTTGTATCACATATTACATTATGTGTTTATTTATGGTAACATATACATGTACAGTACTTAGGCAATCTTCTCGTAATCAGTATGCTTTTTAAGCGTATAACAATAGTTTTATTATATTAATTGTATACTTACTGGCCTTCATCCGAGATGGAGTTCTGATGTAGTATTTGTCCAGCAACTTTCATCAGAGCCTGTAAACAAAGACAATATTTCTATTCATTATTGAATATAATTTTAAAAGTAAATGCATATGTATAGTCAGATACTAAAAAATTACTTGAGAGTAGTCAATCATTAACTATACGATGACCACTTACAAATATATCATGATAACATATATTTTCACAGTTAATAATTATTCAAAATTTTCTATCACAATGGCGTGGGAAAACATGTAGAAGAAACCACAGACACTTAGCTTGTTTGTCTTGTTTGGTTTGGTTTTAAGGCGCACCATTTCAATTTTGATATGGAGCCAAAACAGGAAAGATAATTTTGGCTAACTTCGGGTTTTACAAACTTAAAGCAACACAATGGGTCAATTTATCAGCTCACCTGCCGGAGCTTAGAGGTAAGTAGTCTCCAGTAATCCAAACTCTTTTAGTTGACTTTAAAATGAGCACGCATGGAAAAACGTTGGTGCAATTCTGATCATGCCCCAACCCTTTAAGGCAATACCGTCAGCCACAAGGGGGCAACTTAAATAATGGTCAAATTAATACTGTTTAATTAATAATTACTATCCAGCATCATAGTTTACAAATTATTGTATTAAATATACCCTATAAAAGGTATAGAACTAGCAGCCACATATATTCCACACACTGTCAACATTTTGCACTCACAAAAAGTATGATAATACAGGGAAGTCAAAGGCCGGGACCGTGAAGCAGGCCCGGGCTTTGGCTTACCCACATATAGACTATATGTGTATATTTGAAAGGAAATCAAATAAAAAACAATCAAGAACTAAATAGAATTCTATACCTATCAATGAAAACCCTGCAAATATTTTATGTTTAATTTGTTGTTTTTTCAAAATGGCACTGTTTGACGGCAAATATTCTCAACAAGCAATCATTGTTTTTCAACAGATCATAGCTTTGAAAACATTATTTTCTGAAATAATTATCTTTTTTTCACAAGTTTAAAGATTTTTAAAGAACATCATGTTGTTAGACTTTTCATTTTTGCTCTTGTATTACATTTTAGCCTTTTGTTCAAAAACAGAAAGTACATGTATTTAAATTTACGGTAAAACGTACCACAAGTCAGACCATTTTACATACGTTTTATACAGTGAGATACACAAATGCCTGTTTTTACTCGCAATTCAACTAATGAGAATAGGCTGTCGTCTGCTACAGTAGTTTGGAAACTGTCAATCCATGTATTTGAATAAAAACTGAAAATTATGTTTAACTCAGATCTCCCTATCGTTGATCGCTCACCACATATTACTTAACAAGCACAAATAAGGGTTAAAATGAACAGAATAATCTTAACTAATCGTTGAAAAAACATTTAAAATAAATAGAAATAACTACACATTCACATAAAACAACAAAAAAAAACAAAATAAATAAACAAAAACATCGCGAAAACCCATTTCAAAACAGTGCTTACCACTAATGATTCCTTTAACCGCGGTAACAACAGTTGTTTTATCTTGATAATTGGATCTACTTCCGCTTCTTTTTGTGCTTGAGCTTGCGCTGCCGCTGGATTCTGTGGCGGACCTGAAGCACTGGGAGGCTGCTGACCCATGGACGCTGCCATCTTGCAAAGGTAACAAGACAACTCACCCCCCAGACGATTCACCCCCCAAAAAAGCAAGACAACTCACCCCTCAAGACAGTTCATCCCCAAAATAGATAAGACAATTCACCCCTCATAAATGATAATCATGTTTATGGTTAAAAAAGAATAAGAAAGTCAAGATATTTATTTATTTATTTTTATTTATTTATTATGTCATATTTACAAAATATAACTGTATAAAAGCACATATACCATGATGTATACAACAAAAAATATAATTTTATTCAATTAAATCAAGTTTATATTGAGGGAAATGCCCATAATGTATGCATTTTTCATAGACATATTATCTATCATTTTTTAAAGAGTCTTGATATGTTTATTGTATATGATGCAAACATGTACAACTGTTCAATTATCCATTATCTTAAAGTGTTGAAAAACATATTGTCTATTCTACATCCACTTTTTTATCAGAAGCACTTAACACCTTATCATTGCTTGATTGTCACTTCAACAAAATATCATGAAGAAGAAGTACATTGTATCATTTCTTTTTGGGAATATTGTAAGATTTCAAAATGTCATTTTATTTCATTTAAGTATAAACTATAATCGGGACGTTTGGGAAATATTGCATGATTGTCATTTCATGTCATTATCACATTTCATGGGGATTAGTATTATTTGGGTTGGGGAATATTACATGTCTCTGCCAGGAATCTGTCTAATCACTAGTTATCACTTCACTTAACAATTCGTCCATATATTTGTAATTTTTACAGTTTGTATGTAAATAATATGTAAAAATATTAACACATAGTAACAAATATTATTTTTAAGTAATAAATTATAATAATTAATTTAAACACTCATTTTCATTAAGCAGGTGCATTCATGTCGCTGGTTAATATTCTGGGTCCCTTAAGATATTAAGTTTGGTCCATCAACCTAACAATATACCATTGCAGTAGTCCCACTACAATACAGTTTAAAAAAATGTGATCTCATCAAATTTGCGAAAATTTTAACATATGAAATATATTTTTGACATGTCCGTTACTGTCGCCGATCAATATGCAGTGCATTTAAACACATGTGCAAATTAAATAAAACAATTTAGTTCACTTTTTTAAGTGTAGTTAAGGAAAATGAACCTTACAGAAATAAATCATATATAGTTTCCAACAACTTTAAATTGTGAATTATCGTTTAAGCTTATAGAAAGTGTAGGTTAATGAAATTGGTTTTTGTACGAAATGTTCGTTATTTAGTTTATACACGGCAGTATTAAACAGAAAAAACACATAAAATTTATCGTTTTGGTTATCATCATAGACATTAGTCTTACAATAATTCATAATACTTCTATTCAAATAATGAACTTTAGTAATTTTGACAGTATAGAAGGTAAAAGTTAACACTTTTTCTAAATTGACTTTTAATTGACATGTTCGTTACATTAAGTTTCTAAAATACCTTACCGTTTGTGAGACATTAACTTACCGTGAAATGAGTAATGCTGCTTGTAAGGTCAAATGAACATGTTTACGTCATATTCATTTGATATTACTGAAAGATTATCAAATAAAAAATCTTGATTTGAAATGTTCGTTATTGACATGTTCGTGACTGAAATATCGATACTGCATGATTTGACGGTTTAGGGCGCAGTTTTTATATCTCTCCGTTTATGACGTCATTAAACTTGATGACATCACTACCAATATGGCTACCAGAGAAGGTCAACTTCCACGTTGTAAAAATTAAAAGGGGATCTTGCAAAACGACGGTGAGTTCATTTTCTTTAAGCCACAAATTTGTTTAAAATTTATTTTTTTAACATGTTTTTTTTTATAAATCATTTAACATTGGAGTGAAATTTGAATATATTGTGTATATATATTTGATGCCTTACATGGGTTCAAAATGTTGGGCATGACAAAAGAATGACATGTTCGTTACTAAAAAGTAACGAACATGTCAGCTGCATTTGCGAGTCACTGTACCAGTCAAACTTATAACTAAGATGTTTTTCCAATTAAAGTATATTATTAATTCCTTATTTTCACCTTTTATCAATTTCTAAAGTTACCTTAAGCATGATTTCTTTAGAAATCGTATTTATTCTATTATACCTTTATTTTGTTTCATACCCCTGTGCGACCAAAGAATAAATATTCTGTTCCTGTCTTAAGTTAGTTTAAGAAACATGTGAGGAAAATAAAGCTGACGGACAAATAGCTAAGCAGCGCACAAACCCGTCTTCAAAACATTATTCTTTTTGCAGTGATACACTCATGAATATTGAGTAACGAACATGTCAATATAAGTAACGAACATTTCATCACTTGTTTTGTTCTTTTCTGTTTTAGGTATGGTGAAATCAAGGGCAGAAATTCAAAAAGCATATCGTCAGAGGCTTAAAGAAAAGAACAACAATGAGTACCTTTCTGAAGAAAGAGAGAGAAGACGAAGAACTTATGTAGAAAACCAATTACTATCAGAAGAAAAACGAGCTGCGAGGAACAAGAAAAATAGAGAGTAGGGTTCACGTGTGTTAACAGATTATTTATCATCACTTTATCATAAGTTTATGTCCGAAAATCCAGATGCCAAATTATCATTTACTTCTTTCACTAGAATCAGACCGTCAAGAATACGTCTAACATCTATGATCACTAGAGATACCTGTTTATGCACTAAAATTCAAAACATTGTCACTTGAAACTTTTGAATATTGGAGGATTGCTCAATTAACGGAGTGAAAAGGATTTTAAAAATTCAAAAAGGGGGGGAAAATGATGATACAAGCAAAATGAGGGGAAAACCAAATTTTCAAGTTTATATAGTTTTTTGGCCAATTGGAAACCCCCTTTGAGACAGAGGTTTTTAAAAAACAAAATTAAAAAAGGGTTTTTGGAAAATCGTGGGAAAATTACTTTTTTGAAACCCCGATGAATTTTTTTCCTCACCCCTTTAAAAAAAGATAGAAGGTTTTTTACCAAAAATGTTTATAAATTAATAAAAGACCCAATTTTCCTTGGGAAAAGAAGAAAACTTAAAAGGGGAACTTTCCCAAACCATTGTATTAAAAACCAAAATGATTTTTTGTGAAAAAAAATTTATTTTTTTAAATCAGTTTCCAGGAATTCAAATTTTTGGCCTTTCTGGAACCAGGAAACCCCCGTGATCTTCATCCCCGGGTCGTGTACTATTTGAAAAAAAAGGGGTTTTGATGAAATTTCAGCACAAGAGTTACTTCTTTTTAATTCCGTTTAGATGGGTCATAAATCCAATACATCCTTGCAATCACTTTACAAACTTTGTACCAAAAAAATTTAAAAATCTTATCCCAAAGGGGGAACCCCCTGGGGACATTAATTTGGACTGGGCAGTTTCCTACATCGCAGTTATTTGAAAAAGGTCATCTTCAACTTTATTTGCAAACCCCCCAAAGGGTAATTTAAAGGTATTCATGCAAGGTGGAATTATTGGGGAAGGGGGGCATTTAAGGGGGGCATGCGTGGTCTAGGGGGTTTGAGTTAAGGGGTTTTTGGCCCGACGAGGGGGGTTAACTTTTGGCAAAGTGGGATTCAAGATCCCTTTTTATTTTTTATGGCCTGGTCACAATCATCAAACTGTTCCATGAAGAATGTTAGCTTTGTGTTTGTGTCTTCAGAAGAATGTGAGAAGAAAGCTGTAGAAACAGGTAAACTGTATCTCAAACCTATAACTGGGACAATGAAAAATACACTCAGTACTGGGAAAAGGCAACAATAGCGTTTTCAGTTCGAAACACTAGTTGCTACTGTAAAATATGTGTATCTGATGATTGTGAAACATGCGGTACTTGGAGAGACGAAACACTTGTCCCAAAGTCTTCAAAACCTTCAAACACAGATAAAATATCAAATATCCAAGTTGAAACTGTTAAACACATTTCTGTCCCTAAACCCAATACTGATCCAAAAGAAACCTATCATGTTGACGAACTACGTTGCAGCTTCTTACTTAGGTCACTGGTACATTGGCAAGATCATGAATTGTGATGATGAGGACAACACATTCGAAATAACTTTCTTACAAAAACGCAAACGGATGTTTCAGTGGCCGACAAGACCTGATGAAATCTGGGTGAATTACGAGGACATTTTGTGCAAGGTTTCAACACCTTTGGCAAGCGGCAAGTCAAAACGCATGTAAGTGTTACGAGATGGTGACTTTGAGAGAGTTGAAACAAGTGTTTGATCAAGTATAACTAGTAATGATTCATAAAGACATGTCCGTTACCAGCATCTTCGTTGAGGTGGATGTTGATATTGTTTTTCATCTTTTTTTGATAGTTTATTGTTCATATATAATACAAATTGCATTTGATGATTACTTCTGGCGTCATATAAACATGTGTTTAGTTGAATAAAGTAAAAATGACATTTACGTAACGGACATTTCAAAAACACTGCATGTAGCAAAAACGACTATACATGTGATTTAACTAAAAAATCCGTTTAAACAAAACAAAGTTACCACAAGCAAAACTCAGAGACGCAAATACAATACATGTTTAGTTAAAAAAAAAAAATGTTTATTGATAAGGTGTATGTGTTCTTTCCAAGTTTGTTTTCCAGTTTTTTTTCAAGTTAATTTCTCGCTGACGCTAACATAATATCATTTTTATGTGTGTTTCGCGTTTAACACTTGTTATGATGTTAAAATAGTTGCTAAGATTTAAATACCTGCATGTTCACAACAGATTATTATTGTTTTGATTTGGTTATACTATAAGTAACGAACATTTCATATATCATTCTGTTTGTATTTTTGATACAATTCCTGTGAAATAACTACATATGGTCAATACTTTGGTTACAATTAATCCTTAAAAGGTTCAGGTGTAATATTTAAATAGAAGAATAAACAAGGAACAGACTGAAAAGTTTTTATAATCTTTTTTATTATAATAGATCACATTTTTTACTTAAACGACATTATATTACAGTTTAACCCAAGCACTTAACAATTTAATATTGTTATTTAGTACAACTGTTTTTCTAAATTTTCTAAAGAATAACACTTTGTTTCTTGTAGTGATAATATTTAAATGTGTTTTTTACGAACCATTTATTGTTAGTGACCATTTAAAGTTATTGTAACGAACATTTCATGTCAAATTTTGTACATCACACATCTCCTTCTTCAAATGAGGCTATGGCAACAATAACTTATGTTATGTTCAAAATATTTCAGAAAGTTGTTGTTTAAAGGTTATATTTTTCGATTAAAATGCTAAATAAAGCATTCTAAAACACTGATTGTCTTGTCTTTGGTACTTCCTTGATGCACCTGTTAATTGAAAATGAGTGTAAATATGACTAAATATTTTATAAATATCACTTTAGGACAGAAACACAACAAAATTTGTTTATTGCAAACATCTAATTTTAAGATGAATTTCATCAAAATTAAATTTAAGAAAATGAGGGGTGAATTGTCTGTGTCATTTTTCCAATAATGCGGGGTGAACTGTCTGATGGGTGAATTGTCTGGAAAAAATGGCTTAGGGTGAATTGTCTGGGGGGTGAGTTGTCTGTAAGCTAAAATCTCGTATACGGAAATTGTAACGAACGGTAAATGGTCTCAACCCGGTACGGAATTAGACCGAACCCATTCTAGAAAGTAGTTCTTTAAAATTTTGAAATGGCCAAATTTAAGTCATCTCTAGTTTGATTGGTCATAATTAAAGTGTATTTATTGCATGTGTGTAGTTTTTGTTTGTTATATGATGACTTTAAAAGTTGCTTTTTGTGTATTCTCCAGGAACTCATTTGTTGGTGGAAGGATTAAAGATGTACTACCCACCAGCTGTCAGGAGTTTTTAAAGTGGTGAATTTAAACAGTGTTACAACAGAAAGAAGATTTCTGAAAAAAGTAGATGGCTAACCTATTATATTTTGGGCCTCATTGGACTTGGATAGTGTTAATGTTTATAGTTGAAGACAGTATATAATTCATTAAGAACAGTGGAATCCAGAATTAAGCCTCAAATTTGACTGATTTACTATAGAACAAATAGTACGAAAATTCACCGGGCCGAGGCCAAATACGGAAATGTTGAACCAATCCACGGATTTGTAATATAATACAAGAAACTTTATTTTAAGTCAGTTTACATATTACAAGAAACATTAGCTAATAAACTATTTACCGACAATAACAAAGGCATAAAACATATTTACTAACATATAACAGATCTGAAAATAAAAACATATAAAACAAGTAGCAGCTTTAAGTATGAAATAAAAGTATCAAGGTTAAGAAGAACTTTACAATAAAATGGTAAATTAAGGCATAGTTTGATGACATGCACAGTACATATTGTATTAAAAGTAATAACAGTTTATAAAAGTAATAGATGACTGTAGTCTAGAAATTTAAGTATGATACATGTAGCAGTGTGAAATAAATGAAAATAATCATAATAAAAATTTAAAAATGAATAAAATAGTAATAGTTTAAAGTTAACATCTAGAATTTATACGTAATTGAAGATTTCCTAAAAAAAAAAATAGATTAATAAATTCACTTACTTATAATAAAAAGTGCATAAAAATTTATGATAGAACTAAAACAGCATAAAAAGAAACAAGATAAAGCACACATGTACATGCAGGGTAACAATCAAAATTAACTAAAATTAAGTTGCATGCACAGCCTAATGGAAGGGAGAATAAGGAGTTTTAATATGAACAAAGCATACAAATCATACAGCAAAGATTCAACTAGCATAAAAAATAGGGTTTAAGGAAAATTAACACACAGCATATAATCAAAGCATCATAGCAAACTAAAAGGGATGCACAAAAGCAAAGCAAACAAACAAACATGTAGTCTAAGCATTTTACATAAATCGTAATCAATCGTATTATTAATGTATATAAACATTTAAAAGTTATAAAGCTATATTAGGACATTTGTATATAAAATTTATCAAAAGTAAAATCATACTGTTTCCATATAATCTTATGGAGGATTCTCGAAAATGTTGTAGGCCTACATAACATAAAATGTGTTTTGTTGGTTTTTTTTGTGTGTGAATATTGTACTTACACGGTCTCAACCCGGTACAGAAAGTAGTTCTTTAAAATTTTGAAGTGGCCAAATTTAAGTCACCTCTAGTTAGATTGGTCATAATTAAAGTGTATTTAGTGCATGTGTGTAGTTTTTGTGTGTTATATGATGACTTTAAAAGTTGTTTTTGTGTATTCTCCAGGAACTCATTTGTTGACAGAAGGATTAAAGATGTACATGTACCACTCACCAGCAGTCAGGAGTTTTTAAAGTGGTGAATTTAAACTGTGTTACAACAGGATGAAGATTTCTGTAAAAAGTAGATGGCTAACCTATTTTATTTTGGGCCTCATTTGACTTAGATAGTGTTGAAGACAGTATATAATTCATCAAGAACAGTGGAATCCAGAATTAAGCCTCAAATGTGACTGATTTACTATAGAATAAAGAATACGAAAATTCACCAGGCCGACACCAAACAGAATAAAATGTTCCGGAACACAATATTATTCTGCTGATTAAAATGTATGGTTTTTTCTGTTTAGCAACCATTTTGTTCATACGCGTTTTTGCATGCTTATATGGCATTTATTTAATTTTCTACCGGTCGTATTTATTTCATTTTTTTAATCAGTCAGTTAATTATTTCTGCAGAAAATACACTTTAAATCAATTGTTCATGACATTGATATTGCTTTACAAATACGTAATGGATACAGTACGAGTTTTTCCTCAAAACAGTTTGCTCGGATAACGATCGAGAAATTGTCCGAGGCGAAGCCGATGTTGAATTGTTGTTTGTCCTAGCAACCTGTCTCCTTCACGTCTGTAACAAGACACGTTTGAACAAAATACGATTAACTGTATCTGACTTATACGACGATTGAATCTAAAGAACATGTAAAATAATGAACACATTTCATAATAAATAAATATTATTGGAAATATTGTATGTTCTTATTAAAAATGTAAAGCTATAGAAATCTGAGAAAATATTTTCATGGCCTATATTATAACTTTTAGTACTCCAGGGTGTATGCAAATTGTATTCGCACGGAATTTTCATGCACTTATTTCATTTGGCAGAATTCACTGGCTGCCTGCCATTCTAGAGTCATATTTACTAAAATCGATAATGTTGATCAACATTGAAATAAACACTAAACATGAATTGCTTCAATGTTATATAGATAACGGATTATGGACCTCAACTTTGATAAGTTTCCTTATTCACATTTTTAACGCAATAGCCGTGTTTTTTTTTCTTTGGAGGGGGCCATGTTGTTGTTTTTTTCTGATAGAATGTCAGACGTTATGCAAGGAATGATAGACTTTCAGCATCTTCCCAGTTCCAACGAACAACTGTTAGTGTCGTCGAAAAAAACCCATTCAATCAACAGTTACATTTACTTTGTTCATGAAAATGACCATTTTTGATAAACCTAATTTACTCCTGAATTGCGATATAAAGTTCGCAACAACTTTCCGTCTGTTTCTATGGTGTCCTGTTGAGACAGGTAATGTTTTGCCTGTTAAGATTTAAGATTGACTAAACCTCTGAATTGTTTTGAAGAATAGGGAGAGCTATTGTATTCACCCAGGCGTCGCTGTCGGCATCACATTTTAGTTGCGCAATTGTGTGCAAGTTGGTATCTCCAAAACTGGTGAGGGGAATGATTGAAACTTTACACACTTATTTCAGAGAATCGTAGGAGGTCACCTTCCAAGGTTCATTACTCTAATTGAGATATTTACATAACTATGGCCATTTTTGAACTTAAAAATTCTACATTTTCCATCTACTTGTTTAACTATCAAGCACTGAGAATAGTTTTCACTGCTCTTGTTAGATAGATACACGAGATACGAGATATAACATTTGCTTTCGAAGAACCTTTACCATAGTCACTTGTATCACCCCCAAAACGATCTCGTTCAAGTATGCAACAGCTAGTCGGCAAAACATTAATTTCTCCTACGGTATACGTCAGATCGATTAATGGAAAATCTCGATTCGTCAGAGAAAAGAACGCTATCCATTGTCGTCTAAGCCGGCGTTGGTGTGCATGTGAAAAAATAACATGGTCGCCTCAAAACACAACCGACGTACTTGCACGTTCATGTAGCTCACCATCGCGCAAGTGACTGCGCACAGTTTAGGCAGATATACGGTTGATATATGTACCAGGGGTGTTAGTAGCAGAAGCTGTGGCAGACTGGGAGTGAGTGCAAAGTGGTAATTTTATTTCAAAAAGATTGACTATTACTTATATTTTTGTTTGTATTTGCAAAGTTATTGTAGTTTTTCGCACCGATACTTTAAAAATAAAATGCATTACACGGAAGCTCCAAACGATTTATGGAAACAAAAGAATATATTAGATTGTCAAGACGAAGATCTTTGACAAGCAATTAACAATTCTTTTTTTTGAAAACCGTCTCCATGCAATACATACATTATATGCTTTTTAAATGAAACTGTGGTTTTTGGCCAAAAAGTTAAAACATATTATTTGTCTTTTCGACTCTTTTCGACTCTACGTAAGACTATTTTTTCGAATAAACCTTAGATTGAGTATAATACAGGGTAACTAGATAGATACTTTCCTTACATAAACATGATATGATGAAGGTGACCTTAAGACGAAAAGCCTTAGCAAGTCGTCAAATATACTCCACAATAGTTCCTCTCAAATGTTTGCTTTTAAGTGGGCCTTTGTGTATCACAATTGTCATCAGACGACACCAAATACTAAAAATAGATAACTGAACAGAGACATAGATATTTTCCTTTAATAGTGCTTTTACACAATTAAACAAAGAATGACATTGATCAATGAACATTTTTATTTCCGATGTAGTTTCATTTCATTATTGTACCTGAAACAGAAAACAACACAAAAATTAATAGAAAATTCTTGTAATTATTTAATTTCAAAGTAATCTCCTTTAATCGAGACAATACTCATCCTTATTGTTTATTATAATTACCTAATTACAAATCTCCATTATTTAAAAACAAATTCATCAAAAAAACATAACATGCATTCTTTTGTAGCAATATCTATGGCACGTTTGTATTCATACAGCAAAAAACATGTACATGTAAGCAAATCATGCAATGTTTTTTTTTCTAAGTAAATACTAGTACTAGGGTTGTTTTTAAAAAAGATAAAGTACCGATCGAATGTTTTGCGTCAATCTTGTATTTATATACAGAATTTATGCTACAAAATTATACTATATAGTAACATACTTTCTGAAAACTTACTTCTTAAGTTTTGTTGATAAGCATTACAATTAGAACACTTTCCTAAGTGAGCAAGGGTCTTCAGTTATCTTGGACATTCCTTTAAAATGTGTATAAATCTTCAGTTCACAAAGTCTCTGCAAACATATACGTCATTCAAATATTAATGGAATCTTTTATAGTCGTAAATTTCTACTATATCGACGACTGAAACTAAATTTACCCCACATGATTTATTTGCACACACTTCAGCTTTTGCAATAATTCACACCATATATAACTAGAATAACAACTCGTTTTTTATCCTTTAATTAGAACAACATTGAAATGATGGGGGAAAGTAAGTTTGGTTAAATTATTGAACAGTTATTGAATACTAATTAAAAAAAAAAAAACAAACATTTTCATAAAACAGTCCTTTTGTAATTAGGTTGTAAGGCACAAATATTCAATAATGATAAATGATTTTTAAATCAATCAAAAGTGCAAGAGCGCTTATTTCTAAAGCATTAAACCGTAGATACTATTTATTTGTTTTTGTTGAGTTAATTTCAAAAGTCTCATAAAACGGTATCTTTCTTAAATGAACATATCTGTCCTATTCATTTGATGCTCTAAGGTAAATCATCGCCAACGATAAATGAATTAATTTTTCTGCGAAAAATTATCAAATATGACATTGTTTCGTTACTGTAGTAACGCCAACGCCGACGAGCTCATGACAATAGCTAATCATTTACGTTCAAAAAGAGCTAAAATTATATAATAAATAACTTACATCGATCACAAGAAGTTTAAAGTATGTATTCATTTCAACCACAACCTAAAAATGACATATACGGTTATATATAGGAAACATCAGATCGTAAAATGCATTTTGAAAATATTCATTTATTTCCTACAATTTCTGACATGAAGTATGACATAAAATATGTGTTTGATTCACCAACAGGATTTTAAAATAATTGCATCAATATTGAACAATCTTATTTGCCCAAAGATAATTATAATTACATGTCAAAATCTCAAAACAAAGTTTTTATTACTATTATTTATCATATTTAACAATAAATTGACTCTTTATGAAATTACCTAAAAAAACATTTTAAGTATAAATGTAGGTCATTTTTTTACGAATTGTTATATCATAGTATTAACATTTTTTATTATTAAATTTTCTTTATTATCCAGTTCGTACAAACAATACATTTCATACATTATACAAATTTACAAACATATTACAAATGTTTAATTGCAAGAATAAACAATGGTTACATCAGAAAAAAACTTTAATAAAGACTAAGTAGATTTAAACTGATTTAACATGATTGTAAAACTGGAAAAGTAATCTAGAGCATGATATATGTAATTTTAATTATTTATAGTTATGTTTTCATTAATAAAGTATTATCATTTTGAAATTGGCTCATCCGTAGGTTCTTTGCTTCTTTCTTTTTTATAACCCTGATTGCACTTCTGACATTCTTAGCCCTGAATATTTAAAACGACCCTTATTTCCCGAATATTTTCTGTAAGAAGTTGATTCTATTTTGTTTCAAGGCAATCGATTTTATGGTGGTTTGAGTGGAATGTTGATTTGCCGAAACTGTGACATTTAACAGCAGAAACTTTCGTCTGCAATTCTAACATAAAGTGTTTTAGGTTTATTGATAGGAATGTAAACACACTGGTGGGTCAGACGAGGTTTTTGAAGCAATTCAACAAAATAGTAGATTGATCTCCCAATTAATAAATTAACAATAGCTTTTTACTTATCACTAATGTCAAATAGTTTTTCTACCTTTGACTCGCATGAACATGATGTTAGTGAATTTCCTCATACCTTTCTAAAATTCACGTAACAGTTTTTCGTTGTATTGATAAATAATGTTTCTCCATATCAACATGCTATGCAAATCAATTCATGATTTTATTTAATGTACATTTATTTTTGTTAACACGTTTAACAACAACAAAAAATCCCGAATAAGATAACTTTAAAATTCATGCTTTTCAGTGTGTGTTCTACTTTCATCTCAAAATATAACTATATAATGTATCTTAAGTACGTCCCAGGTATAAATAGAAACCTTTTTTTAAGTTTTGCATTAAAAAAATACATGTAATATTACTATATAAGTCCCTTTGCTACAATTTTTATATACTGTTTGTATATTTGTTACATTTATAATAAAAATATAATAGAAAAGTTCATTTTGACTAGAGCGCTACTGTTTTGTATGTTCCAAAGAAAATAATTTTAATATTGTAATCTTCAGTAAGCATACCAAATTAAAGTTCATGATGAACAATGTATGATATACAATTCTTGTAAAATCCAATTAACCATTGAAAAGTTTATAAGAAGATATCTGGTCATCAGATGTCTACCAGTTCATCGTCACTTGCTCCATTTCTTGCTTGGACGCCCTTTGATGCTTTGCATCAATGCTTTTCTTATTTGAGTTTTTTTTATAACGAAAAGAAATTATAATTGCTGGCAAAACCTGCTTCAATATTCAAATTGATAGAAGGAAAAAAAATTCTAGGTCATAAAATTGGAAAGAAATGTTTATATAAAGGTCATTAATCAAATGTATATACGTAAAATATGTATGCACATGTACATATTGTGAGTAACATAGATAAAATAACTAACTATAACTATGAAAAAGACACATTTACCTGCGTTCTTACTTGTAGTACCCGGTATTTACCCACATATATACTCTTAATTAACATATCAATCATAACTATCCATTTTTTGTCAAATGGGTTCTGAGTCAATAATCCTCCTGGCATCAATTTACAACCAGGTATTTTATCATAACTGAAATACAGTGTAAGCATGCATCACCATCAATTTAAGATCCATATAAAACAAAATGTAGATTTTTGATACAATAGTTATTCAGTTAAACTAATAAAATTGTTAAAATCTCCACATCATAAAAACGAACTTTCTATTACTATTAAAATCTATGTTTTGCACAGGACTGGTAAGATTGACTGTTGTTAAATTCCAAAGAGTTGTAACAATAATAAAGACAGAAACTTTTGATTATTATTAAGGCATAGCTTTTATGGTTCCTCTACTTAATGAATTCTGACTTTGATCATGACTTCTATCTGCTGTAAAAGTTATAATAGATACTGCTTTGCTCATTTGTACAAAACATAATTTTTCTAGAGGCATTTTTATTGTTAATGAATGGATAAAATTTAAATAAAACGTACGTTGTGCTACGTTACTTAAACGAAATGTCTTCAAGCATGATACATAAATTCAAATGCTGTTTTGACTTTGTTTCTTATTGAAAAATAAGTTGTAAAAATCTTACTCTTTGCATTTCAAACTTTTTTTGTTACATGAACATGTTAGACACGCTTCGGCATCAAGTATCTTTGATTTAGGCAGCATCTTTGTCAGTTTGTACTCGCAGAACTTTATTTTTTCTCCATGTACTATACATTAATATAAAATGTTTCAATAATCTATTTTACACACAAACAATTTTTAACTGAATTGTATCATTTTAACATTCTTTATTTCAAAACTGATTTATCAAATGAATGAAATGTGAAACTCTTATTACGAAATTCTATTTCATTAAAAGTATAACTGTAGGATTAAAATGAAAACAAGACAACAGTAACGTTATACCTGTTCCAGTTGAAATAGGTTCACTAAAGCTAATAGTATAGCATTCTGTTATCACAGCAGCCGCAACAAGAACACTCAGAAAGACTTTGTATACCAGCATTTCTAACTCTGGAAATATACTCTAACTCTAAATGTACGCAAACGAAACAAAACTGTCTATTGAAATAAATCTTGTTGGAATTTGTCCTTTAATATGTCAGACACGTCTTGTTTTTACCTATAGATTGCATATAAGCGTTAAGTCTTTTATATTATTCAAGATTATATTTACCATATGCTAACATAATGTTCTTATAATTTTATCACCGTTTGATGTTGGTTTAATTCGAAATGCATCCTATAAACACAAAAACTGTACTGGTTAATGCAATATATTTGAGTGGCTTTTCAGATTAACAGAATTATACTAAAATATCTTCGTAAATCTTAGGTGTAGTTTGGCGGCAGTTGGGCTTAAACTTATGCACATCTGTAACGACCAAATGAAATGAAAACTGGCGAACCTTTGATAGCCAACAGCTAACTAAACAACAAGCCTGTTTCTTGGAGATGTTGAATATTCACCACTCTATCATTTCATAAAAGCAAAGAAAATAAATTTCATTATTTGAAGAGTTGTTGGATGTGAAAAAGTTTATTAAATTAAATGTGCAGTAAATGAGTTATAAACATCAACAACAACAAAAAATGAAACATAAAAATCTTCTAGATACATATCCCCTTTCATCTTCCAATACCCTATAGATGAGGTTAAGGTAATACCACCTTCCCAAAATAATAGGAACCTTTACCTGAGTACCGCTCAAGCCGGTGCTAGGGGGCGTGAGGGATGTTGCACTTTTTCATTATCCCTCATGTACAGATTTAATCAAACCGAGTCGGCAATTGTCATGTAATTTTGTAGTGATCAATGCTTCGGAGGGATCACACTTTTTTCCAGATACTTTTTTCCAAATATTTTTTTTACCATATTGATGCCAATTATTAAATAAAAAAGACCTGATTTAATAAACATCAAATGCGCATTGCTAATATAAACTGTAGCTGTGCTTCAGGTTGACAAGTTCACATACTGAATGAAATTTGTGAAACTTCTAGTTCAGAGAGATATGATGTAAAGGCAGAAACAAACAACAAACAATAAACAAACAAATAATTTCGCGTATTCTACGTGCATACAAAATTTACGCTAAATTTCCTATAATCTTTATAAAATCTTCCGTCTGCCACCAGACTTGTTCATAGATTTGCAAAGGTGTATATTATTTATGATAATGTATGAAGATCTGCTGAAATCGAGCAGTGCTAACTTAACTTACACCATTAAACCGTTCTTCACCGTGTAACATTAGAACATGCAACGAAGTGTTTAAGTAATGCAATTATATATAGATATAATATGCAAATGATAAGCAATTAAGGATATAATAATCCATATTAACGTACGTTTGAGAGTGGTACACGTTTATCTTGTTATAGAATCAAAGAAAAACGTTAATGACATAAGACGTAAATCTCTTTAGCAATAACATTCATCACAACATCTGCCAAATAAAATTACAGGGTTAATGTTTTGCGTTAATATGAACTCACATGGACTTGAGTCTTGCTATAACAAACATAATGTTTTTATATCAAGCATATTTGATTATTATTGTGGCAGTCAATTAATCACGGAATGTTATATCATACCATTCATTCAAATCATTAAATTCAATAGGAAATGGTATGCTATTCTTTAACTTTTTTATTTTGACATTATCTGTTTTAAATGATTTTTAAAGCAATCAAATAAAAATTGAAAGTGCTGATATTACAATTTCATTTTTGTTAGCATCAATAGTGCCTTTTGGTGCCAAAGACAAAAACTATTAATTTTATTTAAGATATTTTCAGTAAATATCTAAACTTTGCTTTTAAATTCTTGCATTATATATTTGTAGAAAATGGAGAAATGATACATTTCTGCGAGTATAAACTGACGAAGATGCTGCCTAAATCAAAGATACGTGATGCTTAGACTTGTTTGTCATGAACTTGTAATAGAAAACATTACTACTAGTATTAGAATGTATGTATGTTTGTTATTACTATTAAAATGTATATCATTTTGCTGTTAACAGAATGTATGTCTATTTGTTGCTATTACAATTTATGTCTATATATGTTGTTATTACTACTAGTATTAGAATGTATGTATGTTTGTTGTTTTACTATTAGTGTGTATGTGTTTTTGTTGGTATAAGAATTATGTCTAATTAATTGTTGTTATCAGAATGTATGTCTACTTGTGTTATTAGAATGTATGTCTATTTGTTGCTATTAGAATTATGTCTATTTGTTGTTATACAAAATGTATGTATATTTGTTGCTTTTAGGATGTATGTCAAATTGTACATTTACATTTGTGACAGCTTATAAAGCAGATGATATCTATAGTATTTATACTCGGATATAATAAAATAAGTACAACCAAATGTCTATTGTACTCGTATGAACGACTAGAAAGTGTGCTAAGATGCGTGAGGCACTTATCTGGGATACATCCTCCTTTATAATAGTTTCAGGTAACTGTGTGTTAAGGTGCTCAATAACCACTGTACAGTTACCTACTGTCCTACACAGTGGATATTGCATAACCACTTTGTGTTTTAAAATTAACCCAGTAAGTAGTGCTTGACTGGTGACATGTCCGGGGTACGCACTCGACAACTAAAGCTGTTTTTATGACATAACGGGCAGATGGGCTCTTATTAAACATAAAATGCTTACAATGACTACTGTATTGATACTGGCTTTGTTTTAAGTTGCAAAAATGGGTTTGATTTATCTGTGTTTGTCAATATTCAAGATTGTTCAATAATAACATCAAAACATTGGCTTTAACTACATGTACTCAGATTCACTTAAATCCGTGTAAAGATCTTCAGTTGAAATTAACAAAATATTTATATAAATTGAACATAATTGTATTCATTTCAGAATAAGTAGTTAACCAGGTTTTGACAAATGCCAGGAGGTAAATTCACGCAGAATCCATTTGATAAAAAATGGAAAGTTATGGTTGATAAATGGATTCAGGGTTAATATGTTGGTAGATACCAGGTTCTGCAGGCACGGATAGTACATTAATTTCTTACAATTTTTATATGATGTCAAACATAAATGATTGCGAAGATAAGCAAAGATAGGCAAAGATTTTAAATCTTAATCTTAGATTTTAAATATTAAGTTTCTGAATGTTTGTCTTTTACCTATAAGGAGTCTGTAAATTGTTTATGCACAGATGTGTAATGTCACCAGTATAAAGTATAGGATCATGTTATTCGCCCATATAATTTATTTTTCACCACAATTACACCACGAAACGAAGGACCAAAGAAATCTATTTGGCAAAAAATCCTTTACGTACTAAAATGTAATCCAGCAGCTAATATCATTAATGCAGCAAAAACAAAAATGTGAAAAAAAAAAATAATTGAGATAAAAAAAAATTCTTACACAAAACATTTAAGAAGCACATGATTTATTCTTAAGAACGTTGCCTAAAATATTAACTGCAATGTGTATAGAATTCATCATTCAATTACTGACATCTTTTATTTGTATAAGTCTTACATACAACTATGCTAAAATTCTTGAAATAATACTTTAATTACAATTAATCAAGTTAACTTTATTTTTTTGTGAAGTATGACATCTAGGCTTTTGATATGTAGTCATGCAAATTATCTTTTTTTGTTCAGACAAATGTCGAATAGTTCGCTACATTATTCTTTAATTATCATCTTTGTGTTATTATAAATGAAGCATTCCTTAAATGTTTTGCTCAATTTCCATTAAAATAATATCATCTATATATTCTCATGGTAGCAATCTTTCTTTGTCAGGTTGTGACGGGTTAATATATACTTGAATCTACTTGTAATGAATGTAAGTCTTTTGGTCACTTTTATAAGTAAGGTCTATGAAAATAATGTTAGACAGAATAATTATTCATTACTTTCGATTCAATCATAATGAAACTTAACCAGCAAAGGGTCAGTTGGCTAAATCTTTAAAATAGTTCTTTGCTAGTTTGACTCTAAAATGATCCGAATGTCAGTCATTGATAATATTTGTTTACTGAATGGTTATTTCAATTAATTTTAGTAATAATCTTGATGTTACCAGTATTGTTGTCAAGGTATGATATAACACAGTGGCATCATATTGTAAATTCTGATCTCATATCTCCTTACAGAGGCTTTGTACGATTAACACTTTTAGCCAACAATCGAATGTCATTCATGATCCTTGTGTCTTGATAGAAGCACGTCATATTGTACACACTGTAAGCATTTTTTACTAGGACAAAAACATATATTTTATATTAAAATTATTTTTAAAAGATAATTTTCTTCATCGTCGTTGATATTTTTAAGCGTTGTTCTGTATTGAGGTGATAAAGTTTTACATTCTATGAAAATGTTGAATGGAGGAGAAAAAAGAATTTGATATTATTTTACTGTTACTCATTTTATTCTTATTAAAATACAACTGTACATTAAGCGTTTAATTTATCATTATTTACATCATTAGCTCGACTAATTTGATCCATTGTAAGTATTTTAGCATTGTGTAGTAACGATTTCATTATCTTATTTACATGTACTTTTAAACTATTTTAAAACAATAAATTAAAGACAAAAAGAGAAAAATATACCGTAAAAATAAGGAAGTATGTTATATAATGTAGATACGTATTTTCGTTTGAAAGAAAATTTTGACAGATCTCTAATAATCTATTAGCATACCTTTTAACAATTTATAAAAATTATTTTAGTATGTTTATATTTACGAATTTTTTTAAAGTTGTAATCAATTTTAAATCAACTATTGTAATAATAATGATAATTATGACTATAGCTATTTTGATACATACTGCTTTATTTCATCACTATTTCAACTGCATCTCTGACAGCAATGGAGATCACTGGTCTAATTGAATACATCGACTTTTCTTGTTTGTATGAAAATAATTCAATCAGTGTACCGCAAATGATATTATTAATACTTTTTGTTCTTATACAAACAGGTGTTTTATGATATGAAAATCCCTTGTTCGGAATATTGGCACTTTATAAAATATTTTTGTAAATTGGGAGTAGCTATACAAGTTACTTTATAACACATATTAAATTAAACAATTTACTTTTTTCAATTAAAGTAGACCCCGATGAATATTGCCAGAATAATTTCGCAAATTTGAATTTTTTGAACGAAACTAAATTTTAACAAAAAACAAAAATCTGTTATTTTTCTTGTACTTAATATTTTAACTTTTGAATGTAAATGATAAGATTAGACTAATTCAATTATTATTGTGTATCAACAAGTCATTCTATACGACTTTCACTATTTCTCTATGCGGGACGTTACAATAAGAGTGTCTTGTTGGCAATAGAACGTCCATCTTAGAGCTAATACTAGACAAAGTCAAACAAAATAAATAACGGTATCTTTAACGAACACCCAAATTGCAAAAATGAAATTGTTGCAGGCTCGACTTTAGACTGTACATGGACAGTAGTGGTACTGTCCTGGGATGATGATTTTGACATAACGGTACATGGAAAAGTCCAATTAAGCATTATTATCCTGCATCGGAGGCGTTACAATTAGATAAAAGGCTTGAAGCTCACTTGGTAAAGCAAACAGTTAGTTCAAATTCAACGTCCTGCCCACTATTATTTCTTATTTTTTTAATTACTTTTTCTCATTTTTTTGTCATTTTTTCTGTCGATTTTAATGAATTTATTTCTCTTGTTTTCTTTTTTTTATCTTATTTGTGCAACAACCACATGCCATGTGCTTAAATCTCCATACTTTTATGTGTACAAAATACACATATGTATCTGCCAGTGCACAAAAGTACTGCCTTTCACGTATTTGAAACGTAATAGCTAAACGTGTTTTCAGGACTAGTGATACTTTTAAAAATAAACAAATAAAACATTTCTAAGATGCAAATTTATTCATGATAAAAGTTGTATAATTTTACTGACATTTTGCACGTGTTCAGTATGCATGCTTATGCCGTCTTTTATTTCTGATTCTTCAATCTGCCTAATCTATTTTTTAACATTGTAAATGGTCTTTTTGAAATGTAACAATAGGCTCAGGACAGTAATTACAATCTACCGTCCACGTCCCTAGCATCGGCTTAAGCAAATTTCAAAATTAACTCATGAAAATAAATATTGAATTAAGAAATATCCACAGCTATCTTCTTATGGTGGTTATCATGAAACTTTCAATATGACAATTACGCGATGTTCCATGAAGAGCGGTGCTTATAATGATACAAATGTCGCAAAATGGTTTCTAACTTTTATCTCCTTAACTCTTGTAACGTTGATGATATTTTTTAAGTGCTCAAAATAAATCTCAAAGCTTAATGATTTCAATGTGGTAACTTAACAGAAGTAAGTCAATGGGTTTACATATTCAAGGTAATTCGAGTTCATTGTTTTATTTTTTCACATAGAAGATTCTGAAATAAAAATCAAAAACTGGTCACTCGGATATAAAAGATGTCATTTAATAGAGAATCCCTAAAGAAAGCCGAACACGGTAAAACTGAAAATGTTGCAAGCTCAGTAAGATTGATCCTGTTCATGGACGCTACTGTCAAGTGCAAATTGCCGCCCACACCCCCTAGCACCGGCTTAAGCAGAATTCAACATTTAAACGTTTTGAATTTAGAAGCATCCGCAGTGTTCATACGGCGGTTATCATGGAACCTTCAATGAGACACAGTTGTGCCAGTCCATTTAAAGCGGCGCATGGTCCCCAAGTAATATAAAGCGTATGCCCTTTAACGAGAAAACATGGGCGGAACTAAACACATCGGAATTTTGAAAGGGGATCAGGTTAAAGTTAAAACCACTCGTAAAACGTACTGGAAATCCAGGTTTCATGTTTATGGACAAACTTAAAAATCAAAACGTATGTTTTCGAGTTAAGTTCAAGAGCTTTTTTTTAAATATTAAATGTATATGTTCAAAATCTGAAAGAACAGCTTAAAAATGTATATGTAAGTCAGTAGGCAATTCAAGCACTTAACAAATGTTACAGTGAAGTATACATGTATTTGCATGCAAAGAATTTATCTTCGTATCCGAATCTTATAACTTAAAAATCAACCATCAGAGTTAGGCTAGTTGTTTCTTTATTTTGTATTTTATGCGAAAATGAGTGACTCAAGTGACGGGCCCAGTTTTGAAACAAAAAATGGTAATATAGTTACTTTAAGATATAATCATAGAATTAACCTAGTTCCAAGTAAATTCAATTCCTTTTGTATTTTGTTTGTATTTCTATCCTTTTATTATTTTCTCTATATAAATATAAATCAAAAAGGTTAAACAGTAGGCATGTCCTTTTTACAATAATCTACTTTATAAACATTTTCAAAATTTTCACGATAATTAGCATAAATCTGGGTGCTTTATAATCGCAATCATCTACATTGTATAATACTTTTTCCTATGCTTTTTTATATATTTGATATGAAGCATCATCTTATGGTTGTGTAGAAAATTTGAAACCATGAGATTGTGTTAAAAAGTAATTAATTTTAGCGGAAGTCAAGGTGAAATCAGACGGCCTCCGGTCGAAAAAGAGGTCAAAATCAGAGCTGCATTACTGGTACTGCAGTACGTACTGCAGCGATTTTGCTAGTACTGGTACTGATACTGAATTACTCTTACAAAATTTTGCTACTTATGGTACTGGTACTGCATTACTATCTTAAAAAATGGTACTGCTACTGCAATACTGAGCAGTACTTTTGGTTTTGATAAAAAAAGCTTCATTTTTTTCTCATTAAATAAAGCTGTCAATTACATTATTTTATTTTTGTGAAAAAGTAAGTTATAAAATCTATAGATAATTTGCTGCAATATTCCTTCAAATGTTAACATAGTATTCATCATAAAAAAGCACCAAATACTTTAAGTAAAAATTAAATTGAGATAAACAGACTCAATAACTCTTAACCCTAAAATATCCTTATTAAAATATTTCATTACTTTGTATTTACTAGTAAAATACCAAAATAATAACTAGTTAATTTCTTCTGTTCTAAATAATCCTATTTCAAGTGACATTGTTAGCACCATAAAAAGTTGTTATTTACTTTGGTATAAATTGAACACAGGTGTGAAGGTGTGAAAGGCAACAAAAGACTGTTGTGTTTTAAATGATAGATGATTGCATTGTATTACAGTTGACTGGTTACTAAACAATAAGATAGGACATGAATATATGTTGTAAATATTGTTTGTAAAAAGTATGTTAAAACATTAAAGTTGTAAAAATGTTATGTTAACTTTAAAGTAAATTACGATTTTATTTCTTTACTGAATAATATTTGCAATTATTGTTTGAAACTGTGTATTTTTTCAAACTTTGATGAATAAATAAAAGTAATGGTACTGATACTTAATTACTTCCCCCAAAAATATACTGGTACTGCAGTACAGAGCTAAAATCTAGTACTGAGACTGGTAATGATACTGCATAATTTGCCAAGTACTGGTACTGGTACTTAAGTACTACACCTTTAGTACTGATGCAGCTCTGGTCACAATTATGCAAAAAATTGTCTTTACAGTATAATAAGTTGATATGTGTACTAGGGGTGTTAGCAGCAATAGCTGTGTCAATTTGGAAGCGATTGCTAAGGTGGGTGCTCCGGGTATAGTGGTCTTGGGTATGCGTCGTAGGTACACGAATCAACTGGTCCGTACATGCATGTTAAATTTGCGGTCAGCTGGTTTCTCGTACACATAGGCTCCAAACGCTATAAGGTAACATAAGAATATAGTAGATTGTTAAGAGGAAGATTTAAGAAAGCCCATTAACAATTTTAAAAGCTGTTTTGAATACCGTCTTCAAGCAATACATATATTTTTTGAAATGAAGCTGTGGCTTTTAGCCAAAAAGATAAAACATATTATTTGTATTTTCTACTCTATATAACACTCTTTTTTCAAATAAATTTTAGACTGATTATAATTAAAAATAACTAAATGGATAATTTCCTTATATGACATGATATGATGGGGGTGTCCTAAAGACGAAAAGCCTTAGCAACTCGTCAAATATGCTCCAAAATAGTTCCTCTAAAATGTTTGCTTTTAAGTCAGCCTTTGTGTAAGACGATTGTCATGAGACGACACCAAATACTAATAATATACAACTGAACAAAGACATAGATATTTCCTTTAATAGTACAATCAAACAAAGAACGACATTGACCAATGACCATTCTTATTTCTGATGTAGTTTCATTTAATTATTTACCTGAAACAGAAATCGATATGAATAGAACATTATCTTGATAATTAATTTCAGAATAATCTCATTTAATCCAGGCAATACTCATTCTTATCTAATTACCTAATTACAAATCTTCATTATTTAAAACAAAAATATCAATGAAACTTAACAAGCATTCTTTTGTAGTTATATCTATGACACGTTTCTAGTTGTAGAGCAAAATACATGTACGTGTAAGCAAATAGAAACCAATGGGAAAACCATGACAGTATTAATGTCTTTTTCTAGTTAAATACTAGTACAATGGTTGTAGAAAAAGATAAAGTACCGATTGTTTAGCGTCAATATTGTATTTATATACAGAACGTACGCTACAAATACTATTAACAGACTTTACTGACAACCTACTTCATAAGTCTTGTTGTTATTCATCACAAAAAAAAAACCTCCAAAAAAACAACAACAAAAAACAACAACAACAACAAAGAAAACAACAACATCAGAAGACGTTGCTATATTTCTTACATTTAGAACACTTCACTTTCCCAAGTGAGCAAGGGTCTTCAGTTATCTGGATGATTCCGTTTAAAGGGTCAAATATCTTCAGATCACAAAGTCTCTGCAAACATATATCATTCAAATATTGATGGAATCTATTATAGTCGTAAATTTCTACTATATCAACGATTGAAACTAAGTTTACCCCACATGAACTATTTGTGCACACTTCAGCTTTTGAAACAAAGGCATTCAATAAGTCATACCATAAATAACAAAAATAACAAATATTTTCTTTTTCATCATTTAATTAGAACAACTTTGAAATGATGGGGGAAATAAGTTTCGTAAAATTCTTGAATGTCTACAAGTTAAGAACAGTTATTAAGATCTTAAACAAAACATCTTTATAAAACAGTCCTTTCCTAATAGGGTTGTAAGAAACAAAAATTCAATAATAATAAACGATTTGAAATCAATCAAAAATGCAATACTGATAAACATTCCATAAATACAATCAAGTCTAATTATATATAACTTTGGATTTAAAGTATACTCTTAAACTTATTTTCAAGGCTTTAAACCGTAAAAGAGTTGTGTTTGTTTTTATTGATGTGTTTTCATTGAGTTAATTTCAAAACTCTCAAAAGACTTATCTTTCTTAAATAAACAAATGTATCCTATTCATTTGATGATTTAAGGTAGATCATCGCGAACTGTAAAATAATTAATTTATGTGCGTGAAATTATCACATATGACATTGTACCCGTACAGTAGTAGCGCCGACGAGCCCATGACAAAAGCTTAACTTTTTACTTAAAAAAGGAACTAAAATTGTATAGTAAATTACTTACATCGATTACAAGAAGTTTCAAGTATATATTCGTCCAGCCCCCAGTCACAGTCTAAAAGTGAAGTATACTGCTTTATATAGAAAGCATCAGATCATAAAATGCATTTTGAACTACAATTTCTTAAGTAATGTATGGCGAAAAATACATGTATGTGTTTTATTCATCAACAGGATTGCATCGAAAACACGTTAAATATTTCTGAAGGAATTATTCTGATTGTACAATCTGATTGTATTTGCCTAAGTTAATAATTACATGTCAAATCTCCAAAACAAAGTTATTATTATCATTATTATTATTATTATTATTATTATTATTATTATTATTATTATTATTATTATTGTGTGCTTTTAATTATGTGCAGCCTATAAAGCATACATGAGCAAAACTATTTCGGATGGAGTGTTTATTTGTTATGATTTTTTTTTACAAACTAAGATTTTCCTGTTTTAATGCTCAAGCTGTTGTTGAAGATGAGAAACATGTTATCTTTGATTGCCAGCCAGGGCTGATTTAGTTTCTGCTATGAATAATTTGCCAGACATCACGTATGAAATTATGCCAGACAGTGATAATTGAATTTTACTTTTAATAATGAAAAACAATGTGTATATTGCTGCCAATACATGCTTTATTATTTAAATTTTCTTTTAATTTTCTTTGATATTTAATATTTAAATTGATAAAATGTAAATTTGTAAAATATGTATGTACATGTATTGTGAATAACATAGATGAAATAATCTAACTATTACTATGAAAAAGACACATTTACCTGGGTTCTCACTTGTAGAACTCGGTATTTACCTACATATATACTCTTAATTAACCTATCAATCATAACTATCCATTTTTCGTCAAATGGGTTCTGGGTCAACAACCCTCCTGGCACCAATTTACAACCAGGTATTTTATTATAACTGAAATAAAGTGAAAGCATGCATCACCACCAATAAAAACAAAATGTAGCTTTTTAATATAATAGTTTTTCAGTTAAATTAATAAAAGTATTAAAAACTGCACATCATGAAAATGATTTAGCTTCAATTTTGTTATTAACATCTATGTTTTGTACAGGGCTGGTAAGAATTGACTGTTGTTAAATTTTAAAGAGTTGTAATTACAATAAAAACTTTTGGTTATAATTAAGGCATAGCTTTTATGGTTCCTCTACTTAATGAATTCTGATTTTGATCATGACTTATCAGGTCTTCTACCCGCTGTTAAAGTTAAAATAGATTTGTACAAAAAATATTTTTTTAAAGTCATTGGATATAATTTTAAATCAAACGTTGTGTGTGCTACGTTTTTTAAACAAAATGTCTTCTAGTATGATGAATTCAAATTCTGTTTTGAGCTTGTTTCTTTGAAGATAAGTTGTAAAAAAACTTACTCTTTGCATTTCAAACTTTTTTTGTTACATGAACATGTTAGACACGCTTCGGCGTCATGGATCTTTGATTTAGGCAGCATCTTTGTCAGTTTGTATTCGCAGAACTTTATTTTATATCCATTTACTATATATTAATAAACTGTTTTAATAACCTATTTTACACACAAACAATTTTAACTGAAGTATATCATATTATCATTCTGTATTTCAAAACTAATTTATAAAATGAGTGAAATATGAAACTCTTATTACGAAATTCTATTTCAATAGATATATAACTGTAGGATTAAAATGAAAACAAGACTACGGTAACGTTATACCTGTTCCAATTGAAATAGGTTCACTAAAGCTAATAGTATAGCATTCTGTTATCACAGCAGCCGCAACAAGAACACTCAGAAAGACTTTGTATACCAGCATTTCTAACTCTTCGGAAATATACTCTAAGACAAACGTACACAAACGAAACAAAGCTGTTTATTGAAATAAATCTTGTTGGAATTTTGTCTTATATATATATATCCGTTTAAGGTAAGAGTAGTCTTGTTTTTTTTTTACCTATCGACGGCATATAAACGTTAATACTTTTATATTATTAAGGATTATACTTACCATATGCTAACATAATGTTCTATGATTTCATCACCGTTTGATGTTGGTTTAATTCGAAATGCATCTTATTAACAAAACAACTGCACTGGTTAATGTAAAATATTTGAGTTTCTTTTCAGATAAACAGAATTATACTAAAATATCTTCGTAAATTATAGGTGTAGTTTGGCGGCAGATGGGAATGACAACAAACACGTGTTCATATGTAACTGTTTTTAACCAAATGGAATGGTCGCTGGCTAAACTTTGTTAGCCAACAGCTTACTAAACAACAAGCCTGTTTGTTTTAGATGTTGAATATTCATCACTCTATCATTTCAAACAGGGAAATAAAATTTAATTATTTGAGAAGTTGTTGGATGTGAAAAAGTTAATTAAGTTACAAGTGCAGAAAATGAGTTCACGTTATCAAAACAACAACAACAACAACAAACAACACAACAACAACGAAATTATTAAACATATTAAACAAAACTTCTAGATACATATCCCTTCTAATCTTCAAATACTCTCTATATGAGATTAAGGTAATACATGTACCACCTCCAAGGAGAAAACGAACCTTTACCTCAGTACCGCTCAAGCCGGTGCTAGGGGGCTTGAGGGATGGATGTTGAACTGTGTCATCCCTGATGTATAGACTCAATTAAACCGAGTCTGCAATTTTCATGTAATTTTGTTGTGATTTATGATTCTGAGGGATCACATTTTTTCGTGATTTCTTTTACCATACTGAAGTCCATTCTTAATTAGGAAAGAGCTGATTTAGTTTACATTAATTTAATATACCTTTCTAATGTAAACTTTAGGTATGTATTATGTTGACAAGTTCACTGACTGAGTTATTAGATAATTTAGGGAGATATAATGCCAGAAAGACAGAAACAAACAAGAAACAAAAAACAAATAATCACGTATTCTACGTGCATACATGTATACAATTTACGCTAAATGTCCTTTAAACTTTATAAATATTCCGTCTGTCACCAGACTTGTTCATAGATTTGCAAAATCCTAGCTGTTTATTATGTATCATCATGTAAGGATCTGTTGAAATCGAGCTGCACTAACTTACACCATTAAACCGTAATTCAACATTAGAAAATACAATGAAGCGTCTAGGTGATGCAATTATATTTCGATATAATATGCAAATGATTAGCAATTAAGGGATATTTTATTCCACACAAACGTACTTTTTAGAGTGGCACACGTTTATCTTGTTATATAATTAAAGAAAAACGTTAATGACATAAGACGCATATCTCTTTAGAAATAACAGTCAGCACAACATCTGCTAATTAAGTAAAATTACAGTGTTCATGTTTTGCGTTTATGTCATAAGGTGCAATATGTCATGTCGCTAGTATACAGTATAGGATCATATTATTCGCCCATAAAATAGTTTCACCACAATTTCACCACTAAACAAAAGGAAGGACCAAAGAAATGTATTTGCGCATGTCCTTAACATACTGAAATGTTCTCTAGCAGCTTGGTATCATTTAATGCAGAAAAAGAATTAGATCTAAATATAAGATAAAATAAATAAATAAAGTTAAAATATAAAATGGACATAAATCCTTATACAATTAATTAAAAACGCGAAAGAAGCACTTGTATTTATGCCTTTATCCTGAATTATTAATAACTTAATGATTTGTACAACCCGATTTATTCATAAAATGAACTGCAATGTGTATGGAATTTATCATACAAATACTGACATCTTTTATTTGGACTAAAATGCACCTTAAAATCATATAACTAGCTAAAAATCTTGAAATAAAACTTTAAGTACAATATTAATGTTGACTTTATTTTTGTTGTGAAGTATTGCATTTAGCCTTTTGATTGGTAAACATGCAAATTATGTTCTTTTTTCAGGCAAATGTCGGATAATTGGCTACACTATTCAGTAATTATCTTCTTTGCGCTATTATAAATGAAGGATTCTTTAATTTTTTTTGCTCAATGTCCATTCTATAAAATATCCTCTCAAAATTTGAATAGTATACTCTGTCTATGTCAGGTTGTGACTGGGATAAATATATACTTGAATCTACTTGTAATTTTTTTTTTGTAAGATTGGTGATTTCACGTTTAACACTTTTAACCAACGATCGAAAGTCATTCATGATCCTTGTCTCTAGACAGAATGACGTCATATTGTACACATTGTAAGCATTTTTTTATTGCAGACTTAACATATATTTTAAATATTTAAAATATTTTTAAAAGAAATTTTTCCTCTTCGTCGTTGCTATCAAAGCGTTGAATTGTGTAACAATGATTTCATTATCTTATTGACATTGTAGTTTAAATATTTCTAATACAATGGATAAAAGACAAAAAAGGAGAAAAATAAATCGTAAAAATGAAGTGGACAGCTATAATGTAGATACATGTGCAAATTGTATTTTCGTTTAAATAAAATTTGACAGATGCCTAATAATCTAAATAAGATTTTTATCTGTTAGCATAACTTTTAACAATTATAAGCTTATATTAAAGAATATATATTAAATTTTAATCAGATTAACATAACTTATTGTAATAATGATAAATATGGCTCGTGCAAGTTCCATACATATTAGTTTATTTCCTCACTATTTCAGCTGCATCCATGATTTGAAACCCTGACAGCAACGGAGATCACTTGTCAAGTTGAATATATTGACTTTCTTGTTTGTATGAACTTATGAAATTAGTGCATCGCATATGGTATTATAATACTGTTTTTTCTTTTTAAAACAGATATGATTAAGATTGAAATCAACGAAATTCCCTTGTTCGGAATATTGTTATCTTTCTAAAATATTTTTTTTAAATTAGTAGTTGCTAGACAAGTTACTATATAACACATAAAATGAAACAATTTACCTATCAAATCAAAAGTAAACCCTTATGAATGTTGCCTGAATCATTTCTGCTAATTTGAATTGTTTGAACGGACCTAAATTTAAGGCTATTCGAACAAAAATATTTTTGTCTTTTACTTCTACTTAATTCCAATTTTAAAATTTGAATGTAAATGATAAGATTAGACTTAATCAATTATCAATGTGTATCAACAAGCCCTGTATATGACGTTCAGTATTTCTCTAAGCGGAACGTTACAATAAGAGTGTCTTGTTGGCCATAGAACGCTCACCTTAGAACAAATGCTAGACAATGTCTAACAATAGAGAATAACGGAATCCTTAACAAACACCCAATTGCAAAAATGAAATTGTTGCAAGCTCGGTTTGAGACTGCTCAAGGGCAGTATTGGTACTGTCCTGGGATGATAATTTGGACATAACGGAACATAGAAAAGTCCAATTAAGGGTTTAATCTGCATTATTATCCTGTATCGGAGGCGTACTAGTTCAGTTACATAAAAGGCTTGTAGCTCACTTGGTAAATCAAACAGTTAGTTCCAATTCAACGTCCTGCTTACTGTTATTTCTTATCATTAAGATTATTTTTATTTCTTTTTCTTCCTTTACTTTTTGAAAAGTTTTTTTTTATCATTTTGTTCTGTTGATTTTAATAAATTTATTACTCTTGTTTTCTTTTTTGCAACAAGGACATGCCATATCATTTAAATTTCCATATACATTCTTTGTAAAAAAAACTCATATGTATCTCCCGTGCACGGGAAATATCGCCTTTCCTATTTGAAAAATTGCTAAACCCCCTATTGATACTTTTGAAAAAAAAAAATAAAACCTACTTGATGCAAAGTATACAAAAGTCATAAAAATTTTATTATTTTCTATATTTTGCATTCCCACTACACTAATAAGACATATGTTCAGCATGCATGTTTATATCGTCTTTTATTTCTGATGCTTCAATCTGCCTAATCTGTTTTAACATTAATGGTCTTTTTGTAACGTAACAAAATCCTCAGGACAGTAATTGTAATCCACCGTCTTCGTTCCTAGCATCGGCTTAAGCAAAATTCAAAATATACAAATGAAAAGAAATATTGAATTTAGAAATATCCACAGCTATCTTCTTATGAAGGTTATCATAAAACTTGCAATGTGACAATTGCGCGCCGCTCCGTGAAGAGCAGCGCTAATAATGATACAGATGTCGCGAAATGGTTTCTAACTTTTATCTCCTTAACCTTTGTATCTTTGATGATCTTTTTTGAATACTCCAAATCAACTTTTCATGATTTAACGGAAAATACGTGACTTTGAACTGTAATTTTTAGTGTTATCTCAAAGGCATTAATTGAAGTTCTCTTTTGGTATACAGTGTGCAAGTGTTAGACTTTACTGCAAGTGTTCGAACAGATTTTATCATGGTGTTTTCTTGAAATAAAATTGTACATAAAGAGACAATAAATATTGTAATTTACATTGGAATATGTGAAGTGTTTTTATCATTTATCATTATTCCAATAGACCACGAAGCTTAATGTTTTTCATGTGGTAACTCAACAGAAGTAGGTCTGTGAGTCTAAATATTCAAGATAATCCCATTTCATTGTTTTATTTTTGCACATAGAAAAAATTCAAAATCTGGTCACTTGGCTTAGAGATGTCATTTAATAGAGAAAATAAGAATCCATAAAGAAAGCCCATCGCAGTAAAATTGAAAATGTTGCAGCCTCTGTTCATGGAGGGTACTGTCAATAGCAACCTACCATTCACGCCCCGTAGCATCGGTTTGAGCAGAATTCAACATTTAAACATGAAAAGGTAAAATTTTGAATTTAGAAACATCCACATATGTGTTCATACGGCGGTTATCATGGAAACTTCAATGTGACATAGTTGTGCCATTCCATTAAAAGCGGCGTATGGTCCCAAAGTAATATAAAGTGTGTGCCCTAAACGAGAAAACAATTGGCGGAACTAAACAAAAAGGAAATTTGAAAGGAGATCAGGTTAAAGTTAAATCCACAGGTTAAACTTTATGGAAATAGAGATATCAGGGACCAATTTAAAAAATTAAATGTATGTTTTCGAGTAAATTTCAAGAGCTTTTTGTTTAAATATTATCTGTTCGAAATCTGAAAGAATAGCTTAAAATAGATATAAGTAAGTCAGTAGGCAATTCAAGCACTCACCATGAAGTATACATGTATTTGCATGCAAAGAATTCATCTTCGTTTCCGAATTTTATTACTTAAAATCAACCATCAGAGTTTGTCAAGTTGTTTCTTTATTATGTACTTTGTATTATACTCGATTATGGGAAAATGAGTGACTCAAGTGACTGGCCCAGTTTTGACCAAATGATGGTTATATAGTTACTTTGAGATAAAAATTATAATCAAATTAAATTCTTTTTGTTCTTTATTTGGATTTCTATTCTTTAATTATTTTTTTCTATATACATATAAATCAAACTTGTTAAACAGTCGGCATGGTTATTTTTTTACCACAATTTCATGATTTTCAAATTTTCTACAGAACCATAAGATGTACATATCAAAAATATAAAACAGCATAGGAATAAGTATTGTACAATGTTGATGATTGCGATTTTAAAGCCTCCATAGTTTTGCTTATTTTCATTAAATTTATCAAAAATTGTTTATAAAAGCAAATTGTAAAAAGAAAATGAAAAGTAAATTACACATTGTAAACATTACTAAAATATGGAAAAACAGAGTCCCTAAAGAAAGCCCAACACGGCAAAATTGAAAATTTTGCAGACTCGGTTTGATTGCGCCTGTTCATGTCTAAAATTAAAGTCTTATATTCCACGTAAATTACCAAAAAAGAGGTCACAATATGAAAAAACAGTCCTTACTGCTTTAGTCAGGCAGTATAAATATGGTGATAAAAACTGCAAAACAATTATAAATCCCAACGGTGTTACTTGAATCTTTAATCTTTTTACTTCCCTTAAAGTCTACAATTTCTGAAGTTTTTTTTTTAGAAATATTTTATCTTATGTGGCATGCAGCTTTAAGGTTTAAAAAAATGTTTAGAATACATTCGACCGCTGGGTCATATAATGGAATACTCGATACTTTGCTTAGAATCCTTTCTGACAAGAAAAGTTTATAAAAAAAATAGTGAACCACTTGGCTGGACCGTTATTAAGGACAGGGAAATGGTTGATACACACTTTGTAGGATACCTCTCAACTATGCAAGATGTTTACTATTTGTAGGCGTTGTCTTTTTGGAGGGGGTCTTTTAAACAATTTATAATTATAGTAATTATACGCACAGCAATCATGTATCTAAATATTTATATATAACAGCAAACTGTTTATTATTCTCATATACATAGATATTTCTTTCATTTCTACATCTCTACTCAAAAAGACTCATCCTCTTGAACATGTTTATTCTGCCGTGAGTTTTGGTGACTCCTCAATCGAGTCAATCAATAGGTCGTTAAAATATTCATTTGAAGATTCCTGTTTCTTGTAATGTCGTAACAATGTTATTAATGTAATCATACAAAAATATATACTGTTTTACTTCGGCGATATTAGTACACTTTCCCAATGGAACAGGGATCATCAGATATTTCGGATAATCCTTTAAAATTTGTATAAATCTTCAGATCACAGAGTCTCTGCAATTAAAGGCAACATTTGTGTTAGAGCATGCTCATATCAGTGATATAAGGCCTATCCAACACAAACAGTGATACTGAATGTAAATAGAAATATTTTTTACATTATGCAATAAATGTTTTAAATCTTATTGCCCTTCATTGAAATAAACAATGACATATGTGAGTGATATACTTAAAATTCCATCAAAACCTATTCTCCAAATTTATCATTCAGAGTGGGTCAGTCATTATATATTTATATGAGGCGTCCGTGGCCGAGTGGTTAAGGTCGTTGACTTCAAACCACTTGCCCCTCACCTCTGTGGGTTCGAATCCCGACAGGGACTTTGGATTCTTTCATGTGAGGAAGCTATCCAGCTAGCTTACGGAACGTCGGTGGTTCTAACTCAGGTGCCCGTTCGTGCCTGAAATAGTGCACGGAAGGGCACCTGAGGTTTTCCTCCACCCCAGTAAAGCTGGAACGTCGCGATATGACCTATACTAGTGTCCGATGTGACGTAAAACCCAAAACAAACAAACAAACATATATTTATATTATGTCTTACATTTTTTTTATAATTTTTGGAAAATTGCTTTTTAAAATGCAATTTGTTAAAATTATAGATATTTGTCGAAATAATAGATACTAAGCTCAATTTGAAACCCAAAAAATGCAAAATGTAACTTATTCTACACAAAACTTTTTTCTGTATCAAAGCATTAATATTTCTGTATCTTTACATAAAAAAAGATTAAAAAGATAAACGGGGAAAGGGCGGGTTAAATAAAACGCAACCCCACACGCCCAGCCAAAAGCCCGGGAGGCCCCAAAAAAAAATAGAACTTTACAGTCTTTTCCCAAAACAATAAAAACGTTATATGACCGAAAAAACTTTAGCTTTGGTAAATATGCGTAAGACAAATAGATATTATTGTTAATCTTAAAACTTGATCATTTGAAACACCTATAATGTAACGATAAATAACTTACATCGGTCGCGAGAAGTTTCAGGTATGTATTTGTTCCAGCCACAACCTAAAAGTAACAATACAATACAATACAATAAAATACAAAACAAAACAATACAATATTTCTTTATTTATTCAATATTACATATTATGTAACAACAGACAATTGACAAATGATATTGATACTGAACATATATGGGACATCAAGAACATGCCTAATTACAATTTTAACATATCTTGAGAATATGATTTGTCCTTTTTACTATAACTTTTCAAAATAAAATAAAATATATCTATTTGTATTATAATAATTATTGTATCGGATAAAAGCAATATTATTATCTACTTTTCAAAAGCAGAATTGTCTTAAACACTTTTGAAGGATGTATTCTTATTGTAAAATCTTATTCGGCAAAATAATATACTTTACATAGAATATAAAGTGCAGTCATTACAACTTCAATAGAAAGAACAAATCTTTTAAACAGAGAAAAATAACAGAATCGCTTAAAAACGTCCACAACGGTTTGATGGAGCCAGTTCATGGACAGAAGAAGTAACTGCGAGCTATTGCCATAAATGAGTCAAAAGTTAATATTGTGCTAGACGAATCCTTTTATTATGATATTTCAAACTAAGATGTACATGTTTTATATTACTTACTTGCGTCCTGACTTGAAGAATTTGGTATTTACCAATATATTTACTTTGAATTAGCTTATCTACCATAACTTTCCATTCTTTATCAAATGGATTCTGAGTCATCTGGCCTCCTGGCATTAATTTACAACCTGGTAATTTAGTGATACTGAAATAAATCATATTTAAGACCTTGAAAAAACGTTTGATATAAAAATAAATATGTACATGTACCAAGCTTCTGAATGTATTAAAAAGAAGTGTGCTTAAATATAAAGCAAAATGATAATATCATATAAACAAAAACATTTTTTCAACAACAACAACAACATTAACAACAACAACAACATCATCATCATCATCATTATCATCATCGTCACCAAGAAAAACTACAACAACAATATCATTATTATCATCATCAACGACAACAACAACAACACTTAAGTCGTATGAATGGACAGTTGTATGACGCAAGTCTTGTATAAAAATTATAGTTCTTTCAAGTAATGGGTGCTGAAAATTAACTTGGTTTGTCTAGGCTGTTTTTTATGTTGAAAAAAACAAAACAATTAAAGATATGCCTTGGCATATTGAACATTTCTTCTAACCAAAATTTAATTTTCTTCAAGTATTATTCATTTATTATTCATGTTATTCATATATTATTCGTGTGTCATAAGACGATGAATAAAATTTGGAGTAAACATTACACTTATTTGCTAAGCAGGAACGCCGTGTTAAGTATGACATTCTAAAATGTACGGGCTCGTGGTCCTATTGCTAAAACAAAGAACAAACTTACTCCTTGCATTTCAAACTTTTTTTACTACATGAACATGATAGACAAGCCTCTGCATCTAGTATCTTTGATTTAGGCAGCATCTTTGTCAGTTTGTATTCGCAGAATTTTATTTTCTTTCCATTCACTGCAAATATTTTGATAATATATTCCAGAAAAAAATCTCAACTGTAAACACAAGTTACTGCATATGTAACATATAGAATGAAAGTTAATTTTAATTACTTAAGGACTTATTCATGATGGCGGTCAATTCTTTGAAACTTTAATTTTGATATGTTTTTGCATTAAAATTATTGATAAAACTGACAGCATTGATATGTCAACACTATTATAGTAAAATATGTACCTGTGCCTTTAGAAATAGGTTATGTGAAGCTAGAAGTATAACATTCCGTGAGCACAGAAACCACAACAAGAACACTCAAAATAACCTTGTATGACATAATGTTCCTTTCCGAAGTCTACTATACACAACAAAAATGTCTATTGTAATATATCCTGTTTGAATGATTTTTATATATATCCTTTTATTGTCAGATGTGGCCTGTATGAACGTGTCGACAAAAAAGACAAACAAAAAAACATGTTGCACACTTACGTAAATGTTAATATGTTATTTACAATAAGTAACCATTTGCTGACACAATGTTTTAATAACTTTTATTACCCGTTTGATTGTGGCTTTAGTCGATGAGAAACCTTATAAAAAGGCATTTTCACTTGAATGTACAAATAACACTTGTATTGGCGAAAGCAGCATATTTTGAGTAGCTTTACATATAATCAAAATAATAGTCAGGCGACAGTTGGGAGAAAAACATGTACATGTACAAACTGTTGAACATGTATTATAATAAAATAAACGACTGTGAACTGGAACAATCGCTTATCCTCTTATACCTACAGATATATAACTAATTTGCCAAGACGTAATTGTATATAAATTAACCTTTAATTTCATACTTTTGAATTCATTGTTTAGAAATGCCACTGAACGACAGAAATGTAAGATAATCAATTTATCTATCGTAGTGATGTTCTGTTTTCAAATTGATAAAAATATGGCGACAATAATTGCTGTCATCTTATCCCATATCTTTATATGAGGAAATGTTATTTTAAATGAATAAAGGTCTTTAGGACACATATTCCCATGCATATATGAAATAAATAGATACCAGTCTCTTTAAAAGTATTTGTTAAAATAATTAATATACTTATTATGATATTGGTTTCAGTACGTAAAATCAAGCAGTCAATGTTAACATTCAAAGAACATTTCTTATTCATTTCTTATTCACACTTCTCATTTGGTTAGCTTTATTACAAACGTAATTTTGTAGAAATGTTTTCAGAGTAAGTAAAAAAATGACTATATAAATCCTAGCATCTCAGCATATAGAGACAATTAATGTATAGACCTAAAGACATGCGTTAGACAAAAAGTAAAGTAAATAAAGTAATCCTGGTGTCTTCTGGTCCATTTATTATACGCTAACTACTGAGGATTTTAGATATACAGTAAATGTCGTAAGCGATGTAGCATTTTACATTCTTCTTTAGCAATTTTGTTTATTTTTTCTGTATTGCATCCGACGCATACGAGGGTTTTCAGAATTAAAGCAATCCACTGAATATCCCAAAAACCCGTTGTAGTGAAAGTGCAAACCGGGTTTAAGGGATCTTATTCCAACATTTATCAAATTCACACAAAGTTTCAAAGGAAATTATTGTATACAGATAAAGGTTAAGCAAATTCAAATAGGTTTATAACACACTACCTGCAAATATGACCGGCAATGCAAATATGTACTTGAATTTCTTTCAATATTTAAATTAAATTGTCTTGGAATAAGTATAAAACATATTCTATGAAAATTGCGGTTCCTTAAAGAGAAGTTCCTGGTAGAAACAAGGAATTAAATGAAGAATATGCAAGATTAACATTGCAAACGTTAGATTGTCTCTCCGACATATCATCGTCACTTAAAGAAAGAAATGAATGTAAATATATTGTTTACGTTGTATACCACATTTATTGTCAAAATAATAGAAAGATATGTATATCAAACACGCTGTCTGTACCTTGAATATTTTATGAACATAATTATTAGTGGTGCTGAAATCTGCGTACATTTATTCTAATGGACTTGAAAACGATTCTCTTTAAATATAGGCAACACATCTGCCTTTGAAACTATCAGTTGGCTGATAATTTAAAACTGTGCGAAAACTTTTTACTTTAGATTATAATCTATACATGTTACAGTTTTGTAGTTGCTATAGTTATCGTAAAACATTCATCTTGGGGCAGAGGGAAATTCCAGTGTTTCCAGTATTTATGCGATGTCTTCTATTCCGTTAAACCGTACATGTGTCATTTGAGCCGCGTCACGACAAAACCAACATAATGGGTTTGCGACCAGCATGAATCCAGACCAGCAGTCTGGTCAGGATCCATGCTGTTCGCTATCAGTTTCTCTACTTGTAATAGGGTTTGTAAGCGAACAGCATGGATCCTGATCAGACTGCGCGGATGCGCAGGCTGGTCTGGATCCGTGTTTGTCGCAAACGCACTATGTTGGTTTTGTCATGACGCGGCTCATATAATGTAAACAGTACAAAATTGCTTGAATCGAAAACAATTATATGCCTATCACACATTCCTATTCAATACTCAGTGCATTGCATTGATAACTTCAATTATTACACATTTATAACGTCAATACAAATGTTAATTTGTTATTTTAAAGGTAGTTTATACTTTAGCCTATGTGATACTTTGGAAAGTTTCGAAATCTTGGCCATTGTTAAGAAAAGCATTGTTATTTAATATAAATATATTAAGTAACTAAAATATAATGGTTTAGAACCCATTTATACGAGTAGTTGTTCTTTGGAATAAGGATAAACCTATTTGTCTATTGAAACTTAGTAACATGCTGTTTTTTGTCCCTGAAATAGAATCCAAAAAATTGGATAGAAACAAATATATCTAAAGAATGAATATTATTATGTAACACTGTAATACTTGTGTATGAGTCTCACGCGCACCTGTACAATTATCTCGTAAAATGTAGCGCAAGTAATTTAAACAGTTGAATAGCTTTTTGGCAAACGCAGTGGAGCTTAAGTCTGTCCGCTGTAACCACCAAACTTTAACATTTATGCAATGAAAACAGTAAGAAAAAAGATATGAAAAACAAAAACAACAAAAAAAAACAAAACAAAAAACACAAAAAAAAAACAAACAAACAAAAAACAACAACAACATATACATAAAGTATATTGGTTTTTTCAGTACAATGACACCAGATACGTTGCAAATATAAATGAACATGTACTTAGATAGTATGTCCTTTAGTTGTGCAATAACATTGTTAAACAAAGTGTACGACATTAATGAACATTTTATGTACTCGTTTCTGTAGTCATTTTTATTGTTTTAATTCCTTCTTGCACCTGAAATAAAATATATGCGAACTCTAAATAAAACACAAACAAAAGTTTTACTCGAACAATTTTCCTATTCTTATCATACTAAGATCTTGCTTCAAACAAAAGCTATTCTGTTTAACAAGAAAAGAAAATCAAAACTTATATATAACGTACCATTATATAAAAATAATTTTATAATTTCTATTGGTATTTGCTTTAGATTTATTTGTTCTCATTTTTTGTTATGAAATCATAATATCATTTTGGGAATAATGTTAAAAAACTTTTAAGTGATCACAAAGACTGATTTTTATTGAAGAAATTTAACTAAATAGAAACCATGGTCAACTGTTTTACTGTTTAGCAATACAAAATATATGACCTTTCCATGATAACCGCCGTATGAACACACCTGCGGATGTTTCTAAATTCAAAATTTCGCCATGTTCGTGTTAAATGTTGAATTCTGCTTAAGCCGGTGCTAGGGGGCGTGGACGGAAACTTGCACTTTCCAATACCGTCCATGAACAGGCTCAATCAAACCGAGCCTGCAACATTTTCAATTGTGTTGTGTTGGACCTTCTTTAGGGATTCTGTTTTTCTCTATTTTATTGTCACATCCGTGTTATTTGTGCCGTGTGGCGGCTGTAAAAAGTCTCCCCGTACACTTATAATCAATGATGGTTATATTTTCGAATCCTTGAAAGATCGTTCAGCAGCGACATTGTTGTTGTGTTTACATGTAAGCTGTGGTACTTTTAGTTTCATCTATTTTGGACATTTTCATCTTGGGTGGTTCCAGTATTCCTGCTTGAATACTGTAGTAATCACCCTTAGGATATTGTTGCCTGCGTTTTTAAATTTGTCTTTGGACGTCGTTATCTGTACATATGCAGGCTTCAAAACCCCTCAGATCCCCTTTCAAAATTCCATTTTATTTAGTTCCGCCCCTTGTTTTCTCGATTAGGGCAAAAGCATTCTTTTTACTTGGGGACCATAACGCCGCTTTTCATGGAATGGCAGCTTAACTGTGTCACATTGAAGGGTTTCCATGAATAACCGCCGTATGAACACAGCCTGCGGATGTTTCTAAATTCAAAATTTCGCCTTGTTCGTGTTAAATGTTAAAATTCTGTTTAAAGCCGGTGCTAGGGGGGTGGACGGTAACTTGCACTTTCCAATACCGTCCATGAACAGGCTCAATCAAACCGAGCCTGCAACATTTTCAATTGTGTTGTGTTGGACCTTCTTTAGGGATTCTGTTTTTCTCTATTTTAATCTTCCCCAATAGAGCACGTGTCATCAGTTATCTCGGACAATCCTGCTAAATTTTTGTAAATCGTCAGATCACAAAGCCTCTGCAATTATAACAAACGTTACGTCAGAATATATCTCTGTAATACTGTACTATAATATATATGATTTCACTTACTGAAACATTGTTATTTTACTCAGATTAAGAGCAAAGTAAATTATTTCACCATTTTGCTTTTAGTTTTCATATCTTTTAAGACAAATGTCTTTGTTAAACAACGGTTGAGATACTTAATAAATGCCATAGGAAACATTACCACTTTCAGACGATGTACTTAAAATAAAGATTGACAATTGATTTTTGCTTTTGAAAGTGCCTTGGAAATATGAGAACACAACTTTATTCACTAGATAGCTATTGGGTGTTAATTGCCATGTTATGTACATAATTGCTTACATACAAACATTAAATTGAATAAACTATGATGTAATGGACATGCCTTTCCTACAAAATCCAACATATTCTCCAGAATTTTATTCTTCTAACTTTTGTTGCCTGTGTTAAAAACAGTCCAGTGTAACAGAAATATGATGCACTGGTGTTCATGTTTTTATCTAAATCTAAAACAAATATCATAACCCGTCACCTGATCAAAGTAATCATATGTTAGACTTGATAATGAAATATTAATAATGTGATGATAAATAACTTACATCAATCACAAGTAGCTTCAAAAATGTGTTATATCCAGCTACAACCTAAAACAAACATAAAGAAAAAACGTCAACATGTAAAGTTTGTAAATAACACCCGCTCTTCAAATAACGTTCAACAAAAATGCCTTTGATATTTGTGAAGCAATATTTATTCATTGTAAAATTATTTGCCTGAGTACACAGTTACTGAAGTCTTCACAGCATTAGTGACAGTAATTGAAATTGTTTAAGCCTTTTCCCTATAATTGTTTTGAGATAAACTACGTCTTTGCTTGCGATATTTTTAAAACCAAGAAACTTATGTTTTTAGATACGCTACCTGAGTCTTCACTTGCAGAACTTGGTATTTTCCCACATATTTACTCTGAATCAAATCATCTACCATACCTTTCCATTCTTTATCAAAGGGATTCTGAATCACCGGCGTTCCTGTCATTATTAAAGAACCTGGTTTTCTAGGTATTCTGAAATAAATAACATGACAAATGAACATCAACTAATTACTAATTGTATATTGAATTGTATAAATTTACAATAATTACAAAGTATAGACGTTGAATATAAGGCCCATAAAATATTACGCGCACAACAATTATATTTCTAGTTTAGTTGGACAACATACATGTATATTATTCAATATTCGGCATAAATATTTAATATTTGTTAAAGACATTCAGATTAACTGACAGGAAACAAAGCAGATGTTGCAATTTTACTTTTGATTTGAAACAATATAAAGCTTTTGAGTATTTTTAGGCTTTTTTATAGCCTTAATATACTTATGTAAAAAAAGAATGAAAACTGTTTCATAGCATTTACTTAACATATGCATTTTATAAAAAAAAAACTTTTAGCAAAAAAGATAGAGATTGTCGATCTCATTTTGTGCAATTAGTCAATGAATTTGCGAAAATCCGCTCAAATTTCAAATAAATTCTAAAATATACAGGTTAAATTTTTTTCTGAACATAACAAAAAAAAGCGTTGGAAAAACATGCTAAAATTGACCTTTTATTAAAGTTACAATAAATTTAACCACAACATTGATACTTGTTCTTTAGTGTAGAGACATTTTGAAGTGAACTACATCTTGTATTCTTGTATAATCAAAATTTGACAGATCAGGGATCTGTATGTTCTACTTTACAAAATTTCACACTTACTCCTTGCATGTCAAACGCTTTTTACTACATGAACATGACAGACGAGCCTCGGCATCTAGTATCTTTGATTTAGGCAGCATTTTCGTCAGTTTGTATTCGCAGAATTTTATTTTTTTTCCATTGACTGCAATCATGTCAATTATAACTTGTAGAACAAAACATAAGTATTTCCTTTTTTTCTTCATTTGGAAAATAAATATTGCCCTATTTTAGGATAAATAAATCAATTATAAAGAATTATACTCAATTTTTGAAATTCTGTTGGCATAAAAAGATTTTATAAGTATGGTAAAAAATACCTGTTCCCTCAGAAATAGGCTGAGTAAAGGTAAGGGTATAACATTCCGCGAATAGAGAAGCTGAAACGAGAACACTTATGCTAAACAATATTTTGTTTAACAACATCTTTTTATTAAAGAAGTATGTTCCAAGATAAATGTATAAAAATAAAACAAAACTGTTTAAATGAATATATTCTATAGTGCAATGTCTTATCATAAATTCCCTTTTTATATCGGGTAAGGATTGCATCTACGTATCATCAGACGAAGCACATTAATTAATGCTAACATAATCTTCTCATAACTTGTTTTAACCTTTTGATGTTGGTTTAAGTTTGCTAATTGTATTATTTAAAAAGACATTGGACGTTGTCTAAAATATAAATGAAAACCTTCAACAAACCCCTTCCAGAAATTTAGAGGGTAAACCCACATAATGCACATTTTATGTAAAAAGTAAACTTCTTCAGTTTGGCCTTATAATGAATACTGACCAGATTTTATACTGTAAAACAGTACTGTTACCTATGTACAGTATAGATTTCTACTCTCGTACTCTTGCACAAGCAGTAAGAAAAACTCTCATTAGCCTATGGGAAATTAAAGAAACAAGTAAGGGTTAATAACAAAACATAAAATTACGTTGCAAGGTTTTAACATGAACAGAACTGCATAATCGTTATTAATAAACTGGCATATTGTTAACCGTTTCAGCTGTTTATTTAGTAAATATTGAACTTATTGATATTTATATCTTAAGTAGCATATCACGTGGCACATCTAACAATGCTTAATAAAAGGAACATGCATACAACTGGATTATATGGCAATCCGTATCCTTTATAATTAGGAAACCTATTTCAGGAACAAATGATGTTTGTGTTTTTTTCTAAAAACAACGTTTTTCAGAAAATTTCTTGAAGTATGTCATAGTCGACCATATTGTTTAGGTAATATTGGTAACAATTAGAAAAAATGATGAAACAACCAATTAAAATGTGCGGGTTAGTTTCTTTAAAGTGTTTGTAAATGTGGATCTCAGAAAAAGATGAAGTAGAACGCAATGTTGTTTTTTTCTTAAGGGAAATATAATGTGCGACATATCTAATACACATTGGACGCTATAACTTCAGCTGTATTCAATTATTTACATTACAAATATTAAATTCAATTATCCAAGACCAAACACATTTTACTAATATTTTGATTTTTTCAAAAAACGTCCATAATTTTTTTAGAAACTCCCAGTATTTAAGTAATGTTAGGTTTGGGGGTTTTGGGTTCAAGGTAATAATTTACGGGACAATGTATTGGGGTAAACTGGAAGAATAGCATTATTTTAACATAAGTATTCTTATATTTAATGTCAAATGATAGATAAGAAGAATATATTCCAAAGAAATAAAAGCTTGCGGTTGTAACCATTATTGATGTTTTTGCATATATGAAATCATTTTGAAAACCTGTGTTTAACACAGTACACTACTGTTAAACTGTTATTGGGTCACTCTGAACCCCAAAAAATAGGTACCGATAGGACTATGGACCTTGTTTCCAACGGGTTTTTTAATAGATATATCCATACAACATGCAATTGGTGTACCTTGTTTTCGAACTAAGTCCGTTTGTGAACGGTTGGACCTTTGCAAAATATGATATTAAGCACAAAGAAAAAAGTAGGCAAAACATTGGTCTTCAATCATTACATATTCATTAAGTCCATGTATGTCATGCCACATAAATTTCTTGTCCTTTAGAAGGGGAAAAAATAATGGGTATAAACATGTTAGATGCTTTTTACAGGAAGTAAGCAGTGCTAAATGTGGAACAATTTGTCATAAAGAAAAAGTGGTATTTTGACTTCCATACAAAATTCTTTTGATAATACTTTATAATAATACGAGAATAAGGGGATAACAAGTAAATAAAAGTTATGATATGGCATACGTTTCTAAGGGCGACTAAATGCTATTAAATGCCAGAACGACCGGTTGATCGGTGCAAGTAAAATAGGTATTCTACCTTATTAACGTTGGTTTTGACCATGTGGTTTTGACCATGGTTTGTACTGGCTACTAATAAGCATTGGATGATAAATGATAGTGTTGAAATATAAATTGAGCTTGAGCTTTAAAAGCACGATCAATCATTCTGTACATTTTAGCTTGTTTCCTATGACTATTACTCCTTGTATTTCAAATATGTCTACCACTTGGACATGACATACTCGTCTCGGCGTCAGGTATAATTGGTACAGACAGCATCGTATTTTTTTTATTCGCATAATTTTATTTTCTTTTATTGTAGCTTATCTTATTTATTTAAATAGGAACAATATATATAAAAGTATTTGCAGTATAGTTAGATAAAATAACATATAATTGTGATGGCAGTAAACTGTACATGCAAGTAAGGTAAAAATAAACCTGTTACTTTAATATAGGTTGACTGAAGTAAAGGATATAACCAATGTGACTTAAGTTCAGATCTAGATATCGCTATCCGTGGAAGTAAAACAGTTTTTTTTTTAATTTTGTTTGAAAAAGAATTAACTGAAGTTATTTGAAAAACATAAACTGGGAAAAATAGACTCATTTTTAATGGGTAAGATTGTTTTGCTAGTTTTAATGCATGCTACCTGGACAAAGCCATGTTTGTACTCGAAATTGTCAAAATTACCTACTCAGTATTGGATTTCCAGCGGTTTAAATTAGAAACAGCACCAGTATCAAAATTGTGAAAGCTCGCCGATGATTGGCTGTTCGAAATATCACGAGAAGGTGACACCCTACTATTGCCCGTAAGATCTTAATGCGTAGAGTTAAAAGTGGTGATTTTAATCAGATTAACTTAATTATAACATTATTTGAACAAGAACATTCGAAACTAATTTGTGTAATAACATCTCGTTCTGTAAGAAATATGTTTTAAGATGAATGTACAGATACAAACTGTTTATAGGAATAAATCATATTGCAGTACCTCCTAACAACTATCCTGTTTATATAAGATAAGTCTTACATCTACGTATCGACAAATTATACTTGTTGCACACATATGTTAATCATGAATACTTTTTTATGCAGAATTATCAACCATATTCTAACATAGTTTTATATAAATTTGATACCCGCCTGATCTTGGTAAATGTAGCTTTGTAAATGAACACAATTGCACTTTCCCTTTTATATGATATATAATTGTTTACTGTTTAAAACAGATAATTATTTTACAAGCTCTTGGCATTAACAGAAATAATGAATATTCTATGCAAATATAAGCTATTGGCGACATATGGGGAATGATATATCCAACAAATACAGTCATTAATATATAATTTATAATATATGGATAGATATTTCTCAACATAATCGTCTATAAGCGTCCTTTAAATGGAACATTTGCTAATTATAAATGTATGTAGATATGTTAGATTGTTTGTTTGATTGTGTTTTACGTATTACCGACACAGTATAGGTCATGTGGCGACGTTCAAGCTCTACTTGTTGAGAAAAACTTCAGGTGCCCTTCCGTGCATTTTTTTCAGACACGAACGGGCACATGTAAAGAGTCGAACCACTGACGTTCCGTGAGCTAGCTGGATAGCTTCTTCATATAAAAGAATCCAAAGTTCCTGTCTGGATTCAAACCCACAGCGGTGAGATTATGTATATATAACTGGTAGTAAAGTTTCAGGTGTGTTTTCAACAAACGCTTTCCAATAAAAAATACCAAAAAATGGAATAGAAAAATACAGCAAATTGTTTATAATTGAGATAAACTTAGATCATACTAAATAAGATATGAAGACATGGATCACAATCACATTATCACAAACAATTATCTGACTTAAAAAGTGTCGTAATTATGTTCTTCTTTATCGCGGTTTCTTTCTTGTTTACGCTGGTTAATTTTATATATAGATTTTGTAATGAACCATTCATTTTAGAACCTACATGGGGTACCGTAGATTACTTGACACAATATACAAACTATAACATGTTTGTGTTAGGCATGGCCTACGTATATTTGTATTCTAATTGTAAACGAGTATATGCTTGTAAATGGGAAAGAATTTCAGATCTATTTTTTTCACAGATTCATTATCTTTCTGCTTGCTTAACATTGTTATAAACGGGTCCCTATTTTCAACTCCTGTATACAGATTGAGGAAAAGGATGGTTTGATTGATTGATTTCTTTTTGAATTCAAGACTTTCGATAGATAATTCGAGATAAATCTAAGGTCGAGATAGATATAAATTTTAATTAATATTCAATTAATGTTTTTTGTGATAAAAAATCCAACTTGATCAGCATACTTCTGCTCAAAATTTATTTTCTAGAAAACTTGAATTCTTGAAATGCTCAGTGGCAATGGCAGTTTAATGCAGAATTATTGCTCTTGTCAAATTTCATTCCTCTTGTCGTAACAAAACAAGAAATAACATTTCTTGTTAATTTTTTACTTCACGATTTATGCCTTTTGATAAATTTTCATTTAAGTACGTTTCCATCTTGGTCATAATACAGTGTATAATATAGCTAGAAATAAATATTTATCTGTTTGATATATATGTGACCGGACTATTTTTTCATATTCATACAGAATACATTAAGAATATATTTGGAAACTTATTTTTGCTTTTTGTCCGCCAAGACAAAACAGATAAATATATCTAAAAGGCAAATTATGCAACCATTAAAGTTATTGTGTAGTTATTATAGGAAAAATACGTAAAAGTAATATATGTGGTGTGTGTTATGTAATAGAAAGAGCACCGAAACACGAGGCTATCTGATTTGTACGAGGGGGCGTAGCATCATAGTCAAACATGACAGCACGTTCCCTGTTGTCATAATATGAAGCCCCAGAAAAAATTAACCAATGAACGAGCATTTGAATATGATAGTTCTGCCCCTTTCCCTTTTTCTGCCGTCACATATGTTAAACACCCCCGTCAAAAATGAACCAATCCACGGGCCATTATCTGTGGAGTGCGGGTAACCTGATATCTGCACTCAGTTACCCGCACTGTGCATGTATAATGTATTTACATTTAACTCTGACACTTTTTCAACAGAAAGGTCCCCAAACTATGATACAAGCATGAATTGTATCATAGTTTGGGGACCTTTCTGTTGAAAATGTGTAAGAGTTAAATCGTATACATATACATGCACAGTGCGTTAACTGAAGTGTAGGTATTAGTTACCCGCACTCCCAAGCACGCCCATTGATTGGTTCATT